GTGAATCGCAACTATAGATTCGGACTCGAGAAGTTTATCTGCTTCACTCTGTTTTTGTCAGTTGAATTTGTACATACAACATTTAGTCATTATCTTTCAGACCTTTATAGCCCGACTTTCCCCTAATATACATCATTTATCCGAAAGCTAAATATGGACCAAATATCCACCCAAGAGCATTCGCATCCAACGCCTACTTCAACTCCGATAACCATGCATCATCTGAGGCAAGATTCGAAACTAGACAATGCAGATTTGCAAACCCAACCAAAGGTTCCAACAGGTGGAAGCACTATTAACAGCCGTTTGACAATACCTAATGTGATTAGTAATGGTCATGGTGCAGATTCGAACATCATATACGCAGAGCACGACCTCTACAATGAATCCGACCCGACAAAATCCAGTATTTATTTTCCAATTCAATCTGTTTTCACCAAATGCTCACCACCAGATACTACTTCATGGGTAACCACAACAGTAGACACCAAGGAAATTCATTCGAGCAAGATTCAATCTACAATCAAAAGCATTCTAAATGTTGCACAATCGCTGACATTCAACTCCGACCCATCTACATCTGCAAAAAAATTTAATGCGACAGTTCAATACTTGCATTCACAGTGCCACGATCTGAGCAGTTGTCTTGTTGCTTTCTCTCAATTAGACACAACCAACGAATTGGATACTGTCGAGGCTGCAATGCGATTACATACCCAACAATCACAAAACTTGGTACAAAAAGTATCCAGCAAGTACCTTGAGTTGATTCAGCAATGGAAAGAACTTCATCAGAGGCTGAGTGCATTATGTGACATCATCGCTTCTAATCATAATTATCCAAATTTGGAGATTGATAATGCAAACTCTATTCAGGTAATGGATTGGATTAAACCTCGAGACATATCAACCTTTTAAATACTAATTTGTTTTTGGATAGGCAACATATAAAAGTATAGCAATACTAGCAAATGAATTTTTAAATACACTGTACATATTGACTTGTAGTCCAGCAGCATCGACAAGACAAACAGCCGATTCTCAATCACCAAGATCTTGCATTAAAAGCAAAAGTATTATTCCAAGACTAGTCATCACGAAACCATCTAAAAATTGGGATGCATGTGCACAAAACAGGTCGGTCAATCTTTCACAGTCCGAGTGCACAGATAGTACATCATTGGAAGTACCATTCACGGCGTCATCGAATAGTGATAAAAAACTACCGAGGCTGTCACATTCTCCACCTTGTGCAACTTTGGGTCATTCAAATTGCTGGTCTAGGATACTGGATACAGTTGCGGGTCAAACAACTGCAGTAGAATCTAGTTTCCCAAATATGCATTCCAGGCTTTTATCGATCCACGACCTACTCAAAGATGCAGATGAATTTTTACCAACACTACTAGCCACACCCATGAATGCTCCATTTGAAAACGAAACAGAGCTAAACAAAACTTTTGAATTGGACTCCAGGTCGCGCGAACTTTTGCTACATCGATCATCCCAATCCATAAAGCCAGTTGCCCCTATACGATCTGCATCACTCCCGTGTTTGAAAATCGATAGACGATTCCAGAATAGACATACAACAAACGTTTTTGATAACGAGTCAAGCCATATTTTTGAAAATGTATCGGCTAATCATGAACTAGATGCATGGAATGAGACTCTTGTCAAGCCTGTCACATCTGATCAAGATCTGCAGCTTCATTTAAAAAACAACATATATTCGTTTTCGGTTCTTCACAAATCCTTGTCTAAACTTGAAACCGGTGCTGGCCAATCGACTGAAATCCATTCAAAACTACATAACCATCTCATGATGTACATAAGGTTCTGCCATTTGAAAGCAAGCCACAAACCCGAAATTATTTCAAATTGTAAAAATCAAACCCATAGGTGTACTGATCTGTATATTGGAGATGGTCAATCATCTTTTAAAAATGCAAAAGTTACAATTAAATCCATTGGCGATCCAATACAAACCTACGATGGCCAAGGACGTCCCATTGGGGTTGTAAAGTATGGGCAGTTTCAATCTACGTATATACTACAAGATCCCTGTGCAACAAAACCCCCCAACTACATTGTTGTACGCGATAATTTGATGCATGTCGTACAGGATAATCAATGCACCTTTATTCAGGAAGTGAAGCACTCGAAGCTTTATACTATTGGCGGAACTTTTTCTCAATTAGCACTTCGACTTGCTGATGAGCATTACCAAGGTTAGTAATGGCAATTTATATTTTCAACCATTCGATAGTCTTATTTACTTGTTTTTTTGGAATTGATCAATACAGATCCAAAATATGTTGACTCGTTTTTGTTGACATATCAACTGTTTACCACATCTCGACTTTTGTTTGATTTTTTGGTGTCTCGATTTAATATCCAGCCATGCGATCCATCAAGCGAAAGTGAAGTCAGATATTTTTCCAAGTGGCAACAGCCAATCCAATTAAAGTAAGCTGTGGGCTTTATAGCAAACTTTTGAGATGCCACTATATTTGATAGATTGAAACTAAATATAGTTGTAACTGTTGCAACAATATTAGAACACTTTCTGTACTTGTGCGATGGATTAAAATGCAATTTTGTGATTTTCTTCAAGATCCCAAATTATTTGATGCTTTGGACCATTTTCTTGAGCATGTTTGGAAAAGTGGATTCAAAAACGAAGCAGATCGTATTCGCCGATGTGCTAGTGTTCAAGCCTCTGTTATAAAACTAAACAAAAAAATCACCTGCATCAAAAATCTAGACCTAAAATCATCCGTTATCTCGTGCAACATCAGCCAACTCACGTCGCTTTTTCCATCTCGAGTCATGTCAAATTTTCTTGAAGTGGATTGTAAAGATATGGCCAGATATCTAACCTACACAACTTCATTGTTTTTTGATGCTATTTCTCGAAAAGATTATATATTAAAAGTCAAGCTTTCTAAAACCGCGCCAATGACCGGCTACGATGATGATGCGCTCGATAATGCTATTGATCAGCTCACGCTGAGACTTGAAAAAATTCGGAGCTGGGTGGCATTGAAAATCTGCTGTGTTTCCAAAGACAGAGTACGACGTCGCATCATTGAAAAGTTTATAACAATTGCCAAGGTAGAGTTGACTAATTGGACGAGCAGGGTTGTAAAAAATAATGTATTGCAGTTTTTATCAAGATTAAATATTAAACAGGATCGATTTGGTTTGTAGTACTCGTTGGAATTGGGAGACTATAGTACAGCTTTATTTGTTACTTCTGGGCTGCTTTCTGCACCAGTTCAAAGATTCAAGATGGCGTGGTCGCTCGTTTCAGCACAGTGTCGGAGTGTGTATGATAATCTGTGCAGACTACTTGATCCTTCTGGAAACATGAGAAACTATCGCCATGTAATCAGTCAGGCAAAACCTCCTTTTATTCCATTCTTGGCTATATTGATGAAAGATTTGACATTTTCAGTCGAAGGAAACCCCGACTTTATTGACCAGCCAGTTTTATTGCATTCTAGAAACATGAGTTGCGAATCTAGAGAGTTTTTATGTGAAGTCCTTGATGATAAAAGCCGGAGCCGAGCCAGTCCAATTTCGTTTTTACCCAACATGCCGTACTCTACCGAGCCATTAATCAATTTTGAAAAGTTTATGATGGTTTCAGATATTTTGGATCGTGCATTGAGTGGACACGGTATTCAACAGTATGATTTTTCCCAAGATTTTAAATCTGTCGTCATGTCAATTCAAGAGAGTTTGTCTGCCGATGCACTGTCATTGTCATCACCATTTTTGACTGAAAAACGAGTATCAAAGCTGCGTCCAGTGAGCTGGCAAACATTTACCAGATTCCAATCAGCCAGCAGAACCAATACATTAAAAGGCATTGCTGTTATGGTGGAATCAAGTCTGGCTCGTGTATTTCAAGCTGATATTCTCGATCGTGAGGGTGCCATGAATCTAGCATGGGAAATGTCTGCTGGTTAGAGGCTTGATGTTGAGCAAACACTGGAAATGATATTTGAATCAAAAGCCTGATATGATCAAACAATTCTCATTCTGAAATAAAAATTACTTTCAATTTCATCCAACCAACTGGAATAACAAGTTTACTGTTTAATCATTTTATTCAATAGAAATACGTTGTACATTGGAGTCACTAGTGACTTCTTCCAGCCTTTCAAATTCAACATGTAGCAAATGATCAGCAAAGGAAGCACTTAGTTTGGATATATCTGCCGAGTCGGAGATATGGAACTGGCGAGTAAAGGACGTGGAGAAATTCTCGCTGTTATGGTTCCCCTTGAGTATCAGCATACGGCGGGAAGCGTCCAAATCAAGTTCCAGCTCATCCCTGGTGATTGGCTCTGGAATTGGTATTTGGTATGTGATTTTGTGGTTTGATTGTGGTGCCTGGACTGTTTTCTGAGAAGCTAGAGTCGAATCAGTCTTTTGGGTTTCAACTGCCTCCTTTGTGGTAAGCTTGCGAGTTTTCAGGGCCAGAATGTCCTCGAGTATTTGGCTGGCATCATCTTTTTGGGATGTTTCTTGTTTTTCCCGAGTATCTGGACAGAGCGCATACATGGCGTAGGGCATGTGGTAGTTGGAGGTAGGCTGGCGATAGAACAAGAGCCGTTCAACAGCAGACTCGTTTGACCTTTCCCGCATAGGGACGAGCATTGGGTGATGGATTATTTGATGAGGGTTGATGCAGATCATGTTTGATTATCGACTAGAATGTATTGATGAAAAGTGAACGGGACAATCCTCCACTTTTATACTCGCAAATACCTGTAAACCTCTGCAGATCAGCTTCATGAATCCACTGGAATTTGCTAGAATTCATCCAATGCTTGCCATGACTTTCAGTGTCTGAGCAACGCGTCTGCTTCATGCAAATGGAAGTTTCGGTTGCTGTCCAGAAATTTCTAGAAGCTTAAATGTTTGCATTGAATGGCATTCATGAGTCTATAAATAACTGCAACATTCACCATGCAACCCAACAACAAACTTGATCAATCAAATACTGAAACAACATGCTTCGATTTGCTACTTTTCCTCAGTCTGTTTACTACGAACCACCAATCTATCGCCTGGTCCAACAAGATGACTCTGACCAGGACGATTCTGCGTTTGTGTCCGACTATCCCATCAGATATTGCAGAAACTGTAGAGCTCCATCTCAAACACCCGGTCTACAGCCCATCTACATTACTGATGGTTCTGCTCCAGCCATTCGTCACCAGCAACCAGTCCGACGACCACGCAAGCAGCGGCAGCAAGTATTTCGTTCTCGACCTCAGTCGCAGCGTGCTAGCATATCCGACTCTCCACTATTTCAGGACTTGTTTGAAACCGATCGTGACGTAACTGACTCTGCTCGCCTGGATGTGTGGAATTTACTGCATGAGATTCTCGGTGACTCGACAAAGCAGAAACATCCACAAGTACGACCTGATCATAAAATCAAGTCCAAAACAGAAGCGACTCCAGTCTCCAACTTAATCCGTATCAATATTGTCGATCGCGAACCAGCTGGTAAAAGCGATACAGTTGAGCCTGTGCATGTAGAAACAATCACAAAACCAGACAATGTTGATAGTCATTTGAACAGTGAGTCTGCTGGTGACGAACACAATGAAACTGCTGCTTCAATGGAGATTGACAAAGAACCTGATGCTAAAACGTCACTCCTTCAACCAGATCCATCAGTGGATCAACCCAGTGACCAACTGGCTCAATCACCTCCATCTGAATGGACGTCGATCGATCACTTGGAACCCACGTTACTCTCAATATCACAGAATAAACACCCAGTCCAAGAAGCAGCTCAAGAAACAGATACTGCGTATATTTATCGAATGCAAATCCCTGACGGTGTGACTCAAGGCATGCTGGATGTGCAAGTAGATGAAGTAAGCAGACTAACTCATATCAAGACTCCTGGTGAATTCTCAAAGTCTATTCAGCTTCCAGACAATGCCGATCTCAGCAGTCTTTCTGCAACAATTGGCAGCAGTGATAATATTTTAGAGATTGTTCTTGACAAGATGTCTGCTTAAACTCGACCCATTTCTCCATCCAATGTTTAATAAACTCATTTTAACCATCAATTGACATTGCATTATAAATGTACTTTGGCACAAAAATAATAAACCGAAACTTCATGTAGCGAAAACAGCTTAGCGAGCCCTGGCTGTAAATTGATTCGACTCGACTTTTCTATGCCATAACTGTGTTTCCTGCTATCAATCTGTACTTTCCATAAATATTCTATAATGGCTACTAATGAAGATTCTCAAACCGACTCTCTGCGCAGCCTGTTGGGCTCCATCACCTGTAAGGAGTTGATGGACCGCTCAAAGAGTATGCGTTCTTCCAATCCCACTGCCTTGAACTCGCCAGAACATCCTATTTGCTTTGATTCGGAGCTGACAGTGCAAGAAGCCTGTTCTGCTTTAGCCAAGCATAAGATTAGCTCTGCTCCAATATATGGTTCCCAGGAAGGTGGTTTCATTGGTATGCTGGACTACAGGGACTTGGTTGCTTACGTTCTTGCTGTCTTACATAAGATTCCCCATGATGTTGCGTATGATGCTGAAATGGTAATTTACTTGCTTGATGTAATGAACCCAGCTGTGATTATCAACTTTATAAAAAAACAATCTACTCCAATGTCTGCTTTCTCCTTACTGGCAGTTCTCTTTCATATATCGACTTTTGCTCAGTAGTTGTAATGGGCAGATTTCTGATGAAAACAATTGTTCCAACATCACTGCCGTTGCTACTATTCAATCATGAATCTATTCCTGTATGTTCATTTCAGAAACCATTCCATCTCAATCTGATTGTATTGCGGCTTTAACCACTACCATGTTATTGCATACGCCTATTCTTTCCATGCCGTTCACTTGTTTTTGCATCTAATCTCGATTATTTCGTTTGGTCTCGTCATTCTGACGGTATTTTCCCTTTTTGAATCCGTGTGCTCAACTTTTATCTTAATCTACACCTTTAGGACACTTCTGATATTGTCAAGCGTGCTCTCACTCAAGGCCATGCCAATGTGCCTGTCAAACTACTTGCCAACATGTCACTTCACAATCCCCTGGTAGTCGTTGATGCCAATTCCCCCGTCATTGATGCCATTGGTGAATTTGTTCGTGCCAAGGTCCATCGCGTAGTTGTTCTGGACAAGACCACTACTGGAAAGCCTAACTTCCTTGGCATTCTATCCCAGTCGTCCATCAATGCATTTGTTGCTTTGAAATTTGGAAAATTATCTCCTGATCGCCTTCCCAACTCTGTTTGGTCGATTGGTAATAAGACTATCGCCGATCTTGACTTGGTTCAGGGTGAAGTGATTTCTGTTCTTCCCGAAGACACTGTTGTTGAAGCCCTTTATCGCATGCACAATGCTCGGATCTCGTCCATTGCGATCATCACTAAAACTGGCGATAGAGATGACATGTGGGGATCTATTAGTATGACTGATATCAAAGACGTTCTTGGACGTAGACGTGGCTGGTCGCAACTATTGCAGCCTTGCAAATCCTTTTTCACTAGTATTCGCAACATGCAGTCTCTAGAAAACTCTGGCAGAGATTCTGTGCCTTCATTTGTTGTGCATCCAACCACTCCTGTCATTACTGCGATTGAGAAGATGGCTGCTACTCACACGCATCGTGTATGGGTAGTCAGTGCTGATAACAGATCTCAATGCGTTATTGGTGTACTGACATTGTCTAATGTCATGCCATTGCTGCTCCATTAAATCTGCCCAGTCTTGTTACTTTTGGGTGAGGGATGGACTTGTTTCTCAATCTCTGGCTCGTATCTCTTTAGCAAGCTATAAAGCACTTGCACTTGTTTTTTCCATATGCACTTTAAACTGTTTTTCACTTTCCAATTATGAATACAGGATTGCTTTTTAATGGATAGCTCATTTACAAAGCATTATATTTAATACAATCTCTTGGGGTGATCAATATGGGGTTAGTGTGCTGGATAGAAGACTAATAAAGTGAGTTGCTTCAGTTCATGACTGACAGCAGCAGACAAGAACAACCCTGGTCACATCCAAAAGTGTGGTTGAGTAAACCTTGATCGTTCCAATACTCGTGGCAATGACGGCTGTCAATTTTTGGTTTTTCTCTCCGTTCATGCCCTTTGTCGCTAGCCGTAATCCATGCAATGGAATTGGTGCCGCATCTAGAGTCCGTTGTGCATTTCTTTCTGCTGTTCAGCAGTATACACTTGGCTGTATCGTACCTGATAGCTCCATTGCTTATCAAGAAGCGGATCCTTGACAGTCTGTCGTTGGACGACCGTATATCTGTTTCTGAAAAGTAATCTTTGTCCTTGTATAACAGTATGCATTCTGCCCGATACCTCTGCTGGATTGAAATGAGTATTGTCTTTTAGTCTGGCTGTGGGTGGTATTCATCTTGCATTGCAAATGACATCTGCTGGTACATCCTCACTGCTAGCAAAAGCAATCTGGATTGACTGCTCTGCAGTTTACTTGAATTCATCCCAACTTTCAAGTCAACTCGATACTATTTAGAAACTTACTATTATTTCAAAATATCCTCATCTCACTTTAGGGTATGCTCTAGCGTGAATAGCATCATCACAGGCTGGGTAGGATTTTGGGTACTTTTTCTTAAACCACAGTTTGTTGGTAAACAACTGTTCCATAGCTATCCGCCAATTCTGGACACTGCCTTTTCGATGTATCTTGGATATACGCTGTATGATCTGATCACCATGTCATTTCAAAAGCATCATTGGACAATGTGGCTGCATCATGCCATGGTAATAGTTTAAAAACAATATGCTATTTGATTCAAATCCAGCTTGATTCATGTCTAACTCGAAATTCAACCCATTATGCCTATACTCAGGGAGCTTTGGGCACAATTGTCATGCTCGTCTACAAAACTGGCGCAATTTATCCATGTTATCTCATGATTACAGAATTTACAGCCATCATCAATAATGCACTGTGGTACGTCAAGAAAATTCGAGATGCAGATGTTGCTGAAAATGAGCGATTGAAGACTGCTACCATGCAAGAGCGTTCTCAATATCTTCGTCCGCCACCTTCCTTGTTGTATGTGCGTCTTATGCATATTAGAGCGTGGGCTTTTGTATTTCTGAGAATTTGGGTCGGGCCCTATGCATTTTGGATATCATCAGCTGGGGTGGGCGGCTGGCGGCCACTATTGAAAGAATGGATAGCCCTGCCATTACCAGCTTCCGTCTTTGGCCTACTCACGTTTGTAATGTTCACGTTTTTAAATTTTGTTTGGACGCCTGCAGTATTCGCAAAAGCTTTCCAGGCATCAAAAGCTTACAGAGATGGTCAAGCCAAGAAACAAAAATAAATGACCAAATCTTTAAAACATAACACAATCAACTTTTTACTAGATCGTTAATGGAAGCTGTTTGAAACCATGTTCAGAAAATGTCTAGTTTGAAAATTTGAACTTTCACATGCTACTTTGTGTAAACCGTCAAACTTTTAATGACTCGGTTCTATGTGTGGTTTGTATCAATCGCTTCCAAGATATTAGCAGCAAGAAGGTTTGAATTAGTACACTACAAGTAAAGGCTGAATGAATACCTCGAGGTCGTGTTTTTGGCTGTAGTCGGAGTCTAAAGTCGGAAACTACTCAAAAGCTACTAGTGCATTCAAAACTACAACTCCGAACAACCATTTTGGTCAGCAATCGAACCTCCGATATTTAATAAATCCAGTTTGTCTGCCTGACCACTAGTTTACTCAACCTTTTGTCCATACTTTCCATTTATTTCAGCCTTGATTGTCAAGGAATTTGCAATGTTCGAGTCCTTGTATACATCTAAAGCAAAAACCGATTTCAAACCCACCGTTCTTCCTAGTATGACTAAAAGAGTATCCATAAGACCCACACTATCTAATATATTTAGACCACTCTTGGGCTTGGCCAGTTCGTCCAGCGAATCAAATCTAGATTCCAATCAGCAGTCAATCCCAATCAGCCCCGACGACGATACAATCCACAATATTATTAGCAGCTATTACGTGGCTCCAAATACTGCAAAACCAATTCAATCCAACAATGCTACAATCGATGAACATAAATCACCTTTTGGTCCTTTTTTGACTGGTCTACAAAAAAGGACTGTGAACAATGCAGGAGTACCTGATTTGGGTATATCTAATGATGCGACCTGCCAATCAGACTCGTCTTTGCCTTCTCCACCCATCCAGACACCTGTTCGTCGTCGTGCAACAACCAACACGGTCAACACTAGCCACTGCGCCATTTCATCCACTTCCAGTATTGCGCTGGCGAATAGTCTCGAATACGCGACAAGCCAATCCAAAGCTGATACGCAAACTCCGCCATTGACTACAAAGAATGCTCAAGTGGTTCCTATCGTTACAACTCTGACTCGAACCAGATCTACAAAGTCTCCGCTTGCACCCATATCCCCCAATGCAATCCTGCCTACTGGAGACTTGGTTTTGATGTGCATCCCTTCATCCACTTGCATTGATCCTCGCACATCCTTTGCAGTCCAAGCAAAGCATCTCAAAATAATCCAAGGCACAGATAGCGAGGGACGCCAAGAAACCCGAATTTCTTGCACCAAACCCAACTCGGTTTTAAAATATCAGTGCTGCAGTGTTCCCGCTTCCATTGGGTCAGTGGGTTATTTTTCAAATAGATTAGACAATTGTGCTATGGTATTGATCTATACAACTTGATCCAACATCTGTGATGGGTTGTATTAACACGTTCAATTCTGCATGTATGAATTTGCTTATTATAGATGTTGTGGGCTTTGTGATCCTCATAATTGGATTTATCAAGGTTCGGAATACAATCCAGTCATTTCACGACTTTACGCTAATATGGATGGATGCATTCCTTCCTCGGTAAAACTGACTGCCCCCAAATTCATCATTCCGTGGAGGTACAAGAACCGCAAAACAGGTGCTGTAAGCTGGAAAATCATTCACATGTGTGGTGACAATATTCAAGACGCAGAATGGTGAGTTATTTCAAATTGAATCTTTCTCAAAAAATATTCTGGGTTTTTCAAGTTTTTGCTCTGCTATGCTTACATGTCAAATACCTATGCAACATGTGCTGATTGACATCTGTTTTTTGAGTAGTGAGACGATTGTGGTAAATATATACCGTGATGATAAGCTGAGGAAATTACTCGAGAGTGTAGAACGCGAATCACAAAACCTGCGTGATGCAGAGCTTGTTGAGTATATTCTGGCAGTGATTCAAGAGTTGATGGGAACCTATGGTTTACCAGGTGGAGCAACAAGCACACAAGCCGATACAAGCTTGTTTAATCAAATGCAGCAGTAAGTAGTAAAACAAATGACATTGAACATATGGAGTCGTGTATTTGAACCGTCCTGTCGATTGTTACTAAATTCAAGGCCTCAATCTAACACATGGTGTATGAAATTGAAAATAGACAGGGACATAATTTTATGCTATTGATGGATATCCGTATTGGATTGTGTCGTCACAAGGCATTGTTGTTCAAGATTCTTGGTGACACGACTGGACTGGACTGTGCCTTGGTTACCGGTTACAGTACAGGCGGACGACATCAGTAAGTTATTTGATTCAACCCATGCTTTTTTACATTTATTTATCATCTATATTTTTGTATCATTACCTGTGTTTTAGATGGAACGTTGTGACATTGTCTGATGGCGAATCCTACATTATTGACCCGACTTCACCCCATTTTACTTGGACCAAGCATGGTAGCTACCGTACAAAAGCGTATCGAGTGTCTGCTGATATGTCATTTGGTCATAGTGGTCTGACGCTTAAGATGAAGGGTGTTATTTGATAACAAAGTAGTAATAATAAACATAGTTCATGTGGTATGTTGCCAAATCTGTAGATAAAGAAAAAAACATGTAGCGAATAGTGCTAGGGAATATCAGAATGCAGAAATTCGTTCATTTATATAATGCCGAGTGCATTTTGAGAGATCACCGTAAACAGTGAGCATATCATTTGAATGGCTACACGATATCAAGTCCGAATAGTTGGAGGAAAAGCATCTCAGACCTTGCGCTTGTAAATTCTATATATAAATGTGACGAGTAGTAAGAGCACAAGGTCAGATTGACAATCAAACAGTTCAGGGATATTCAATATTGTAAATACAGTACCTGTTCATAAAGGTCACAAACATATCACGAGGAATAAGCCCATCTTCAATCTTTTCAATAAGCACCGAAATGCGTTTGTAGCTTTCTTCTTCGTACTCGTGATAAATACGCTCAATCTCGAGTTCTTTGTAAACGTTTTTTACAATGGCTACCGAATCGGCATTCTTTTTTCCGTAGCATTGCTACAAATCAGAAACGATAGTGTTTAAAGTGAGTATAAAAGAATGATTAGCACCATAAGCGTATGCTCGAGTATCTCGACGATGGGTGAAAATCCAACTTACATCAAGAAGTGTACGCTGTTCGGGAGAAGCACGAGAAAGTGCTTGAACAATTAGCCATCCACATTTGTTGTCTTCAATATCGGTACCAATCTTTCCAATGGTTTCAGGAGTACCATAACAGTCCAAATAGTCGTCCTGAACTTGGAAATATTCACCAAGAGGAAGGAGAACATCACGGGCCTGAATATATGCACGCTCTTCGGTGATTCCAGCAAGACGCATAGCAAGAGCAATTGGAAGGTAAAACGAATAGTAGGCAGTTTTGAATTCAACAATATAAGCATGCCTAGAATGGTATAGTCGTATTTGACAGGATTGTCCATGGTAAAGAAATTAGCATTGGGTTGCACCAATCGTTCAATAACTAGATTGTACATGTTTACCAAGTAGACTACATACTTTTCAATTGAAAAACGGTCAAGATCGACATCGCCTTCAGGGGCAGTGATCAAGTCCATAAGCTGACCAAGCTCGGTCTGATAGGTAACCTCGTGAAAGAGTTCAAGAAAATCACCATAGGCAGGATGAGTTTTAAAATACTTTTTGAGCATCTGATAGATGGCTGCCTCGACAATAAAACTGTCGTTGATGGCAACCATACCAACATTTTCCTAAAAACTCGCAGTAGATTAAATTTTGGTAAATATAGAATACAATACAACACAGTATGAATCAAGAGTTTACTTTTTTGTACCAGCATGGTTGGCCACGACGTGTGAGCGATCCGTCCATGATATCATCAGAGATCAAAAAGAATGCTTGCAACTAAAGAAGAATGAGTGCATGCATCAAGTTTACACACCATTGTGGTTAAAAATGATTCTATAGGTGAATATCAACACTGAGCATCAGCTGGTGTTAGCCTATTGACTCTACAACTTACAAACTCAATACACCATCCAAGAACTTGTGATTGGAAAAGCTCATCAGCTGTAAGTTCTCTCTTCAAAATTGATTCAAGAGCGGAAGGAACAGTGAGCCCACGGTTCATCTTGCCTATGTAGCATGAATACAGTGTTCAACAAACAGGTATACAAGCAAGCCAACAAAGCAGTGCATCGATCATACCTCCAGGAACTGTAGCATCCAACATGTTGCGGATCCACTGCTTGCCATTCTCTGGCAGTCTATACAAGGCCAAACCATCAAGAAGATCCTTGGAAATAACATCATAAGTAGCCATGAAGGAATCACGTTCAGTCCTAGCCAGCTTGATTTTTTTAGCCAGCTGTTGATTAGTATTAAGATCGGCTTGCTGAGAGAGTAGCATTGCGGAGCGAGTGAGGTTGTGATGGAGTGGATAGCGGGTAACAGTAGTGACTGGCAAGAGCAGGGTAGTCAAAGGACAGGTAAAAGAACGACACAGCAGTAACCGGCGGATCATGAATTCATATTAAAAAGGTTTCTTGATGATTCTTGCTTGTTCAAGCGAATCCATCCTAACATTAAACACATCGACTTAATTTTTAAACTGATTCATTTGACATTCCATTTTATATCTTGCCATCATAATGACGAACCATGACATCTTTTGTAAAATCATTGAATGTCTTTTCTGGAGTAAGCTTGTAATCAACATTGGGCTATGTTTACAATTCAATTAGTCAACTGCATTCATAATTGGCAGTAATGATGTTCATCGAGGTTTACCTGCATAAAGACTGCAAATGTGTTTCGTGCAAGATCGGGATAAGCTGCTCCACGAACCAAATGGGGTGTAGCAACCAGCAGGCCACGACTGCCGACTTGTGCAGCCTCACCAATTTGAAATGCCAAACAGTCGGCTGGAATCTTGACCTGAACAAATTCCCCACCACGACCTTGGATGTAAAGACCTGCGGGTCCAAGTGCTTCTGCTACCTCGGGATTGGATTTGTCTGCCTCCTTGAACTCTCCATTGGACTCGTCAAAGTACATGGCGCTGGTTAGACCCGTCAGCTAGATGCCACGAGATGTGTAAATAAGCAGAATGTATAGCCTTTAAAAATATGTCGCTGTAACTCACCATACTGTGATCAATGTGCAAACCGCACCACGAATCAAGATTTCCACCATCTGGAGTAGGAGCGGCAGACTTGGCATCAATGGGAAAGTAGTGCAGCAAACGTGCCTTGATTGTGTCCGACTTGTCAATGGCTTCATGCATGAAATGAGCTGGAAGGTCGGGATACTTTTCGACCAAAAACTTGTCGCAGTGAATACTAACGAGTTTTCCTACTTCAACAATGAGTTGACCAAGCTGTAGATAGTATGTTAAGCTACTTGGTTTCAACGTGAGAGCCAATACAGAATTCAAACATCCCAAATCACGATACGCTAAATCACTACATATTGATTCACCTCCATGAAGGCTTCACGAAGCTCAGGTAGCTTTTCTGGCCACACATTGGGATAGCCATATTCAGGGAATTTAGCCAGATAGTCGCTGTTGGTAGACATGGGTGGAACATCCCTAATAGGATCTGAGAGTTTCCAAAACATGTGTTAGTATCATCTACCTGAAATTAGAATACTAGCAAGTTTGAGATGTGTATAGGAAAAGCAAGACCATGGCAGATCAGTTGTGAATAGATGGAAAATGCACTTTTAGATGATGACCAATGCCAGAGAAATGGCTACTGAATCAGACTTACTGTTGTAGTAAGATCCTTTGGCAGTATCAGGCTTGCCATTCATAATCTCTTTGCCATGAGACCATCCAAACAGATATGATGACTTGGTGTGGGTCACAGCCTGTAACTGCTCCTCTGGCAGAGCAGCAAACACCGATGCAAGGCGTAGAAGACGCTGACGCATGGCAGCAAATCCCTACACCACCCAATACAACCGATCGTGAAAGTGGAAATGTGTATCAGCAAATATCCATGTTGAATATATCAAGTCTTTACAGTGCACTCGAGTGATCTTGAAACTTACAGGGACATTCTTGACAAAACATGCACCCAGGCATCCAGGAGAACTACCAAAAGCTTCTGCTATGGCAGCAGACAGGTTTTTTGAAGAGTCTTTAATGTCGTTATAATCAAGAAGAACCTATTCACAAGTAAAACCCATGTTTACAAATCCAAATGTAAGCTACGAATAAAACTACACTTGTGTTGGCCCTGGCAAGCCAGCTCAAACAGCATAAGCAATATTCTAAAAACAATGTTATAGCTGGGTGTTGACACAGGACGATCAACTCACAACAGCTGGGGCAGTCATAGTGAAACTTGAGGTAAGTTGCAGATGATGTCAAGGAGTTTATTCAATACTCGAGATGCTCAATGCATTCAACCAGTCAAAGCATTAATCTTGTCTGATAGTCAATGCTTAGCATTCAAAAACGGCATATGACTCACATGCACATGACCATCTGGTGCTCACAGCTTGCTGATGTAAATATGCTTTGGATGCAATTCACCAAGCACACTGGTAAAGTCGGATCCTGCTATAAGCATATTCCAGCAACTCACTATGCCACACTGCACATGAGCGACATTCTCATTCATGCTTGATGAAAGCTTGTTTCTCCACTCGACTACTTTATTGATTGGCAGCAAACTCGAGCACTTGCTGATATCTGATGCTCTAAATTAAAGCAAATTTCAACGGCAAAAGGGATGCTCAAAGGCAATCATTTGATAACCCTAGGCAACTCTATCCATGCCATAACTCCCTCTATCCTGAGCATTCTCGTTAATAGGGATGGCCATTAATTATGCACGTCCGTAACAATTGAATCAACTTTAATTCAAGGCTTGTAGAGTCAATTTACAAGTCAATTCAAGAATCCCTTGCTGTATATCAAAGGGCCAACATTAAAAGCTAATTTTATCCTAATTAACTTTTTACATTCCCACAGGCTTAGGACATTCAGCAATCCCTTATTGCTGTTGGCCCTTGATATAGTTGAATCAGTAAAGGGCTGCATGAAGCATGCATTAGGCAACGCCTCAAGATGTTATCCTACTTTAACTAGCTTATTCACTTATATTTTATAATCATTATCTTTAGCAATCAGTTCCGTGCGGGCACTCAGATACGTCACGCAGCTCAAGCTCTCTCTAAATCGTATTGTCCAACACTTGAATCAGCCAATACACGACAAAGTTCTTGCAGCAGTAAGAGTATTGTCAGCATAAAATCAGCTCCATTATCAACTACTAGCCATTTGCTTGTTCCAACGTCACTCTACAAGCGCTTTTTGTATAATAATCGTTGGCCTGTAGTAGTAGCAATTACATTGACTATAACAATAACCTTCTTTCCCACTGGTACGTCAAACAATCCACAGACATCGAATTTGTGGAAATCTGTGTTTGGAATAGAAACCCAGCCAACCTCGAAACAAACTCAAGAGTCGCCATCTGAACAGATAGGAATTACCAACACTTCAGAATCTACTAAAGGATTACATTCGATCGTATCTACGGATTGCTCAGAATACTCGACCACGCTAGCGATTGCTACATCGACTGTACGAAACAATCCCTTACCGACTTCTGCAATGACATCGTGGTTTACCTACAGTAACTTCAAATCTACCGGATCTGCAGTTGCCAATACTGTACAACCCCAAGACACTACACACTACGAGCCGCTTTCTCCAGAAACTCCTAGTACATTGACGGCTCCTGCAATGAAGCCACTTGCTCATGTGCTTCCTTTTGATACTTCCGAGTTGGCAAGCCTGCAACGCCCTGCAACGATCAAGCGCAGCTCCGTCCTGATTGCTGCTGCCAATAAGCACCCCTTGGTGCCTTCTAGCAATACTGCTGCTGAAGATGGATCTTTCAACCACACATTTAGTCCATCTCTCCCACAGGAGCATCGTCACCATGCCCGTCATCTACGCAAACCATCACTACAGGATCATGCACATACTAGTCAGAACAGCATATTGCTACAAACCCTTGAAGCCGCACCTCGTGCAGCAATTGCCTGTGTGTCCCTTTCTGCTGATGGATCGATGGTCCTGGCTGGTGCTAGAGATGGATCTATCCATATCTGGTCTGTTGTGCATCCACAGTCCATCACTGCAGAATCAGACCCCAAACCATGTCATACCACGGATGTCCAATATAGAGAGCAATCTGACCCAGCTTGTTTAAACACTTTTGGTAAACATAGGGTGTTGGTGGGACATGCCAAAAGTGTTACTTGCATTCATTCTGTTGGTGCGGTGTTGTTTTCCACCAGTGAGGATGGGACTGTCATGATTTGGGATACAACAGATGGAAGTCTGGTTCGTACTATTCGTGCTCATTCAGGCTTTGCCACTGCAGTGTGTTCTGCTCAAGGTTTGGTCTACACTGGTGGTGCTGATTCCCTCATTAGTGCTTGGAGTCCTAAAACTGGACGTCGTAAATGGGTAATGCCTGGTCACACTGGCTGGATCACTGCATTGGAAGCCGCTCTCGAACATCCAAATCGATTGTATTCCTCTGCAACGGACTGTACAATCCGTATTTGGGACACGGAGAGTGGACGAGTGCTACGAGCATTGAGTGGTCATAGTTCGTGGGTCCATTCAATTGCTGTTACTCGCGACTTCATCTATTCAGGTTCTCGTGATGGAGAGATCAAGACTTGGAGTGCAACGACTGGTGATTGTTTGAGTTCATTTATTGGTCACGATGGTAATGCTATTCATAGTATTACTGTTGCCAATCATCAGATTGTATCGTGTGGTCAGGATGGATGCATTGTTTTGTGGGATTTGGAGTCACAGGTTCCTGTAAAGGTTGTCAAGGCTCATTCGTCTGCTGTCACATCTATCAAGACTGCTGCAAATGGTTCAATTTTAGTGAGTGGTTCCCTAGATTCTGCTGTCAAAGTATGGAATCTTGCAGCTCTAGCCATCGACGATCATGAAAGCCAAAGTTCCTCTCTCAGTGAAATTTCTTTTCCAACTCCTCCACTCTCACCTAGATCCTCGTTTGGATCATATCGGCGATCTTGGTCTGCTGCAGGATCATATCTTGGTTCCAACTCTCAATCTCAGTCCCCTATACTATCGCGCGAACTGCCCGGTGTACCCCCTCTGCAGATCCGCACTACATTCGACACAGATAATCAGATGCGCCTCACTTATAGCCAGAAACGCAGCTCGTATACTGGTTCGTTGGCTAGTTCGCAAAATGAGTCCATTGTGAATTCATATACACATTCATACACTTTGCCTGCACATGCATCGTCCCACACTACAAATAACTTGTATAGTGAGGTGTCTACCCAGAGACTACGAGATCAACTTACTAAAGCTCACGAGCAATTATCTCATCACGACAGGGTAAAGCTTCAATTGAAGGGAGAGCTATCTACTTTACGCACCATTCTTGCTCAGTCCAAGTCGGAGATTTCGGATTTACGCGGTCAGTTGGAGCAGGAACAACAAGTGTCAAATCAACTAAACGAAACCAAAAGTTCTTTGGCCTTGGTCAAGATGGAACTCAATGCAACTCGTTTTGGGTACGACGGAGCTCTCTCTTGGATATTCCAGCAAGTGCATCGACAGTTTCTCGCGTCAGAGATTGAGCTTCATTCCATCAATCGGCTACTGCATCACCCATACACGAACCTACTGGATGATTTGGCAAATGATGAACACACCCAACCTCCTGAGCGCAATTGGGAGTTTGATTCTGATTGGGATTCTGATACTGATACGGGTGCCAACTCTCCATGGTGGCGGACAGAAATCTCTCCCCATACACCTGCATGGTCAAAAAAAGCAATTCTTTGGCCATATTTCAGTGCTCCTATTGAAGAATTAGAGGATGATCAAAAGCAATCTTTCACTTTTGACTCTAGCAAGCTTCCATCACAGTCTGTTGTATCTCCACATCTAGATCGCTCTCAAACTGGTTTATCAGATTTGCAAACGAGTCAAAAACTTCTTTCTAGTTGGGAACAGTCCAGCACATTGCCTCCACTACCGAGCAATTCTTTGGTACATATTTCTAAAAACTCCGTGGCAGGAGCTGAATCCTCCTTGGTCTTACTGGCTGCACATGTTCCCGAGACGACTGGCTCTTCTCAAAGCTATATGCCACCTCAAGGCTTTTATGAAAGCAGTGACTCAAACTCTGTTTCAACACGTAGCTTGTCCTCAAACAATTCATTGTCTGATGCTATAGAGTCCAATCACACTACTCGAAACTTTTCTTTTTCGGGTCTCAAAGCTTCCAAGAAAAATGCGATTGATGTAGATGATTCTCTGGCCTCTGTCCAAGTTAAGCGAGCTAGTGTTCGAAATTCTGTCTTTTTAACTTCTTCGTTGCAACCCTCAACTTGGCTTCAGCCATTTCAATCTTTGATGGGATTCAGCGATACCAAGTTTATTCAAGACAACGGGTCTCAGACAACTCACAGAAGCGAGCGCGACGAATCACAAAGCGCAGCTTCTACTAATGGAATCGAGCGACCCATGGCAACTATACACCGTAAGAAGAAGCCCAAACGCCCTGCTGCGATTGTCAAGGTGAATACTAGTGAGGTATACCGTTTTGATGAGGATAAAGTCGATACTGCACTTTTTAGTGATGACAAGTCCTCTACACCTGAAAACGATGTGGATCATGCAAAGCAGCCTCTTAGATCCTACTCGCGTACTTCTCGCTCGCATTCGACCCAGTCTCGCAAATCTGGCGCAGATTTAATCACTAGTAGTACAGCCACTACAACAGAGTGGAAAAAGGATCCGCACACTGTGCAGGTCTTGGAAGACTTTCTTAATGATCAGGGCAATATTTCTGATATTGAATTCAAGGGTCCTGCTCGTGTTGCACGAATTCCGGCCAGACCACGTAGACACACCATTTTAGATGGACTTGTTCAATATATAGAGCCTTCACCTGTTTCTTCGCCAGCATCAAGTAAAATCAGCAGTAAACGCTTGACAGCTATTCCATCACGCAGATCATTCCAATACACTCCAGGTAGTTGTGCATCCGATGCATCCGATACATCGCCATCAAATCGCTACTTGCCTCTCTACACAACTTCACCCAAACAATCTGCTGGGTCCATTGCGTCGGATCGAACATCCACTTTAGAGCGCATGGCAAGCAATGTCGAGTCTGTATTAGAATCTGCACTTGATAACTCGTGGGGATTGCTTCCTGGATGGTTAAAATCTGGCAAACCTTCACCAAAAGAATTGAGATCTGGTTAAAATGCAACGCGTCACTTTTACCTTGATTAAAGTGAATGGTATAACATTTTTAACCCGCCCTCTCCACTGCTACTGAGTTATATAGTCTAATTTTCATCTCCTTTTCAACATCATTACACTACTCGTATACTTTTCCCAATAATGAATAATCCATCTGATATAAACGATTGTTTGAAATTGAAGAGATGGATAGTAATGAGGTCAAAGACTGAGCATAGCTAGAAACTGTATAGGATAAAGTACAAGATCATCAATGTGGAATCATTAGATTGATCGCACTAACAACTGCTGATTCAGCACATTTTAAACTTTAAACAACCTATGCCATGTGCTTACTAAAAGCCTATTTTGTTTATTAGACAATCCAGACTAGTTGCTTCCATTTTATCTTGAACGTCCACGCACATGTCATGTTTTAGTAAAAATGAGCAACTTGATTGACCATTAAACTGATGAATGGTAATCCATAAGCCATCGCATCGCCTTTGCGTTTCAGATTCACGTAGTACTTTCAAATAAATCCGGCTTGATAGAATAACTTACAGATTCTTTTGATTGTAAAGAAAGCTCAGCAGCCTTCATTCCAAAACGAACAATCCTAGATAGTTCCGACATTGTGGTACCTTGTAAATCAAGTGGATATGGCAATGATGCCAATCCGGTAAGTATTGTGCCCACCATACTATCCCCAGCACCTGTAACACTGATGATATGATTGACAGGACCTTTCACTTCCAAACAAGCCATTTCACAACTGTACTTTCCGGTACTCGTTGATTGAACTCTTTTTCCAATCATTACGCCTTGTGGTCCACGCTTAACAATCACCAACTCGAACGCTTTCAACAGATTACCAATATACTTGGCGATCGAGTCTAGACATATTTGTAGAAAACAAGATTAGCATTATAACTCATAATGTCATTACAGTTTACCTAGTTACCTGAATCTGGTGCTAGCTCAACCACTTTGAATACGCCATCGACATCAGATACCTTGTCAAGAGCATTGCTCATTGCAACAAGCTCATCATCATTTGGTGTAACAATCTGAACCTGAGAAATCAGATTTGCTGGAAGATCAAACAATTTGCGAGATTTTACAACTGATGTTGGTTCAAAGCATACCAATGTATCCGATGTTTTGGTAGTCTCTAGCAATTCTTTTAGCAAAGACACGGATACATTGGCATCGACACAGATAACTGAGGGTGGGTTTTCTTGAATTGTTTTCCAAACTTGGCCATCAATGGATATCTGCTCATGGATTTTCATGTCGGAAACTGCAGCAAGCAGCTCGCCGTCTGGCTGTAGGAGTGCCGTGTAGGTGGCAGTGGAAGATCCTTGAATAGCCTTGACAAATTCCGAATTCTAGAATTCAATGAATAGCACCCCAATACACACAATAACGTTGAATGGTACTGATATCCTTGCCAGTCACAAAATCGGTCACTTACCATTCCAGAATCCTCAAAAGCAGACATGACTTGTTTTCCAATGGCATCATCGCCAACAGCACTTAGAAACCGTGGACGACCACCCGATCGACAACACGCTTTAGCAACATTGAGACCAACTCCTCCCAGAGATTGGTATACCGATCCAGGCGTAGATGTACGCATGATTTCATTTTTGTTTGACCCAGCATCAAACTTGGCCGAAATGTCCAAAACAGTTCCCCCAATAATAAGCGGTGTATGTAACCCTGTTTTAAGAGTGTTTGATGAAGAGATGGAGTTGGATTTCTGGCAATACTGTTTGCTGGCCTCGACCGATTTTTTGTGTGACAAAGCACGAGCAATATCACTTCCAATTGCTGCATTATTTTTTACAAGACTAATGTCTAGAATAACACATTGAATAAATAAGCATTGAACCAAATCAAAAGATCTATGCATTGCAAAAATATTGAAACACAATTGCCATCAAATCACTCACTGGCTGCCAATGACATTCCACCCGTCAACGTTTTGACCTTGTCCAGTAAAAACGGTGTAATGTCCTTGCCGCGCACTCCACGTTGACTATCCAATTCAAATAGTTGAATGTATCAAAACACATGATTTTGAATGCAATTGAATGAAAACTCCTTACTTTGCTTCATGAATCGCATCTTGAATGACCTTTTCAAGACGATCTGGATGTGGGTATGCGTCCTTTTCAGGAATTGGAACTGCAATCACAAGACCGCTGTTGAGTCCAAGTGATAAGTTTGCATCTGTTTATTACATAATGTACACGCAAGATTAGCCCTGTATACAATGTGACCATTCAACGCACATTGACCCAACTTACAAATCATATCAGCACACTCTTGAGGAGTAGTCAGGTTTGCCATACTCTAATGGACAGTCTTGTCAGTGAGATCTGTAATGGATGAACGAATTTAAACTGAAATTGATGCTCACCTTGAATCCACTTTTACGAGTGTAGAATGCTGGAAAGTCGTCAGAATCGCCATACGAAACAACTGTAACACCTTGTGTTTCCTAATCATCCATGCAAGACAAGATTGGATCAATTTGTTTAATCGTGTTAAAACAACAAATCAATACGATTGCATACTAGATATTCTAGTGTTCGACCAATGTCCAGAATAGATTTGACACCAGCAGAAATGACTGCGATGGGAGTGCGACCCAGCTCGGTCAGATCAGCACTGATATCCATAGAAGACTCGCTGCCTCGATGCACACCACCAATACCGCCCGTAACAAACACGTCAATACCCGCCTTGTGAGCCGCAATCATTGTTCCAGAAACCGTGGTGGATCCAGGCAGATTGCGACCCAGAACAAGAGCCATGTCCCTGCGAGAGGTTTTTGTAGCATCGAGACCAATCTTGGCCAATCGTTCAAGATCAGACCCGTCCAGTCCTAATGATTCATGACAATTGTATAAATCCGTTGAATGAGTAGCTGACATGAATGCAATGAATTATCTTGCATACTAGACATCACACCTATTCTTAATTGTCCATCCAGCAGTGCAATGGTTGCAGGAACACATCCATGCTGTCTCACAATGGTTTCTACTTCAATGGCAGTTTCAAGGTTTTGTGGAAATGGCATGCCATGAGTGATGATGGTGGATTCCAGTGCAACAACTGGCCAACCCTTGCCAAGTGCCTGTTGAACGGTATCACTAATACGAGTGATGGTGTTATGAAAGGATCTGACTGTATAAAAAGTGCCATGAGTGCATGGCATGAGTTTCCTGTAAGGATTGGTCATACGAAACACTCTGGATAGAGACTGTTGCTGGATCATCCATGCTGCCATTGTTGATCTTGTAGTCAACCTCAACTCACTTGCTTTATAAGCATTGAATGTGTTTTTGAACCCCATCGTTGTACAATCTCCTGCCATGGTCATCCACCAATACATTGTCCCTCCTAATCAACTCCTGGAAAAGCTTAAATCCAAACTGATTATTCAATTTCATGTCATTTATTATGTTGATACTAGTAATTCACGAGGCATCATCTTCAGTAATTAAATTTGTAAAGATCTCGTCTAGAGTCGTTTGACTGATGCCCCAGTTCTGTATACCATATCGAGAATGTTCTCGAGCCATGGCATCAAATACAAATGCTAATTCCTGGGCTTTAGGAAGAAACACATATACACGTACATTGTTAAATGTTTGGATTCGCTTGAACTCGCAGTTTGGTAAAAGTGAGTTGAGAAACTGTTCTGCACTGTCAAGTCGATGGTATTCACCATATATAGAAAGTTTGTATCCAGATCCATAGCTGTCTTTTAAAGTTGTTGTGGATCCTATACATCGCATTGTGCCTTTGGCCATAATACCAATGCACTGACAGCACACTTCTGCTTCTTCCATAGAGTGCGTTGTCTAAATACAATCGTATGATTCCATAGTACAATTAATATAGATTTACTTTTAGTCTCGAGTCAAACCATGGATTCGCAAACCCTACATACCATAAGAATAGCGCAATTTCCTCGTGCACGAGCAATCACATCCCATACAGTACGTCTTACTTCAGGATCCAATCCAGTCTACATTTGAACCAAGAAGGGTTAAAATCAGCCTCAAATTCAATAAAAATCCATTGTTTCTATGGATCTCGTTCTCATCTAGCACACATGGTTTTACTTACAGTAGGCTCATCTAAAAACACAACTTTTGGGTCTGCAACAAGAGCAATAGCAATACTTAATCGACGCTTTTCTCCACCAGAAAGGTTCTTTACACGACGACTCCGCATTGTCTCTAATTTGACAAGCTCCATTGCAGCGACTACTGCTTCACGCTCAAACTCTGGGAAAACTCCTTTGAGTCTAGCATAGAAAAAAAGATGCTCGTCTACCGTAAGATCGTCCCATAAAATATCAAACTACAAAAAATTAAGTCGAGTTAAATAAAACAATCTTGCAAGATTACAAATGCTCATCAGATTGAATTCAGACATGATTGAACTAACTTGAGGACAAACACCAATCGAACGAAACGCGGCATCGGCATCTTTGATAATATCATGTCCACCAAGAGTGGCATTTCCAGTGGTAGGCTCGTATACTCCAGTTAAAATACTAATCAAGCTTGTCTTTCCAGCACCGTTAGGTCCCAACAGTCCAAACACAGTATTGTTCTCAACGGCAAGAGTGATGTTGTTAACAGCAGTCTTTTTTTTACCAGACTCATTGGTATATTCTTTAACCATGTTGCGCATGACAAGCGGAGCATCTTTTTCATATTGCTCATTCAATACCCGTATACGCTCAGCACGGACATCTTCGTTTTCGGTAGACACAACATTATGATCCAAAGTGTGCGTATATTCCTTTAATCAAAAATAATGTTAGCCAACAACCCTAAATTGATATGAAAATAATGCATAGCTTATACAGTTTTCATGAAACATACATCGTCAATTTTTGAGAGTTTTGGAGCAGATGGCTTCATATACTGAGTGACAGGATAGTGCCACGGTTTGTTGGAACCAAACTCTGACTTTATGACATTTCCAAGATATACAGAAAGCAGCAGGTAGGCAAAGATTTCGGCAAAAAGCGTCATGACTGCAGTAAAAACTTCATCTCCAGGAACAAGTCGTGATACAGAGTATGGCTATCAAAGATGTGTTCAATTGATTAAATCCAGAATCAGTAAACAAGTCTACACGACAAACAGGATTACATGAGAATATCAAACCACATACAGTTTGTTGTGAAGAAGTTGCAGCATTATTCAACACTCCAAGTGCACGGTAAAACGCAAAAGGTGGCCATACAAACAAAATGGTCGGAAAAGAACTGCTTCCAGAAAAAACCTCGTCAAGAATAAAAGATGTCACAACACCACAGACCACAATCAGAAATACACTGACTGTATTCAAGCACAAAACAAATCAGTACCAATACATTTTCACCACACTCCAAAATATCTAGCCGAGTATTCATGACCACCTACTTAGAGCAAAGCGCGATTGACGGAAAAGAGAGTTGAAGAACATGGAAAGAGTGACTTGAATATTTCCCCAAAGAAAAAACAGGATTGCCAAAAGAAGAGGATCTGTTTTGGAAAAAAGCTCAAGCGAGGTTAAATAGCCACTGACCCAAAAAATGGCCGTGGACACCAAAAATGTCAAAAAGAAAGTGATGTATTCAGATAGGTAGTAGGCTGCTGGACTACCGAGTCCATTCTAAAACATGCAATGCGCAGAAAATTAAACAATTCAAGTATTAGAATATAGAAATATACAATAACATTGAGTTGAAAAGTGCAATGTGGCAGCTTACCATACGCATCATTGTCACAATCTTTGACTCCTTGTCACGAACAAGAGAGATGGTGAAAATAGGTAAAAGAAAAGAAATACCCAAAGGATATAAAATGCGTCCAATGATTGAACCAAAGGGAATGTCAAAGGAAGGTTTGGCTAGAAAGGGAAAGTTTCGGAGTCCCTGAGTGATAACAGTGCTTGCCAATTTGGGAGATGAGAATCGAACAATAGCATTGCTAAGTTGAGCCTGTTGAAGCAACATACGAAGACCTGCCAAGGGGAATCCAGGAGTTCGTTCCAGTCTCTGATCTTTACCAACTTGAAGGATATAAGAGTATTTCTTGTTTGAGTGATCCACGGTTTTGAATCCAATCCCAGCATAGGGCACGTTTGAATATGCCTTGTTTAGATTTCCAAGAACCAACGCCATTTGAATATCAGAAGGATTTCCTTGAAGAGCCGAAGAGTCAACTCGAGCGAGGTTGGATATAGCCTGCTGAATGGTGGAATAAAACAAGGCGTCCATATCTTTTACATTGGCTGAATTTGTAATATTGAAATAAGGAACTTTTTGTGCACCACCAAGACCAGGAGGAGAAAATCTGATTTCAACATTGTATCTAGGCTCAATCGTGTCTAGCATGCCTTTTGCAGTTGATGCTGGAGTAAAGAATGTATTAGGGATCTGAGATATATCGGCAAGAAGCGGCTGTTTTGGGGAAGAGCCAATGTCATTTGGATTTACATTAGGACCAAGAGATACAACTGCCCAGGGTCGCATCTGGTATAATGCAAAAGATCGAGCCAGACTCAACGCTTGAGCTTGTCGAGCCGGATCTGCAAAGGTAAGAAGTGGTTGAAGTAGATCAAGCCAACCAGAATTGAGTTCAGAAACATACAACGAATCTTTAAATGCGTACTCTGGATGAGTAGATGTACGAGGAACACGCTCATAAACACTTTCATCATTGCGAGGATAATCTCCTCCAAACCAGTTTACACAGGGCATACCGCCAGCAACAGTAGTTGAACTAAGTTGAGAAAACACGTCCTTGGACGATAAGTCAACCAAGGATGCTCTAGAGAAATAATTGGCGTGACGTACAGGCATACTAGAATCCGCATTGGGTACCAAAGACGGAGAAGATGTAGCAATTCCAATTCCAGAAAGATTAAAAATGGGCCAGTTCTGTTCATTGATTGATAGAGCACTACTGCAATAAAGAATTTCTGGATAAACCCAAATTGAGTCATTGTTTAGTTAGTAAACAGCACACACCACCAAAGCTTAGATTTGCACAATGATTACATGATACTCACGATAATTGTTATTGCTATTGTTACTAAGATTGGCAATTGCAAACTTGAGCACAAACGAAACGAGAACCATCATAAGTGGACACAGACTGTAATAAAGATGCATGGATTGTGATGAGCTAAAATCGAACAAACCCGATTCATACACGAGTGAATTTACCTGACACAGCAAATGTTTGTAAACCATTGTCGTTGTTGGAAACTGATTGCCTTTCGTCCAAATGCACTAAATGCAAAACATGGTTAGTTTTCCTGGACATACAACACAGCGTGGTAGATGGATGTATAGCAAGAATAGAACATGTGTAGTATCGATTATCAAGAGCTAAAATCTGGAATGCAATTTATTGCACTTACCGAAATTTATATGAGCCGTGTATGTTTTGCTTGTATTGTTCTTGCCATTCGATGGGAAGTTTCTGCATAATAGACGCAGCGACACTGTTTTTACGATGTAAGCCAGATTGCGGTGGTAACGGAGGCAGATGTTTCTGGGGAGTGCCATAGGGTGTTGTAGTGTCTGCATGAGTAACATAATTGACAGCAGTAATGTGCATGCCTCGTCGTTGGGTGATTTGAGAAGTATTAAGGGGTGGGGCCATCAATGGTGGATAAGCTGGTTCGTTATAAGTATTTGTACTAGTGAATGAGAGAGCAGATAAAGGAGATGACTGTGAAGCCAGTGCCATCTGTTGTGATGAAGGAATGACCAGATTGTGAATAGGTTTTGGGGCGGCATTGGATGTGGATCCTGATGCGACATTAGCAGTTACGGTAGATAGTTTGCGATCAACTTTAGGATAGCCAAGTGTATTGTATCTCTGTAGTGGTTTAGCAGGTCTTTTTGCAAATGACATGGATCGCAATAATGGGGTTCCGTTGCTCGACGCATTCGTCTTTGCTTCTCGCTCGTTTTCTAAACGTCGTTCCTCAATGGCTCGATAGGGCAGAGATTTGTTACGACGTAAATCGGTTGATGCTCTGCTAGCAGGCTCAGTGATTGAGTTGTTGGCTGTAGCAAGACTGTTTTTTGAAAGATTGACCATTTCTGATCCGTCCTCAGAGCCACTGTCATTAAACCTGACAATGCCCTTTGTGTTGGAAGGCATTGTTTTACTGCGAGCTAAAGAAGATCCTTCTTTTGACAAGAGTCCGGCTCGAGTGACTTGCGACGGACGCAATGGACTCCCGACAGAAGGAATATTATTTGTTTTATTACTAATGGGTTGAGCAGAGTGATTATACATAGTAGCACTTCCAGCATCAGGCTCTCCAGAAAGCATCAATGGGGCGTCTCGGAAGGAAACAGTAGGTGTTCTAGCAAGCATTCCGGAACGAGCACTACTGGACAGACTGTCTACAGGAACAAGTTCAGACTGCTCCGGATCATCATCTATTCCTTGCATGCCTATCTGCAAGCCTTTGGGTTTAGTTTGATCCATTGGGATTACTAGTGTCGAGGTACGTAAAATATCAGGAAAGTTTTGGCGTTGCTTTCGAGGGCGTTTGTGCACCAACCACAACATTGTTCGTTGGGCTGTCCAGCAGTCCAATCCACTCCACCAAGCATCTCACTGCACAACACATTCATTTGAGTTGTCAACTGATATTATATATTCATAGCCAAGCCCATGATGGGAGTCTACAGAGAAAAGGTCTCTGAAAACACAACAAACATGCCATCGGAACTGGTGGCTCTACGTGCTGCCTGTTCTACTGACAGAACAAGAGACTGTGGTCCACACACTAATAGAAAACAGCAGGTGTCAAGGGTTTGGATTTATCCGTCATAGTTGTATCAAATAAAGTTGCTGTCAGTACAATCCCATCTATAAAACTCTTGATATCTGAAAACCTTGCACTTCTTACCTGCAACTGATACGTTGTGGTTGGGCCTATGTTGCAGTCCTTGCATAAGGCTCAAAATATCTGGTTTACAATATTCTACAGAAGCTGGTAAGCTTCTTGTTTTTTGTGTGAGTTCTTGATACGTGCATGTTGCATGTAAATGAACTTGAATACCACATGAAACTGCCTTGGTCAGCTCCGCGGTAAACCAGTTAAAATGATCTGGTTTTAAAATACATTGTAAAATGTCAAGTACTAGTCTAATCGATACATGTCAAGTCTATATTACCTGGATTGCGTGTAACCCAAACCAGCCCAACTTGCTTGCGATCACCAGTTAATGCATGTTGATTACGATGCATGATGGTTCTCAAAATAGACAGTAACGGTGTAATTCCAATACCACCAGCAACAAGTAAAACCGTATCTCGATCCATGACCCCATCAAACGCTCGTCCATATGGTCCATCTACAAACACACTCAATGCTCTCCTACTACTAATGAACTGATGCAACTCTTTGGTGAAAAACCCTTTTTTTCGAATAGCAAGCTCACACAACTCTGGCTTGAGAGTTTCTCGCTGTGACGGTGTAGAATCATCGGACAACCGTGAGCCTATCTCACTGTTGGCCTCCAAAAGTTCAATCGACTGTGCAGTTTCCTGCTGATTTTTAGCTGCAAAATCAATCTCGGGCGAGATTATACTGAACGGATGCCACTCATATGGAGTTATATCTGGAATCTTGATAAACACAAACTGTCCAGCCCTTGCCTTTTCCATCTTTCCTAAAAACGATGGCTGAAAGAGTGTCAGGCGGATCATATCATTATCGACAGCACACGAATCCACAATGTTGGCTGGTCGAAGTGCTCGTACAATTCGTAAAATCCGATCAAGTCCATACAGAACAGCTCCGGGTATAAAAAACTGTGGACTTTGAGCAGTATGAAAGTAGAGCAAAACCAAGACTGTAGGATAGCTTTAAAAGACAATATATACCCATAAAGATTGCAGAACAAATAGGTCAATGAAATGTGAGTTGACTATAACCTCGTCAGTCTACCAAGACCAACCATCAAAAAAAGTCGAGTTGCAGACAATACATTACCTCAAAATATGGATCCAGTAGAACAACTCAAATGAAATACGACGAACTAGCGGAATGGCACTGGTCAAGAATACTAGTCCAAATAAACTCCCTGCTGCTAAACCATATGGGATCATAGCTCGAGAGTTGATTGACTCGACTAGAAAAGAAGCCGAACCCCACATGTATAGATACAATGATCCATGGAACAGAGAACATAAACATGCAACAACCCCAAGCAGGGCATGAAACAGCAAGCATCTTTCATAGGAAATTCCCAAAATAGCACTCAGAGGAGAGTTGCGAAGTGGCAGCAGAGTCAGTACTGATAGGTTAGCAAGAGCCAGATATCCAAATCGAGGAAAATCAATGTCATCCAATGTACTGATAGTTGTAACGGAAAACAGAGCAGTAATAACAATATAGACCACCACCAACACTATATCTGGCAAACTATAGTATGGCCATACAGGCATAGTCGATAGCGAGCATGTGTTGCATAATCGCAAAAATGCATTGTTTGCATTGCCTATCCAAGTAAAAAGTTAGTACAGTATCATCAGATGCACACGGCTCAATTCGGAAGTCTATTCAACTGCATTTGCAAGGCTTGCTGCAAAGACTTTGCTGTCACTTTATATTTGATGCAGTGGAATATACCTGAAAAAAGCCGTTTCCATGGTAGAATGCCAATGGCCACTAAAAGACTGACTAGCAGAGCATAAACAGTTGCAGCTTCTAAATGACTCTTGTTATACAGTAGAGCCATTTCTGCGAAATGGGCAAAGAGGGATTTTTGCTAGACAACTCAAGACTAAAAAGGTCACATGACAACTTGCTTGGATTGCCCTGATGTTCATTCTACAAACTGTTTAACAGATATTGTTGTATTGGTCTTAAAGCTATCGTGCCCTGATACGTATGGTGTAAGATTCAAACAACTATATCCCTTGTCAACCACCAATCGTTCATTGCCATATTCACGTAAAATGCAACACTAAATAAGGGTGTCTAATAAACTGCCAGTCTCATGACATGATAGTTTCCATCAAGTTTACTGAGCATTACTTTTGGAAACCCTTTCTCGAGGAATATGAGACCTGCTGAGATTGTGGCATGAATGTTGTTTTAGCACTTACTCAGATTGATTTGTTTAGTCAAAAAGTGCTTTCTTGATGCTTTGCAAATATTATCTGCTCAATGAACTTGGTGTTGATCTTGTTCTGGCACAAATTCCAACGTGTCGTCTATAATCTACATCAACCAAAACCAGTCGTGCAGTTTTAGAGAATTTGCGTTTTTGAAACGATGCAATAACTTGCTCGATGCTGTCTGAATGTTTTCAAAGCTTTCTATATAACCAAAATAAATATTGTTGCGTTCTCATTCCTTTTGTCACCAGCCGTAAAATCAATTCAATTTTGATTTCAAACTTTTACAAGTCAAACCAGATGAGAGTATGCCAACACTTTCTTCGAGGAAACTGCAAGTTTGGCAGCAAATGCCACAACGAACATCCCATGTCTAACCAAGGTACTGTTTTATATTTTATTCAGGAGCGTTGGCTTGCTCGTACTATTCGCTACATTTTGGGCTAATGAATTCTAAACATGAATGTGTACGACTTTCATGTACACATTTAGCTCCTAGCCAGTTTTCAAAAAACAACTCACCTAATGCAAGTAATACTAGCACCCTGTCCAATTCTACCAGGTATAGTCCAGTGTTGTTCATTTTTAACAATGGGTAAACCAAGCAGATTAATGCACTGCGATCTAGTGGAAATTTCAGTCCAACTCACCATTGTTGAACAGTTATCCTCTGGAACTAAAAAGTCTTAAAACAGACCTTCAGTCAGAAAAACCAATATGGCCACTGAGTGTCTATGGTCACGCCAAACACCAGGTGTCTATTATTTCAGGCACCGACATTTCTCAAGAGGAGGCTCGTTTGATCTTTGATGATGAACTTAAACAAAATGGAAATCTTGCTGGATATGTAAGTCTTTTACCAATGTGCTGTTCATTTGAATAGATTCATTATTTATCGACTTTTAATATGCTTTTCATTTTAACACGATGCACTTGCTGACTTTTAGTTGAATAAAGTCAATGAAGCTTGCACCAACATGCAAAATCAGATTAATCAATGTCTTTCAAGCCCTTCTGCAGCAAATGAAATATTTAAACAGCGCACTCGAGCAAATCAGTCTACTGGATCAGTATCTGGAAATAACTCGTCTTTGTTTGGTGCCAGTCGTTTTGGATCTTTACCATCACAAACTCAAACTCAATCTTCATTTGGATCTGGTATCTCAACTGGAAATTCATTTTCTGCATTGGCCAATAGTACTAAAAGTATAGCGAGCAGTCCATTTTCTCAATCTACCTCATCGCAGTCTGTATTTGGCCAATCTTCGTTTGGTCAAGCATCAACAGCAGGAAACTCTGTGTTTGGTCAATCTTCGTTTGGTCAAGCACCGGCAGCAGGAAACTCTGTGTTTGGTCAATCTTCGTTTGGGAAAACACCGGCAGCAGGAAACTCTGTGTTTGGACAATCCTCATTTGGGCAACAACCTACTACTTCATCCGTGTTTGGACAATCTTCATTTGGTCAAGCACCAGCAGCAGGAAACTCTGTATTTGGACAACCATTTACCAACACACAATCCAGTTTTAATCAACCGATTTTTGATCAACAACCAGCCACTGGACAGCCTGTATTTGGTCAGTCTTTTGCTCCATCCCAATCAAATCCTTCAAATGGATCTGTGTTTGGCCAACCTCAGTCCACAATGAACGCGTTTGGTGGAAATCAGTTTGAGCAATCCCAGAATTCAATCGAGCCCACTACAAAGCCCCTTGCATCAAGTGGTATTTTTGGTCAAAGTACAGCATCAATGTTTAGTGATGTAGTCATTACCCCTACTGGTCCAACAACTGAAACCCAAAATATGGATCCTCAAATTCTATCAGCATTTACCAATGCAGCATTTGAGTTTGGTAAAATCCCTGAAATTGAGCCTCCGCCACAGTTTCGTTAATACAGATCTTAATCAATAGACTTTATTATTTGTCGATTACATGATGTTTTCAAGAAAGTTGTTGTATTAGATTTTGTACATGTTTGTTCAATACATGGAGCCTGTAGTACTGTGCTTCAATGGATATTTCTTCAAGCACTTTTAGGTCTTTAATTCCATTGATCGTGTCTACGCCTATATTCTCGTATTGTAGTAAAGTTGTAGTGAGTATGAGCAAGCTACTGAAAAGATAGTACGCATGCGCTTATTTATTTTTACTCTAATGCAACTCGAGTCGTCACAATACAAAGGTTTTCTATTTCAATAGCTTACCTCGTAAATGATTAAGAATATGGTAAAAGTGTCTGCCATCGCGATCAATAAATATGGTTTCGTTTCGAGTCCATAGTGAGAGTACCGATCCCTTTGCCGCAGCTAACGTCTCCTTTTTTGTTTGAAACATTATCCCACCTACCCATATAGTAATAACCTCTTTTGCCGCATTTGATTTTTGCTCTGCATATACTGTTTCTGGTTTCTTGTTATAATACTTGTCATTTTGTTTGAGATTCTGACTACTTCGATGATAAATAATAGCAAAACGAACCATTCCATATAAAACAATAAAAGCCCAATTGATCAACAACGACATGATCACTTTTACTACAGTCCATATCTTGGAATAAAGTTGGACCTGTTCATCAATATAGTCTAGCTGCAACCGGATAAGACGGAAAAAACCAGACGTGTGGTAAGAGATGCTAGATTTACTGAGATAAAGAGCTGACCGAGCCGCAATGTTGTTGACAGTAGCTACTAAATCTTGATTTGTTTGCTGAACATGATCGGACCACCATTTTGGAGCAAGATCAAACATTGACCACGTATTGGGTATAAACACATCTTGTTGTAACGCAAGTTGAGGCGAAACTATTTTGGGCTTTGATGTTGTATTTGTCTTTATCAAAGTAAATGGATAAACCAAATAAGTGTAAATACCTGATTTAGCTTTCTTTTCATCCTCTACAGCTTTGATTTGAGCCAGTCTTGCTTCATATTCACATAGTTCTGATTGTTGCTGGTACATAGAGTTTGGAAACACGTAAAATGCGCCAAGAAGAGTTGATGATACGTCCTTTTCCAACGTTTTTGATAGCGGAGTACTTAGTAGAACCTCTGACCAACTTGGTTCTAAAGAAACAGGCTGTGGTAGTGGATTGGGAGGAGGAACTGTTGCCAAATAGTCAATATAACGCATCGATGGTGTAGAAAATGAGTCGGAGAGATGACGAACGTTATCCTGTAGTTTTTTGCACTGCTTCAAAATATCTCTCATTTCTTCCTGGCGACGAATATGATCCACCTTGTTTTGATTGTAATCTAAACCTTGATTAGTATCAAGTTTCTTATAATGGCCATTTCTATTTTGCGAGTGGATAGGCTGGTTAGCAGATGAGTAATTCATTTACTATTTAGTTGTAATAGACGCGTCTGGTGAATGGAAAAGTGCAATCAGGTTGAGGAGTTTCAAGTGAATCTACTTTTACTGATACAATCAAACAGTTGTAAAAAGTGTATTTACAGCCATATTCGCATAGCATGGATCGCAGAGTATCAAATGCATAATAAACAGCCATGCTCATAATGGATGGTGTGTTTTGAAGAATTAAAAATAAAATCAATTTGTAGTAGAAAGACTGAATATATCTAGCCATTGACTATTTCAAAAGTACAAAAAGTGTTCTATTTTATATAGATACGGCAATGAATGGCCAAATACTAAAATGTTGACAGATATCCAATACAGAAACACCAGAAACCATTCGAGAGTATTTTATAACCCTAATTTTTCATTGGGTTCAAATTGTCAAATCCAACTTGGTTGCTCCAGTATTGAATAGCACTCATCAATGATCAGAGCAAGCAGCACAAGCAGTATCATTTCAGCTTCTTCCAATACAAACAACATAAAAGACACATTGACAAAGGATGGCCCTACTTTTTACAACTCAGCAGCAACAATTGTCATGATGAGTGAAGTGTTGGCTCAGCCTGAATCTATGATCGGACAAACTGTGCGAGTCCTTGGTCGACTGAAAGACTACAATGTCCACAAGAACATAGTGCAAGCAGAATACAAAGGCCAATGTATGTCTATTGACACTACGCTATTGGGAATATTCGATTACAAATTAGGATCGCTATACCAATGGATTGGTGAACTTGCTAGTTTTACTGGACATGGAGGGATAATACTGCACGCTAGAATCCTGCGTAACATGGACGAACTGGACACCGCCTTGTTTGAAGATACACTTAAGCTTCGCAGAGCGATCATGGCCCAAGATCAACTAAACTAAATGCTCAATAAAAACCATTCTCATAATTTATCTGGAAAATCATAGTTTATCACCAAAAACTCGCATGACGATAAAGCTAAAGCGAGTTTGATATTAACAATTTAACTTTGAACTGTAAAGCGTTTATTTCCATTTTTTATGCCAAGCCCATGACTGGCACTATAAAGTCACCAATAGTATCAATCTCGGCGGAACAAGCATTAACCCTTACTGTCGCAACAAAACAAAAACATCCATAAACTCAGATATTGACAATAGCGATCGAGGTTTAGAACCTTTTGTAGCTGTTTGCCTTTGAAGTTTTGTATATAACCCATCCTGCATATCCCACTACTACTCCAACAAAAATAATAAGGATGATCATTGTCGCAGACCAACCTCTCGACTCTTGCGTAGCCTTTTTCTGCTGCTCGCGTGTCCATTCAGGCTTGGTGCTGCCTTGATTAGTAGGTTTGTTGGAATTATAGTCGTCTTTATGAGAAGCAGGCATGCTTCCTGTAGTGGCATTATTTCCTCCAGATCCCTGATTGTGTTATTCATACCATTAAAAATAGGTTAGTATTAGCCAAGATTAAGCTAATATACACACATCTTATTTGACCCTGACTCTGTTTAGTCAAATGATCACAGCACTACCAGTAAACTACACATATGTATACTAGACAGCTTACGTTGGATACTCCATATGTAGAGATTTCAATAATATCGTGGCTTGAAGATACAGCTCCAGTCAATGCAGAAAATCCAAAAAATCCTTGTTTTGGAAGCTTAACGTTATCCACCTTGAGACATGTAGTCCATTGATCATCCCCGATAATGTTCAAATCCAGCTATTTACCAATTGTACAGTGTTATAATTAGCCTTGACATACTATCACATATCAGTGCTGTTTAAAAGTAAATATAATGAATAAACGCCAGGGATGATTGATCACACACCTGCAAATGACCACTTTCCGTATACTTGACACGGGCTTTGGTAATATGCTCGCGATTACGAAACTCTGCATGACATCCGCCGATATCAGCATTGTTTCCATCAAAATCGTGATCGTACTCCTTTTTGCCATCTCCAATCATTGCCATCACATAAGGAAAAACATGCTGTTTTCAAAAAATATTAGTTGTCTACAGATCATCATGCAATACAACCAGTCCATAATAAACACATATACCTTGACTTTGCTATTGGCATATGTATCAAAGAATAAACCAAGACCGTTAAATTTATCCTTTCCTCCAAAGACAGGACCTGGAATGAAAAAAAGTAGTTGGCATTTGCAAAGTATTAATAAACTGTTCAGCATATAGAGCCCCCACACATTACTATCAACTAAAATTGCAATGATACATGCCTTCTTGAGCACGCTCGGTTGTATACCAAAACGCAAATCCATCACCACTGATACCACCGTCATAAGCTACCTTGAATTGAAATTCAATCATCCAAGAGGAGTGAGTCATGGGTGTTTTGGACCATAGCCATCCAGATTGGCTGCGAGCATCTGTTGTAAGCCGAACGTATCGGTTCACTTCCATCATTGCATCGCCACCAAAATCCCATAACCTAAACCCAATAAAAGAGTTAGTTGATCCATTTGAAGCAGGTTTCTTGATTCAGATCATGAATGACAAAATAAACAAGTTTCGCAGTTTAATAAATCAAGGCAAAATCTCGAGATATCCCGATATAGATCAGTAGCCAACTACTGCACGTTGATGGCATGTTTATGATGCACATCACTTACGGATTGGAAAGAGTATCTTCTATATATACATTTAAAATGGATTAGAATGAACCATTGACAAATTTATATTACGTTATGCGACACAGTGCTACGCAATGAATATTAATCACAAAGGGCTTGGAACTGGATAGTTTTTGAAAGACTAGCATGCTTATCCCATGGATTGACCAAGAATGAATGTAGCTTCAAACACTGGTTTATATGCAAACTTTATAGTGTTTTAAAACAAATGAATGGCTATCCCTTTATGGATGACTACTACGTTGGTTTGGTCTTTAAATCAGACAGCTCATATTGCACATGTCCATAATTCATCTTATTGGATGGCCTCGGTTGTTTTCAAACATGTTCCCAATGCACATACAAGCATGTATATTGCATCTGTAGAGCAGTAATACCAGCAGAGCACGACTAGAAAGGCGATACCAAACTGCCTAGAATGGATATTGGCATTGACTCTACCAGCCACTATCCATACCAGATCGCGGATTAACAGCTGTTTTGGGCTTCCCAACTAGCCAGCAGTAAAAATCGTTGAAAGTGCAGCAGAACTAGAGTGGTAAAGCAGCTTGAGATCTACTAGTCACTTTCAAACGAATGACAATGAAGGAATCAGTGTAGTTGGGGAAAACAATAGTTACCGAGATAAGGAGCCTGCAATGAATAGGAAGGAAGAGGATTGTCCAGTTCATTGGATTGAGCAAAAGTATTTGATAAAACAGCCAGCAGCAGTGTGCCAAGCAGAAGGATAGCAGACATGACGATGCGTAATGAATGCGGTTGGTGTAAATCAAGGCAAGAAAAGCGTCGAGTTTGCTGTTTGTCAACGATCTTGTGCTGACGCTTCTCGCATTAGTCGCTCACGTAAATACTTTTGTATTCATCTTGCAGTGATTGCTCTCGAATAAACGATTAAATATTCATTGCGTTTGTTGGCACTCAATTTGATTGATTTTCAATTCTTCAAAACACAACAATCATCATATGATTCACAAAATTAAACTAGTTTTGAATTCAAATTCTTTAGTAGTTATTATACAATCGCCAGATTCATTTATTTAAATTCATATATTGATTTCAACTATTTCCAAGTCTTACAAACTTCATATTTGCTGGGTTCTAACATATACGTTTGTGCTCAAACTCAATAAACAATGATTGCACGTTTCAGGAATGCAGTAATTGTTTTCATACCAATCACCCAGTTTAGGAAAAAATTAAAGGTTAAACAAGTGTCAAGGATCTGGGATTGTAATGTGAACATTTCTACTCTACGCGAATACGATTGTAATGTTTTGACAAAAAGATATTTTCATTTCACTTGACATCTGAATGTGAGTATTTGGATTATTATTGATCTGGGAATCAGTGACCTTGCTGAAGCATTCCTGCCTGTGCAAGCATAATTTGAGTCGGTGGAACCTGTAATTCATCATTAACACGGGCGCTCATATATTGTCGCAGTAATGTTTTCAACTCCTCATTTTGATGCTGTATGGAATGAATTTCTTGATATAGTTGGAATCTATGTGTGAGCACCTTGTTGTATTTTTGCATAGCCAGGTATACTGCCTAGAATCAAGATTATAATACTCGTTTAAAATACTCTGATGATTCTTAAATCCAAGAGTGAAATTATCGCATCTATTAAAAATAGTCTGCTTACCATCCATGTGCGATAACCTTTCTCGTCAATGACATTGCCCATGCGCTGCCAGTAATCTTTTTGAATGTCGCGAGTTTTTTCATTTGGGGTTTGTTGTATTCGAGCAACACCTGCATTTAGCATTCTCAGTTAAATTGTGTGCATTTTAAATAAAAGCAATATAGCTGAAAATGATGGATTGCTCACCATTTAAGTCTTTTTCGATACTATCGTTGCGAGAAGGTGTGCTATATGCTGCGTTGCGTGGACCATCACGCAATTCTTCGCGATTATGTTCAACAAAGCTACGAATAACACGAACCACATCATTCGGGTGAATTGTTACTAAAGCTTCTTCAGAAAAGTTTGAGTGACTTTCAGATTGTTTCAAAGATGTATGATTAGTCTCGGAAATAAAGTATGTGGTTAGTCGCTCAATGTCCTCGACAGTTTCTACCCCGAGAGCTTTAAAAATTGAATCTAGCTTCATCAAAGATTGCTCATCCTTATGCAATGGCGCCAGCAGCTTTTGCAACTTTTCCTCCACCTAATGAGAAAATAATTCAAATATAAACCATGGTTTAGTGAGTACAGATTTATAAAACTACATTCACAATGTATGATTGCTCACAACGTACTAAAAACCCTGTTTCGTTGCATAATAGCTCCAGCGTTTTTTTCATTGTTTTAGAATGACCCTTTTGATCTTGAAACTTTGCAGCAAGTGATTCCTTTTTATCCGAGTCACCTTCAATATTTAGTCCAGCCAGTCTAGCATCCATGCTTTGTTCAAAGGCAGTTTGAGCATCCAAAATACTTTTTGTTTCATCTTCCACAAGATCGCGAAAGAATGAGGGATCAATATTGCGAAACAGATCTTCTTGTGGAGGCATCCACTTCATTCCGAGCTGCTGTTCATTGATGATCCGATCTGCCTATTTAAAAAATCAAATCAATCTACTGTATATAGCCCGTGATGTATTCGGGCAATTTGAAATGTAGTAAAGCTGTCACATTGCAAATAGCTTAGTCGCATTCAACTACAAGGTTTACCTGCAAAACCTTGCGCATTAACTCACGAGCTTCTTCCTCGTTCATTTTCCAAATATCCTTGTATTTTTTGCTATCTGCCATCTGGAAATGCCTAAATTTCTTTTGTAGCTCCTATAATTAAATATTCATCAGCACCATTGGTTCAAACTACAAGTAGCTTTGTTGATCTAACTATGAAAAGTATAAACATGCTTACCTTGAATTGCTCAGTAAGATGACGATGGTCATCTGTCAATGAAACATTTTCTTGCTGAAATACTCGCTCTTGTTTAGCTGCCTTGGTCTTTAACACATTAAGGTGATCAGTCAATCGGTTGATTTTCCGCTTTTGAGCACCAAGAATTGTCCCATTTTCCTCTTCTCGCTTTTTCAATACTTGAAAATTGTATTCTAATTTCTCTGTGTTTAGTTGGTACGTTGCTCGCATCTAATTCAATATTTTGCAAAATGTAACGACAAAATAAATGGTTTAGTTAGCCACCAGTCAAATTCAAGACGACTTAATCCATCATGCAGTATTTAGCACGCACTTGCTGAAGCTGCTGTTCAAGTACTTGCACATCCGTTTCCAGTTTGATTTTAACAGTGTTGTATTCTTCAGCATCATAAATGCGATGCACTTCTAGTTGCTTTATATGATCTTCAATACGATTTGCACGCTCCTCCATAAATTTTCTGTGTCACAAAACACATCAAGACAGATTAACATGTTCAAATTTGTCACTAAACTTGTATCAATATATCAGATTTCATAGAGGTTAGACACCGACATTGATTTACCCTTCATTCTGTCGACGAGTCTCGAACAATTGACTAATGTCGCGTACGTTTGCTTCAATCAGTTCTGTGCGCTCCTCCACAAATGCTTTTTCGATATGTTCAATCTCTTCAACTAGCGTACTTTGAAATGCTTTGAATTGGCTTTCCATTCGATCTAGCAATTTATCTAAAAATTCCTAGCCATTTAGTACGAGTGAATATTTGAGACTGTATGTACATTGTACTTGCCAATTTCTTCTGCTTGTCTTTTTAATTCCTTGACATACTCGTCATCTTTTGACTTTAATTCAGCAACGTATTCAGCAATAAGCTTGTTTTTGATTGCAATCAAAGCCAGGCATGCTTCTTTTTGTTTTCCAAGCATCTGTAAATATATGAATTGTTAGCCTCGTACCAAAATACATTAATCGTATGGCTGCTGGCCTGTCTTGAACTGCTTACCTACCTCATTCAGCTCGTATGGTCCTCCAAGTTTGGAAACTTTGTCCCATTCACTTGAAATTTGCTCATACATGGATATTGAATGCGATTGCTCATCATTCCGCTTTTTTTTCCACACCTCTGTTTTGCGAACCTCTTCTTGTCGACGTATACTTTCTCGGGCAGTTACTCCAACCCTTACATTCGTCACCAATTCATTACCATTGGTCTAAATAACGTAGTATTAGACCCATCAACTAAATCCATATTGCTCTATATCAATATCTGCTTGAAATTTGTCTAGCCGACTTTTCATACCTTTACTGCCTCTATACGTTTTTGACTGGTACTGATCTGAGCCTTGGCTTTTCCCGCTTCTTTCTGTTCAGGCTCGACTTTTTTGACACGGCGAGATAGAATATTGGCTGAACATAGCATTGCAGAATAGCACATGAATAAAGTATTCAAGGAAATGCTATTAGCCCTGTTCAAATAAAAGGCTTAGTCACAGCAAAGTTGTTCCTACCATCAGCTTTTTCAGAGGGTTTGGCTTTTGCTAGTCTGTTCATTTCGATACGACTTTTACGAATTGCAATACGTGCTTCGCGACCTCCGTCATTGGCTGGTTGTGCGCTAGTATTCCCTCCATTTGGTATAGTGGTTTGCATTAACCCGTCGCTATTACTATTTTTAAGACCATTTCCACTAGCCACGTTTTCAGATACAGATAAGCTGGGTGGTGTGTCCATGTTTGGCAAAAGCGTGATATCTACTGGGGGAGAATTATCTTGCATGTTCGGTTCAATACAATAATATTTCGTTGATTAAAATTTACCGCCGTATTCACGTAAAATGCAAGTCTTTTTGTATTCATGTATTGATTGTTTCTTGGTGATAAACAGTATGATTCACACAGACTATAGCTTAAAACTGAAATAGTATTTTTTAAGTCTGTATTTTCTGTTATTGTACTGTCAACTCGCAGATAGGGTTGCAATCTAGTTCAAAGAGCAGAGATTGCATGTTTTGGGAGAATCGTTTTCATGCCAATCACACATGTTTGATTGTAAGGTGGAATAAACTTTCACTTTACATTTTTAAAAGTCCAAGGTTCATATTCAAAAAACATGATTGAATGCTGCAATTTTATTGAGACTACTACCAATAATGTAAAATCTGTGATAGAGACAAAGTAATATGTGCTAGGATTCTGATCATCAAAATTGCTTTAGATTTGAGGAGTTTTATGTCATATTCAAGTTATATTACTTGATTCGATTTGTCCTAAAAATGTTTCAAAATTCATATTTATAAGATCATGCAACCTCCTTTCTGTTTGGATTTTCCTGTCGATTTTCCCTTGGCATCTGTTGATTTGGAGTATTTTCTACATTCTCTAACTAGCTCTTGAAAAGATTCTTCAACGTTGATGTTTTCCTATTCATATTATAATGCAAATGTGACAGTCAGCACGCGAAACTGATCCATTGGCCAAGGCGTGCATTTATGTAAATTGAAAATTCGGATTACCTTTGCAGATGTGCTCAATAATGGAATCTTGACCTCTTGACAAAACTTTTTGACAGTTTCAATGTCTACTTCAATTTGATCTTTGGGTAAATCCTAAATAATCAAAGTGTTAGGTTTTATGGATAAAATTAAAACTGCAAACAATCGGGTTGATTGACAGACTTTAAATCCAAGTATAACCTACGCATTTGTTTGCACAGATAACAAAAGGCACTTTTCGGGTTTCCTTTAGCTTCATGATTTGCTCTCGAAGTTGTTTTACTTCTTCCAAACTGGTTTTGTCATTTACGGCAAATACGAGCAAAAATCCTTTTCCATCCTTTAGATGCTGATCTCGCAAGGCTTTGTATTCATGCTTGATTCGCAATCACCGAAAATGAAATGAGTATCAGGTTAATGATTAAATTGTTTTGAATTTTTGTCTATGGGATTGAAGACCATTCAATGCGTGTGTTTTAGAATAACATATAACGATTGTTGTCACGATTTACCTGTCCAGCAGTATCAATAATGTATGCTGTGCATACAGATTTGTCTACAGTGACATTTTTGCGATAATTTTCCTCTGATTACAAGTCATGTCAAAAGTATAACACAATTAAAGATGGATTAACTGGCAATCATTCAAAGACAGACATTTGATCAATCCAAAAAGGATCAAAAAAGCTATGATTTGGGTGCATGCATGTGGATATCAAAACATCATACCTATGGTCGGATCATATTCGTTTGTGAATTCGTCTTTGAGAAATCGGACAGTCAAGCAAGATTTTCCTACACCACCAGATCCAACAACAACCTGATCAATGCACATCCACGGCGAATTTTTACCACAGATATTGGTTTCGTTGCAACAAAGCGTGGTAAGCCAAAAGTAAATAGCATGTATAGAAAATGCATCATACAAGGTATGTGTCAGTCATTTGTTATATAGGTTGGTCATGGATACTAATACGATACTGTAATGATATCTCTACATAATAATTGGTAATGGCCAGTCATTATGTGCCTCTACAATTTCTACGCCATTCGACAATTTTATATTGTTCAAAATCCCCAAAACACCAATATAGCAGTGGCATAATTTCACATATGCGCTCCAAACCACATCCCAAAGCTTTTGAAAATAGCCAATACGTTGCTGAAAAGTGCAGGACTCTTACAAGTTCGTGGACCTCTGCGTGCGTTGTGTTGTCACCCTTGGCGGCCATACTATTTTTTATAGTTTAAAAGACTATTCAGATGTCGCGATATGCAAAGACCACTTGGTATTTCTGCGCGAAAAAGATTGAAAGAAAGCAGCCAAGTGCAAATTAGGTTGAGCAATCCAAGAGATGTAAAAAGTTGAATTACAAAAATGTGTAGTTGATATGATGTATAGATGGTAGAGATACACGCTAGTGTCAATAGACAGACATGCAATTGTAAGCTGGTTGATAAATAAGCTATTTTATCTCAATGGTATCTTACCCAACTTGATTCCGAGTCACGTCTGTTAAAATCCTGGGCAAAGATGGATTAGGATTTTCAGCAGTACTATTAGTCAATTTCAATTTCAATAAAATCAATTCCATTTTTAAATTCCATGACAAATGTGGCCCAATCTACAATATATACGCCAAACCAGTCAATCTAATTTGGGCATTTTGACTTGTAAATTCCTTAAAATAGCATGTGCTAGTGTCAATAAAACCATCATAGTACTGGTTACAGTTTGTATCAAATCATGTATAACTAGTGATTTTATTAAACATAAATATTGTCAAGGCTTTGCGAGTAGCAAATGAAAGGTACAACATAGTCTATCGCATCTGAAAAACAACCATTACTATCAGCAGAGTAGACAGAACACCGCAGATAAAAATAGCAGCCGTTCCAATACGAATATGGGCTACATCTACTGCATTGGATGTTGGTTTACTAGTTTTAAGAGTAGCTTTGGAAGCAAAAAGGTTTGTAATTCCAGAGATGGAGTCCTGTACAAATTCAGTATATTAATTAAATTAGTCAGCTTTAATACAAAAGTGGATTGATGTGCTTTGATGACTATCAAGCATCAGTATGAGCTCTTACATCGTATTGTGAGTTTTTTCTATTGTAAGAATCAGTCGTGGAATTGCTGATTCCATTCGACAAAGCCAAAGCGCCAAAAGGCTTTTTCCGGTTTAAAAATTGTCGATCATGGGATATTGGAAAACCGGAATTTGATGAGAATGAACCTTCTCGGGTAGGAAAATGCCTAGCCGAGTGACCACTACTCCCAGTCATCCCAAAAGCAGGTCGATGCATGCTGTCAGAAAACGAGGCTGAAAACGGCAGCTTTGTCTTTGGCGGCAAAATCCGTGGTCCACGAACTTGCATATGCCACGGAACAGGAAATTGTGGACTTTGAACTGAAAAAAGATTAGATGATGACTTTTTAGTTGTAGATCCAAGTGGACCTTCCCAGTCCATTGTAGCTGTATTCTCTGTATGACTATTTGTACTGCGCTGCTGTCTCCAAGATGTGCCATCTTCAAACGAAAGAGCATCTAAAGCATTGGATGATGAAAGTAATTCGCTTGCTTCCTCGATATTGAAATTCAAAGGTTTAATGGTGGATGCAGACAAGTTGGTTTGAGATGCAAAAATATTGGATGTTGATGCTTTGTTTGAAGATTCAAATGCAGACTGGCGCAGAGATGACTGCGATTTCAAGGGACTAGGTCGTTGAAGTTTGGCATAGTAAGCACTATTTTGTAGCTCACCAATCGCTCGTTGCGAAATAGCATACCGCCAAATTTGATTGAATGGCACTATAACCAAAATAAGACGAACTATTGAAATTAAAACAGTCTAAAACAATACCAATAATTAGCTATATACTCGAAAAAATAAGAAACAAAACAGCTTGTCATACAATGTTTAAAATCGTCAGAGCGTGTATATCAATAGGCGTTGATGATGAATCTAAAACAGTATCGATACTGTCTAAATAATTCATGCGCACAAGATACGCGCCAGAGATTACTGATGTAGCAGGAAGCACCTAATTCATTCAAATCATATATAACAACGCGTTAGAATGATTTTAAAATGTGCTGGTTGTTACGAGATTGATCCGAAACTCTTGAACATACCCATAAAAAACTATATGATATCGGATGATGTTTTGGCTGAATAAGAATGGTAGATGCGTTTTTGACACTCATACATGATAGACCAGATGCCACCCAAACAAATATCACTTTAACCAATAGTGAAAGATCTACAGCGATGAGTGATTCAGATAGTAGCTTAACATCTAGAGATGGTACAAAAATATTGCAGCAATTATAAATTAACCACCAGATAGTAATATTACTGCTAGCAATCAAAACGCACTAGTAAAGGTGACACTACCGGTTTCGTATCTGATCATTATGCCCAATATACACAATGCCACGATTCCAGTCAACAAACGAGTAGCTTTCTGTAGTCGATATGAAGAATTGGAGCACAATGGTACACAAGTACTGTTTTGCACATCATTTGGCTGACGAGAATCTGAAGAAAAAGGATTGAATTGACTAGTATTCCGTAAACAGTTGCGAACATGAGGTGCACAAAGACTGCATACTATTGGATAGCGAGATTCCAGTGATGTTTTATAGGATTTATAGCTTTCCTCCCAGCCATCCTATACAAATAATATCAAACCATCCGTTAGTACGAGACTCGGCCAACCCACAATCGCATGCCCATCAAAGCTGATGGATAAATGTTATCAAGTGAAATATACCCCTTCTGGCGGATCGTAATCTCGGAGAATATCTGCAACTAGCTGCTGATTATGTATACAGTTGTCACAAAATACATTCTGGGAAAAGGCAGAACCTTTTATCTTGTTTGCAGTGAAATCCGAATGGCTGGAATGCTCCATAAATGGATTTTCTGGACCAGCAATATCACCGTTTTCATCATATCTGTTCACTGAGTCACAGGCCTTACATAGCCATTGTACTGTCTGTCCATTTGAGTTGATGATGATATTTTCCAAACCACTGTTGGATTGAACTCGCCATTGCTTTACAGTTCCACAATAAAAACAAACATGACTTATTTGCTGCACTAAATCAGTAGTGTACTTTAAAGATATTTTGTAGAATACAGCTATCCTAGTTGTCGCATACATGAAGATTTCAGAAACGATATACTTGAACTCCTGTAATGTGCATCTAGACTTACTTGTATGTCACAAATACAACCAAAGCCAAAAGACCGATTGCTACAGATGTTGAAGATATATCTGATGATTGAATTAGAAAAATGTTTTTATAAATGTTTGTAAAGCTGTCAATGCTATCATGCAAGGCACTTGTCCAGAGCAGCCCAGCTTTTTGTAGTATATCGTTTGGCCATGCATTGCCTAATTGCATTTGTAAACTTGCAAGTCGGATTAAAAAATCAACCTCTCAAAATAGGCTAAAAATGGTTTATTCAACATTTATTGTCAAATGATATCAATCGATTGCTTATAATGGATAAAAATGACAACATTTTTATATGTTAATTGAACCAAATAATGAATTTTGGGTAATATGAAGATATCTGCAGTTTATTGCGATGCAATCCAGAATAAATAACTGAATTGACAATCTACATACAGTCTAGCAACTACATGAAGCTAAGTGATAAATTTATTTTTATAAAATCCTATTTTCACACAAGTCATGGTTTTAAATTATATATTACAGTCGTATTCACGCAAAATATAACATTGTGACATTGAATGATTGGCATGAAAACGATTCTCCCAAAACATACAATCTCTGCTCTTTGAACCAGATTACAACCCTATCTGCGAATTGACAGTACAATAACAGAAAATACAGACTCAAAAAATACTATTTCAGTTTTAAGCTATAGTCTGTGTGAATCATACTGTTTATCACCAAGAAACAATCAATACATGAATACAAAAAGACTTGCATTTTACGTGAATACGACTAAATAATAAGATCAATTATCAGCATTACACTCATACCAAGATGCAATATGCTAAAATCAAGACTTGACATAAATTTCAAACCAATGTTTCATTCACATTACTCAGTCCCTGACATGAATTAAATATGAAAAAATATTCGCCAGACTATAATATCAAGTCATGATACAAAATTACTCTGCTGAAACACACTGATCTAACCCTCGTTCAAACTATTTCAGCCTAATCGTCCTCGCCATCATTCTCGGCATCATCATCTCCAGAAATTTCAGCATTTTCACGCTCCATCTTGGCCATAAGTTGTGCAAGCTCTGCATCGTCGGTTTCACTAACTGCACGTGGTTTCATCTTGACAACCAAGCTACCGTTAGACGCCTTGATCGTCTCTTCAATGGTGGTAATTGCTCTTTCCATGGTCTCAACACCCTCTACTTTTTCTAGTGAGTTAGTGATCATAACATAGAGTGGAGGCGCAACAAGTTTAATCTAGCCATGATCAGATGTGGATTTTTGCAATTTTAATCAAATGGTTAGCAATTAGTCAACACCATCTGTCATTTAGTATATTTGCAACATACCTTAATTGGAACTGCTGCAGTAGAACAGGCTTCACCAGCCAAAAGCGCAGCTTTGATGGCATCGATTCCATCATAGCCAAAACAGGTGCATTCAATATCTACATACAGTATGATCAACAGCTCAAAGAATATTACTAAACAGATCTATAAACAAAAAATCCTGCTCTAAACCACCCTATCAATGAATAAATACAAACCAGCACGAATCTTGATGGCTTGTGGTGTCAACCGTCGACGAATATTTCCGATTAATTCTCTCTTGACATTCAAGGGAAGATCAAAATCAGCAAAAATAGTCTCTGGCTCGCTATAAAACAAATAATGCATATTGTTTGAACAAGATGGTGAATTTCAAGTGAACACATTACAAGTTTAAAAGTCGCGACTCGACTGTTTCTCATCAGGAAGCAAAAAGTACGTACGTGAGCGCAAGTTTGAATACTTCATAGGCATGTCCAAACTTTTTGTAAAGTGGCCAGATCACCTGAGTGTAAAGATCTTCTAAACGCAGATTCAATTTTTCAGCAACATGACGAACAATTCCATGAACCTAATGCATTGGTAGATCCAGCCGAGTTTTAAACCAAAACAGATGAAAGGGTTGTATATAAACATTAGTTTATCAGTCATTTTTCTAGATTCAGTCGATTTAGATTTGAAGCTTACAGATTTGGATTTGTTGTATCGCTCTTCGCACTTTGCAACTTCTTCGGGAGATACTCTTCTCTTGGACAAATCAATATAACCTGATGATTTCAAAATAAGCAACATGATGTGTTAAATCAAAAGTAGACTATACTTCACAGCAAATCATGATCATGGAATTCTCATACTGCGCAGGTATGGGTTTAGAATTACGATAGATCTTGGACACAACATTCTCAATATGATATCAAACTAGAGTTGAAAGAAACACAAGGCAAAGCGACAGTCATTACCCTTTTCCTTGTCCACACGCAAAACCACAACGACCTCGTTACGACCAACACGGATCAATTTCTGGATTGAGCGAATACGACGGCGGGACAGTTCTGACAATAGAATCATGCCTTCAATATTATTGTATTCAAGCAGATGAACATAGGCACCCATTTCTGCGATCTGACGAACATTGACCATGACCAATGAATCGACTTCGGGATAGCGGTCTTCATACATTCGACATTGTAGGCGCGATTGCTGGGCAGCAAGAGCAGCCTGAGCAGCAGGAGTGTTTTTAGCAGCAGTGGCAGCAACAGCAGCCTGAGCTTCTGCAGATACAGTTGAATCAAAAGCAGGGTTCTGAACAATAGTAGAGCTGGTGGGGATCACAACGGACTCGACCTGTTCCTCGCCCGAGGAATACTCATCGTCATAGGAGTTCATGTTTGAGCTGAAATAGCATTAAAAACCATTAGCAAGAGCTAGCTTGAATTAAAAGTAAATGGCTCATCAACTAGCCTCATACTGAAACAGCAAGATGTCAAATACCTTGTGAAGATTGCTGATTGTCAAGGAAACAAAAAATTCAAAATTGACTCGAGTTTGGCGATATCGAGTTGAACGCTTTACTAATTTCTTGTTCAATTCGAGTGTTGGAAATCTCATTTTATGTTTTTTTTGTAGAAACTGAAATATTTGCAGAATATCATCAACACTAATCGAGTTGTCAATCAATTCAGTCGCTGTGTATTGTTTGATGAAATGTTTTCTTTTTGGAAATCAATATTTGGAATATTGTCTGGGTTAAATACACGGTTCAAGATTGGAATCTTGTAATTGGATCATGTATAGTTATGCAATCAATAGTATTGGTCATTCTAAACTCGGGTGTTTCAATCAATGATGTTCTATACACTGAGTATTACCGTGAATAGTCAAATCCAAGTATGCAAAGCACCTTGTCTTGGTATTACAATATTGTCGAGATCTGCATGACTTTAGTCTATTCATTTACGCAGCAATTTCCACGATCCTTTGCTCGACTTTTTACTAATATCTGAAGTCTTTTCAATCCGATGGCCATCTTCTACCATCCGACGCAAGATCCGAGCAACATTACTTGCATCATCAAATCCACAATGCTCTCTCCCTTCAAACACCATTCCAAGTCCCTTGAGCATCCCATCCAAATTAGTTTTTTCCTTTCCATACAACTCGGTATACAAGCTGCGGATATTGATGATCTTGCGCATAAAATCTGGTCGTTGAATATTGGAGTAGATGAACTCCTTTTCAAGGAAATCGCGCAAGTCCCATGGTCCATCGGTAACAAAAATCACCTCGTCTGTCAATGCGCTCACTCCGTCTGTCGATGGATACAAGGATAGCATCCACTCGAGAAAATCTGCAAACACTACAGTGAAAGGATCGGCAGCATCCGTTTGTTCCTGGGTAATTCCAGTAAACTGTTTACAAAAGTCGGTCAGAGTGGGATGCAAGATTGGCCTGCAATATCTCCGAAATGTCGAAACCTATTGATTGACAATTTAAATCAACATGTAAAAAGTAAGCCGAGTAATTCTGCAATGCATTGACCATCAATTGGCTACCGTTTCCATTGTGGTTCCATCGATCGCAATGACTGGAAACTCGATCACCTCGCTGGCAAAATCAAATCCAGAATCAGAATCACAAGTAGCTTCAATATCACAGACCAGATAAATCCTGTAGGGTTGAAACCTATTGATTATATTTATCAGACCGAGTCGAGCAAGAGTTTAGCAATGCAGGACCAGTCAGTGTTAGAATAGTCCAATACGATGTTGATACTAGCCTGGCGTCTCGTTCTGCCTTGACAGCTGCTTCCTGAGTTGCCTTCAACCTAGACTTGGCCTGTTTTAGCTGCTTGATGAGATTGGACCTTGAAACCTTGCCAATCGTAGACGATACATCAATACCGAGCTCCAGCAACTGTTTTTGCAGATCATTCATGCGAGATGCTGCGTCTTGTTCATTCTGGCTTGCAGCAGTTTCTGTATTTGTATCTTGGTTCATTCGTGGGAATCAATGTGCAGTGACGTCAGCAATCAAGCAATGACTGATTTCAAACTAATAGGTAATGTATATAAAATGAATCGAGTTAAATTCAGAATGCTTATAAATCTGATCAAATATTGTATTTACAAACTATAATTTTATTTAGACAATAATATGTAGTCAGAGTAGTACTGGACTCGACGATACATTTACAACTGTATTCACGTAGAATGGAGCACCAAACAATGATGTTAGAATACATGACGCTTTTATGAAATGATAATTCACACCAAACTTGCTCGTCACATGTGTATTCTGAGTTCTGACAAAGTTTATTTGGGGTTCTCATTTATTTTTGCATAAACTGAACAAATGTTCACATTACAGTTGCAGTGGATTGCGTAATGTATGACTGTCAAATGACGAGAAACGCCAGATTCAAATGGATTGTTTCAGTTCAAACTAAAGTTTAATTTGTATGCGTCATATAATGGTCATTGTCTTGAAAAATGTCAGTTTCTAGTAGAAAACCTCGACGAATATTCAACCATTTTGTATATCAAAAAACCCCAAAAAGTAATTGTTGTAAAATAAATATGATTGTTTTATTTAATAAATTTATATAATATTTCCTCAAAGTAGCGGGATGTTCAATCATCCAACAACTACTGAGGGTTTAGACCCGGTCAGTATTGACCGGTGTCTTCAAGCCTATTTACAGGCGCTTCGAACTAAGTGATTTGGTTGTGACCAACCGAGTCAACTTGGTGCAATAGCGCCTGCACGCTTTGCGGGCTGTTTCCCGAGATATCTCGGGAAACTCGTGCAAAGGCGGGAAAGCCTTTGCACTAACAAGGTCAACAAAGTTGACCGAAACCACTTTGTATTTGTGGTTAGCGCAGGGTTTGGTCCCTTTGCTGACCTTGTTATTGCCAACCAAAACCGCCGAGTATAGGCGGTTTTGTACAGCGACTTCTTGCGAAGTGCTGGGCTGGACTGGGGTTGCATTGCAACCTACAACTAATCAAAGTAATAATAATAACATCAAGTTAGTCAAAATAATGTTTATATTGGAATAATAAAGTTTAAATTAAAATGGCAAATTGAGTTTTCAACATTGATCTCAAATATGCCATAATTCAAAATGAATATCAAAAGTATACGAATATAATATATCAATCTTACCATTTACAGTCTTGTTGTCATGAGTACCCATAACAGTTGGTCTGGATTCAATGATTTCCTCAACAGTTGATGATGTGGATTCCGTGGTTTCTTCAACGACAGTTGATGATGTGGATTCGACAATTTCTTCGACAACCGTTGATGGAATGATTTCAACCTCGGATGATTGTTTTGAAAGACTACTGAACGTATAATTCAGTAGCCCATCTGAAGAGCTTCGTCGCATAATTGGATGTGGAGGTTTTGGAACCTCAGTGTTTTCCTATATCAAATAATGTTTTAGTCATTAAATTCAATCAAGTCTACCAACACGTAGCTTTTAACACTAGATGTTGGTCGATACATTTATAATATTTACAACAAGATGATTCAACTCACCTGCTCAAGAGCCAAGCTTTCCTCAAGGAGATCCAACTCCTTGGAGTCCTCTGCTATGGCTAGCAGAGTCCTCAAAGCGGCCAAAATGATTGGATTATTGTCCAAATACAAGCCAATGGCTTGGTACTCCTGTGGAGTAATCTTTAAACATACAATTCATAATGTTATAAAGTAAGTAACAGCACTATAATAATACAATAATACAATCAAGACATTCAAATTATACATATTAAATATAGTGCATCATTATAAAATACCTTTTCAAGAGCTACAGGAATTACTTGGTACATTTAATAGCAATAATAGGTGTGTTTGTAGAGACTAGTGATAAAGTAATAAAAGTAAACCTATAAAAACAATCACCACTGAGTGTTAATAAACCAAAACCATAATATATGCATGCACTAGTATCCATAACCCAATCAGGCTAGATTAAGCTAGTGTTACGATAGATAACACGACTTGCAATCTTGCTGATGATCCTAGTAAATATATATTGTAATAGTAACTTGCCTTGTGTTTAAACTATACAGACCAGACCAGAACAGGAAATGACCACACTTTATAAGCTTGAGCAAATCCTGCAAGACAATACAACTCGATTGACAACTTTAACAAACAATCATGACCTCAACAATGTCCAAATACTAGATATTTGTTGATAATGGACATGGAAATGGCAATGGCAATGGTCATGGCAGTGGTCATGGCAATGGAAATGATTATTCAAAATCTGATTGTTAACAATAAGCTTTTGCAAAAACATTACAGATTTATCAATCAACTATTTGAAAAACACAATACAATGTGCTTATGAGCTAAGCCATTTTCACCACCACAATGGATACGTTAATAGTCTGCAAAAACGTTTACAAAAATGCAGATACGCCATTGCACTTTCGGAGCTAAAGATTAGCATAATGGCGAATCAAGTTGCATTGAATTGTACTGCATTGCATTGTATTGAATGGCGAATCAAATTACATTGAATGGCATTGCATTACATACACCCGATTACAATCAGAACAATCCAATACTCAATCTAAACAATACTCGATAATGTCGAGATATGTTCGAGCCGAGTGCTAAATACAAAATCGTGAAATCCAAGCATGTATAATACAATTCACAAACTACATTATTTTACTCTCGACCATTTTAAACCTTGTTGGCGATCCAACATCTACTCACTCAAACCTATACACCTAAATACGACGCAATCTTCATATACATATCATTGATGGCTAAACAGAAACAATACGCAACACAAAAAACAATTAAAACAAAATATTTTGATTTTCGGATATACACAACCCATTGCAACGTTTGTTTGAATGGAACAAGATTGAACGGCTATTTCTTTATTGAGGTGATACTTGGTAGATACATGATTGATAAACTGCCAGAGTATTAAAATAGACACACATGTCTGATTCGTAACATACTCATATTATCACTCCATTCCGATATCTACACTCGAGCAGTATCACCTGTTTGATAAAGAAATACATTATTATAAAGATTGGTGTTAGTTCAATATCTATAATCAACACCACAGGCCAAATCCAGATTCATATGTCGTTGAGCATCATACAATGTATTGCTTACAGTTTCCAACGCCAACTGGTAATCATCTTTTTATAATAAATACCAGTTGCAATGTCCTGTCTGCTACTGCATCGAGTCTAGTCGCAACTAAAGAATAAGTGGTGCATATTACAATATAAACATGACAGTTCAAATACTCACCATACAGAGTAACTGGACTGAACATGATTACACAACAGCATGCTGTGTACCAAGTCGTTACTGGATAAACAACCATCAGTTAGGTGCAGACCATTGTCATTCACCAGATTAGATGGCACATTCAGACAGTAGCAATATATCCACCAACAAGTATGTGTGCTATTTACACTATTAATAGCTTATACACTTTGTGACTACACTTGAAAGTACAGTGTGTTGGCCATTGCAATTACTTTACTGTAATACAACAGTTTGATAATCAAACTGGATAGTTCAAGTTGGATAAAAGCCAATACGCGCTTGAATGTCGAAACAAGTCGAGAAATCCTTGAACCAAGTCACAGTACAGTTGTTGGATTGAGCATCTTGTGCTGTTTATGTCAAAAATGGTTGTTAGGCAAGCATAACAATATTATACTGGCAGCTGTATTGACGTAAAATGGAACTTGTATTGCAGTGACTATTTTATTTTGGAATAGGCAAATGGTTGAATTGTTGCAACTTTCTACCAGATTGTCATGTTTAATTGTTTAAATACGTTTGCGTCTAGTTCAAGAAACCAATCTCAGCAATACAACTACACATGCCAATCACCACAATACCAATAAACCGAATAATCATTGCATGAGACTGGCTATTTATTATTCACTGACACTTTTAATGTTTCATTTGTGAATACGACCAAAACAATTTCAAGTTAAACACATGCATACCTGAGGGTGTTTATATGAACACATTCGGACGTTGTTCAATTCATATTTCATTCCACAAAAACAACCAGATCTTGTTATTTTAACCATATTGGTTAAACAATTATCGAGTGTACTTGACTATAGCTCTGCGTGGTCAATCCAATTTCAAAAATAGTGTGCTTGCTTTGAATTATTATCCATTGTATTGTATTTGGAGTCTCAATCTGTCTCTACAACGCAATATTTGTTCCAATAATGTGCGATTATTGGGATTTGAATACTATCTTGGCCGAACAAACAGTATGTGGTTTGTAGAACCCAATGTTTGAATATTATTGAATGAATCCATACTGTGCTTTACGGCACCACTATATAACTCAGATTAATCAATACAGTTTGAAATGCTGTTATTAACCAATTATATTGACCATTTACTTGCTATTTGACATTTATAGAAAGTAAGATGCCACGTTAAACTTCCTGCGTATGGTTACAGTTTTTTAGCTGGAGCCAAAGACGATAGTGTAAGCAAACTCTATTTCAATTACAATTTTTGATGGAGGACGTATGTCGGATTCTGTAGTGTTAATTCATTGACTATCTGAAAATTAAATATAAAATCATGTGTTTTTATGGTCACTGTAGCTTCTCGTAAATTCTATTATTGATATTCCTTTTTGGATGGGAAAACCATTAGCACTCCAGTAGGTTACATTACTAGCTGGAATATCGCGATTAGTGATTTTCAATTGATGGATCAACTGAGTAGTGTCTCATGAACAATGTGTTTAGGGCTGTCGTTGATCTAGAAATTCCAACATGCTTCAGTGATGCAGTTCAAGATGAACTACTAGCTTCTCCGGTTTGTGTCAAAATATCGCTACATTGCCCATTCTTTTTCAAATTCTTTGCAGATCTGCTTGGAATTCTGTAAGTGTATCTACGTGCTGTACATAAAAACTGAATATCAATTGCATGCTTTCTATATATTTGAACATTACTGTAGAGTGTAGTTTGAATTTAAATTGGGTCTAACATCAAGACTATAGTGAGATTCGACGATCATTTGTGGAATTGGTCACCAAGACATTTAAATCACGACTGTGTCTCTTGAGTGATTATACCATGACGTCGCGTCTTGGATCAGAGCAATCGGCGTTTGTGCAGACGCTTGATGCAACTGAACGACATTGTAAGTTACCTTGAACAGTGTTGCTGATGAGTATATGTATAGTATTGGGCTATTCCAACTTATATTTGATGATTCCATTTGAATACCAGTGTATGAAGCTGGACTTCAATCAGCAGAAGCTCTTTCTGCATGGCAACGGAGAGATCATATTCGCAGAGGAACATTACAAGTGCAACGCCAGCTTCAACAGCAACAGAAAAATAAGCGAAGGAGAATGCACTGAAAATAAAATAATTATAAGATATTCATTCATGCATGTTCAAGGGCTCTGGGAATGTTTAAAAGCAGTGAGCGAGTACAGGTTATCAGCTATATTCCAAGTTTGACCATCTTGGTTTTTTTCTTTCCACCATTGCCTCGCGATGCCAATCCCATTATCGACGAGTCTCCGTTGAATTTTCTCTTCTTGTTGGCTCCGCCCATATGGCTAGATGTACCCTCCACAGCTCGAATATGTTTTTTGGCAACGTGCATCACACCATCCTTGATACGGCCAATGGATCCGACAATTCCAGCGTCGGCACGTTTACCAAATCGAGACTTTTTACTGTTTTTCGTGGTATTTCCTCCAGTAATTTGGGTTTTGAGTGTGTGATGATACATACCACTATCTTTTGCTTCTTGAATTTTTTGGCGAGCACGTTCTTCAGACTTTTTTGCCATACTGATCCTTATTGGCAGAGGAACTTTTGGTGGTTTTGGCGCCTTGATTAAACCGTATTGTTTGAAACAAGAAAACAAGCAAATTATCAAGTTGGAATCAGATTTTAGTTGCAAGACATAGTATCATCAGTATGAATAAAGTACGATAAGCTCATGATCTACCTTGCCGCCAAGCTCAACCATCTTAGCTCGTTGATAGTTGACTCGGTCTTTTCCTGTTAGTTCCGATGAAGCTATGGCAATTGAATTTATAAAAGATTGATAGAAAGTATTAGTTGCATATTAATCGTGTACATTCTAGATTTAAAATCACTCAACTATACTGCTCTACCAACTTTGACGTTTTGAGTAAATCGTATAGTTTTCTATCATTCTCCTCATCCTCCCTACAGTAGACAGATTGCATGTTAGTATATAGTCATGACTGTGATCATGGTTCAAGCATCAAGACATTTAACGACTATAGATCCAAAACTTACTTTTCTTGGGTGAGTTGTTTTGATGATGGCTTAGCTCCACTCAAGCTTCGTCCTGCAACCTTGTGAATTTTTGAGCTCTATTAAAAATTAATAAAGTGGTCAAAAAGGATAGTTACTATTTCTAGTTTTCATATTTTGGACTGATTAGATTATTGACTTCAAATGAAACTTGGATTTACCATGAATGCACGCCATTCACTTTTGTTTTTTGAAAAGGACGATCGTCCACTGTTGGAGTCATCAAACACTACAACGGCTACATCATCGGCTGTTGATGTAGGTTTATGATTTATGGACTCGTCTGAATCGACATTGGTTGACGTCATACTTTCATCATCGCTTGGAAAATCACAGTCATCTTCAAATTCTTCGTCACTACGCAAGTCTTCTACAACTAATTTTGAGCCCAACAATGATTTATAATCAGACAACTCCATATTTTCTTGTTCTGTCGACATTTGAATGTTGCGTGTCTCGTCCACATCGTTGATAAAATCTTTTCTATAATTTCATAGCCATCAATAGTAGCCATAAGATGGTGTTTACGAAAATATTAGAGTATATTGGATTTAGAAAAACAACAAACACATGATGCATCATACGCTATAGGACTGTCTTCAAACAAATGACCAAATTGAATGTCCATGGCAGCCTCAAGTTTTGCAGCTGCGATTGAAGCTTGAGAGTCCCTTTCATTTTTGATTGATTTATCTACAGTGTTTTTTGATTTAATCTGACTAGCCTTTGCATGTGATTGCTTAGGGAGCGACTTTGGAGTTGGCATTGTCAAGAATTGCGACTCGAGTTGAATTGGCCAAGAAAAAACAACCAAGACGTGATCCAAGAGCGAACACAATCAGCTTGTCCCGTGACACGCCACTTTAGTTGTTAAATCTTGAACTCGGCAATTCAAGGTTTGCCTGATATTGTGGTATATATCTACAATGGCAGACAAGACAGCTCTCACTGCTGGTGAAGAATGCCAGCAGGCTGCAAAGATCTTGAGTTCTTTTGCTGATCCAAGACAAGGCGCCATCACGGCTGCATTTATTACAACTGCCATGGGTCTTGCTGTTTTCAAAGGCGACCAAGGTGTTGCTATTGTCCGCTTAAAGACTCAAGGTAAACCTCCAGCCCAGCTGATGACTAAAAGCTTACACCGATATTCTTTGGCTTTGAAATGTGTAGACTATTATTTTGTATAGATATGCTATTTGGTGAATATATTTCATTTTCATTTATACTCTGTTGAATCGTCGATATATGCAAAGCAGTCTACATTTACATGTATAGGCAGACAACTAAGCTAATGCGACTAATTTTTCGACAACATGCAAATGCATGCCTATAAGATGTTTATTTCACGGAATGCCTCAATCTCCGAAGCTATCCTTGACAGTCTAGTGACTACTGTTGCTAATCATATCCAATTTGTGTTTACCAGAATGGTCTGCACCTTGCGCAATCACATGGGAAAATGCTTCTGGAACCATTCAGCCTGGACAAGAAACAGTGCTTTTATTTATGACAGAGAAGAGCATATTCTCACTAGTTGGTCGTACCCCTTTAGTGCTTAACCGAACTCATGTGTTTCAGCCTGGCCCTCTATATGGAAATATTCTTGATCTAAATAGTAACACGGATGTGTACGCTTATGTGCGCTATAACAATGGATTCACTCCTGCCGACTTGATTTCTGCTCACATGTCTGGATGGTCTGTGCGTGAGGATCCACCACGGCATGGTCGTTGGCACGGAAAAGATGCAACTTGGTTTGATGTACTCACTAACAAGATTACTGTAGATCGTAGTAGTGTTGGGAATGCGCTCTACCTTGTGTTGAATATGGCAGCTAGCAATAGTGGGAGTGCCAACCAATCTGGCGAGCATAAAAATGTGGCAGATTTGAGCAAGCTTTTAGCTCCTGCTGCAACCCAGCCTTTACAACAACAGTTGCCTGGAGGGGCTGGATCTATGGGATTGCCACAAGATCAGATTTACTCTACACAACAACAGCCTAGCTCACTGGATCCACAATCACAGGCATTATATCAACAACTTCTTCTTGAGCAACAACAACAGCAAATGTTTCTTCTTCAACAGCAGCAACAACAACAACAGCAGCTCATGATGCAAACCCAACAACCAATCGGTATGTCCGGTAATTCTCAGATTATGTTTAATAACATGCAGCCACAGCTCCTACAACAGCAGCAGCAGCCTTCCATGGTAGGATATGGAAAATTCATGCCTCAACAATTTATGCCTGGAATGCCAGCTCAAAACCTTACACTGCAACAGCAGCAACAGTATCTCCAGAATAACCAACACCAAATAAACGGCCAAAATGCCCAGTCTCAGCTAAACGGTATAAACCCACAACTGGGTCAAGGTGGTCAAGCCTGGAGCAGCCACGGCATGTAAATTCTTGTGAATACTTGAATTGTGACCCAATAATTAGCTTTAAAATGCCAAAAGAAATCGCTACAATCCATCACTCCCCTCATCATTTACGTACTTTGCTGCTACCAAATATATATATTGGTAAATCCTACACAAAGCCATTCGTGTCATTTTGATAAGGTTTATTATGCCTCATTTTTGTTTGTTTCGACCACATAATGATTTTGATTCAACGTCCTATTTTGAAAATTGCCACCAACTGGCTATTTTTGTTTTTTTGCAATGTTGATCACACTCTATTCAAATTATTAAAAGGAGCGAGTTTAAATCCATAATTTTTTTAATTGACTCGGTATATATAGCGTTGAGCCAAGCAGTTAATGAGACAGTTTGATTGCTATCAGCAGTAGCAACATGCTTTTACTGACGACATTCAAAGCGCTGGCGTGTTTGAGCAGCAATTCAATGTGCACAAGTCTGTTTCAACCAAACCAATGACAAGTCAGATCATCTTGTCATTGATTTGGTTGATTTTACCATTATATTGTCCAGATGATCACAACTAGCGACAATAGAAACATAAATATTTATATTTCAATAGTTCAATTCCGACATTCTGATGTTACAATCCAATTACTATTTCAGCCTTTTTGAAACTTTTATTTTTTGTAAAACTACACGATTGATTCTGTTGGCATAAATAGTCGATGTCATGCAGAGTTCGCATCAAAACAAGATCAACACCAAATTTGACAAACTGGCCATATCAACACAAAACGATCAATCAAAGTTTCATTCAAATACACTTTTGATATTTACAAAACATACGAATCAAGTCAGAGTGAATACTTTTCAAACGCACGATTCTTCATCTCACTGTTCTCATGTCTCTGTCACTAACTGTGATGAGTTTTGTAAAAATCCATCACGTGTTTGAGTTCGGACAAAATGCTGAAAACTTGACCAATTCTAGCCATCGAATCGAATATGGAACAGGACGAGCATATGACGGACTCGGATCTTGCTGGGAATACTGATCATGCAGTGATGGATTCACAGACTACTGATCATGCAGTAATGGATTCACAGACTACTGGTTCTGCCTTGGACACTGCTGCATCTTTTGGCACAAACCACACAACCGATCCTACCATTACAAACGAATCATCAACACTCACTCATCAAGTGATACTGGATCAAACTGCTGCTTCTTCTGCTCTTCGATTTTCCTCTGACGTATCTTCTCCTGCTCATCCAATCACTAATTCTAATGCTGTCGAATACACACCTTTTCTTACAAGTGATTATGGCTTGGCTACTTCTCCTCTCTCCCGACCTGTTGGTAAGTCCAGTTTGTTTGTATTGAGACCCACTGTCATGTGTCCTTTCAACTAAAGTCGCTTTATAATCCAATGTTGATTATCAACTTGTTTTGTTTACAATTTGATCAATGTGAACCATTGTGGATGGGTCATTACTGTAAATTGCATTCTTTTTAACCATGCAATTTTGAGCATTTTACTGCCAAGTGTTGTTTCAACTGCATCGATCAACGATATTAACTTGCATTTTGGGTTTTATAATTGAAATCTTCATTTCTTACATTCAATAAATTCAAACCATCTCAATCAGTCAGCACTCCTGTAACCAGGAGATCTGTTGGAACTTTTGGTCGTCTTGGATCTGCAATCGGTTCATCCCAAGAACTTCTTTTCTCAAACTTGCGATCTGGCGATGCTGGATCTTCATTCGCCTCAAAATCTGTATCCTCCACTCCCAGGAGTCGTCGTGGTGATATTAATACTACTGGTGCTTTGGATCGCTATCTTGCTAATACAGATATGCGTGTTTCTGCTCCTGTTTTGGCTGATCCGCTCTCTATTAATGATATGTCTCGTCCTCCGATTCCACTGGCAAGCAACCTTTCTTCAGGACTCATGACCGATCCAGTTGAAACCCGTAAGCTTATCTGGGGCACCACTGTCAACATCGAATCCTCCATGGCAATGTTTCGTGACTTTATTCTCAATTTTACTATTGCCCACAAGCTTGAAGGCACGGCTGATGCAGTGATTACTGACGCTGATCGCATGCCGTTTTATGATCGGCTACTGCGTCATGTATGTCTTTATAATTGACGGTATTTTGAATCCAATTGATTTCAGAGTTGCATTCCAAATTTTTAACATTTTTATAGCTTAATACAAATGACGTCCACGATATGAACCTTGACTGCACCAATCTTGAAGCATATCCGCCTGCTCGTCGTCTGTATCAGCAACTTGTCAGGTATCCGCAGGAAATCATTCCACTCATGGATCATACTCTTACAGACATTTATCTGGAAAAATTTGAAGACTCGGACCTTCCAATGGGTTCCACTATGCGCGTTCGTCCTTTCAACATTCAACGCACTGTTAATTTGCGAGAACTTAATCCTTCTGGTATGCACTTGCTATGATTGATATGTAAAGTTGATTTGATTCTTTTTAATACGCATGTTGTATTTATCTGCTAACTAAACATTGATATTAGATATTGATCAGCTGGTTACCATCAAGGGATTGCTCATTCGAAGCTCGCCTGTCCTCCCGGATTTGAAAGATGGTAAGCATATTGACTAGACGTCATGTTTGAACTACATTCGGTCGACTAACTGAATATTTCATTTTTTGTCTTGGATGCTCAGCCTTCTTTCGCTGTACGTCTTGCGACTGTTCTGTCGAAGTGAATAATGACCGTGGTCAGATTCGTGAGCCAACAGTGTGCCCTTCCAATGAGTGTAAAATGAAGAATTCCATGCAATTAATCCATAATCGCTGCTTGTTTTCTGATAAGCAAATTTGCAGACTTCAAGAAACACCAGGTAATACAATTGCTTTGATTGTACTCAGTATAGTTTATTAATATTACTGGCATTTTATCAATTAAAATTACAAAAAAGATCAAACCCCGGATGGCCAAACGCCATATACTGTTTCCCTTTGTGTTTATGATGATCTCGTAGATGTTGGAAAGCCCGGTGATAGGTACTTTTTGTGTTTGATAGAATGCTAATGTTTTTATGGTATTTAAAACTGACATGAATTTTTAGAATGGAGGTGACTGGTATTTTCCGTGGTGTTCCTGTTAGAACCAATCCTCGCCGTAGATCTGTCAAAGCTCTATTCAAGACGTACCTTGATGTTGTTCATATTAAACGAACAGATAAAAAGCGGCTAGGTGTTGATAAGAGTATTGGTGCCGAGAATGATATGGAAAACAGGTTTGGCTTTTTTATTGTCTCTATTTTCATATTTAGCATCCAGGTACAAACATAAACTAATACAATATATTTGCATTCAAATAATATTATATTCGGTATATAGCTTTGAAGAGACCGATGATATTCAGGATCAGGATGTATCGGACAATACTGAAGAAGAGATTCTAAAATTGGGATCTAGAACTGACCTGTATGAGATTCTGTCGCGTTCCATTGGTAAACGCTTGATTTTGAATATTTTGATTGGATGCTATAGATACGCTTCAATTTTATTTGTAAATAGCTAAAGCTTGAATGGTATTTACACTTTTTTGTTAGCCCCCTCCATTTTTGGAATGGAAGATGTTAAAAAGGGGACACTGCTACAGCTCTTTGGAGGTATGTTGTTCTGTTGATGAAATTAAATTTTTCATAATAGACTATATATTATATTAATGATGTTGATGTTTTCAACACTATTTAGGCGCTCACAAATTTTCCAAGTCTAACAAAAGCACACCTCGCATCAGGTACATGAGTTGATCAATGTCACTGATTTGGGTTGATTTGCTGCGGATTACCATTAAAAATTCAATTGGCGATAATTAACCAATTTAATGTCGACAACAGAGGCGATATTAATATTCTGCTTGTTGGCGATCCTGGTGTCAGTAAATCTCAGTTGCTGAGCGTAAGTCTACTGCTATATAATGTGTCGCTTAATCATGCGTTGTTGAGCCAAGCTATTGATTTACCTTTTACATGTATTTATTTCTAGTATGTTCACAAACTTGCTCCTCGTGGTATTTATACATCTGGTAAAGGTTCTTCTGCTGTTGGTCTTACCGCATATGTTACTCGCGATCCAGAAACTAGACAGCTTGTGTTGGAAAGGTGATTTTTGTTTAGATTTTTGTTTGATCAACCTGATTCTAATCATTATTTTTATAGTGGTGCACTAGTACTTTCTGATGGTGGTATCTGCTGCATTGACGAGTTTGATAAAATGTCAGACCATACTCGTTCTGTGCTTCACGAAGTCATGGTAATCATTTGTTTAGCCTTGTTATGTAAAACACTTGGAGTCACTTTTGTAACCTTGTTTTTGGTACGCCCAACCGTGTACATTAGGAACAACAAACTATATCTGTAGCCAAAGCTGGTATTATTACCACGCTCAATGCTCGCACATCTATTCTTGCATGTGCAAATCCCATCAACTCCAAGTTTGATCCCAATCTATCTGTTCCAGAAAATGTGAATTTGCCACCACCGCTCATGTCCAGGTAAGGCTTTTTGGCATTGTTTTTTGAAAATTATTGGTTTATCTCACTGTCATTTTTTGGTCTGAATATTTGTTAGATTTGATTTGCTGTATTTGATTTTGGACAAGCCTAGCGAGCGTGATGATCGTCGTCTAGCTCAGCATCTTGTTAGCATGTATCTGCATGTTCGACCAGATATTTCCAAGACTGATTTTGTTGTAAGAAACGCTTGCTCAACTGTCATAGTCTTGCTGACTTTGAAATGGATTTATTTTACTAAACATGCCTAATGCTTTTGACATGCAGCCTTTAGAACTGTTTACTAAATACATCAACTATGCCAAAAACCGTATTGAACCCCGTATCACTGAGGAAGCTGGTCAAGCCCTTCTCAATTTTTATGTTTCCATGAGGAAATCTGGCAGTCACGGAGGCTCAAACGTTGTTGTATTTACTACTAGACAGCTTGAAAGCATGATCCGCTTGTCAGAAGCACATGCTAAAATGAGGTAGACTTTGAAATGGTCGCAGTCATGATCTCGTGTCTGTAGTGATTCTTGGCACTAAGAGTATTGTTTACCTGGATGATTGTAGGCTTTCAGTTACTGTAGATCGTCAGGATGTTGAAGAAGCCAATAGGTATGTAGTAGCTTTTGTTTAAATGCCCGAATGTTTGATATTGCAATGTATTAATCTTGAAGGTTTTAGACTTGTTCTATCTGCCTTGCAAACTGCTGCCATTGATCCACGAACTGGTCGACTAGATCTTGATCTTGTTACAACTGGAATCAGTGCATGGGGTCGTAAAGTTCATGATCAAAAGCGTAGCGCACTTCGTCTGATGCTTCAAGAGTCTGAAAAGTCGGTGCTAGCATGGCCAGAAACCTATCGTTTGTTCACGGAGCAATCTGACGAGAAGATCAATGAAACAGAATTTAACAATATATTGCGGGATCTGATTGATGAAGGTTACATTCATGTATCTGGACGTAACAACACCAACAAGATCATTCGTAAATTAGGAGTCTAGCTTACAGTCTTGTCAGGAAAATAAACATGTTTATTATCAAATAAATTATCAACCTTGTTCCAGTCCAGTTACAATGAATCAATTGCACTATATCTGTATTTTGCAGTAATGTGAACAAGTCTAGTTGATTTAAACAGAAATCAAGATTAGCAACACGAGCTGTCCAAGTGAAGTTCAAAATTAGCTGCGAACAAGGTTTCCAAGATTTTCAAGATTTTCAAGATTTTTAAACCAAAGACCGACATGACATGCCCAACAGTTGTTGTATTGGTAGCAAATGGAACCGAAGAGATGGAAGCAGGTAAGACTGCATGAATCTACATATTCCATCGTGATAGTTCACTTGCTAATCTTCAACATGAATGTTCTATCTAGTCATTACCATTGATATTCTTCGTCGAGCACAAGTAAAGTGATGTTGAATTAGACCGACTGAAACCACTTGCACACTAACGTATCTCATTCAATATATGAAATGGTAATTGTTATTAGGCCAAAGTACTTGTGTGCTCATTGCAGGAAGAGAAGGTGATCGAGTGCAGTCGACATGTTCGTATTGTTCCCGACACTTGGCTCGCCAAGATTGATGCTGCAAATATCGATGCAGTTATTATGCCAGGAGGAATGGGCGGTGCCAAAGCTTTTTCTGAATCCAAAGATGTGCATCAACTCTTGAATCTGGCCAATACCAATGGCAAGCTGATTGGAGTCATCTGTGCTGGTAACTAACATTAGAATAATTCTAAACTGTTGGAATGGTTTGCTGATTGTTGATGTGTATGACCATCTCAATGTGTTGATAGCGCCTATCGCACTCAAGGCTGCTGGGATTTTATTTGGCAAACGACTAACTTCGCATCCGTCAGTTAAAGATCAGTTGGAATCCAACTATCAATACTCTGACGATCGTGTTGTTGTTGATGGCAACTTGATTACTAGGTAATATAAAAGTATTCATTGATTTTACTGGTAATTCAATCAGTTGGTCATTGTTTTGATTTACTCGAGTATGTATCTGTAGTCGTGGACCAGGCACTGCCATTGATTTTGCACTGGCTCTGGTAGAAAAACTACTGGGTGCTCAAGTTCGATCCAAGGTAGAAGCTCCAATGTGTATCTGCTAATGGATATACAATCTCATGTCACAGCAAAAATCAAACCGTTCGATTTATTTTTGGTAATTTAAACACGAATAAATCAAGTTTCTATCCTATTGCACTACAACAAGTCGAAATCGTCCAGCTGTTGTGATGGTTGCATCATAATTTAAAAAAATTCAATCAGAAAACCATATAAAGTGAATAATCGATTCGTGTAATGAGAGTGAAATGAATTACCTTGTCATTGTATTTCATAATCTTGCGCTTAATCTTGGATGTATCAACCCATGTAACAAAGTCTTCAAGATTACTAAAACCATCAAGTGGAGTTGAATTGTTAGTGCATAGTTTTTATGCATTTAGGTCAGATTAACAAAAAGTCTCAAAGTAGTATGATTTACCGAGAAACTAGATATGCTGGATCAGTCACTGCTTGAGGACCAACACGGATATGTCCTTGCTCTACGTAAATCACTGCTTGCTTGATGGTTTCTGCCATCTTAAGACGGACCATAACGACTGGCAATCGCCGTCTGTATTGTTTTCATAAAAAGTTGATGTAAATAAAACACTACTTGAATGTTTAAATTCAGACACTATACCTGCAGAATGCGGAAACAGTAATCTTTTCACATTGGGATAGAGACTTGGCAGCTGTGATGAGTCCCATGCGATAGAGTTTATCCAGCATAGCATCTGTCATTTTACTTCTCAGCGGATCTTTAGGATCCAGCATAGCCAATCGGTTTGTCAACTTTCTAATTTGTCCACATATTTGATTGTACCTGAATACAATGAAAACACATCAGTAACTAGATGACCAACCCAAACCATGTATTAATGCGTTTACAATAATAAAAAATAAATGGTTGACATTACTTGATGTAGTCTTCACGCCGTTGAATGTGGTATCTGCGCATTACAGCATTTTCACGGAGTGAAGGATCCGATTTATAGTTGACAAAGTCTACTTTTTTAAGAAGTTTCTGCTCGTGATGCTTGAATGCTCTGACCATATTGTTGATAAAATATAAAGTGAATTCAACGCATTTGAATAAAAAAAAGCAAACTCAAAACACGTGCTATTTATTATAGGGTCTACACCCTAAATAAATGGTGTTTGCAGCCAGGTTGCCAAAAACAGCGTCTGTTGTTTTCTCCCTTCTGACCAACAGGATTGACAAGTGTCCATCAAGCTAGTCATCACTATACCCAGTGTGTCTGCCCACTGAAGACTAAAAGTTTACTGGAAACACTAATAGTTTGTATTATTCAAAAGGAACAGACTTGCGTTCTGTGACTAGCTTCCACATCAAAACTCTGCTTTCAGCAACTCGGCTATAACACAAATCCAACTTGATTTCTGTGTAAGTCTTGTCCGTAACTATGGTTAAAGTGTTTGTTTTTAGTTGGCTGGATAGCATAATGAGAAACAGACTCGCTTTGTTAGACCTCACTGGATTGCATACATTGGTTGCTGCTACGGGTGTCTTGGAAATAAACTGCCAACTAGAACTTGATCTTCGTCAATATAAAACACATGGACTGTATCTAACCCTGTGTATTGTGATTTCATCATAAACAATGCATTTTGAATCTAGTATTGAAAATATAGTAACTTGGATTAGCGAGTTTATCTATTTCCAACTGCACATTCAACTCTGCTCAGTCCTTTTGAATCACATAGTTACATTGCAACTCTAAAATCTTTAGTATTGTTGCTTTTGGTATGCATAGAGGCTTGAGTGATTTGTTTTCAGCAGATTGTTGAGTCTAGCATGTCTGTTTCTACGCAAACCCGTTACTTTTCAAGTTGATTTAATATACTTTGTTGATTCTAGATGTCATTCACCGCTCCACCCATAATCTCTGCCAGTGCTATGACTGGTCAACAATCACAACTATTACACCCTCAACTACCACATCAACAGCTACAACAATCTCTTCAACAGCCTCAGTTAGCAGCCACAGGAATTGATTTAGGTGTTCATCCTTCTGGAATTGTCCCAACACTCCAGTAATATTCTTTTTCATTTTACAATCTAGTATTTACGGACTCTTACAGTACATGTTCTAATCGGTATTTTATTTGATAGAAATATTGTTGCCACGGTAAACTTGGATTGTCGCCTAGATCTTAAAACAATTGCTCTACACGCTCGTAATGCAGAATATAATCCAAAGGTCTCTTTGATTTATTTAGGACATTCTTTTCTATTTTATCTAGATATGGGATGTATGTTTTCTGAATATCGTATATCAATCGTATACTGATATTCAAATGCATTTATTTTGTATTATGAAAAACAATGTGTTTTTGCACACCCGTTGACTGTGGCCCATCTGTATTACAGCGATTTGCGGCTGTTATTATGCGTATTCGTGAGCCCAAAACTACAGCTCTTATCTTTGCATCAGGCAAGATGGTTGTCACAGGTGCCAAGAGTGAGGATAACTCAAAGCTGGCATCCAGAAAATATGCCAGAATCATTCAAAAGCTTGGATTTCAGGCAAAGTTTACTGATTTTAAAATTCAAAATATCGTTGGTTCCTGCGATGTCAAATTCCCTATTCGGCTTGAAGGACTTGCTTATGCCCACGGGCATTTCTCTAGTGTATGTGATGGTCATTGTTTATTTAGTATTAATGTATCAATACTTGTTTGATTGATTCTTTTTATTGCCACGACTTTAGTATGAACCCGAATTGTTTCCTGGCCTAATTTACCGTATGGTCAAACCAAAGATTGTTCTCCTTATTTTTGTATCCGGCAAGATTGTTCTTACTGGTGCAAAAGTCCGAGAAGAAATTTACCAAGCTTTTGAAAGCATTTATCCTGTGCTTACTGGTAAGTTTATTTTGGCTGAATCTGTTCATTTAATTTGAAATTGATTAGAGTTTTTGACATGCACTAATATGTTTATTGCACATGTCATTATTTCTGATTTATCTCGATGACTGTAGAGTTCCGGAAGCCATAGTTTATCTAACCTTCTGAAGCACTTGCTGTTTACTTTAACTGGAACCAAATAAAAATTGGGCATTGTTCCCGTATCCGTTGTTACAATCCACTTGTATGTTTTATCGTATAAATACAAAGTTGATGCAATACATTCTTGTCACTGCAGTTGATGCGAAGATTTGAATTTAAATTATGCGATAATCTGACAGAAACTCAATGACAGACTCGTTTCAAATACTGAAAAATACATCAAAACTTGAGTTGCTGTTTTCCTCATTGTATTACAACTAAGCTTGATTTCCAAGCATTCATCATTACTGCTTACACTCAATGTCTGATCATTCATCCATCAGCCTTCCTGTGTTCACCAAAACTGCTATTAGAAAAAAACGGCCGTATCGGAAAAAGCCAGACGATACAACAGACATCAATGGTATTCAAAGTACTGAAACCAAGGAAACCAAGGACAGCAGCGACGAGGATGAACACTCTAGGTGAGTTGGGTTACTCTTCAAGAATAAACCAAGTTTTTCAATGGGAAAGATGTTGGTTTGGCTTGAACCATGGATACAAATTATGCTATGCTTTATGCCAACCATGTCACTGTATTTCTTTAACGGTTGAGTGTTAGATTGACGTTACAGGAAGCATTGGAACTTCGGAAACTACGGAAACCTAAACCTGGAATATCAGCTGCTAGCCTTGAAACAGGCAAAGTTTCATTACCAAATGGAAAACATGAAGTATCGGTCGAAACGCTCCAAGATCAGGATGATCCTTGGAAACTCAAAAATGGAGGCTTGATAAATATAAGCGATATTCGTGGAAGGTCAGCGTCTTGTTTGTGGATAAGATCGAGTTCAGTGACTGATTTTATGGAATCGCTTTTGGAAACCGTTGTTTTTGGAATTGCAATTTGACCAATATAGAAGCTTTGGTGAAGAAGGATCTGGCACGGGAGGGTTTGAAACAGCTTCTAAAGCAATGGATACAGAGAAGCACATGTACGGTGTTTGTATGGCAAATTGTTTTTATACATTTCGGCATATATTCTCATACATTTTAAACTTGTTATAGGAAAGCATTTATTGAAAAGGAATTAAGGAAACGACGTGGCGATGCTCCCAGCACTACTTCGGATACGTCTCTTCCTTCATTGCGTAAACTGAATGATGAATTGAAGACCGGACCGACTGACTATGACGAAGAACTTTATAGGATTCCAGATGCATTAACGGTATCAATTTAACCCGTCCAACTTTTATTTTTTGATTGTACTTTTTATTCACAGATTTATGTTGTAATTTCTTGAATACATTTCACAAAGATCCCGGTCAAACCCATCAAAGAAGATAACGTTACCTTGTCTACAGGTATGCTCATGTCAATTCCAGAAGTGGATCTGGGAGTAAGGTGGGTGCTTACAATCAAGAATCAGCCATATAACTGTTTCAGCTGAGCTGACATGTTTGAATCTTACAATTGCGTTTCATTCTGCCACGTATTGTTTACCTCTACATGAACTTCAACTAAACAGCAACAAGCTAAAAAACATTGAAGAAACCGAGCAGGCCAAACGAAGTTTGCTGGAAAAGGGACAAAGCATAAAACCTGGCGATGCTGTTTTTGACACGATGCAAAAAACCCGATTCATGTCGACTGAACGATGCAAGTAATTATACTTTAAGATACTTGGTTTTGATCTAGAGTAATTGTTTAACTCATTGTGTGTCATGAATATATAGTCTGGGGAAGTGGTGCACATTCCACCAGAAGTCATGGTGGGAACAACGATAGGAATAACCACCAAAATCATGGTCAAACAGACGGAAATACTACTCACGCTGACAACACATCAAATAGTGGTAAACTATCTAGAAAAATGATGGCTACAGGCAAGTTTTATTATGCAGAATTTGTGATGGCAGGATTGACTCTGTATGGCTCAACTTGCAATAGACTGAATAGCTTAATCATTGTTTGTATGTTGTCTTTAGATATGCTGGTGATGGAGAAATTTAAAAAGCGCATGCGTCGTTGAACTATCTGAAGATTGCTAGTTTTATCTATTGGCTGTCGTATCGCTTGTGATCCAATTATAATGCATAGTATATTGAAATGAAATGAGAAATACCGAATGCCAAACCACTCCTGCATCTTATATGGCTTTAAAAGTTGATGACATGCCCAATCTAATCAGTCTGATATATATATTTATATTCAAAAGACACTATTATGCATGGTGAGTTTGGCAAGAGTATCACGACATAATGCTTCGGTGTGCTCAATAGAATTAAATGCTTCCGCTAATTTTGGTGAAACAATATCAATGGAAACTTCATCAACAATTTCTATCTCTTTTCCCTTGTAGGATCTAAAATTAAAATAAAATTAACATTTCATAATTGGAATCAAGTTTACAATTGTCTTGTGTAAAGTTGATTCAAGCAAAATCCAAGCATATCAATCGACTAAAATTTACCCAATCTTAAAGTGCTTGAATTTTCCAAGAAGTTTGTTTTGAAGATGAAGAGGTATTCCTTGCTGGTGTAGACTCAATGCGTAAATAGAAACATTCAATAGTGTGCGTTTAGTAGAAAACTCGATGATTAGATCGTCCTGAAGCTCTGGCTGGAAGCACTAGATGTTCAACAGTGATTAAAATCAAGATCAAATGTGGAGAAATCATGGCATCAAAATAGTTGGATTGGTCATGCATGAAGATGTCAGTTGATGTTTCTACCTTGGGATCTGGCTCTTTCTGGGGAAAAAGTTGCGATTCAGATGGAGTTTCAAGGTATTCTCTTGCCTTGACAAGATACCGAACGATATTTGAAATGGCCTATATAAATTTTCAAGGTTACTGTTGAATCCTACTCTTCAATTACACAAAAAACAATGGCAATCGGGTTACTACATACATCTTGGAAATGTCGCATATCCAAATCCGTATCATAAACCTCTGTCGCACATGCCAAAAGGTCCATACAAGTTACAAGACAGTTATTGGCCAGTGACATTTGACTCAACACACATGGTTTGCTCTGGTTAATAGAGATTTTAAAAGGACTTGCACGATTGTAGTGTGCAAGCTTGATGGTCAGATCCTAATGACATTAGACTATTAGTCAGATTGTGAAAATCCACGCTCGAGTAGATGTTAAGAATAAACTTACTCCTTTTACGACTGCTGCTCCGTTCATAGTAACAAATCCTTTAACAGCTCCAGAACTAGTTAAAATTTTGTAACCAAAAGCATGTTAGTCGTACTCTAACTAGCATGACTTGACATTTTTACAAGACTGGAAACATTTGATATGCGGTGAATTTATAAATACTATACTTTGAAGATGAAACAACCAATGTTGCTGCAGATCCAGGCGAGTTATTAACTAAAACTGAATTTATAAATGAATGCGATGTGAGTACTAAATATAATCCAGATTGAAATGATCAAAACTGATGCTTGCCTCCATCGACTCCTCCAGAGCATGCATTGATTCCTATCTAGAGTCAAAAGCTACCAAATTAGTCAAGACATAACTGAATGATTTGAAAAGCAAGCTTTTCAAAGATGAATGAGTAGCATCTATCGAGTCTAAAGATGAACCATTAAAACGAGATGATATGGCCAATACGACACCAATTTTGCATGTATTTTTGTGGATAACCAGCAACAGCAAGGGTGAACAATTACAACTTGATGATGAAAGCATTGCCAATACACTTACTTGTAGATTTAAGCGCAGCTCATCAGCCACGATTCGTAGTCTGTCTGAGAACCATTTTCTCTCTTCAGTAAGGTCTACTCGAGGTTGTAACGACATTAACAATATAACAGTTGAAGGCAAACTGACAAAATAATTTACACGACTCGTTGCAGTTGTTCACGTAAAATCAGTTCTTTCAAACTGGTTTGTAATGAGAGCGTTTATTAGAAATCGACTATTTTGATAAAAAGTTTATTCAGAATTCAATTACAAGTTTAATGTTCTATTTTGGTAGTTGTACGCTGAGCAATCAACACGTTTGAAACCAGATTTCATTCATTGTAATCCAGATATTGTTATTCGACTTGTCAAACTTGGTTTCATTCTGCATGAATACGATTGAAATTGCATTGAATTTCCAATCTCAAACCAAGACTGGCTTGTATTGGATATTCCATCTTTACTACAATTATACATCAATGCTACTAGAAGCTATCATAATAATAGTTTCCTTTTATTTAATCTTGGCAATTACTCAAACAATCTGATTATGAGTTCCAGCTCTCTTCCACAGTTTCACGTACTCGTTTGTTGTAATCTTTTCTGGAATCCGAAAACAGTCGAGCAGCTTCAGCATTTGCTGGACTGTTTGGATTAGGATCATGTAACAGGGATTGAATTGAAGTGAGAATTGCAGCTACATCATATGTTGGGGACCTAGTTTAACATGTATGAATGGGGCACGATTAGACAAGTGAATTCAAATTTGAAGTTGCATACCAAGCCATCATACCATCTGTTTTGTAGGATATCCAAGCACAAATCACCATTGGCATATACATTGGGGTGAAACATTCTGCTGACAAACTTGACATGTGGAGGCTTAGTTGGATAGCTCTCTTCAAAAGTCAATACAAGTTTGAATGTCTAAAGTCATACCATTCAAGTATTAGTTGAACATCAAATGTAATCTATTGGTAAAGTTACATACACCGTCTTCAAAAGGAGTGTCTTCCGGACCAAAGATGACTGCATTCCACAGTAACACATTATCCGGACAAGGAGCACCACTGACCCCGTCAGGAGGGTCAGTTTGCAATCGTTTAAAGTCTCTCATTAACCTTCGCTTGGACGGAGTGGACATGACTGAATGGCTTGGTTGATTGCAGTGGAAAACATTCAATTTCCACTGCAATCGACACCCATGGTCATCACGTGCTGACAAGTTAAAATTCACTTTTGCAATTGGCTTGCAACTGCAATGGCACACCGAAAGACTGATGTCGACTTTGATGATGAAGACCAGTACGTTGATGACGGTCCTGCTGATCCTTCTGTGTCTGAACTAGACGCACTTCTTAGTTCAAAGACGACCGATGTTCGCAACTTGCTTTCTCGGTAATCTTGCTACTACTAGCTTGTTCTTGATATCGCACTGCATATCTAGTACTTGGTCAGATCCTTTACTTAGATATGAAACTACTTTGAATTGTTTAGTGGAAATGTTGCTGCTGCTCTTCAGACTGCTTTGAGTAATCCTCCCACTGGAAAGAGCAAAGATGTTGATCCACTCAAGGTAATCTTGCAGTGAGACAGTCAGTGTCTCTTTGTTAATGCTTTTAAACTTGTATTAGGAACGAGCAACACAACTGGTCGTTGAGACTCTAGCTACTGTTAGACCCACAGACATTCCTGCTGTTGTTAAAGAACTTCAACCTGCACATATTGATGTGCTGATGAAGTACTTGTATCGTGGCATGGCTTCGCCTGATTTGTTCAACTCGGCATTGCTGCTTTCATGGCATGAAAAGGTATTCCGTAGTGCTGGAATGACTGTGTTGATGACTCTAACCATGTTCATTTGTCACTGTCAACTAATGGCTTTACACAGGCATACGAAGTTGGCGGACTTGGTTCAATCGTACGTGTCTTGTCCGATGGGCGATCCGTATAAACTTTAATGCTCAACAATAAATGATCAAGCCATCTCAATCCCATTGAGTTGAACCTTAAAATAATACACTTGTGCTCTCGTCATCAAGCATTTGTTTTTGAAAAAAAAGTATTCAATATAATTATTACGATGCATCCCGATCTGACGAATGCAATCCCGACCCATCATCCTCTACAGCCGAAGACTGTCCAGCATCGTCCTCCATGTCTACTGTTGGCTTTTGCTTCTTGCCATCATTTTCTGCCAGATCTGTCTTTCGCTTCTGTGGAATTGCATCCTCAACCTCGTCCACTTCCATCTCTGCTGTATGGGTCTCTTCTTCAGGATCTGCTTCTGCATCATCAGACTGCTTCTTATTTTGCTGTCTTTTTTTGCTTTCCAGTCGTCGACCCTTGACTTGTTTTTGAAACGCTTAATAGGTTGAGATAGTATGAGTACCTTGTATACTTCAACAAGGTCCAAGTAAACCTGAAAGTTATAATGGCTTACCTTGTACACTGGACTGGATTCGATCAAAAAGAACTTCTTGTAGTTCCAAGACTTCCAATGCCTTGTAGATATCAGTAACACCAACAGTCTTGCGACCTGCCTTTTTTGTCACATCATTCGCACTGTTTCAACAAGTTAAACTTGGAATCAAAACAATACAAGTTGAGCAATAAAACATACGTTGCAGTAAGATAGTTGATGAATACAGTGCAACAGCGATTCAAAGCAGACTTGGCATCCTTGTGAACTTTGATGTTTGCTGGAGTCTAGCTCAAGCAATAATCCATAAAACGATCGTGTCAATTCAAAACATGGTTAACAAGTCGTTTGATGGTTCAACGTTACTGCTTACAGATCTTTTGATCACTCTCTGAACAATAGAACGAGGTAGTTCATACTCCTCAATAGACAAGCCTGCAGAGGATGCAGCAGTTCCAAGAAGAGCAGCAGCAGTCACTGAAGGAGTATTGAATCGCTCAGATCCTCCTGCTGCTTCGTCATCGTTGTCATCAACACCATTATGTTCTGGAACAGGTGAGCTGTATCTATCCACAGAGTCATCATCATTGATTACTGATTGATGGCTATTACTGTCTTTTTCGATAGGAGCAGCGGCTGGTTCAGTCAAGATCATGTTGATGTCGAGTTGAAGATTTAAAATTAAAAAAGTCCGATCAAATCACAACACACCCTCAGGAAAAAAGAAACAAGCCATACAAGCCAAGAGTTTATATAAAAGCAGTTCATACTGACAATACTATAACTAGATGAACTGCGACTGTCTCTTACTAGCAACTCGAGCCTTTCGAGTCGTTTACTTTCATGAACGAATTTCTATTCAACGCGCTTAAAATGATTTGGCAACTTTCCCAATTATCGATATTACCAATCATCATGAATTCGACTACCTCTCTCGCTCATGAATATCTTGCTCTGGACCAAAATCCAGTTACTCACGCTGAGATCAAAGGACTTTTGGATTCTGCAAATCATGATAAGCTGCAGAAGCTGCTTTCTACTCGCATTGCGTTTGGAACTGCTGGTACTATTTTAATGGTTGATTAGACTACTTTTGGTATTTATAATAACATTGAATTTTGTAGGACTCCGTGCTGAAATGGGTGGTGGTTACTCCCGTATGAATGAACTCACTGTCATTCAAGCCTCACAAGTAAGTATTCAAACCTCATTCTAATGTCTTGATCCTTGTCATGAATCCAATGGTCAAGAATGCTTTGGAATCAACTATAACAGGCTGGGGTTCAAGCACATCACATGATGTACTGCCATTTAGCTTTTGCTTGTCAGGGATGTTCATCTAGTCTTGACAATCTCGTTCCAAACAAATCAATTTGACTTTAGGGCGTCTGCGCTTACTATCTCGACACTGTGCCTGATTTCAAATCAAAAGGTGTTGTCATTGGTCACGATCACAGACACAATTCGGATGCGTTTGCTAGGTACCTTTAATCTTGTACATGATTTTGTAGTAATTCTAGTCAGATACCGTACTCATTCGTTACATATAGGCTTACGGCTGCAGTCTTTGCCAGCAAGGGAATTAAAGTGTACTATTACAGAGATTTAGTGCACACACCCATGGTTCCATTTGGTGTTACTTCTTTGGGTGCTGGATGCGGTATCATGATCACTGCTTCCCACAACCCTAAACAGGACAATGGCTACAAACTGTATGCTGGAAATGGATGCCAAATCATCAGTCCTCATGATTCTTTGATTGCTGAACAAATTCTGTACGTATTGATGAGTTTTTATTGATCGTGGTCTCCAATTATAAAAACTCATGCGTGTTATTTAGACTCAATCTTAAACCCTGGACCTGGGATTACGAGTTGATCAACACGAGTTCTTTAGTGACTGACCCAATCAATGAAATGTATCCTGCCTATTTTGCCAAGCTCAAGTCGCTCTCTGTTTTCCAGTATGGATTCTTGCTTGATGGGTTCAATTTAATCTGAATGTATCATGAAATAATTGACACGATTCTTTACATTGAATGACTGCAATAGCGAAAAAAATGCTATCCAGAATGTCAAATTCTGCTATACTGCCATGCATGGCGTTGGTCTGACCCCTGCTTTGAAAGTGTTTGAGGCGTTTGGTCTCTCTCCATTTGTGCAAACAGCTGAGCAAGTCAATCCAGATCCTGAATTTCCTACCGTTGCGTATCCTAATCCCGAAGAGGGGAAAGGTGCACTGGTGAGTTGATTTTCACATTCAGTTCTTGGTTTGAATCTTGAAAATGGGTTACCATCATAATACTAACGTTACAAACATCAATCTACTTTTTCAATTGTTTAGACTCTTGCAATGCAAACCGCAGACAAAAACGGTGCTACAGTTATTTTTGCCAACGACCCTGATGCTGATCGTCTTGCCATTGCCGAAAAAAAACCAAATGGCGAATGGCATATCTTCAATGGAAATGAAATTGGTGTGATTCTTGCCACTTTGGTGCTTGAATCTCTTCGCATATCCGGTAAGTAGATTATCATGCTGTGGTGGTTTAGAAGTGGTGATTCTAAACTATTTACGATGGATTACGTGTAGGTGGAGCGAAACGCCCCTTGGCAATGCTTACCACTACGGTCTCCATGCATATGCTAAAACAGGTCGCCAAGCAAGAAGGTTTCCAGTTTGAAGAAACCTTGACGGGATTCAAATGGCTTGGTAACCGTGCAATCGATCTTGAGAAAAAAGGATTTCAAGTCGCATTTGCGTACGAGGAAGCCATTGGATTCATGGTTGGAGATGCTGTGAGAGATAAAGATGGTGTGAGCGCGCTTGGCGTGGTTGCTGAGTGGGCCAATCATCTTGCTACAAAAGGACAAACTCTTCATGGTTATTTACTATCCTTATACGAAAAGTAGGCAATTTCAACACCTTACTGCTTTTGTGTTACCGAGCTTCTATATTCTAACACCACACTTTTATTGTAGGTATGGCTACTTTACATCAAACAATGGTTACTTTATTTGCCACGAACAGTCTGTCATCAATTCTCTTTTTGATGATATTCGTTATGGCAAAGAACGTAAATCCGCCGAGGTATGAGCATTGCTTGTTTTTATTAGATTGATCATTTTGTTGGCAGAGTACCGTCATAACACTTTTTATTTGATGCATACATATATTTAGGCCGGATCACCTTACAAATACGCTTTGCAGTATCCAACAACCATTGGTGGATCAAAGGTTTGCTGGGTGCGTGATTTAACAATTGGCTATGATACAGCCCAGGCGGATAAAAAGCCCACTCTGCCAGTTTCTTCCTCTGCTCAGATGTTGACACTCGAGTAAGTTTCTAGTTTATATATGTAATGGTACACATACTGACTTGTTTGATAAATGTAAACAAGATTGGAGAACGGAGCGTTGATTACATTAAGAACTTCGGGAACTGAGCCCAAGATCAAATACTATACTGAACTCCGAGCATCCACACTTGCACAGGCCACCAAAGATCTTCAAATAGTCGTTGACAGCATGATTGAAATTTGTTTGCGTCCCAAGGAGCACAAACTTGTTTAGAGCTTACACTCGACTGTTTTGAATTGACGGATTTTTTCAGATTTGCTTTTTGAAATAAAGGGTTGTTGACTCTAGGTTTGAATTATAGACAACTTGCTAGAGATTAATACAAGGTACAGATATATGATTTTATTCGTTATAAAACGGCGACATCTGCTTGACAATCAGGCCATTTTTCAAAACATGGGTGCAAGGGAAATCAAAGGGCAGTTACTGCAATAGCACGCTTGGTAAGTAACGCAACACGTGGATCCAATACATTGACATAAAACAAAATATTCTTGCGATCCGAGTTTAGATATACAGGAATGTGAATGATTGTTTTTGGGCTACCTGATGGAGCCGTTTTTGTTTCATTCAATTGGCGCCAAGCAAGAATCAAAGGTGGAAGTGGATCCGGAACAACTTTATGAACCAAATCTAGTTTTTTGTCGGTCCATTTCGCACCTTCAAGCTTCAATCCAATCATTTCAATACGCATACCACCTTGAGTATAGGCTGTATCAGTAGTTGGATCTAACATCACTGCCAGCTCAAGATTCTCCAACGAAGCGCCAATAAGCTTTGCTGCAGTCTGTCTCGCGGCAGTAAGAAATGCTTCAGGGAAAAACAACCCACCAATCCATACCTTTAGCGATTCAAGCTGTCCAGCCATAGCTGACTCTTGCAATTCTTTTACTTGCTTCAACCGCTCCACTAAATTATCAAGAAACTGATTGATGGTGAACAGGGTGGGAATAGTGTAGGATATCCAATGTTTAGGCACCTCTCCGCGACGAAGTAATGATGTAAGGAGTCGCGTACTGTTTGTATGCTGATCTTTTCCAACTAAAATAAAGTCAAGAGACGTAAGATCTGACCTAATTGTCGCAAGTAATTTTGCAGCCGTTTCGGTTTCAGAACCAATAAAGCGCATCAGTGGGTCGGTAGCATCCGGTGCATTAAATTCTGGCAAATTCTGGTACAATAATAGCCAATTTCAAATATAGCAAATAGTTAGTTGCAGACAACACATTTATAAAAGCAGTGCATTTAGGTGCAAGTAAACAAACCTTTGGTAAGCTATCGAGCCACTTTTTAATCAATTCGCGCATTGTGGTAGACCAGTTGGATGGATTGCCAGTTTTTGCCGAGTTTTCAACATTCGATAAACGCTCGTTCATGCATCGCAATTTACTCAGTAATGTAGTACTTTTGAATTGCTTCAATAAAATATCTGAATCAGCAGGAAGGCCAATCCAACTTGGAGGCAAAGTATCTTTGAGCTCATTGACCCAGGCAGAAAATTGCTCCAGTTTGATGCCATCTGGACACATTACCGTTGGCTCCAGACCATTACTGCTCTCTACCCCATCTACAAGCACAAATTCACGTTCGAAAATTGCAGGAGTAAAAATTTCATCTACAAGTACATCTAGTGTTTTTTGATCTCCAACAACATCAATCTTGCCACCATACACGTTCTGTGATATCAAACTCTTCAATGCTGTCCATGGAATTTGTTTAGGAGAAATACTTGATTTGCCATTACTGACATTCACCAGCCATGCATCAATGAGATGAAGAGCCATGTCATAATCTGCATCGTTGAAATCATAAGATTTTGTCCATCCTACTGGGAGATACCTCAGACGTTCAAGAATAATTGCGTGTAACCATGAAAGCATGAAAAACAATCGGGTTTTTTCAGATGGACCCGTCAAAATAAGAGATTGTGGAATACTGGAAAGAGATTCACTCATACTTGCTTTGATCCCAGCAGGTGGCTCAAATACCAAGTTTCTTGACCGGCGGAGAAGGTTAAGCGGTAGTTTGGATGAGATTTCCAACGTCAAGAATAACTTCAATGTACTTCCTACAGGAAACGAGTGTAATTTTTTTTCAAGCTGGCTTAACCACGATAGCGACAAATGTGCGTTCTTGAGTAACACCCACGATGTGGATTGTAACGCCCCTGCAATGGCAGTTTCTGCAAGTTTAAATCCCTCGTTGGAACCAAGAGCAACAGAAACCAGTCGCTGGCCGCTTTGGGAAGCTAGAATTTCAACACGAGAACTTGTATCGTATCCAGAATCCGAGCACAAAATAATTGGTGTCACGCCAGTAGTTTCTTCAATCACACGTGCAAGTTTGTCATCTGTAGATATAATCGGGAACGTGGATCCAAATACAGCTTCAAAGAAAAGCGACAATGATTCCATCAATCTATCTGGTCGAATACATTTGATAATCAACAGCGAATAAAACGCATTGCTTGATGCATCATGCGTGTCGTTTTGTTTCCAGCACACGGGAATCTTTTCTTCAGGTCTCAATTCACTGTGCACAAGTCGTCTCCATGTATCTTTGTTGGCAATAATACTGTGCTCTAGTTCAGAAAACGGTTTGATTTGGCACAGTTCTGACAATTTGCAAGCAGCATCATGCCCTACAATTTCATCAAGAGCCGTACTGCCTCCCTGATGAACAACACTGTTACTGCCATGAAGCAAAAACAAAAACTCGGTTTCAGTAATTGCCGCAGAAGTGCTTTGTTGCTTAATTTGTGCAATGAGCATTCCAAAAACAAGAATATCGTGCTGTCGCAGCGATCGTGACACTCGCTGGAAAGCAGTCATAAACATATCTTGCTCGAGAATTTCCAATCGCGCCGCCTTGCTTGTCTTGCCAGCTAAACGAGGGTTGTTTTTTAAAACCTTTTCAAAAATCTCGAAAAAAAAGTTGAGCGCAAACTGATATATACTTTCCAAACTGCTAAGCTGCTCCATTGCAAAGTAGATGGATGAGCACGATTCGGCCAAGAGTGTATACTGAGAGCTTACTGCCTCGACTTCTTGCATGATAATGTCAGTTTCTTGCACTTTAGATACAATCTCACTTGCTTCTTTTTTAAGAACTTCAAGAGTGCTGATGACATTATCGTCATCAAGAATATTACCCTTGGATTCGTTGAGTGATATAAGAAGTGCTTTTTCAAGATGGTGAAGACGAATTTGAAATTCTCCTTGCATCCGCACAAGATCCGTTCGCTTAGCATCCACATCGGGTCTCTCAGCTTTTAGCAAATGATCAAGACACTGTAGCTGAAGTGACGCGGGAGTAATGGTGAAATTGACAAACGTGACACGGCTAGCAATATCTGGAGAGAATGCCAGTGATGGATTTCGAGTAGATAAAAACATAGTAAATGTAGGAGAGTAATCAATCTCCTTATTTCCCAGGCGGCAAAGCGTACGACCTCCACTACGACGTAACTCTTTGTTGAGAATAGAGTTGATAACAGGGTCAAAATCCTCTGCGTCTTGAATCAATATAGGATTGCCGAATCGCAATGCACTTTCCACAGTCTTTAAAAATGCATTGTCTCTAAAACTTGTAACAGTAATGCTTTTTGTTTTAAATTCGTTCAAAATAAACACCAAGGCTTGGCCAGACGGATCAATCACTAATGGATATCGTTGACACTGCTTCAACATCACTGCATTTTCAATGCATAGATTATCAGCAGGCAGCGAGTTCTTGATCCATGATGCGCGCTCCTCTGTTGAAGCAAGATATTCTGGTAGCGACAAGTTCAAGTTGTATCTTACTCCAGCACTTTGCATTTGGTTCTTCCAAGTTTGCAGCAAATTCATACGATCTTTTTGATCATAGTATCCTGCATAGGCTAAAAATGCACTTGCTAGCAGCACGTCGCCAACAAGCGTCTCCATTTGTTGTCCAAATGATTCTCGAGACTCCTCCCATCGACCACGTTCAGATGACAAATTATCAAGAACTCGCATTGATCGATCAACACGGTCCTTGACCAGCTGCATCTCTTGTTTTAGCATCTGTGTCTCGCTAATCAGTACAGCATATTCTCCTTTGTAAACCCCAATGCTCTGTTCAAGCTCGCTGATCATCTGGTCAATAGAACTTGCTTTTTGTTTGGTTTCTTCAGCTGATTGTTCAAGTTGTTGGACTTCTTCACGTAAAGGCCCAACTTTTTCAAGAATCTCAGCGTAGGAATATTGCGCAATAACCCATTGCACAAGAGGTCCGCAAGCCTTGCTTGCCCTGTTAACAGTTTCAAAAGTAAAATTGGGATCACTTAGATACGTAGCAAAAATCTCATTCCGAATTTTGCGACTCAGCGACCCAGTCTCGTAATTTACAATACTGGATATAAAATCATCACGACGAAGAACGGCTTGAACGGCTTTCCACGAGTCTACTTTGTTTCCGAGTAGAATACAAACAGATTCCATGGCCATTTTAACTGCACTGGGTGGGTTTCCCATAGACCGAACTTCAGTGAGATGCTGCTTCTTGATACCCCGAACACTCTCTTGAGCTTCAAGAACGGCCGGTTCAGCCTTTTCCAAATCCGCCAAAACAACTTTGCGTCTAGATTCAATCTCTGCGTTTTGCTCTACAAGCGCAGTTTGTATTTGCATCGATGCACTTCGCTTACTTTCCGCCTCTTGTTGATCTTCAACCATTTTTTCAAGCTTTTCATTTGCTTGGATTGTTTTTTTCTCTAGCTCGCTTTTTTTAACAGCCAAGCTGGATCGTAACTCTTCGACCTGAAGGACAGTATCCCGCAGTTTATCAAGACCAACAATCAAATGGCGTTGCCGCTCCTCCAACTCAAATCGCTTTTTGCGATAGATATGCACAAATCCAGTCACAAAATCAAGAAACTGTCTTGGAGTAACAAAAATAGGTACACTCTGTCGCGCCTTGATTTTCTCGTTCAAGTTGCGGAGCAGCTGGTGGACGTAGACAAATAAATCAAGTAGCGTATCTCTGAATGTAATCGGACTGTTGAGTCCCGGCAGCATAGTGATATATTTTGGAGGAAGAACAAAAGTATTATCGTCTAGATCGAGGGTATGGGTAAAATCCTGCCCAACCTGGAAAAATGCCTGAGTATCCCAGTCACCATACCAATCTAGTACACAGCGATTAAACAATGCAGGAGAAGTTGTAGCTTTACTGGTCAATGACCCATCAGGCGGATTCATGGTAAAGACTATATGTAGATTACGCATAACTTGTTGTTTGAACCATTGGTACAGCTCGTCGTGTAAATCAAGTGTAAGACCCTCACGCTGACTAGCTTCTTTACAAGCAGACATCAACGAAGTAAACTCGTCGCCTTCAAATAGACCAGGGATCTCAGCGTTTGCAAGAAGAGTATTCATTCTCTCGATAAACGAAGACTCGAAAATACTGCCCTCATCCAAAATAAAACACAGCTTTTCGCCTTTGCAACCAGAGCGACGCAACAGCGTCCGTAAATCATCATCAAAATCAGAGGCGGTATACTTGCTATGCATGTTGGCTTGAAATACATTGATACCATTCATCCACGCAACAAATCGAGTAAGAGTGGTCTTTCCTGATCCAGAGATACCAATAATGAGCATATGTCCCTGCGATTGTCGAAACACTCGGTCGATTCTCAAAATATGCTCCAAAGCTTTATCAAACAGCACTAGCGGAATATCCAGCTCTTCTTCATAAAACACTTGCAGGCGTGCTTTGATGAAATCACGAAGTTCGTTACGATCCACAGATACATAGTGCTTTGATAAAAAATCAGAGTACAAAATGGGACGTTGCAAACATGTATCCACACTTGTCCCAGGAAAGTAACGAGAAGCAACAGCATTCAGTTCCGTATCCGTCCACATCTTTTCTTCATCATCAACCAATCTGTCCTGATACAATCTCAGACCTTCATGAGCCCAAGTCCGGATAAGATTATCAATAGATACAAAATCTATTGGGTGAATGATTTCGTAGATACCTCTAATCCATCGAGACAGCTCGCGTGGTGAATAAATATAATGCGGCTGTATGTCTGGTGTAAAGCGCTTTTTAGTATTAATAAAGAACTCAACCATGGCACCTGTAAGAGCCTCGGCATAGCCACGCAAGTTTGGATGGACCTTGAGGCAGGCTCTTGCAAACGTGCTATAGATAGTTATAAGCGATTCCTGTCCAGGATAGTCTACAAACACTACAGGTGCATGCCGAAGAAACCTAGGCGTCAATGGAATCCGACCTGGATCTGTTGGTGGATTGCACGCACCAACAAACTGAATACGTTGAACATCAACCCAAGTGCGATCAAATCGCCAAAACCCGCCATGTTCAATCAGCTGCCGCATAAATGAAATAACTCGCTGCGTACCATATTTATCTTGGCGGGGCAAATTGATTTCGTCACAAAACAGGACAAGCCAGCGGTCCGAGTCTTTGGGAGATAAGATCATGCTATTGGATGTTTTTCGATACTCACAGTTGAGTTCAAGAACACGAAGAATCATCTCAGGAGTTGTTTCGCTTGAAAAATTAAGTGGGATAACATCAATTTCAGCCATTTTCCGAAGTGCAAAAAGCAAGGTCATGGTCTATATACATAGCCAAATATCAAACGCAATAAAATAGTTAAACATGAGTGAAATACTCGCAAAATTGTATAATTCAACGCTTTTCAATCTTACTTTTCCAGAACCAGGAGGACCACAAAGAATAACTGGACGATGCTCGGTAAGCCACACCATGAGAATCTTTTCATGTCTTAAAGTATCAATTGTAGGAACAACTACATCTGCTCTAGTCAATGTCTGTGGATCAATATCAATTATTGGAACAACGCTAGACCAAGATACCCATGTCCCACTCGATATATCTACATCAAAATCAAGTACAGTATCGGAAAGCGTAGGTAGCGGCATCGTGCATCTACGACTAACAAATTCAGCCAGCTTTTGGCGTGACTCTGACGGAGCCGAGCCACCAAAACTCCATACAAGATTGATATAAAAACTCTTTGTGATATAGTTTTCTAATGCATCAGCTGCAAGCGGAAAATCGGAATGAGTTGAATTATATCGCAAAACTACTTTAGTTGCAGCATTCATAAGCGAAAACAAATTTGACAATGCGTGCGCTTTGGAGATTAACATCACATGGTCTAAAGATGCTGCAAAGTTTAAAGCAAGACTTAAAATTCCATTAGCCTGTAGCATAGGCTCTAGCAAATCAGCAACCTGCAACTGTGCAGGTTGGATCAATCCGGCGACATTCATGCCATCAATAGAAACTTCAGAATGAAAATCATCGTCAATTGGAAGAGACCTTGTACGTTTGAGATACTGATCAGCAAGCATCTGTGGTGTGACAAGATCATCCGAAAACCATACCATACCACAACGGCTAATAGTTGCCGGTGTAGCCTGAAGAAGGTCCTCTACTTCAAACAAGATACGAACATTTGGTGGAACACGCAGTCGCTCGCCGTTTGGTAGAGTGAGCATCTTGTTGTCATCAAGAACAGAGTTTAAATTTTCAACCCATTCGGGATCTACATCGCCATCAAAGATAATCCAGTGTCGTTTGGAGCTTTCTCCGCGTACATCATCAATAATCTTGCGTAGAATATGAGTAAAAACACCATCAGTCCATTCACGAGTAGTTGCATCAAGGAAACCGTATAGTTTGTCCTTATTTGATGATTTTGGTTCCAAAATATATACATGTCCATCAGCATTCTCAATTTTGTCCAAAGCCTCAAAAAGCACTTTTCGAACAAGAGATTTGCCAGACCCAGACGGGCCAACAATCATTACACCGTGGTGAATGTTTTGGATATTGTAAAGCTGAACGACCTTTTCCAGCCATTGATCAGTGACTATGAGGTGGTGGCGATCACATGCAGCAATAATTTCTTGTTTGAGTTTAGCCAATGATACATCAGTACTTTGAATGCCAGGAAACACGTCCTTTAAAATACGGTCTGCAAGAATCACATCGGTTTTGACCAGTTTGGGAAAGACGGTCTCTTGAATGCTTTGATAGAGCACGCTTTGTTCCAACCGTGACTCTTCCAAACTATGTGACGTGGTTTGACTTGAATCAGTAAGTTGAGAAAGCCGACTACGCTGTAAGTTACCCGCACTCATAAGAACGCTTTTTAGTGCACGTAAACCAAAGTCGTAGTGATTACGTGCTGATAGCTGCTCCTTGCATATATCAAAGAATGGAATAGCTTTAGATGCAAGCACCTCGGCATGGCGAAATCCTTGTGAGAACAGCATAACTTGTGCAATAAGCAAACGATCCGGGACCGTCATGGCAACACTGCGGAATAGTTTGCGCAAATTGTCTGGTAAATTGGAACGACCAGCGTATCCAGGATTCATAGTGATGAAAATGCCCGTGTTTTTTTGCACAACTACAGACTTGCCAACAAGATCAATCTCTTCGCGAGATTTAAGTCCGGTTTGGATAGACTGAATCTGCTGTGATACTGCAGAAAGAATACGTTCGTCCAAACGGTTAAATTCGTCAAAGCAACCCCAAGCACCGACTTGACAGAGACCAGTAAAAATACGACCCATGGATTGAAAATCAAAGTTTTCGTCACAGCAAAAAACAAGAACTAGACGTCCAAATTGGGCCCCCATAGCTTTCACACTCTCAGTTTTTCCTGTGCCGGCTGGCCCAAACGGACTACCACCTAATTGATTATGCAGTGCTTGAGCAAGAGTGAGATAGCAACGATCAGTAAGTGGTGTTTGAACAAGTCTGTCTTGAAGACCAAGATACTCAAACCCATAATAGAACGATGCGTTAGCAAGACAGACTGATAGAGATTGCAAAGCCAGAACCTTTCGATCAAAATAAAACCTCATTTGAGAAAGCCATTCAAAATCTTGTGCACTCGATACTTTTGCCAAAATAAGCTGGCGAATAACATCGCGCTGATGAACCAGTTCTGTAATTAAACCTTCGCATCTCTTGCGACGAATCAGTGGCAAATTACTCAATACAAGCTCTGCAAGCATGTTGATGCCTTTATCGACCGCCTTCAAAAGCAAAGTAAGCTCCAACGAAATAGACGAAGATGTCAGTGCTTTTTCAATAGCAAGCGTCCATTTAATTTGAGCTGTAAGAAGCACGACTTGAGATGGGTAAAAATCAATCCAAGCATCAAGCATAGGAAGCTGCACTTGTTGGCTTAAATATCCAGCAGCATCGCTATCGCAAGACTCCTCTACATATTTGGCAAGAGATCGACTGCATTCTGCTTCCATCAAACTCAGCCATTCATGCACTCTAGTTGAAGTCGTGATGATTACAGGCTGCTTAAACAGCACCTGTTCGCCTTCTTTAGAGCATACACCCTCAATCTGCAAAGATTCGCTCGACAAAATTACCGAATGAATGCCTGCAAACATTTTTTTGAAGTACGGCTGAAGTCGAGTAATGTCCTTTGAATTACCTAAAATATCCAACAAATCCTCATCCCCAACAAAATAAAATCTGGGAAACTTGGCACGCTCCTTTTCAAGATACTCCCCAAGTGATTTTTGAATGGCTTGAAGCATGTCTGCAAGTCTTTCCATTGATTTCTGAATATTTGGAATTGAAATTACATCCCACACAAGAGTCGATTTGTACACTTTGCGCAGCATAGCCATAAATTCAGCATCAATGGATACAAAACGGTTGCTCTCAATAGGCAAAATCTGTCGAATGTCCATGTTGCCGCTAAATATACCTTCTAGATAAACCCATTGACGCTGAACAACAATCCATACCTCCAAGAGTATATGAAGACGAGTGAGTTTTTCCTCGATTAAAGTGGCTTCTACCTCAAAAACCTTGTAATGCTGTGATCCACGCATAGCAGAAAGCGCTGCAAGATGATCCTCAGATTTGGTAAAAAGATCATTCCATCCCTTTACTAAACGACACTTGTTTTGATAGTTGGTAAATTCAAGCGAGTAAGATGTCCAAATGGCCTTTGTTTGCTTGAGATATTCTTCAAGTGCCAATTCACCAGCAGCAATCTCAAGTACCTCGTCAATCAGCTTTTCCTTTTCCTTGAGACGAGTAGAGTTCCACAAATGACCAACTGTAAGACTGTTATGATTAAGAGACTTGAGACCAATGATGGATAAAATACGATCCCAATGCCGTTCGCGCAAAGCATCCGATTTAAGACGCGATGCTCGAGTATGAATAGCAATGTATCCTTTAAGAGTACTATGTGTGTGTTCAAAAGCAGCATATTGACGCATACGATTCGGCATATCCTTGAGCTGTTGGATCAAAGCTTCTAAACGAGGTCGAATAGACCAACTTGTTTCTCCAAACCACAATGTGTCTTGAACGTCATCAAGAGCAGTCCAGATAGCGGAAAGCGCACCCCAAACACCACTGAGATCAGTCAGTTCATCCAACGCATGCTCCAAGTAGTTTTTAGACAAACCATCAATTTTAAGAGCTTTCTTTGCGCGAGAAAGTTGCTCAAAATCTTTACACGAGCTTGTAATGCGTGCTTCAAAGGTTTGTAAAATGGAAATAGCAGCACTGGGTTTTACTTCACCGTATATTGGCTTGTTTTGATCCCATTCGACAAGTAACTCCTTCATTTTCTTGACTACTGCAAGATCTTCATCATGCACACGTTCTCTAAGTCGTCCCACTTGCTGATCAACAAAACGGGATTTACGAGTAAGAATTTCGCGTAAAGCACCCCAGTCAGCATTTACCTGATCAAAGTATAGCCAGTTGGATGGAAAGTGAAACCGCTGTCGTTCAAGAATTTTTTGTCCTTGTTGAAATGTAGCAACCTGCGCACTCCATAAAACTTCCTTTGACCGAAGATCTTCAAGAAAGATCACAAATGAAACCATGTCATTTGTAGAGGTGCCAATAGTAATATGCTCCAGCTCTAAACGTGCAGCAACAATATCTGTGTGAAAACTACGCATGCCTGTACCCATTTTGCTACCAAATCGGTTAAGCAAATCACGCTGCCATTGATCATACTGAGCATTGACTTTGGTCTGAATATGATCATAATCTATAATTATGTTGGTAAATGTTTTGGAAGTGGTGGCAGTATCAAATGTGGATCGAGCTTTTTTCACTTCAATTAGAGTTTTCCCCCAGCAATCAAGATCATCACCGAGTGTTTCAAATACGGCATTTGGTTCAAGATCCCAAAGTGATTGATACTGCAGCCATTTTTTGACATAAGTGGATGCCTCATTGTACATATTCTCAATTACTTGATAAGCACCACGAATATCATCAATGCTCAACCGAGAAATCTGTCATTGTGATTATATATATAAAGTTTTTAAATATTTTAATATATACATGTTTAATCAAACAACAAATTAAAAAAACTTACCAGATTGCAATAATCCAAATTGGCCAAACTCGTATCGTTTTGGATCTGAACCAATCCCATTTCAAAAACTCTTGGTCGACGAAGCTGACCCACCACACCAAACCAGCGCTGCATCTGTCGTACCCAAAACACACGAGCATGCTCAAGTGGGGGGTCAAGATAAATGGCTTGATTGCGAATTCGAAGTTCGTGTACCAATATATCAGGTGCTTGTAAGTGGGCTGTAGATTTGTTGTCTCCACCCTTGGATGGGTTATGGAATCGGCCTGATATCCATACCTTGACCGCCCCTTTGAGTCTTTGTAAAAGAATGGTTTCAATACGTGTGTCCAAAAGCTTGGTCCATTGACTTAGATTTGCATAAGACTCGAGACTAAGTTGGCTAATCTAAAAATATCAGAGTTGTAAGAATACTGATATTGATAAACCCGATACTGTTTGAATGAGCAAACTATTAAACGAGTCAAATATATGCACAAGACTTGCCAGTTTTTGGATGTTTGCCATAGACTTTTCAAATGCAGACTTTTCATAAGGAATAGTGGCCAGTTCTTCAACATGTGCATTGATCGAATCGGTGATTGATATAGCATCAACAGTTTTTTCTTGAAATAGAGATACTGCATGCACAAGCTCGCGCACAAACATTGCATGCCTGTTTTCTCCAGTTGCACCGATAGCCAATACCTCGTATGTATTGATAAAATAATCCCATCGAAGCTGAATGCCTTTGGATATGAGTGTCTGAACGCTTTTATGATATGTAGCGACCAACCAACAAATTGATTTGTTTTGGGAAAGTAGATTGAGTGTCTTGTCCCAGGTACGAACAGTTTCAGCAAGCGAGACGGCAAAAGGATACACTCGCTTGGCATCCTTGGCAACATTGACAATAGGATGAGGAACAACAAACTGATGCCATAACAAATTACGAATCTCTTTGAATACCGCAATGATTTGGTCATCAAAATTGACAGTGAGTTGAAGCTCACCTCCCCGTGCACGATTACGAGTAATATCAAAAATACGACCACCAATATTGATTTCACGGCTGGAAATGTTGGCAACCCAACGATCAAAGATTGGACGAGTGTTGAGTTGATTTTTAAATGCACGCTCTTCCTGACTCAGCTTTTGACCTTCTGCATACTGCTCCCAGCCACGACCCAAAACATCTTCGACACGTTTCATGTACTCACCTAGCTGGCGTTCAATCTGCCGAGCCCAAATGACTGAAGAAGATATGGGCATTAAATCACGCAAACGTACCATGCGTAACATTTCAACATCGTCGTGCTGAGCAGCAAATTTTTCATGGAGACGGTGAATATCTTCCTTGACGCGCTCAATCAGCTGCGTTTGATATTCATGGATAGCACCTCGAATTTTTGGACGAATGAACAAGGCATTGAACTTGGAGAATACTCGAAACATATCCGTGGCATTTCTTGCAGAAGCCAAACGATCACGCAAACGAGAAATAATCTGGCCCTCTACCTGAGCAATTCGTTCGGTATAAATATTTTCAGCTGCTACCCAGCTTTGAGTTCCCTCTGAAAATGTTGGATGCAATTGCACATATCAGCTAAAGCGAGCCAATTGATAATAGAATTCAAAAAAATCATACATACCTGGAGATAAATCAAGAACATTTACACTGCGAATAGTGTCAAAGGCAGAAACAACATCCTCTTGAGCACCAGAAGCCTCCAAATCAAGATCCTTGGTTCGCTGAGCAGAGGCGCTGGTTGGAGCCAAAGAAGATTGTTTAATTGACGCAGATTCACTTTTGATTACTTTCAAAATAGTAGAGCACAGATCCTCATGCTGGCGACGAAAGATGTGAACAAAGCTAAGACGTTCTTGCAAGGGAACATGTGCCGAGTTGATTTTTAGAACAAGAAATTTTTCAGACCGCTTTCGCACAAGCTCACGAGCCACATTGATAAATTCTTTGAGTTGCTCTTCCCAAATACGAAAGACCTGATCGGTTTTTCGAATACAAAAATCAAATTCTTCCCATGGAATCATCATGATGCTACTACTAGATAATGTTTTAAGCATTTGGGTATTAAGATCTTTGGAAATTGCTTCGATAAGTTTAAGCATACGTTTGATGGGATAAGGGGAGATTTTGAATTTCTTGTTGATATGGCTGAAAATTAAGAGAATCGATTCACCAATTTTATCCAAATCAGTAGAGGAAAGTAAATCGTTGATTGGAAAGTCTTTCATAAGCTGATTATAACGCTGAACTTTTTCAGTCTTTTCTTTAATGCCTGTATCAGCCAAAAAGCTAACAGTAGCATGAAATCTTTTGGCAGCGCGCAAGGTGTCCAGAGTCAGCAAGATCTCGTCGCTATGCAGCTGAAGATCTATATGGTTGAGAGCTCTTTCTAAAGCAATCCAAAACTCGATTTCCTGTCGGGCAGACCCAGATTCAGGATCACGATCAAGCAAAGTAAGCTTTTGAATTTCCTTGATCCATTCATTAACATCGCTTTGAAGCTTGTTTAAAAAAAGAGAGTTTGACGTGACATCCCCAAGACCTTCAACGACTGGTTTGGCCTGCTGTTTATGACAGTCGATCACATATTGTCTGATTTCCGGATGAATTCTCAAAACGACTTCAGGAATAGCAACGTTATTCTGAAGCTGCACAAGTGAAAGCTCCAACTCGGCAACTTTTTTCTTTGCAAGGGAAAGTCCTGATATTCAAACATTAAATAAGTAGATTAACACATCAAAACAAATTATACAGTAAATGACGACAGATCAAGGTCAACGCATTGCATACCCATTTTGGCGTCCTTGTCATCACGAGAAAGAGATCCAACATTAGAATCAAAAAAAGGAGAGAATGCATGCTGTAGATATCGATGAAACACAGAAAACTCATTTGAACCATCCGCATCACCTGGCAGGTTGATGACCAGCAGTTGTTCCTGCAAAGACTTTGCTTCGTGCAGGACAGGCACTCGTTTGATGATGGCGATACATGCAGAATTGGCTCTAGCTTTTGCAGGATCCTGTTCAAGTGAATAATGGGCAGTAACAGAATCTGGATACCAGGACAGCAATACAAGAGTTAGTGAATGATCTCATCAAGACAGGACAATGACAGTAAACCAATGTCAGGACAATGAACAATTGTTTTCAAAATAGCCACAATCTCGAGCCATGCAATCAGATCGACTGGTGATGGAATTGTCCAGAATACAAGCGACAACACTTGCCAGAGTCAGCCTTGATTCTCTCTATATAAACAGCTTGCACGAGAGAGTCTGCTGCGAAATGAGCCAATCTTTCAAGCGTCGATGACTTGGATAGAAACAGTTGATTGTCTTGACCAAGCATGGCCTGAAGGAGTCGCTCAATGTAATCATATAACACAAGAGCATCTACGACCCTCACATCAGAATCTGGCTGTGACAGTGGATCTGGATGGATTGGCCCAGTATCAATAGTAGCCATAGTTTTGAATTACAATGAGTTGTAACGCTAGCAATCACGTCGCTTTCCTCTGCTGCTGTCCAGTCTTTTATGACGATTTCAAGACGTACAATTTATGTTTTCTATCATGACTTGATGTATTTTTTATATCATATTTCTGTGAAATTGGCTATAATGGATCGTACATTTCACTCGATCGAATCTATTGTACAGTTTGTGGACTCCTTTGCAGGTTGTAGAGTGAGATGGGAACGGGTGTATGCTTTTTTGGTTGTATAGATACTGCTTTTATCATGTTTTGAAACCATTTAGACAGAATCAAGCAAGCTGCATCTTGAAAAACAAGAGTTTTTTGTTCATAGAATTGTTTTAGGTTAGCGTACAGATTCTATAGGTCGAACACTAAAACCTCACGCAGAACAAGAACAACATCAAATGAGTGCTGCTGTAGTATTGAATCGGTAAAGCAGTAGACTGGCAAATCGACCATGTCAAGTCGTCACCACAAGACACGAGCAATACATATTCCTGTTATTCAAATCAGCAATCTACCGATATTTGCAAAAAACAACACCACAAGATTAATGGTTGTTGACAGTTTTTCATTTTATATCTTCATTCCCATTGTCAACAGCTGTACATGTAATTTTTAGGCAAAAGTAAATCATCAAATCTTTGCTCTGCCTATTTTTTTATCTACAAATGCTACTTCTGATTCAGTCTAAAATTCACAGGAGACTCTATAATGTGTTGCGTATTGGTGATAAATTCGGATCAGCTCCTATCACTTGATCACCCGTTCCAGTCGGTGTTAGACTGTTATCACTGGCCAGTACAACAGACGGAAACAGCAGCAGCAAAATCTGACAGAAATCTGAAAATATTAGCGATAGCAAAAATGCAAACATGTCGTCTTTGAAAATCGATAATAGTGCGAGAGCAATCAGCGTCGCGCAGAGCCCTATAGGGACATATTTGAGAAAGGTCTGCAAGAGTTTGGCTTGAACTTGTGATGGGTTTAGAGAGAGCGATTCTGTCGATCCCAGGCGTATGGCCGTTGAGTTGATAGGAACAATGAGCACAACACTAAGAACCGTGAGTGCCAGCACAAAAAATACGTTTCCTACTGTTGCATCGATGAAACTCACTATATGCGTGCAAGACTCATCTGTGTAACGAGCATAAACCCAGTCGTTGATAAGAAGTCCTAGTGATGAAATGCCAACCACGATAGCTAAACCTGTAGATATTCGAATTGCCATGTATAATTTTCGTGCTGAAAATGTTCGTCCATACATGCCATGAAGAATACATAGACGCATCAAACACAAACAGGTGTACGAGAGCCCATTGAGAAATTCGCATTGAAAATATGGAACATGCTCGATAATTGCTACAAACAGAACTCGCTGAATTAAAAATGTGCTCGAGGCAATGGCGATGGGAATACCTTGACTGTAACTTTTGGCGTTGCTTAACGCGACGCCTGAACTATATACGACAATGGATGAAAAAATAGAAGATAAGCAGGCCAGAGTTGCAATAAAAGGCATGCTTTGTTGGAATAAATCTGTAATAATATTCAAGACTGAAGTAGTATCCTTTTATAATATGCAGTGTTAGTCTTTATCCTTAAACAGCACGATCTTGCCAAAACTCCGATAGGCTACAACAACAGTTGAACTTGTTGGATGCTTATTTAGCAATCAAAGCAAAGATTATTGCCATGTATGCACTAGTGCGTATAAACTATCACCCTTTCACAAGAGACATGCTAGCCACAAATATTCTACAGGCCACTCCATACGCTAAAAGGTCATATTGCTCAAGATACGACCTATTTCACCAATCATGGTTCTACTACACCTCTTGGAGCATATTACAGTTGCGTCCACGTAAAATGAAACTCGTATTCATTTTGCAGTCTATTTTGCTTTTGAATAAGCAATGGCTAAATAGTCTTTGCGCCTTCATACTAAAAAATAACTGCTTCTTTAGTAGACTTAATTTTTCAGTATCTGCAATTGCACGTCATACAAAACCATTTTTATTATGGTAGAGCAATTTCCAGTAGAGTTTAAAACTGAACACTATAGCAGTATAATGAGACTTTATATCTCGTGACACTGCTGTTTGTTGAACAGTTGGAAGACCATATTTAATCGATGAATTTGCAGTCTTGTAAAATGGTATGTTTTTTAAAATCAAATGAGCATTAGAGAATGTTTTAATGTTATTGTTTGAAAAAAATACAGCATTCACGACTCCATTAATGAACCTTCAAGCATAGCGTTCATCATATGATACTCAAAATCAAATTATAGTTTTGAATTGAATTAAATTAAATCGTCTGCATTTTTGGCATAACCATACATTGTACGATCACCAGATTCATGCATTGCAACTCAAATACTGGATTCAACTGTTCTGAAACTCTCCTTTGGCTTATTCTGAATCACAGATACATTTGTGTTCTAGTTTAAAATAACAATGATTGCGCGTCTCAGTCATACAACTGTTTGCATGTCAGTCATCCAATGCTTGCTTGCAGTGCTCATTTTGGAGAGTTGAAGATTGGTAAAGCAGAGATTAAATAAAAAGTTGGGTTTCATGTAACTAATTAGTTATTTTTATTGTCATTTGTAACATTGAATTTCTTAATATTATTCAAATTCGTTTACGGTACGAATTAAGCACAGAAGGCTCCTAATAATTTACACTTTGAACTAATGTCCATTTATTCTTGCCAAAATGAGCAGATGATATGCCAGTTTCAAAACAGGAGCGACAAACTATCAAGTAGTTGGCAATGCCTCGTTCATGCCAACACATTACTGTCACGCGGCGGATTAGGTCCTTGACTTCTTTGGCAACTAGGGACATTTGTAGTTGATACGTTTGATATGCTTGTAATATTGCTAATCCTAACAACATTTGGAAACAACAGCAGCCAGATCTGACAAAAATCCGAAAGCGCCAGCACAGAAAAAAGACCAAACCAGTTGGAGGGATCCGGGGGAAATAAACTCAAGAAAACAAGTAGCAAGCAAGTTAGGGATGGAGCCAGATTGAGAAAGTTTATCAAGATTTTTGTTTGAGTTTGGACATGAGTAGTATGGATAGAGCACCGGATGATACCAGTTTTCTTGACTAATGATTACCACTAAATTTTGTCCAAAGTTGTCAAAAATAGAAAGTTATTGGACATAAGCAATTCAGGTCAAAAACCTTGGGGTATTATAGTGGGAGTTTATTAGTTTAAAATATCAGGAGATCTCTGTGTCAGATCCATGCTTGATGCTTTAAATATACACGATCGGATGGTACCAGAATTTAACCGAATTTACTGCTAAATTCATTCAAAAGTCATTAAATCATGAGTTGCTTGTGAAAGTTGAACCAATGATTAGGGCAAGGTGAAAACTATGAGGCTGCCTGAAACGACAAAGTTTTCTCATTCCAAAAAGTGATAAGAAAAGATGGTAATGGCAAACCAATCAATGGGCTTGCCTTGCTTACTGGAGGATTAGCCCTAGCCGGAGCAGTATATTAGTTCTTTTCTGGCAAGCAAGAGACGCACAAAAATCCGTTAGCCCAAGACCCAACCTCCAACGAAAATGGTTTGAAGGATTATCAAACGCAATATACGTGTAATCCTTGAAATAGCAGGCGATCCCCAGTTGATTGCCGAGGAATGGTTTGCGCTTTTCTCTCACATTGGAAAGAGGGATTTGGTCTACCATTTTCAGGGAACTGATTATGTTATTGAACTCAAGTGAATTGATGACTCTAACCGACTTAAAAGAGCTGTTCAAAACACTAATCGACAAAAGAAGATTGATGTAAAGAAACAGGCTGAGAAGTATGGGCAATTCTGGCTGGACGAACGTGGCAGAACTTATAATGCACAAGCTATTGCCATTATAAATGATGGTTTTGGAAATGCTAAAACTTTACATCGTATTGTGTTGCCTTTTCAAAGATATATTCTTTAAGCGCTTTAACAGGACACAATTAAAGTTGTAATAAATGGCAACTTTCTGTGATTCAGATTAGTTTTTGAAAAGTATATTTCATAGCTGGTTGCCACATGATGAGAGCGTATAAAAATGAAATCCACAACGAAACTCTTCTTTAAAAATGTCAACTCCAACCGAAATAGCAACAGCCTTACAACAAGCGACAGAAGACCTCAGAAGAGCAAGAGAAAGTCTTGAAAGAGCAGAAGAAGACCTCAGAAGAGAAAGAGAAAGTCTTGAAAGAGCAGAAAAAAGTCTTGAAAGAGCAGAGAAAGACCTCAAAAGAGCAGAAAAAGACCTCAGAAACTGGAGAGCTGCCAACCCCACAGACTTTACAAACGCTGGTTATTTAGCACTCTCTGCTGAAGTCACTCGTTGTACAGTAAGAGAAGAAAGAGTACGGCAAACATTGGAAGGTGCTCAGCAAATATTGGCAGGTGCTCATCAAACATTGGCAAGTGCTCATCAAACATTCCAACAGGTTCTGGCTGTTCAAAAGGCAATTTTTTCCCCTCAGTCCTCGGTTACTTCTATTTCTTGTAAATCACAATCAATTAATGGACGTTGTTCTACTGGACGACATACTGACCGCAACAAAAAAGCTCAACAAATATTCAGAGAAAAGCTGCTCAAAAGGGATATTCATTGTATAGCAACTAAGGTCGCAGAGGGTTTTGTGGCTGCTCATATAGTTCCACTCAACATGTCAGAACTAATTGCTCGTAGTATGCTCTTTTCTCCTCGCAATGGTGTCCTTCTTCGCGAAGACCTTGAAGATGATTACGACAGACACAAATGGATCTTTGATTATAATGGAAAGGTGACTTCTCTCTTTTCAAACTGGGATTACAAAGACATAATTTGTCATGTCAATGTCTCAAATGACCCTGAAACCGGGCCTTCCAAAGAACTTATTGAACTGCATAACAAGCTGGCTTTGGAAAGGGCGCAGCATCATTGCCCGAATTGCTGGAAGTATGTTGGTGCCATTAATATTGATAACCACACTGCTAAAAGTTGTGAAGGGACCAACAAGACTGGTGATGAAAAAGATGTTAAAAAAGATATCTAATAAAATACTTTTTAATTCATATTTGTGGTTCCAATTGCCATCAAACTTCAAGATGAAAATTGATTACTGGGGCTGATTGATTTTTGCAGCAATAGTATATCCTGTGTAGATAATAAAAACCAAGGTTGGAGAGGTTTTCAGTTTTACCTATTTGAAAAAAGTATCCATTTGTATGTGTGCAGGTATTCCAGTTTAGATGGATTATTGCCGTGAATTTTATTATACTGGATTGATGGAAACTGAAAACCAACGAAGCTGGATATTATGAAGAAGTCGTCGTAGGGCTGGAAGTTGTTGGAAAATACTGTGCGAGCCGAGTTAGTGGTTAATGATTCAGACTCGGAAAAGCTCAAACTAATCAATGAGTTCACTCAATGCATTCACTAGATCGCTCAGTCGTATTCGTCGTCCAGAATTAGATTCTCGCACATACAGAAATGGAACGTATGAAGCTTATCACACAGATACAATCAATATATTGCTTTCTATTGGAGTATACATTATCTGCCATCAATTCGGAAACTCCAGTCAGTCCTGATATGGATGCCAATACTAGAATCAAAGTGTTAACCAGGCGTATTGTTATATACAAGTCTGAATTATCTGAAAAGAATCGCCTCATGGTCCATTACCAAAATATTTGCAAACTGGACAATTCATTGGACAAGACTTGGTTGCCTTGGAAGGATGCTTTCCAAATCAAAAAGAATTCAATGACTACACTCTAAAAGCATTTAAATGGAACTACGCAATGTGTCATTTATACATTAGATATCATTGATTTCTGAATGACTATCATGTGTTTGTTTATTCTACTTTGCCTTGAACAACTATTCGCAATGAATGTACTCGCTGTAGAAGATGGCTGGACAGCGACGAAGCAAAAAGTTTACCTACTTCTGACTCTAGGTATGACCTCCAAGTCGCGCTATTATTTCGTAATTTAGTCCAAGATATTCTTGAATGTAGAAACATTGAATAGTCTTCAGTGAATTCATGGTAATTTAAACGCTTGTTGAAAATAGTAATAGAAAAGCTTTGGAGTTTCAAACGTATCGTATATATCAATCAAGTCTTGTCCAATAAACTTTCTGTATAGAAGTTTATTGAAATTACAGAGCGAATTAACTGATAACAGCGATATTGGTCAGCAGGTAGAGCAGCACATTTTTTGGTCCAAATCTGTAGCTTTTCAGCCATGTCAGTAAACAATAAAGATAAATGAATGTCACTGTAATTCTACACTTATAATCGCTCCCTCGTATTTATCCCAATGTTATTTACTCGTGAGTATAACTCATTTTATATTTACATGAACACTTTTTCTGACAATTCATCAAGTCATCTTTGGCTCTCTTTGTTGACTCTTGGGGAATATAAGCTTTTTTATTGAGTAAATGTTAATGAATGTCTGACGGCTATAACGACTACAAAATATAATATTAGCAACTCAATTAGAATCTTTGAAGGCTTTTACATTTCGATATCTGATGACCACTCAACCCATGTGAAATTTGTTCTTTTCTCACAATCGCAAAATGCCTCGACTCTATTCAATACAAAAACAGCTCTGCTGTATCAACATTCACTCAGAGGTTGCCTATTCCTGAAGAAGGCCCTGTTGTTGGTGACTTGGTTGCTGCTTTCCATGGACTTCCCAACTCACCTCTTGCTTCTGCCTTTGTTGGCGATACCACCCTACACTTGCCTGATGGAGTTGCTAGGTCTGCTCTTACAGAAGACTGCTTTTTTTCAGCAGACTCAACTGACTACTCTTGACTCTGGCTGCCCTCTGTCTTCTCTTGGTTCTTTAAGCTCAAATTCAAAGCAATCACTGATAATCAAATCAAAAGGTGATTCTGGCCAAAGTCTTGCTCATGGTCCTACAGTAAGACTCGATAAAATTTTATCAAACACTTTGGCAGATATTGAAAAAGATCTTTCAAAGATATCCATTACTGGGACCAGAAGGCGCCACTCGAAAACACCTTCGCATGTTGGACGGTGGGAAGACTTTTCAACAGATGCAAAAGCATATGAATATCCTGCTACTCATGTTGGGAGTGATGTTGTTTTGCCTGTTACAAGAGAAGTCGAATTCACACTGGAAAGAGATGTCAGCAGGGCTGTTGGAAACCATTTGGATAACTTCAACAGAATATTTAAAGACCAAGGAAAGACGCACAGATTCCAAACCAAACCCACTGTTATCCCTTTAAACTCTGAAACACCAACTCAAACAGAAAAGTCTATCAAGTTTATTGGAGTTCCAGATAATGTTCTCACTCTTGGTTCCAAAGTGTTGTCATTTATTGAAGAAAAGACTCCAAATGATTTGCCGGTTCGTCATTTTGCAAGCGGAAACCCATTTGATTTGCTGAAGATGTATAAAGAAGATATACAATACCAACAAAGCAAAATAACCCGTGAGGACATTGGACGTATGGATGTGTGCACAGTGATTGATCAAGTTTATGGATATCTCTCATTGAACAATCTGATCTATGGATGTGTAACTTGTTATGATGTTACATATTTTCTTTGGCGACCCAAGAGAAGCACTCTTCTTATCAGCCATCCCATTTTCAATAATTCTCATTCGCCTAGTCTTCTTCAAGCACTATATTACTTTGTTCAGCTTGCTTTACGAGACTATAAAGAACAAACGCTAGATCCCAACCCAAAGGACTCTGATATGCCTGTGGAACTTAACGCCAGCAATGAAATGGATACTGATGAACATAATGCGGATGAACAATCAGAATCAGGCAGTAACTATTCAACCACAGGCCAGGGAAAAGAAACAAATTATAGTTTGGACAAGAGCAAAGGAACAAAATATAACCTTAATCTCGATTCTCTTCATTCTGGTGCCGTGGTTGGATCTGGAGCAACTGGTCAAGTCATTCGACTCAAGGACAGCAACATTGTTGTGAAGCAATGTGATTCTTATAACAATCCTGAAGGATTCAAAATGCTGAAGAACGAAATATCAATTTACGAAAAGCTTTCCCCACTCAATCTAAAGTATATTCCTCGTTATTATGGACAGTGCGAATATTATGGGCAACATTTCATTGCGTTGGACTATATTCCCGGAAACCATTGTGATTGGAGAGCAAACAGTGAATTGAATGAGAGGTTGAATCGTGTTATTCGAGACTTGAAATCGGTTGGCGTGGTTCATCAGGACTTGAGACCAGAAAATGTGCTTTTAACTCATGATGGGGATATCAAATTGATTGATTTTGGTAAAGCGGAGATTAAATAAAAAAGTTGGGTTTCATGTAACTAATTAGTTATTTTTATTGTCATTTGTAACATTGAATTTCTTAATATTATTCAAATCCGTTTATGGTACGAATTAAGCACAGAAAGCTCCTAATAATTTACACTTTGAACTAATGTCTATTTATTCTTGCCAAAATGAGCAGATGATATGCCAGTTTCAAAACAGGAGCGACAAACTATCAAGTAGTTGACAATGCCACGTTCATGCCAACACATTACTGTCACGCGGCGGATTAGGTCCTTGACTCCTTTGGCAACTAGGGACATTTGTAGTTGATACGTTTGATATGCTTGTAATATTGCTAATCCTAACAACATTTGGAAACAACAGCAGCCAGATCTGACAAAAATCCGAAAGCGCCAGCACAGAAAAAAGACCAAACCAGTTGGAGGGATCCGGGGGAAATAAACTCAAGAAAACAAGTAGCAAGCAAGTTAGGGATGGAGCCAGATTGAGAAAGTTTATCAAGATTTTTGTTTGAGTTTGGACATGGAGTGAGTTGGATGAACTGACAGCAGATGGACAAAAGACTCGAATAGTCGGGATTATCATGATGATATTTAAAAACAAAAAAGATGTAGCAAGAAGCGAATAGCCTATGTGTACCATTGTTTTGTTGAGATTTGGTGTGCATGTATTGGGAATATATGGCGATGATGCAAATTGGTAAATGAATAAAATAATGGATATCACGCCTAAAACCGTTGACAAGTATGTGACTGCCTTGAACCATACGTTTTGGCGTGATACTACTTCAGCACGCCTATGTAATTCATAAAGAATGGACAAGCGGAACAAAATACTAAACGTGTATATTACATCGTTGGCAGTATGGCAGTATACATACGGTAATCTCTCACTCACTGCCAAAATGAGAATTTGTGTGATGAGAAACGACACTGTAGAGACTATAACAGTGACTCCACCAGCAACACTCTTGACATTACTGAGCGCAACGCCGGCACCGTAAATCACAATAGAGGAGAAAATACACGACTCTGTTGCTAAAGTAGCAACATACGACATTTTATCTGGTCTAATAAACCTAGGTAACTGATTAGAAGGAGTGGTAATGCAGCTATACAAAGCAGACAATGTTAAAAGCATGGTATCAGTTTTAGACTAATTGATTAGCATAGGACATCAAAAAGCTGCTCGAGGAATATCAACAAAACTCGATATAGCCACACTCGTTTTGAACGCACCAGCAATATACTTGACATAATTAAGGGGTTTAATATGATACCATCAAGTATCAGAATTAGAATCTCGACAAAACAGCACGACTTACTAATGGTGTGGTAAAAGGATAGGCAGTAGGGCACGTCGGCTTTTTTGGACAAAAGAATCGACAACATTTTGCTTTGGCAGTCTTTCGAAATGCAATATGATTGAAAATTGAAAGATGGGAATAGCTCAGGCACCAACAATGTGCTCAACAAATGTTAGCCATTGTGCATGTGGATATCAATGCGTTTTCGCGTTGCTATCACAATACAGCCAGCTATATAGGTGGCCATAATAAACACTAATCTAACATCAAAAACTTCTTGCTCAAACGCTATTGTAAGATTAGTGAAAGTAAACAGCCGACTACAGGTCTAGAGTTAAATACCAGAATAATTGACAATGTATTATCAATATCCTGACTTACCATGCATTAATAATTATTACATCTGGCATGTATAACTAGTCAATAATCAAACACCTGAGCTGAGTTTTGTATTATATGCTTAATGCAAGTGACAAAATATTGACATCAAGTCAACCGTATCCATTTTTATACCATTCCAATCATTCGATAAAAGCAAGTCAAGTTTACACATTTTAATTCTTTAGATGAGAATTCAAGTGAATTATATTAACCAACATTTAACAAGGTTTTGAAATGAAAAAATCAATCAAAAGCAGACTATTTAAAACGGTAACTCGTTTAATTTGTTTTCTGGAGCGACAAAAAAAGTATGAGTAGGGTTCCAAGTCTGGTTATCGTACGGTACGACACCAGCCGATGTAGGCGATGATCTGCGCGTACTATTTAAAATAAATGCTTGATGAAGTGGAGACGGAGCTGAAACGCTAGATTTGTCATTTTGTGCAAGACTCGTTATGCGCGAGTCGCTAAACGAGTATGGAGAAACAAGAGTTGCTGAAGGAGACATGTGTCCATTGTTACTGCTACCTTGACGAAATGAAAGTGTCATGGCGGGTGATCGTAACATAGTGGGAGAAGTAGGGTACCCGTTGCTACTTGCCGAACCACTGTTAGAATTGTTTGCATCGCCATTATCGCCCGCCATAATCACCAAAGGGAACAGAAGCAGCCAAATGGAGCAAAAGTCGGAGAATACCAACGAGGCATAAAAGAGAAACCGATGTTCTATAAAAGAAGAAAGAATGCTGATGCTACCGAGAAGGACGCACAGAGCAATAGGAATGAGTCGGAGGAAGCGAGAAAGAACGCGAGCCTGTTGATGCACACGCGAAATGGGAAGCTGGCCTAAATGCTGAGGTGTTCGGCCTATGCCTGCAAGAGCTTTGAAGATTGGAATGGATACCACAATAGTAAGGATAGATAGGGAAATCACAAATACAAGGTTGTTTAGAAATGTCATCAACTTGTTGAGTTGGTGCGAGCACGAGTTTGGAACGTCAGGAGACATAAGTCCTTGAATGGTAACTACGCAAGAAGATAGTGCGCCAAGAAGTGCTGCACTACAAGTAAGAATGGTGAGAACTGGACTCTTGATACTGCGATTAGCACCTGTTGCTCGCATATACAATCCCCAGAGAATCGCAAACCGCATCACAACCAAAAATCCATAGGATGTTCCATTGGCTGCGTCGCAATCAATGTTTGGGATATTCTCCACAAGAGTCATGAATGCAATACGTTGAGCAAGAAAGGCCGAAGAGGCAATTCCTACAGCGATGCCCTGATAGAAATTTTTGGTATTTGCGAGCGCAGTGCCGGCTCCATAAATTACAACAGCAGAGAATATTGATGATAATGTCGAAAGTGATGAGGTGAACGTGTGTTCCAACATAATGTAGTGTCACTAGAAATAAATAGATATGCTTGATCGATAAGAGCAAATATGTAGACAAATCAGCGATGAAAAATAAGTAGACAATGTGTACGAATTGATTTCAGATAAAGAGAAAATTGTATTTTAAAGTAGATATATGGACTGTTTAGAAAATTTGGTTAATAATATAGCAGGGAATGTATAGTACTTTAATCTATATGATTGCAGAGAAAGAGGAGAAGTAACGAAATGAGCAGGCAGTCCCAATTAATATACTCCACAGAGTGGGCGATTTTTATTTGAACTGAAAAGTAAAACTAGCTTTTTAACAAAGCAATAAGCTGTGGCGAGATGACTTGTTTGCATATCAGAGATACTAACAGCATAACCAATCTTAATGAAAGTGGCTGAAATTGGCCAAATGTATAGTAAAGGGAAGTATACTTGCGGTGGCAGCTCAGTGGCTTTACAAAAACTATTTGCTTCGGCTTGATAGTAAATAGATAGTGGACATATGAAATGCACAGGTATTTTATTTTTCAATAGTATATCGCACAATTTGGATCTAGAAGCAAGAATTAAACATATGCTCGTGGACAATGAGACTGTAGGAGATGAACAGATATTACTGTAGAGTACAAATAGCTTAAATGATGGTATTTTTAGCTTTGAACATTGATTTACAATCAGTCGAACATACACCTGAACAGCTCATCGGCAATGTGTGGCTTTTTAATGCTTGCGGCTGGTGGCAGAGGAAAATGCGAAATTACCAGTAACCATTCTCAATATGTAACATGCACCTGAAAAAGTCTCGTGAGGTCCATTAACCACCTTCCATGTGGTCGAGTTTGTTATTTTTGCAACGATCAACATCATATTCAGTATTTTTTGAGCTTGAGAGAGGTTTTGAAAGAGGCAGGTTTACATTAACGGGCTGCAGGTTCGCCTTGTCATCAGAAATGATACAGGTTGATTCGGGAGCAAGTGGTGCTTTACTGCCACACTTGCCAAGTTTGTGAATCATAAATGCACAATCGACCTCCAGTTGCTCGTCTGAAAAATGAGATGAGAGGCTTCGCGTACAGCGCAAACCTGTGTATGATACAACATTATATCCAAGCATACACGATACTCATCGACACCTGGATGCTGATTTTTGATTGCTGAAGCACGGTATTTTGGAAAAGCAACAGATAAACTGTTTTTGAAAGTGATCATCACTCGATTCATCCAATGGGTTGCTCACTCCCACAACTGCGTCGCCACTTTTATTAATGGCGTCAAATCTCGGTTATTCTATAATTGTCAATGTTATTCTACAGGACTGTATTATTCCTTATGACAGATGGTGAGGCATCATTGCTCAAACCCTAACACCGTACTCTTCTTGATTCACCCAAATATATGCCAAATGATGATGATTCAGATGAAATAATTTCCGCTTGTTGCTTTGCACCTATCAAGTGAATCTGTTGCTAAAATGCTGTTATATTACTGGGATCGGTTTGTTTAGTGGTGATGTTTTACAATATTAGTAGATTGTTTGCTGATTGCAATAGCATGATCATACATGATGTTTCCTGTACCATGACGACAATCTGACCTATTGACACGGCCAGTTTGTTGAATGGCCTGCGTTACAACCTGTTGCTCCACTCGATTCAATACAGGACATTACTCATTTGATGTTGTTCTGTGTGAGGTTTCAGTGTTTCATCTACAGTCTGTATATTAATATAAAACAATTGTGCAGTTTTACAGAGAATTCACATTTTCAAAATGCTGCAACAACAACTTGCTTGATACAGTCTGAATGCAGTCTGGATACAGTCTGAATGCAGTCTGGATACAGTCTGAATGTTCTCAAAGTACAATCAAATTGGGTTGTGGAAATATAATTCATGTTCTCATTCCTTTGTATTCAGCTGTAAACTGATTTAAGATTTGTCAAACCCAATATCTGTGATCGTACAATGTACAACTTTTAAAATAAACTCGGGTTCTTGAATCCATTGAGCAACGGAAGTATAAACCATTGTAGCAATGAAAATTGACTATTTTACTGTTGATTACATTCATTTACTTTGCTACGATCAATCACACTTTTACGTACGTCTGATGGTTGGAGTGAGGCAGCTGTTTCAAAAGATGGTGAAGAGCAGTCTGGTAACGGCGTATCGTAAAACAAGTCGTGATTCTTTTTAATTGATTCTTGAAAATTGTGCAAGGCATCGGCATTTTGGGTTTGATCTTCATCAGCATGTTCTTGAAATGAAACAGGTCTATTCAACTCAGCCAAAGAATCATTAGAAAACGCTTGAGCAGGACTATCATGTATCAAAACAGGCTTCTCTTCCACTACTTCATCGATAGGTTTCTTTTCAATATTCAGCTTTAGCGTATCCAGTTCGTATGCAAGCTGAGCGGTAGTAACACGTAGCTGATCGTTTTGAGAGCATTGAGCAACCAATTCATCCCTCAGTTTAGCAGCACGGTCAGTTTCGGCCCCTTTCATCAATTGCAAAGTGTGCAGCTCTCTTTTCAATCCACTCACTTCGTTATCTCCTTGTTCGACACGCAAATGAAGTGTTGCAATAACCTTGTTGAGATCGGCAATAAAATCAGTCATTTGAGCATCCGAGTGTGTCTTGTTGTGTATAGTGTTTTTATCATGGTCTAATTGAGCCAGCAAAAAGTCTTCATCAGATCGCAGTCGAGCAGAACTCGATACTCGCTCCAGTTTAGCCACCTGAATCTGCAATTCTTTTTTTTCACTGTCAGTCTGTGCTAATGCCTGTTCAAGATGTCGAATGCGCGATTCAGAACTCTGCTGTCCAGCAACCTGTGATAATCTTGCAATATGTAACTTCATACGCTGCTGATGATGCAAAGACATAGAATGGACTTGAACAAGCGATGCATGGCGTGACTCTAAATGAGAATTGATGTCTTGAAGGTGAATACGTTGGTCATCTACTTCGCTTAATAAAGTTTTGGAGCCTTGATCGTATTCACCAGTTTCAAGTGAAGGAGAGAGAACAGCGAGACGAGCACGAAGCGTTTGAGCATATTCACGAGACTGTTCTAGATCGGATTGGATTTGATCTGCAAGCATTTTAAGTTGTTCATTTTCATCTCGGTAGCTTCGATACTCCTCCACCATTGTTTCAGTCTCCTCTAAACGAAGTTGTAAATCAGCTGCTGTTGTAGCATGAATGTCTCTCTGACGAACAAGATCCTGGTATGCTGAAGAAAGAGATTCAAGCTGCTGCTCAGCGACGCGAAGTTTATTCAATGTATTTGAATAAGCAGATGCACTCCCTGACCCACCATGCAAAGCAGTAGTTTCCAACTCCTGTATTTTAGAAAGCAGATCGGTCTTTTCACATTGTAACCGTTTTTTGTCCAATTGCATGGATTCTAATTCGCCTGAAAGCTCTTGGATGGCAGATTGGAGCGAATCGTGAGAAGCCTCGAGTCGTTTTAAAGAAGCTCGAGCCTGCCGATCAGACTCTTCTGATTTACGAAGATCCAGTAATGCAGCTTCATATTGGGATTGTAAATCGATATGAGCACATTCAAGTGTTTGAAGTTTCAGTGCAAGGTTTTGAGCTGACTGAGTTGATACTTGAACAAGTAATGGATCATATGTCGATTCAGATGATTCAGATATAGGTTCTATAGTGTTGGAGATGATTGATTGAGAAGTCATCAGCTGCTCATATTGTTGTTTAAGCTGCTCATTGTTTTCAAGAAGCGACTGACCAATTTCTGCAGATAGTTGCAGGTCTGTATTCACATTGATAAAGCACTATTTAAGCCTATAATGTTGCTAATAGGGGCATACAGACCATGAGTAAATGCAATACTTTTTTTATTTTAATGTTACCTCGTTCACGATCCTCGAGTGCGTACTGAGCTTCTCTCAGTTGGCGACGCAACTCGACAACCAAAGAAGCAGAGGGAGTGAGTGCGGCCATGGAATTATCTGCACCCAACTGTCGTTTAGTGCGCTGTGGAGTGGCAAAGACGCTTGGGGTCTTATCTGCCAGCATGTTTCCTATTGGACTATTATTAGAGTTGAAATGACAAGGTTTACGAAAAAACTGTCCGATTCAATGTTCATATCTAATGACAAAAGGAATGAGAACATGAATTATATTTCCACAACCCAATTTGATTGTACTTTGAGAACATTCAGACTGTATCCAGACTGCATTCAGACTGTATCAAGCAAGTTGTTGTTGCAGCATTTTGAAAATGTGAATTCTCTGTAAAACTGCACAATTGTTTTATATTAATATACAGACTGTAGATGAAACACTGAAACCTCACACAGAACAACATCAAATGAGTAATGTCCTGTATTGAATCGAGTGGAGCAACAGGTTGTAACGCAGGCCATTCAACAAACTGGCCGTGTCAATAGGTCAGATTGTCGTCATGGTACAGGAAACATCATGGATGATCATGCTATTGCAATCAGCAAACAATCTACTAATATTGTAAAACATCACCAAACTCGGCCACAAAAGTGAAAGATTTTTATGCAAGAACTTTTCAAACACAAAACAGATACTAGTAGTGATGATTGATGGCAATTTTTTATTTTATCCCTTCATTCTCATGCTCTTTCCACCAGCTGTGAAGCTATTCATGCATTGGAGATATGAAAAGAGATTACGGAATGCAATCTAAAGCACTCTTGATCAGTTTAGTAGGTTGGAAATAGACAAGACAGACCAAGCAGGAAAGTGGTCGGGTGGATATGTATTACATGCATGTGAATATGTAGGTGCAGCCATTTGGTGGGATTGTACAGTATCTATGGATGCATCAGCGACACAAATAGCCAGTGTCAGCAGGGACATTCCAGAATGCATAGTATTTGTAAATTCCCCAAGTGTACGGGCCGGTGAAGAGGATCTGTTGGAAACCGGCGAAAGTGGCAAGGACACCGGAGTCCCAGAAGTCATGTTAGTTAATGCAGAGTCGGCAGATTCTGTAAGGGGAGATGAGGATGCTTGAGTGGATTTATGCATTTTTTGATGTCGTTGCAGAGCATCAAGACGAGCAAACCTAGCAATCCATAAACAGGATCAGCCAACTGATCGTAATAGCCATACCATTCAGTCCTACAAAAACTTACCCTCGATGGCATCCCTGGCAATTAAAAGGTTTTCGACCAGTGTGAGTCAGTTGGTGTCGCGCTAGATGCTCACTTCGGTGAAAGCTAGACACACATATTGAGCATCTATGCCGCCGTTCTGATTTTGATACTGCACCACTGGTAGTGGTTACAACCGTACTGGATTTGATATTATTGGATGGTGCAGATTGTCTTCTCGTCCTGGATGTTTTTGACACGAGCAGTTTTGCTTTGCTTGACAGAGGTGTGTGGTCTGTGTTGGCATATGTAAAAGCTGGATCAATAGCATGTGCTGCAGAATCAGCTTGTGGTGAGCAAGGGATGGATATAGACATCACGTATAGCACAATAGGTTTGTGTAGTAAAGAAAGTCGGGCAACAAGTTTGAAAAGCGGAATTTAGTTTGCAGAGCCGATTGCGAATGTATATCACTGGTTTACGTAACAAGAGAAATAGATGGACAGGTAACAACTAGCCGGTTTTAAAAGACGAATAACTGTTGAATTTAAACGAGCTCGATAAATCAAATCGAAACAAAATATGCAAATGGCAAAGCAACGGAATTCAACTGCAGTTTCAAAATATGACCATTATCTGACCCCACATCCAATGGTATAAGCCGTATTTGTAGGTGCGAATTGAGCACGGGTATAATCCTTGGATTAATCTAATGTTCGGCCTTATTATTGCGCCTATTTGGGTGTTAACCATCATCAACATACACGCAATGCTTTGTGTGGGGACAATACATCAGTCTACCCATTATTTGGTGTGCTTATTGTTGTCGACTGTAGTCCAATTGCATGCGGCATTATTGGTATTTGAAAGTAACTCTTAATCCACTCGCCCGACTATAATACAGCTACGCTGCCTCATACCCAATCTGCTTAGACATTCTAAAGTGGAGTCACATTAATCGGTGACCTTGCCTGCACCATCACTACGCTGACAGCTGTAGTGGCTCTGTTCAGCTAGAACAAAGCAAAATGACAACTTTGAAATCACGCCATCACAAGCCAATAATTTACTACATGTCAATCGCTTTTCATATTTGCTTCGGCCTCCAATAAAGATTTAACCCGCTCTTGTGGAGTTATGGCGCTATCACTCGACTCATGTTACTATATCAAGGTATCTAATTGAAAAATGAATCCGCCGACTCAATGACATCACAGATTGGCATAATTAAGTTGGTTTTTAAATACACTACACAGTGGACTAAAAGTTTTAAAGTCGTACATTTCAGCTGAACATTGTGCCATTATACAATGCACGCTTTGTCTTTAATGGCTGGACAATTCGCTACAAGACAGCAAGATAAAAGCCATCTAACCCTGTACATCTGGAAAGTAGCTGGATATTCTAGCGTCGCTGCTTTTTGTTTGTAGTTAAGCAATTCCAATCTAAAGCACTTTCTGCATGTGGCAGCGTATTTCAACATTTGCTTTGTCTACTGTCTACCTGATATGTATATGAGTCAAGCCTCGATCATTCCCTCAATGTCAATGCTGTGCTTGATCGGAGAAATCTGATTGCCGACCCATTATTATCTCTTAACATGTGATTTTCATCAACCCAATATGGCTCATCGAAAAGCCGATTGGATAGTCTCGATAGTGAAACACCAATTGTTTGAAGCGCTGCAGGAATATATGGTTATCGTGGAAATCAAGTGATCTCATTAGTTCAACTCCGTTTTATTTTCAAAATCACCATGTAATGCATGCCAGTTCTAGCTTATTATATGCACAGCAATCTGAGCAATAACATATTCGGCCGATCAAATCAGATCTATTATTCAAATCAGCCATCATAACCATTGTTCATATAGATTGTTGATGCTGGTAGTTTCTAATCGCTCGATGTTTTTGATGGCATTCAATCTTGATACTAGTATGCAGATGCTTGACCAGATTTGATATTCTGCAATAAGTATTGTGACAATCAAGTCAGGATTACACTAGTTCCAATGACAACTCTCATTCTATTCTGACTATGCAGTATGTGTGCTCGATTCTTTACTGTTGCCAATCCAGCACCACTATTTGCTATACTAGATGGCTAATACTTTGATACCAATATACCTGACAGCACGATTGTTTGCATTGTGAAACCAAGTTTCCTGTGCTTTATCTGTAACATATCATGTTTTCATACTACAGTTTACTCAAAATTGCATAAACAAGCTATATTTGCACGAGAATAAAGCACTTTAAAAACAAAATCCACATTTTCAGATAATACCAAGAATGCTTCACATGTATTCATGGTATTAGTTTACCACTCTGCAATCGTTTCAAACACCATCTGCACATCGTCTATATTTTTGTTGGAGTCAGTCGAATTGTCTATGTCTTGTTCAGCCGATATCGGTTTGCAACTGATTGATGCAAACGTAACCTCGTTGGAAAGATGTTCAAATTTGAAATCTTCCTCGTGTCCTAAATATGCTACATCCTCATCCCCTTCAGATTGAGCAGCAATGCCAGAGCTTCGTGCTTTGCGTAATTGGTTACTATACAACAGTATATTAAACAAAACATCAATGAATCATCACACCAGCCATGATACGGTTTGGAAATAAAACGCGCTTACATTTCTTGTTCCAGCATGCTCTTTACAAGTGCAGGTGTAAGTGATAAAATCACATCATTCTTGTTGCACAGGATGTGTACTGGCAATTCGCTATTCAAGGTGGTATTATTTGTAAGAACATCATAGAGGTACTCTGATGTTGAACGCAGTATGTCTTCTTTGCGAAGTTGGGATGAATCCACAACAAACAGGATCCCTTTTGCGCTGGGCAAAAATGTATTAAACTTGAACCGTAATCTTAAATGACCTGGAATATCAACAAGTTTTGTATTCAACATCTACAAAATTGACAAATGTAGTCGACATACAAAACAATGATTTGCTGGTTAGTTGTATAAATCATACAAGATCAGTTATGCACACAACCTCATACCAGTCAAGTTTCTAAACTAAATAATAAACTCACATTGTTTGCAAGCGGTGCTACATTTTCCTGCATAGATACGCATGTTTCAATAGACCGATGGCCAGTAAGCTAAAATGCCAAATCATTTCAAATCGGTTGTACAGAAATAACAGCAGAGTGCGTTTAGCTTATTGGCTACTCAAAGTATTAGCATGGATGCAAATAAAACATTTGTTTGCTATTAGAGCTGATTTACCTTGTAAAACAGTGCAGTTTTTCCAGATCCAGATGGCCCAGCTATTACAACAGTGTCCCTTGTACTCGTACTTCCTACGGCTCCTAGCAAACTAGATCTGCCATTTTTTCCCAGTAAGAACCACGCAGAGAGCAGCAGTGCTGATTGTACATGAATCACAATCCAGATAAGCAATTCAAAAGTGATGCAAGTGTATTACAGTCAGTTAAACCGTTCCATTACTGGTCAATATGCTGTATAAATAGATTGCATTGCTGCCAACTCTAGATTTTGAGCTTCGTTGAATTCCAGCAGGTCAATCGGAGAGCAGTGACATTTTGACTGAATCGATAGTCTGATAATGAAACTCTGACCAGCATTTGTATTGCGTTGAATAAGAGTCCGAGGCAGATTAAATACTTACCAATTACAAGAATGACTGCTGATAGCACGAACCCAAAGGATGCGACCAAGTGTGGCATTCTGATGTTTGATTAATTAGTGCCTGCAATGTTTCTACCAAAAAGTGAATGGACTCGATAACTACAAAAAGTTTCCGTCCAGTTACTCGATAGATTGATGGAAGCCAGAGTTTTGGGCAAAGAGCAATGTGACTAAAACTGAACATGGACAGCTTTGGTTTTAATCTCGAAATATTTATAGATGCAGCAACCACTTCGAGTATTAGAGTTTTTTTCAGGAATAGGCGGTCTGCATTATGGATTAGAACGGGCAGAATCTACTGCTACTGTTCTTGCAAGCTTTGACGTGAATGAGCATGCCAACTCTTGGTTAGTCTGGATTTCAAATGAACAGTATTGGTTTGTTGCTCATCCCAAGCACGGATGACATTCTGACGGTTTCTTGAATATTTAGTTATCAACACAATTTTGGCATCAAACCATCCAACAAGAGCATCGACACACTCACAGCTAAAGACATTGAAAAGTATGATTCAAATTGTTGGCTGCTCTCTCCGCCTTGTCAGCCATTCACTCAAGGTGGAAAAAGTCTGGATCATCAAGACAATCGATCACTTGCTTTGCTGCGTATTATCGAAATACTCCAGCACATTGCAATCCCTCCCAGATTTGTGTTTGTGGAAAATGTTCCCAATTTCGAGACTTCTGAATGCCGATCTCGACTGGTTCAAACTCTTGACCAATGCAATTACGATGTCAAGGAGTACCTAATCAGTCCTATTCAAATTGGTATTTCAAACGATCGTCGAAGATATTATCTTGCCGTGAGTCTCATATGCTTGGTTTGTATTGTTACTGCCAATTCCACAGTGGATACTGATCCGATTTAATATGATTTGATATGAATTAGGCTAAACTACGCAGTAGCATTTCAACTGGCAAATCCAACCTGTCTTGCTTGCAAACATCACATATGATTACAAGACTAGATTCGGAATCATCCGGCATTGCATTGCCCATCCCTCCAGCAATATCAACCTATTTGGAGCAGCATTGTGATATACCAGAATTCCTTGTTCCTGAACAATATATTCTTAAAAGGAAAACATTCCGTTTCGACCTGGTCAAACCAACTGATACGCGCTGCTCATGTTTTACCAAGGCATATGGATCCCATCACATTATTGGATCTGGATCGTTTCTACAAACAGCCAACCTTGATGTGAGTAGTCGAGTATTTGTAAATGCAGTATCTTGGATATCAATATCTAATATGGTGATGTGTTTTGGAGTTACAGGCCACATTTGCTTCCGATGATGGCAAGGCAATAGTAGCATCTCGTCCTCGGTTTTTCACTCCCCGAGAAATTGCTCGATTGCACGGATTTCCAATTGATGGTGTATTGAATGGTTCAATTGGCATGCTGCATACGTTTGAATTCCCAGACTCAGTGCCTAGATCGCAACAATATAAACTACTGGGCAATTCTTTGAGCGTAGATGTTGTCGCACATTTATTGAAGCTGTTGTTTTTGGATAGCGATGTCTGAAATGGCTTTGGTAGTTGCATCAAATCTGGATATTTTCTGAATTTCACAACCATCAATATTAATGAATTGCAATTTGTCAAACTTGATGTTTAAAACAGGACAGAATCTTGACATTCATCAACTATTTTGATAGTTATATTGACTAATAATCGAAATCTTACCAGCGTGGATTGGATTAGCTGATACAACTCTCTTTTATATCGTTGATTCTCAAGTGTACAGACATTTTGTTTATTTTCTCAGCTGCTCGCAGTGTTGGACATTGACAGTTGGAATATTAGTTAACAACCAATTTAGACAAACGTTGACTAAACTTGCTCAACACTATTGATGATTTTTGAAATATTCGCTCTACTACAATGATTCATCCTGCAAACGAACCTCATTCATGCACTGTGTGTTTGGAACCGCTGTTTAAATCCATTACAAAGGAAAAGTCCGAAACATTTGAACTCGACAAGTCATTTCTGAAACAGATGACCCAGCAATGCATCTTGCCAAAATGTAAGTAGTCTATCCATTTTCAACTGGTGACTTGGTTTAAGCTGTGTTGTGTTTGATTAGATGTAAACTGGCTGGTGAAATCATCATACACCATTAGAACTGTAATGACTAAATATTCAATATCTGGCATGGATTTAAACTGCCACTATCAAACTTGAACAATCCCAAAAATTACATTAAAAACTTTAATATATACAGGCAGTCATGTATTTCACTCTGTATGGTAAGTAATCTAAATGATCCATTCAAGACACGCACGAATATGTTTGGGTCGTATTTCTAAACCAGCATGTTTTCGTATCAATAGTATTATTCGATGGTTAAATTGTGGATCTAAGCGTGTATGTCCGAATTGCAGAGAACCAGTCAAGTTTATCAAACCCACACTACCCGAGATTGTGTTTCTTCCAAACGGACTTTTTTGGATTCCATTGGCTTTGTCTACAGCACAACCATCTTCTTCATTACCACCTCTAGCTGCATCCAGACTATCCTCTGATGCCACACGATCTCATGAACAAGCCTGTTCAGATAATGCTGTGGCATTTTTGCATCGAGATTTGGCATCAAAGCAAATTCTTATTGATGAGATGCAAGAGGAAATAGAGTCACTCAAGTGCGATCTTGAAGATACCATCACGGATCGAAACCATATTCTCAACGATCTTGAACATTTAAAAGCAGGAGAGCACGTAATCAAGTCATTTCAAGCAGCTTCGAAAAAGGAAATGGCTATTCTTCAAAAAAAATTGGATTCACTTGAAAAAATCAATACGGATCTAAAACAACAGTTGCTGAATGCAGAACTTTCTCAAGCTGCTTCAAAAGTGTATCATGCTAAGCTTGTAGAAACCATTGGTCGTCATAAGAGCGATTCGGAAAACCTCCAGCGAAAACTTGTTGCCTATAAAACGTATGCTACACGAATGGTTGATTGTGGAATGGACATATTTGATGATCACAACAATTAATCACATTTAGTTTTTAATTACAAGAGTGGAAAGCATCGATTTAAACAAATCTATAGACAATGAGGATTGGCAAGGTAGAGCCAGTGATATTGCTTTAATGGACAATGCTGCCGATCTAAAGGATATTTTACAAGAATATCACAGGTTTGTTGTTCATGTATTATGATTTTGAAGCAAAGTTGATTTGAATTTGACCATAATTGGTATCATACAACTAAAGACTGGCTTTTATTATCACCTAGAAAAATCCAAACGTTCCACAAAAGCTCGCAAACATACAAAACACGCGCATATGAAATGCGCGAGGAGCGAGATTATGCTCGTAAGGAGCTACATAGTTTAAAGGCAAAAGTGCGCTAATGAAATTGACTCTGTATATCGTGACTATTGTAGTATGTTTACTAAACTTTATTTCATTTATTCTGGTAGTATGATCGATTGGAAGAAAGCCATCTGGATATCAAAAAACAACACGAGCTGGTTGCCACTTGCCAGCCATCATATACCTTACTATCTGCTAAAGATATCTTGACACACAAATCCAATGCAGGTAAATTAATCAACACTACTATGCATACATCGACATCATGCGATACACCACTTTTGGATCGAGTTGCCATTTTGGAACAGGAATTGATGAATATTCGGAAAGCGCAGCTACAGACGACTGATTCACCCAGTAGAGATCGGTTCAAGGATTGTTTGATCTCACCTTCCACTGTCGTGTCAGACTCGTCCTCGAAGAATACGCATACTACAACATTTTCCCAATCTAATCAATCACTACATCAAAAAAGCACATTTAAGCAGAATATCAGGTACGCTGAATAGGTTCAAACATGCTGTTTATATTGAATATTGAGATGTTTGTAAATTGAACTGTTTTGCCTTTCAACTGCGTATTTGCCGCGTATTAGTGCCGATCCATGTTTTATGGATAGTGACTTGTCGGACTTGAATGATGGACAAGTTGTTACAGTTCGTCATGCATTGAGTAGTTTGGATGTACTTCGACCTGGCGCAATGCTGGGAAAAAAGCGAGCCAGTATTGGTCAATTTGAGCAACTTGCTTCTCGAATGAAACGCAAGAACGGCTCTGATATCTCGACTGGATCCAACTCTTGTTTATCAGGGACATCAAAACATACTTCTCCGTATTTGGTATCTGATAGAATGGGTGGAGTGTGTCGTCAATCTAGACCGATTGGTTCTCAATCCGACTTGCAAAATGGAGTGTCTACGACTGCAACAACTCGTCAAATTGATGGATTATTGCGATCGGCTGTTTTACAAAAGAAAGTCAATGCATCTAGTTTTCAGTCCAAAACCAATCCTAGTTTTACTGCTCAAAGTCAAAAAGGAACATTACTCGGCTACTTTAGTAAAAAACAGTGAATATGAAGACGCATTGTTTTGTGAAATATTAAACACTATGACTGTTTAGATACCAGCTGGATGAGTAGATTCTTGAAGTTGTGGAATAAAATTGATGTGTATTAGGACAGAGCAGCAAGAACAAAAGCACTGTTTATTTGGAAATGCAAAATCTAAAACTTGGAGAGTTTAATGACATGAAAACTGAACCTACAAACGACCATCTAATCTATAGTTTATATGCATGAACAAAGCAATCGACAAGCAAATACTACATCATGCGTGGATTATTTGAATCTAACAATCAGGAATCTACTAATACCCAATCGAGCTATACATTTATAGAATAGTCTAGCCACCATCCAACCAAGCAGCAGCAACACTTGGAGTCGTGGAGCAATTAGTAGCACGACCATACTGGTATGGAGTGGCAGGACTAAATGAGTCTAGTAGATCAAGATCATTAAAAGCAAGGTCAATTTCATCATCAAGTGCAACTTCAGCATTACAATCATGAATGGATTTGGGTATATAAGGAGGTGAATCTGGAGTATTGGAACACAGAAGCGAACCATACCCTAGTTCATACTGTCTTCTGTCGACAAGATTCTCTTGCAGCTTATCTGATGAAATAGCATCAGTTGCTGCACAGCCATTAAATGTCTGTAGCGTCACTACACGAGGCTTCACATTAAGCAAGGGTGTCTGCAATGGAGGTGGCAGAAAAGCATATGAACAAGAGCGACAGGTTTTTGTCCTTGAGTGAGTCTTCCATAAAGGAGGACAAGGATGACCCAGAGAACAGTGATTAGGATTGACGTTGGTTGTTCGAGAGTGGATGTAGTTGGACTTGTTCCGCTTGTAGTTCTTTGGGTGATAATGCTGGTGTTTAGTAAACATCATGCTGCGATAGTGCTGGCGAGGAAGTTTGCTATAAGGAATATGAGCAGTGATGGAGTTGGTTGGCTGTTGAGATGGTTTGTTGAAGTGGTGAGTAGAATGCCGCATACGAGATGGCTGGTTGGATGAGCAATAGCTCATCGTCATGTTTATAAGAACTGGATAAAAATCAATTATCAACACCAAGTCTGCTCAACCATTTACAAAAATAAGGGTGTCGTCGTATAATAAACAGCCATCTTGTGAAATGATTGGCGCTTGCAAATTCATTGAAAAATGGGTTCAACACTCATGGAATTCATTCGATTTTTTTTATAGAAAATTAAATATTCACATTCGTTTTAGTAAAATCACTTGTTCAACTCTTGTTTAAAGATTGGGTGATTGTCATGGAAACATGCTTCAATCACACTTGCTATTGTTATGAATGTAATCACGACTTGCACTGGACAATATAGCTGACAAAGGTCAAGAATATGATTCATTATTAGAATGGAAATTTGCCATTGGTAGGACGCACAATGTCCAGTTTCTTTTGGTCGAGAGCTTTTGCAAGATCCTTTAAATATGAGTGAACATCAGAATCAAAGCCATAGATGGACCAGATGAATGCCACGGCAGGAACTTTGACAATGCCTTGCTTTGTCAAGTAAAGAATGCAACCCTTTTCTCCCTTGACAGGAGGAGCCAACTCAAACGTCCATTTCCCAGCAAACCAATATCCACCCTTGAGCCATGAGTGATCGGTTTCTGAAGGTGTATGAATACTACGAACCCAAAGTTGATTCCGTTTCTAAAATGAAATTCAGTTAAAAGTCATGACAATAAGTAGTTGATCCAATTCTAACAGAATTATGACAGATTCCAACTCACCTGCTCAGTTATTTGATAAAAAGTAGACCCAGTCAGCGTCTTCTCCATCAAAACCTTGTTCTCCATATCCTTGAGCTTGACAAATGTTGCAGCGTAAACCGACCTTCTCCAACTGGGATATTGGTCTTGTGTTGTAATTAGTTTCCAAACAGCATCAGCAGGCTTATCCAGTTTGATGGCCCTAACAACGACATGCTCTTCTCCAAGGACAACTCCCACCGAATGGCTCATAAATAGGAAATTCAAGGTTAACAAAGCAGACATAGTCGGTAGTGTCCACCATAGATTCGCTTTAGCCCAGCCAGCAGCACCATTCAACATGGTGTAGTAGAATTCCTTGTCTTCGTTGTCCGGCTCCTCATCTGCTTCCTCGGCAGAATCGAATGGTTGGTCAGCAGAGACATAACCATCATCCATACTAGTAGAAAAATCCAGGCTATTCAAGGATTCATCGGCATTTGCAGCTACACTTGCAATGCAGTATGCAACCAGAACGAAAAGTAATAGAAGAGAAGGAAGTCTAGTAAAGAGCTTGTTATTACAGCGATTCAAAGTAGGCCGAGAAGATATGAATGACATGATGCCCAATGAATGGATACTCTAGTACAGTACAAAAGATTAAGTGAATGCAGATTAAACTGAGCAGATGTGATGAAATAAAAATAAATGTAGCAGGTTTAAATAGTTTAAGATGTTGAGAATCAGACAGAAGAATCAACGATTGCAGTAATGCAAAATAACCTGCTGTTACTTGGAGCCAATCAGTCAACAACGTGCAGGTTGATACTCAAGGGTTTGCCAGGTTATTTCAAAATGTATCAAGCAAAAAACCAATGATCGTGACTAGAATTCTATCTGGAAGGACATGATAGTAAATGCAATCAGCCATATTCATGTAAAATGAAATACTTTTCTGTAGTCATCGTTTTGGAAATAAACGTTGAATATTCGCTGTTTTTTCTACTAGTAATTGGCATTTTTAATTCAATCAACACAACGACCATCATACGATATCCACAGCGGTTTCAAACTAAATGACTCTGACATAACCATGCATTCTACAAGTCTAAAACCAAACCCATTCATTGCAATTCAGATATCGAAATGAGCTGTTCTCAATCTTTACCTATGCGTTTACGCTCTAATTCAAGAAAACAGATTGCGTATTTCAAACATGCAACGACTGTTTCCATATCAATTACTCAATGTTTGAATGAGAGTTGAAGATTGATCAGGTGTGAGCTGGTGAAACTAATGTGAAGATTCGTTCAGCTCTTGACATTTTATTTTACGTGAATACGATTGTAATAGTCGGATTAGAACACATGTCAGTGGTTGAATTCACTGTACTGTATTGTGCGCTTGTATGTATACTGAGTTTGTGATACGTTTCTATCAACCACTCTATCCAATTTAAATGACTATATTCTATTGTTTGCAGCTATATAGGAATAAAAAAACTAAAAGTTGGCATGAAGGCTTTTTAAAATATCACAACGACAGACATAGGGTAAGATTGTGTTAGTATAATTCAACTACAGTTGATGGTCTGAGATAAAGACTGTTTTAGTTTCAATGCACTAACTCTCATCAGATTGAGTTATACGATGAAAACAGATCCAAAATCGACTCTTCATTTGTCAAACCATCCGAGCGCATTGATGTAGGATCTGAGCTAGAATTAGATAGGTATTTGGTTACAGTAGAATCTTGCGTCACTACATCCAAAAATGTCACTGCTGCTGCTGCTGTTCCATCCAATCCTCAACGATCTCTACCTCAACAACGATCTTTACCCCAACAGCGATCTTTACCTCAGCAGCGAAGAATAGGACTAAAGGCTAAAAGGTCTAGCCAACCATTAGTCCAACTGCGGCCAGTATCTCCTCCACATTCAAAACCTGCTCATCATTTTGAGCAACCTGTGAAAAATCAATCTCATATGCATTGCTTACCATCCTTCACTGCACATACAAATCATGTTTCCAATCCATCCTACCCAACTGCAGCAGAAAATACAAACAGAAATGGCTCACATGCATTGAATCTGTTGCATTCAAATTCAAAATCTAGTCTGGATCAAATACACTGTCCACCAAAGTCTAAGAAATCTATCTGGGATATGTTTTGCGAACCAGAAGATGTTGATCACTATCAACTTCCTGAATCTATGGAACATATAGATTCACCTGATAAACTCGATACATTGACTCGACAAGTTCAGATATCTGTTGATGAATTGCATTCCGGAAATACTCATACATTTGATGGCACAGATTCAATAGAATCTATATATACATCAACTCTACCAAATGGCTCAGACATAAAACAGCGATCCACGACTGAGTTAATGGATATGTTTGGAGATTCTGCTGATCCTGATGATCATTCAATTGCATATCAACCGCTTTATCCAAAGCGTTCACTTTCCAGTAATCCATCTACGTTTGATACAGATTATCTTCACAAATCTGATACAGATATTGAACTTGTCCATCAAGTTAAAAAAAACAAGTTTGAACAAAACCATTCTGCACTTGACTCGCTGGAAAATCTCGAGTCATTTTCCCAATCGCCATTAATAGCGCCTAACTCTCTTTTTGGACACTCGGCCACAACAAAAAACCTTGCATCATCACAAATATCGACATCTTATGATGTTTCTAAATCTACTCAGACTGCATCTCAACTCTATTTTCCTAGTGTAAATGGTACTTGTACACATACTCCATAGCTGCGTTTACTTTTGAAATTTATTTCAACACTTTCACTATCTAACCAACTTTTTTATGATGTCATCAAAGAAAGAATGAATTTAATGGATTTAAAGCTTTTCAGAAAAATGCAGATGCCTCTTCGATTCGTGAGTTTTGATCATCTTGATTAGTTTGTAATGGATAGCTTGACTGCTAATTGGTATTTGCTATTTTAAAGAAAAACAAAACTGCATACCGCCACGCCTTGTCGAATCTTATTGTTGATCACCTTCAAGTGTCATTGCAAACTGTTGCTGTCAAATATAATCAAATCAATCTTGGTGGTATTTCGGAACATATGAATGATAAGTACTATCGCAGTCGCGGTATTGCTTGCTATCTTAACGTGACGATCAAGTTGAGTTTATACTATTGGAAAGCTTAAATTTACACCATGTCCGTGCTACTCAATCTCGTGTGTAGACTAATACACAACTTACAATTAAACTCTAGACCATTCGAAATACGAGACCAAAGAGCATTCCATTTTCAACCATTATTAAACATGCGAAAAAATAACTATATTTTGCTAGTCTCCAACAAAGAACATTCATCTGCCTATTCTCGAGGTACATGTCTAGTTTATGACTTGTACAACTACACATTGACTTTGACACATCAACTGTGTGCCGTGATCATATGCTCACATTCTGGACTTGTTATAGATGATATTTGGGTTGTATCTTCAAATTCCAATTTTGATCATGCATGTGTACTGCGCAGTTATTTCTATGGACCATCAGCTAATGGTGAAATCGAGGTAAACTATCAATTTTTTAAAACATGACACACTATCAACAACTGGGTCTTGACATTCTGTGATAGTTGACACCCATGTCATCTCGAGACGATCGGATAGTTCAAGATACCATTTTAAAACCGCCACTAAACGGGAAATGCTATGCTATCCGTGCAATCAGTGCCAGTTCTGAGCTTCCGGTTCTTGTTAACCTAAAAGAGTCTTTGCATAGCTGTCCACTCATAAGTTTTGTTGCGTCTCCTGTACCGACAAATCCCGGTACCAGCTCAAGTAGTACGCAAATGACCCAAATCGAAAATGGCAGATTCAAATCACCATCGCTTAAGCAACGCGATTTACTTGTACCTGGATATCAAGTATTATACAACCAACTCCTAACTAAAATAATCAACCAGTACCGTTTGAACAATGATCAGACTCGTGTATTACAAACATTTGCACAATCCATTGCTGGAAACCAAGATAGTCCCATAACACTTGTTCATGGCGTAGGTTTAACAGCTGTCGTATTTGGTGTGATGATTTAAATGTTACGCAGTGTTTATAACTGTATATTACAAAATGGGTTATATGTCGTAGGTATTTGGGGCTGGAAAAAGCTTTTTAGTTGGTGTTATCGTCCTGTTTTTATACCAGGTAAAAGAAAACAACCTATTTTGTAACGGCAATGGTGCTCGTGTAGTCATTTCTTCAATGACAAATGGTATGTAAACCCAGTTACCAGGGTTAGTTGCACACATGGCCATTTTGATGGTGTTGATCTTGCATTGTCGACTCATGGCATTTTTGGTTTGAATTGAACGATTAGTTGCAGTAGACTTGATCCTTCTCAATCTGATGAAACTTGGGTTTACGCAGTTTTCCCGAGTAGGAAGTCTGCGTAAAATTGCTAAACCATTGCTACCCTACACAATGAGAGGGAAAAATGCTAGTCATGGCAAGTAGTGTTTATCTGTTATTTAAAGTTGAACACATCAAATGACGTGTTTGTATTTTGATTTCCAGATGTCAAAGAGTTGCAGCTGATGCTCAAGGACACTATGCTGACAGACACCGATCGAAAAGGTATGCATATTTAGTATCCATTGATTTGCATTTCCAACTACTGGAACTTGATGCATTTTCAAACTAGATATACAGCGTACTCTGGGACTATTTCGAGCCAGTGCTTACAAGGAAACTATTTCGAACTCGTTTGTTATTGGTATGAAAAGCATATTTGAATTCGGTTGTTGTTGGTATGAAAATCATACTGTCGACTGTAAAATACAAACCCAACACGATTGATTCACCATAAACTGTATCTACGCAGGTGTCACATGCCTAGCGACCAACTTTGAGATTCTGGACGACTTTAGCTGTCCAATTGTTATTCTTGACGAATGCAGTCAAATGACTGAACCCATGAGTCTTTTACCGCTGTGTCGATTCAGTTCTCAGCGAGCGCTTTTAGTGGGGGATCCAAAACAGCTACCGCCAACTGTTCAGACAACTATAGATCCATCAATTGCAGATGCACATGGAATTGAGTGGACGTTGTTTGAACGGCTAGCTGAATGTGGTGTACATCCTATTATGTTGCGAACTCAGTATCGAGTATGTATAATACCAGTCAAAAGTATACAATTGTAACAGTCATTTTGCCAACTAAATTGATTGATTTGAACCTTGAATAATCAGTGTCATCCACAGATTGCAAATATTTCGAATAGTTTATTTTATGATGGCAAGTTGAGTCATGGCGTGGCTGAATCTGATCGGACAGCACTTATTGAAGGGTTTCCACATTCCGGATTTTTAAACGTCCCAGACGGAAAAGAACAAACTGCATTTGGAGGTAGTTTTTGTAACCCCGTTGAAGCACACCATATATGCGATCTAGCGTCTCAACTCGTGTTGCTTAACATTCCTGCAAGCGATATTGGAATTATTACGCTTTGTAAGGGGTTGGACTATTTTTTTAAAATGCCAGTGTTGGACAAGCTTGTTGATTATATCATGATTGGTTTTACTAGATAAAGCACAGGAACATTTGATTTGCAAGCTTCTTGGTGAACATGCAGAGTCAAATATGCTACGTCTAGTACAGGTGTCTACTGTAGATGCATATCAAGGCGCAGAAAAGCCAGTCATTATTCTATCCACTGTACGGACCAAATCCAAAGGGTTTATTGAAGAACCGCGCCGGATCAATGTAGCCATCACTCGGGCTAAACAGTAAGGATTGCATGTCACTGTCCTTGTAAACTAGACAATGTGGTGTCTAGTCTAATGGTTTATGGCAGTCACTTGATTATTGTAGGATTGTCGAGTCTGTTGGGATCGAGTCGAATTTGGAAGCAAGTACTTCCACACTGTGAACTGATTGAGCGCGATAGTAAACAGGAATGATTGAATGTCTGAATTTTTTCCAGATGAATAAACTGATGTTTGCAAATGAGATAGCTGTGTTGTGCGAGATCAACATGACTTTGGATAGTAGCGATTGCACCAGTTGACATGAGTCTTGCAGCCAATGGAATGGTTGAGCAATAATACTGAATTCGCAATGATTTCGACTTGATTCTGGCAACATTTAAACCATAAAAACAGTAATCTCAACTAAATTTGTCAAACAATGGATGGACAGCAACCAACAACTATGTCGGCATTTGTGTCACCAGTCACTCCACAACAACAGTTGTCGATGGATAGCATTCAGCAAATGATTTCTAATACACAGCAACAAGCAACAATGACTCCAATATCTATTCATTCAGCTGCACGAGTGAGTATAAATATGAATGCGAACCGAGTTGAAGTCTACACATTGAATGCATCCACTAATAATGTAGAGTTAGATGCAGACATTAGATCAAATACCAGGTCAAACACAGACGCCAGTTCCAGAGTATCCAATAGAATAGCAGCAAAATAGGAACATGCAGAATGACAAATCTTGACAACCAACAATGGCATCCAAGAAATTCAACAACGAAAGCATCCGCCATTCCTGACACTAGCGATATCAAGCTCGTGAGCCATTAGAAATGCTAATCTTCAAAAACCCTGTTTGTTTGGATTGAGATTGATTGTAAAATTAGAGATTGTGGGGTTGAGACCAATACAACCAGTGCTTCCCGACACTCCAAGATCAGAGACGCGACAGTCATTCTTAAAGGTCTTTTCTTGTCAAAGACGGCCATATTCTTTTATATTTTGAACTGAGCGGTGTTCAATGACAAGAGCAGATTGGATTTTTTGATTATCACAGCTTGTTGAAACTCATCAACAACAGAGACAGAAGCGAGTGGAAGTGAACTTGCTGTAGTTATGTACGGCTGACCATCAAGTTGATTAGAAGGAACCAAATGAGCGCTCCGAGACTAGAAATAATGAGAAAAATTCGACAATATTTCTTTTCTAAAAATGGAAAATCAAGCAAAGGTGTTGAAACCCTCACCTACAACAAGTGAAAGCAGCACTTGTTCAATCCATGATCCACCTGGATACATCAAACCTTCTTTGCAAGACATGCTACTGACGGACATCACTGCTGAGGAGCTGTTGGTTGTTGCAGAAGTACTCGGAGTAAAGTACTTGTCCCCAGCAGCCACATTTCCAGCTTCTTTCCCAGCCAATGGAGAAATATATGGACTCAACAATCGTCTCATGATAAACGCCGTTTGTCGCAGACCTGCAATAACCTCACAAGCCATTAATGTTATATTTCTCATCGATACTGGCTCTCCAGCCTCGTACCTGTCAGGAAAGGCCATGGAAGCATTGATTGGAAACCCAGAAAGTCATTTACCTCAGCAGTTGCAGGTCATGGTTCATTCAAAAGAAGTTATTAGATGCTATTTGTCACCTCGAGACAAACACTTTGCAGACGTGAATGTACTTGGAATGGATTTCTTGATTGCAAACAGACTGACTTTAAAAGTGAATTGCCGTACATCACTTTGCACCTTGATGATTGAGGAAAATGAATAAAAAGGGGGAATTTTATTTGAAAATGAAGCAGTCCAAGATAGTTTAGAAATGGTATCATCCGATTCTTCATTCATACTACTTGCTATCTTAACGTGACGATCAAGTTGAGTTTATACTATTGGAAAGCTTAAATTTACACCATGTCCGTGCTACTCAATCTCGTGTGTAGACTAATACACAACTCAATTAAACTCTAGACCATTCGAAATACGAGACCAAAGAGCATTCCATTTTCAACCATCATTAAACATGCGAAAAAATAACTATATTTTGCTAGTCTCCAACAAAGAACATTCATCTGCCTATTCTCGAGGTACATGTCTAGTTTATGACTTGGCAACTGCACATTGACTTTGACACATCAACTGTGTACCATGATCATATGCTCACATTCTGGACTTGTTATAGATGATATTTGGGTTGTATCTTCAAATTCCAATTTTGATCATGCATGTGTACTGCGCAGTTATTTCTATAGACCATCAGCTAATGGTGAAATCGAGGTAAACTATCAATTTTTTAAAACATGACACACTATCAACAACTGGGTCTTGACATTCTGTGATAGTTGACACCCATGTCATCTCGAGACGATCGGATAGTTCAAGATACCATTTTAAAACCGCCACTAAACGGGAAATGCTATGCTATCCGTGCAATCAGTGCCAGTTCTGAGCTTCCGGTTCTTGTTAACCTAAAAGAGTCTTTGCATAGCTGTCCACTCATAAGTTTTGTTGCGTCTCCTGTACCGACAAATCCCGGTACCAGCTCAAGTAGTACGCAAATGACCCAAATCGAAAATGGCAGATTCAAATCACCATCGCTTAAGCAACGCGATTTACTTGTACCTGGATATCAAGTATTATACAACCAACTCCTAACTAAAATAATCAACCAGTACCGTTTGAACAATGATCAGACTCGTGTATTACAAACATTTGCACAATCCATTGCTGGAAACCAAGATAGTCCCATAACACTTGTTCATGGCGTAGGTTTAACAGCTGTCGTATTTTGGTGTGATGGTTTGAATGTTACGCAGTGTTTATAACTGTATATTACAAAATGGGTTATATGTCGTAGGTATTTGGGGCTGGAAAAAGCTTTTTAGTTGGTGTTATCGTCCTGTTTTTATACCAGGTAAAAGAAAACAACCTATTTTGTAACGGCAATGGTGCTCGTGTAGTCATTTCATCAATGACAAATGGTATGTAAACCCAGTTACCAGGGTTAGTTGCACACATGGCCATTTTGATGGTGTTGATCTTGCATTGTCGACTCATGGCATTTTTGGTTTGAATTGAACGATTAGTTGCAGTAGACTTGATCCTTCTCAATCTGATGAAACTTGGGTTTACGCAGTTTTCCCGAGTAGGAAGTCTGCGTAAAATTGCTAAACCATTGCTACCCTACACAATGAGAGGGAAAAATGCTAGTCATGGCAAGTAGTGTTTATCTGTTATTTAAAGTTGAACACATCAAATGACGTGTTTGTATTTTGATTTCCAGATGTCAAAGAGTTGCAGCTGATGCTCAAGGACACTATGCTGACAGACACCGATCGAAAAGGTATGCATATTTAGTATCCATTGATTTGCATTTCCAACTACTGGAACTTGATGCATTTTCAAACTAGATATACAGCGTACTCTGGGACTATTTCGAGCCAGTGCTTACAAGGAAACTATTTCGAACTCGTTTGTTATTGGTATGAAAAGCATATTTGAATTCGGTTGTTGTTGGTATGAAAATCATACTGTCGACTGTAAAATACAAACCCAACACGATTGATTCACCATAAACTGTATCTACGCAGGTGTCACATGCCTAGCGACCAACTTTGAGATTCTGGACGACTTTAGCTGTCCAATTGTTATTCTTGACGAATGCAGTCAAATGACTGAACCCATGAGTCTTTTACCGCTGTGTCGATTCAGTTCTCAGCGAGCGCTTTTAGTGGGGGATCCAAAACAGCTACCGCCAACTGTTCAGACAGCTATAGATCCATCAATTCCAGATGCACATGGAATTGAGTGGACGTTGTTTGAACGGCTAGCTGAATGTGGTGTACATCCTATTATGTTGCGAACTCAGTATCGAGTATGTATAATACCAGTCAAAAGTATACAATTGTAACAGTCATTTTGCCGACTAAATTGATTGATTTGAACCTTGAATAATCAGTGTCATCCACAGATTGCAAATATTTCGAATAGTTTATTTTATGATGGCAAGTTGAGTCATGGCGTGGCTGAATCTGATCGGACAGCACTTATTGAAGGGTTTCCACATTCCGGATTTTTAAACGTCCCAGACGGAAAAGAACAAACTGCATTTGGAGGTAGTTTTTGTAACCCCGTTGAAGCACACCATATATGCGATCTAGCGTCTCAACTCGTGTTGCTTAACATTCCTGCAAGCGATATTGGAATTATTACGCTTTGTAAGGGGTTGGACTATTTTTTTAAAATGCCAGTGTTGGACAAGCTTGTTGATTATATCATGATTGGTTTTACTAGATAAAGCACAGGAACATTTGATTTGCAAGCTTCTTGGTGAACATGCAGAGTCAAATATGCTACGTCTAGTACAGGTGTCTACTGTAGATGCATATCAAGGCGCAGAAAAGCCAGTCATTATTCTATCCACTGTACGGACCAAATCCAAAGGGTTTATTGAAGAACCGCGCCGGATCAATGTAGCCATCACTCGGGCTAAACAGTAAGGATTGCATGTCACTGTCCTTGTAAACTAGACAATGTGGTGTCTAGTCTAATGGTTTATGGCAGTCACTTGATTATTGTAGGATTGTCGAGTCTGTTGGGATCGAGTCGAATTTGGAAGCAAGTACTTCCACACTGTGAACTGATTGAGCGCGATAGTAAACAGGAATGATTGAATGTCTGAATTTTTTCCAGATGAATAAACTGATGTTTGCAAACGAGATAGCTGTGTTGTGCGAGATCAACATGACTTTGGATAGTAGCGATTGCACCAGTTGACATGAGTCTTGCAGCCAATGGAAATGGTTGAGCAATAATACTGAATTCGCAATGATTTCGACTTGATTCTGGCAACATTTAAACCATAAAAACAGTAATTTCAACTAAATTTGTCAAACAATGGATGGACAGCAACCAACAACTATGTCGGCATTTGTGTCACCAGTCACTCCACAACAACAGTTGTCGATGGATAGCATTCAGCAAATGATTTCTAATACACAGCAACAAGCAACAATGACTCCAATATCTATTCATTCAGCTGCACGAGTGAGTATAAATATGAATGCGAACCGAGTTGAAGTCTACACACTGAATGCATCCACTAATAATGTAGAGTTAGATGCAGACATTAGATCAAATACCAGGTCAAACACAGACGCCAGTTCCAGTGCAAGCTGTACAATCTACTCGACCATCGTATTTCATTCCTTATCCACAAGTCGGTATCGAGCCTGTTCCAAGTCCTATTGGTAAGCATCTAATGAATATCATTGTCATCAGATGTTATTCTAGATTATATGCTCATTGTATAACTGTCACTTTAAACCCAATCACCAGTCAATGCATTTGACAAGTCTGGTGATAATCAATTGAAATGGTTTGCTACTCCGCCTATTGATGTGGTGAGCAGTTCTAAACCAGCTCTTCATACACTCGACTACTTGTATGAAAAGGCACAACGGAAACAAGCCGCTATGGTTTCTTCAACTGCACATGTGGGAGTCGAATCTCAATCTAATAGTGTGACGAGAATGGATGTCGACAAGATCCGAGTTGATAGTTTGCACAAACCAGACCAAGTCGTCGATCATGCTGATTCAACACGACAGGTTTTAGATGGTGTGTTTGTAATCCATATCTTGTTAATGGCTTGATTTATTTCGCTGTGATTCAAAACTATCGTAAACTGATTTTGATAATTGAATACAGCACTGACAGCTGCTTGGCTTGAGGATGCGAATGCCTTGAAAGGTCGTTAATTATGAAATACATATCATTGAGTGCATGTCAGCAAGGATCTCGGCTATTTCAACATTCCATAATCTGACTTGAAACGGATTAATCATCTAAACATGTCATTAACACAAGCTCTCAGTTTAAAAAAGTAATAAAGTTGGATTGATATCCATTTCTTGAGTATTTTAAAAAAATCAAAGCACTACACAAGATAGATGTAGCCAAGTATCCCAGTATTTGCAAAATCAAGCGGTGATATCCATGGCATCGCCCTCAATCACATCAACAAAATGGCGCACTGAACTAGTAAGAGTAGCTAAAATAGAAAATATGTTGAGAATTTATAGTTTACAATTTAAACTACAGTTTATCAAGTACGAAATCAGCAACATACCAGTCGTTCCAGGGCGAACCTTGTAGCTCTGTTCTTTAACTCCACGATCATTGGGTCTGCGGTAGTTTCTCATGTAATCGACACTGCCTTTGGTAATGACAGTGACATCCACGTTGCTACCAGATCCAAGATCGTTGAAAATACCAGCTTCAATAGCGTCACACACGATTTGAACGGCTTCTTCTCGCTAAAATAAATCAATGTATGTATTTTAATTGGTTGAAACAGCTTGAATCACATATTACGTTCAATTTAAAGAGTGACCACTACATACATTCATGTTTGCACGCCAGCCAGCTTCAAACACAGCCATAGCAGCAAGCGAACCACTACCCATAGTAACAAAAGGCAATTTGTCGGTACTTCCATGGGGTGCAATTGTGTATAATTGTGGTCCATTGACATCATATCCACCAAGAACCAAAGCAGCTCCAATATGGCCTTGATATCTGATGGAAATTGATTTTAAACAGCATTAATACAGCAATATTTAAACAATAGGCTTATAAGATTGAAACCAAAAATAGACATTAAATCTAATACACTAACTTGAAGAGCATTTGCTTCAACATGGTCATGGCAGTGACAACGCGAGGCTCACGACCAGTCTGTAGACTGTGCAACTCAAGTTTAGAGGAAATCAACGCAGTAGTGAATTCAGTGTCTGCAGCAGTTCCAGCACCACAACAGTACATATTGGGAGCCAGATAATGAATCTTTTCACAGTTTTTGTCGGCAACAATTGGACCAGCAGTAGCACGAGTATCGGCACCTAAAACGATCCCATCCTGCAATAAACCATTCGTATTCAAAAATCATTAGCATCGACTGGACAGTTCAAGTGTATCAAATGGCTGGCAGTATTGAAGCTTTCTGCAGTAAGCCAGATCTAAAGTATTTGCAGACCAGTTTTCAAGAAACGAGTCTGCACATACTCGACTACAAGACCAAGGATAGCAAAGAGTATAAACCTTACTTTGTATACAACACCGACGATAGTGGTGCCAGTGCTGGTTGCTTTGGGCATCTTGACACCCTTGGACTGGAGCATCGCATTTCTATATTAGATATAAAATCCCATACAATTCATTAAACATAGTCAGGACTATGCGAGTGACAGGACAGCAAGCTGCAGTTGCCAGGGTAGAAAAGAAAAACAGGATTCTACTCCCAGCAGTAACCATAGAAATACCTCGCAGTATTCTCGAAACTAAAACCGCCTTTGGGAAGTTGCTGAGTCAAGACCATGATAACCAACAGTAATAAAAGCTGAACAAAACGAAACTTTAAATCGACGAATTTATTCAAAGTTTGGCCTCGGCAATTCTCTGTTGCTCATATTGAACTTGCTCAGGAAATGCTGCTCCGAGCACATCCCAAATACTCTTGGCATACACAAACTGCATTTCTCGTTTAACTCGGTCTGGAATGTCTGAAATAACGTCCTTTTGGTTGCGATATGGTACAATCACTTGCTTGATCCCTCCTCGGTGTGCTGCTAATATTTTCTCCTTGATCCCTCCTACTGGCAGTACTTGTCCTCTCAATGTTATCTCTCCTGTCATGGCTGTATGATTGCGTACTACAGATTTAGTCAACAGTGACACGAGTGACGTGACGATCGACACTCCAGCACTTGAACGGATATAAATAAAAATCAATCTCTGAAATCCACTCGGACAATCCATCCATTTATGCTTGGCTTACCTTGGCCCATCTTTAGAAATTGCTCCACTTGGAAAATGCACATGAATGTCCGTGTCTTCAAAGAGATTCTTGTGTGTGCCGTGGATTCCTAATGCATCTGCATTCGCTCTGACCCATGTAACCCCAATTTGTGCCGACTCTTTGATCACATCCCCCAATTTCCCTATAAACCAATCCGTTATTCAGGTGTAATTGTAAATATACATTTTAGTCAAAACTGTTGCCTCATCAACAACTTACCAGTAAGATGTAATTTTCCAGATCCTGGTGTGCATGTAGATTCAATAAACAATAACCCTCCAGATCCTGTGGATGTCCATGCAAGCCCAGTCACAATTCCTGGAACCCCTGTACGTTCCGACACCTCATCGTCAAACCGTTCAACCTACAATATATAATCTTGCTCAGCATACCCTTTGCTTATAAAGCAGTTTCAAGTATCTCCATTACACTTACACCCAAAATAGACTCGAGCTTTTCAGCAGCCATTATTCCATTGAATACAGCTTCGCGACCAGTTTCTTTAAGAATGGAATATTCGACAGCAAGGGATCGGCACACGGCAGCAATCTCTCGCTCAAGATGTCGCACTCCTGCCTCGCGTGTATATCCTGTAGCAATTTTAAGTAGCAAAGTGTCATTGATTTTAACATGATCTTCTGCAAGTCCGTGTGCATGAATCTGCTTTGGAAGAAGATACTGTCGGGCAATGCTCAATTTTTCATCAACTGTGTATCCTGAAATCTGTACCACTTCCTATCATAGTGATGATCAACACAATTTGGCAAAATAGAATGGATTAGCGCAAGTCTTTAATACAAAATTTCAAACTACTGTATCTCTTGAATTGAAATACAATGCCTCACCATTCGATCCAGAAGCGGCGCAGGAATGGTGTCCATATCGTTTGCTGTAGCTATAAATAATACATTTGAAAGATTGAATGGGACACCCAGATAATGATCTGTAAATGTCGAGTTTTGCTCTGGATCAAGAACCTCCAACAATGCCGAGGATGGATCGCCACGATAGTCATGACCAAGCTTATCAATCTCATCTATATATTTGTATTGATAACAAGAATGACAAGCATTGAGTTTATAGTCACAATTTTAATGCAACACTCGAACCAATGATAGCACGCATACCAAGTAGTAAAACTGGGTTATTTACACCACATTGTCGCAATCCCTGCACAATAAGACCTGGAAGTGATCCGAGATATGTACGTCGGTGTCCACGAATCTCAGCTTCGTCGTGTATACCTCCCAGTGAAATGCGATGAAACTTTCTTCCAAGAGCATTCGCGATGGATTTTCCTAGACTGGTTTTACCAACGCCAGGTGGACCTACTAAACAGAGAATGGGTCCTCGTAAGTCTTGCTTAAGTTTTCTGACAGCAAGATATTCAATCACTCTTAGTTTTACTCTATCCAGTCCATGGTGATCATGATCCAAAATACCACGAGCATGAGAAATATCAAGATTGTCTGGCGTTTTCTGTGACCAGGGTAGCTCTGCCATCCACTCCAAGTACGTGCGAATAACCTGATATTCGGACATATTGGGGTTCATTCGACTTAGCCGTTTCAACTCACGTTGTGCAGCGCGTAGGGGTTCTTCTGGAAGCTTTGACTCGGCAATTCGCTTAGTTAAATCCACTACATCATCCGCATCCTTCCCATCATCGTTTTCTCCCAGTTCTTTTTTAATTGCTTCAAGCTAAACATAGAAATGCCAGTCATTAAACTTTGGAAAATAATACCGTATATTGGTTGATTTTACAAAACTTGGTACCTGTTCTCGTAAAAGAAACTCGCGTTGTTTTTGACCAAGTCTGTTTTGCACTGTGGATTGTAGTTTTTGAGATATTTTCAAAACTTGCAGCTGACGATTCAATAGCAAAATGACTTTGGTAAGACGTGGCTTTAAATCAACCATCTCAAGAATTTCAAGCTTTTCGTCTAAAGTGAGATCAATCATAGAGGTGAATAAATCTGCCAGCTGACCCGGTGGTGTAGATTGAAGCATGTCTTTTAATTGTGCAAGTACTGTGGGTGGTAGTTGTAGCTGGGAGAGTGCTTGTGATAGATCTAAATGAGAATAGATGTGTAAATAAAAACAATAAACGATATCCTAGTTGCTTTGATGAAAATTGTAAACTCACCATTCCCAGTCTTTCGAAGACTCAAAACAAGAGCATGCAACTCCATATCATCTTTTCCAGCCTCTAAAAGTAACATGAAAAATCAACGTTCCCGTATATTAAACTCACACTTGTCTAGCACTATAAAAAGTTTGAAGCCATAGATCCACAAACCTGGTTCAGTAAATAATTGAACAGACGCGACCAAGAATGGCAGTGTCTGGGTAATCTCTTTGATCTTGAATCGAGCAATCCCTGTCAAAATTTCAAAGTATGCGATCCATGTCAGTTGTGCAATGACTGTCAAACCATCAATAAACAGAGAATCGAGTGCATACAAAAATGGCGGACCTTCAAGGGTGATCAAATAGTTTATGTTACTAGTCCGTTTTTCCTGATAGCCAGTATTTGAAAACTCGACAATGCGAGCAGCACATCCCCATCCAAACAAATCACCCTGGATAATCTGGTTTGAAGTATCTGATGTTCCTTCTGGATCAAATACACGATGTGTCTGTGACTACCACAAAGTATCAATGACCATTATTCAAGTTAGTAAAAAGAATTCATGCAACAGTGCCGATATATTTGTTGGTCGTTAAATAAACTACTAGATTTGATAGACTAAAGAAAACACAGCATTCATGATTGTATAATGGCTGTACCTGTCCAGAGAATGACTTGGAGGAACTAGCAGTATTATTATTATTAAATTCCTTCAGCAACGGCACACAACCAATGACAAGGATCTCCTTTGCATGGAATTTCGAATACAGCGAGTCAAGTAATTGAGTAGAATCTTTGCGACCAATCTGTAGACGAACCACAATTCCAGGCAAAAGCACTCTACTATTTCGAGTAGGAATTAATGGGAGCGAGTCTGGAATAGTGATTGCAGTCATTCTGTATTTCAAGAATTGCAGATCCGCTAGTGAGAATATAAACTGAATCGATTTTTGGTCAAATTTGTTTTGGCCAAATTCAACGAAACAACCTTTTCCACAGCCGTTAAGCCTGTCAACTCTTTCAATATCTAAACTACATTTTTGATTAAACCACAATGACGGTAAGCCAATGTCTTGCACCAGTTTATACTGTTTTTTTAAGATTTCTAAACTTGCGGTAGTCTGAATCAATCATTACTCTCCGCGAGCTCAAGATCAAATCTGGTGTTGTCAAGAGGTAATTACTGTCATTGCTATTTATCATCATGTTCTATTTTTTTAACTCTATATTGCTTTGTAATGGAATAGAACCCACAAGGAGTATCTTGCATACCAGAAAGAAGCAGAAAAGCAAAATGCTCGTATTGAAAGTTTGATTGCCAAATGTGCTCACGATGCAGATGTTCGAAAACAGGTATCAACTAATTGCTCATCACAGTCGTATTCACATAAAATGGACTATTTTTATTCATCTTGTAGTGATCATCTATTTTGCTTTGGAATGGACAATGATTAATGTTCGTTGCTCATTTCTACTAGAAACTGACTATTTTAATGAACATTCTCGATCCTTCCAAACACAACACTCATCATGTGATGCTCAATCAAACTAGTTTTAAACTGAGATTGTCTATTGGCATAGCCATATATTGTACAATCACTAGACTTATTGCAATCCAGATGTTGGGTTCAACTGTTTTCAATCAAACTCTGCACATTCATCTCTGCTGTATCCTAATCACAGATACGTTTGTAATCTAACTCAACAACAATGGTTGTACGTATTAGCAGTGTGATTGTTGTTTGCATGCCAATCAACACAAACAGTTCATGACATGATGCTGACCAGTGCATTGACAACAACCATGTCATGACACTGGCTGTTTATTATACCCGAAACTGCCTAGTGGTCCATTTTGCGTGAATACGATTGTAATTCTTGAACGTGTTGTATCGAGTATTTTCATAATACTCTATGCTGCTTTGTTGCTTACTCCTGTTTTGATCTATGATTGATGGCACATGACTATCCAGCGTGAGGTGCTTGATGAAACTACCCAGATCTTGCCAGATACCAAAGCTCGCCTTGTAGCTGCTTACGCTGCTCTTGCTAGTGCTCTAGAATCCTTCAAGGTAATCGTCAATCTCACTTTTGTCTGTAAATAGCCTTATTTTTAATCCGTATTGTGTTCACTATACTAACATATTTTACTGATCCATGCAGGAGGATCAGAGTGAAGATGTCACTGCAGCCAGAGAGATTTATGCTGAAGCCACTCCTCTTATTAGTTAAAATACCCACATCCATAGTATATCTCAATATATTTGAAATGAAAAACGGTATTGTTTCTGTGTTCAGCAAGAAGTTTTAGTAATCAATTCAGTTACCGCCATGCCCAAGCCAATTGTTTATATTCGTCCCATTTCCTCGAGCAATAAAATATAATCTGCCATGGGTGCCGTGTCCTTTTTGTCAATCAAATCAAAGTCCCGTCCAAAGCAAATATAGTGTGCCAGCAGAGTGTTGAGATGAGCCTCTGATGAGAGATGCAAAATGGTGTCGTAGTGTGCATGGTAGATATGAGCCATGACACGGAACAGTTGCTTGAAGATAAGTCGCACTGTTGCACGAAAATCTTTGGGAAACTCTACATCTAAAAACTCATGTAGGGTTAATATTTCAAAATAGTCCATCTAGAATATGAATAAACAATCACTATGTTGCTTGAACTACCTGCTTTAGTAGGAAAAACCGATTCATCATTCAGCACACTCTGAATCCACGCCATTGCATAGTCAATATACTGTGGTGCTGCGAGTTTCACACTACGCTTTTGACTATCCACCCATGTATACTCGCATCTATTAATACATGGTATGTTCAATACAAAGTTGGGTTGATTAGTGATAAGATTTGAATTAAATAGCAGATTATCCCAAATCGAATGTGAATGGGACAATAACATATTGCATATTCAAAACACTAGTATATCAGATATATATTATTCTTGAATCGACTTACGCTGCTCCAGCATGCATTATAGGACACGATGCAGGGGTACAGAAATCGCTCACGGATCCAAAAAACATGTTGATGTAGTGGAAAAAATCAAGGGCTGTCATACAATAATATACAGATTAGTACTGAATATGCTTGCTTTGCAAAAGATACGTCCAGCCAAGCTTAAAGTATAAACTCACTATTGGCAGCCAGCCTAGCAGTTTACAAGGTTCCAATCAGAGTCAGTAGAGATTCCAAATCCATGACAAGCACGTTCAAAAAACTTTAAATACCATTCATTCGGATCCACATATTTCGGCTGCATAGATATCTTTTTAAAACTGCCATTGACCAGACTTGCTGATGAAAAAGGCTGACAGAGAAAGAGCGGCCGTGCACCGTCTCTCTTTGATCGTCCAAACTTGCTGTATCATTTCCCAAACCGGATTTAATGCAGGTGTCAGTCAAATATGCACAAATGATGCATGAGTTGAATAGCAGCAAAGTAGGACATTCAAAGCATATTCTAGCTTTGGATCAAGACAATTGATAAATATTCAACCACGGAAGAATAAATCGAATGTTGGTAGTGAAGCATCATATAGTAGACAAAACAACATGATGGCTTATATTCACTAAAAGTCAACAGTCGTTGAATCAAGAGTGAACTCGACGACTCCAATGTGTCAAGAAAAGCCCCGAGTGCTGACTGCACATGCTCAAAAGAACAGTAAAGGCTTGCAAATAATATGTACTCGATACCAGTAGCAGTAATGGGCTCACCCGCTAAAAAAGTTCATAAAGCAAGTGTCGAGTTGATTGGAAAGTAAAAAACAAGTTGAGCAGCTTCAAAGACCTTGAAACAAGGCAACCGACATTTGCAACCACCAAACAGCCAGCACTGACAATCCTCCACCGGCGTCGCAAACCAAATAAGCCAATGTTGCTTTGTTTCAGCCTTGAGATCTCATGCAGTTTGGCCTTTTATTGTGCCGAAATGATTTAAACTTGATTATCGACACTTTGCTCAAGTCGCCATTTGGCTTTATTGTTCAAACTCGCAAATTCACCCAAAACTTAAAATGTCAGACAACGGATCTGAAAATGGAGATGTCGAGGAAAGTCTTGGCATTGGTGTAAGTAGTCCAGCATAAATTGCTTGGAATATTATGTAGAAGTTTCACTCTGATGAATTCTGTCTTAGGTGTACGAGGGCGACCGCAATGCTGCAAAGGAGCGTCACGGAACAGGAAAGAATCTGTTTGTAAACGGTGATGTGTATGAAGGAGCGTACATTCAGAGCAAGCGTCACGGAGAGGGTGTTTACAAGTGGAAGGCAGGGCATCGCTATGTTGGGGCATATGATAATAATCAGAGGCATGGTCAAGGATACTTTGTATATCCTGATGGCTCCAAATACAAAGGTAAAGATGTCATTACATTGATGGTGGATAGTTTCGCTAGTCGTGTTGCCTACGCGTTCGCATCTACATGCAGCTCACATGTATATTTCCAATACACTTATTCGTATAGGAGAATTTCAACATGGAAAGCGTCATGGACAAGGAACATACGTATATGTCAATGGTGATGTTTATCAAGGTGCTTGGGAAGACAATTTAAAGAACGGCAAAGGTACTATATTTAGAATAGCATGCTGCAGTCTTACTTCATCTGGTCACGTACTCTATTTTAAATTTTCTTGTAAATAGGTACATATATTTACCAAAACGGTGGAAAGGTAGCGCTATTGATTTGCTTGATTATCCTTGTATTGCTATTTAAAATCATTATTACTGTCCAGAACCATCATTTTAAAGATTTTACAACTATCAATTTAGAAACTTGGTATGTGGGTCCAAGGAAAGCTCGAAGGACCAGGTGAAATAGTGTATCCCGATTACAAGGTGTGTGGTGTATTTAAAACCGACGATATAATGGATATGCCTGCTATAATCCACTACACCAAGACTGGGTTTTCGCAGACCATACACGATCCAGCTCATATCGGCATGAGTACAGCGCAGGTTCTTTAATCAACAAAATGAGCAATTATAATAATAAAACATGAATAATCTGCTCTTCTATATACGCATGCATGGCTAACGCTACTATGAGCAAATATATGCAGTAGATATATATCTAGCATGGGGAAAAAGCGTCGCCAGCGTTTTGTGGTCGCCTAAAGCAACAATAAAGCTTAATTTGATTGTTTAAAATCCACTTTAATAGTTTATCAATTTAACTTATTAATTTGTGAAGTCGCTATATTTAAAAAAACCAGGGATTATAATTCCACGATATCAGCCCAAAATCTGAACGTAAATACTTTTACTATGCAAAGTGACACCAGTATCCACCGAAGTGGGCCTCCAGAGGCCAATCCGCATGGCCGCAAACGTAGCGCTGGATCGCAGATTTTGTCATTGGGCAGAATCAATTCGCCATATAGTTCTAAACCCAGCGTATCTGGAGCAAACACGGAGATACTCGAAGGAATGGAATCAAGACCTGCCAACTGGGAAAGTAGAATATCACGATCCATGGGAAGTATCCTTGATAATATTGGAGGTGGCAACGGCAGTGGTAGCAAAGACAAGAATCTTGACAAGCAGCATGACTTTCAAATGCGGCTCAACCGCACACCCGTCATTCTTGAAAATGATTTTGGGCCCATCTCGTCAATATCAATTGGAATATCCAATGAAAGCTTGCAAAAACCATTACAAGTAGACCCTCTTTCTTCATCATATCGAAACATGAATCCACGTAGCCACTATATGGCTTATTCACCATCGTCAAACTACGTATCCCCAATTGTACGGTCACGGTCTGGATTTGCACTGCATATGTTGTCCATGCAAACAATTACTGAAAAGGAAAAGGAGATTTTGCCAGGTGCATCACTACCTCTTCGACCTCTTGCTACATCTATGCCATCACATCGATCTGTCTCGGCAACTCCAGAACGGCACACGAGTAGTTTTATTGAGCATGATACTGCATTATATGCCAAAGCTGAAATGTCTAAATCCGTCAATCAGTTGTATTTGCTACAAAAAAGTAATGATAGTATTGGGGTTCCAGAAGAAGACGGATTTTTCAAAGATATTGACTCAAAGGGGTTTTCTGGAATATGGAATCACGCAGTTACACGGTAAACATTGTTTTCAGAGTAATGATACTCGTGTATAACTATGATATATTGAACAGTGATTTCACAATGACTAACTGTACAAACAACTTTTTGAACCATCAGAATCTATTTTTTAATGTATCTGATTTGGAAAGGACATGAAAATTATTTTGTAAGTATATTAGCCTTGAAACCTAGCAGTACTGATGCAATGGGACGATACCAATCAAAACTGGTTTTAGCGTACTGTCCATGCTAACTATTTATTGCGGTATAATGCTTAAAATCAACTAGTTTATCAGAATGGACACAATCGATTTTAGGAACCATTGGGCTAACATGAATGCTGCCGCACGAGTAACTGCTGCAAAGCGAATCTACTCGACATATCTATCAACTAATCGCGCAACGTTTCCTTTGCGTTGGACACATTTCATTTCTGGCCCACCAGTTGAAGATGTTATCCAAGTCATTACATTAGCCCTGGACTCTCCAAGTGCTGCAATATTTGATGATATTTCCTATATCGCTATGCAAACTTTGGAAAGCATTTATTCTGGTACATACACGCCCGTGGACTACGATATGGAGCCCATGTCATCACAAGATAGCAACCACTGCATGAAGTTTAGAAAAAGCGCATTTTACCAAGCAATGCGTAATGATTTGCGTGAGTGTTGACCTTTTAGAATCAATGGGCTGTTTTGATTGTATTTTAAAACTAAAAGTATGATTGGTGCTAACTCTATTGGTGTTATCGATTTTGAATCATATCAAGGAGGTACAATTCATCTGACCACTGTCCAGCATGCACGTGCAGTGGAACGATTAGTGGATCTATCCAATACGCTTCCCCTAGACCCAATTATTTGGGACAAAATATATACATCTTTAGAGGGTGTCTATCTAGACCACGAATCTCCCATTTCCAAATCCATTCAAACCGCAAGGAAAAATATTGGACTGCTTATTGCCCAAAGCGGATCTAATCGTGCATGGAGCACATCATCCTTGAAAGAAGAAGAGTCGCCGTTTTCATCTACAAAGATGCTTCGATCAGGAGCACAGAATACTCGTACATTTGATTCATCAGAAGCCAGCCACACCTTTCTTCCTGCTAGAGCAGGTGATAGCACAATGTGTGAATATTGTGGACTCCGACTTACATTTGATAGAGGCACAGAAGACAGTGGCTCGGCATATCGCTGCGAAAGTAAGTACTTGTGCAATGGCAATTCAGGCATTGAAATTGAACAAAATTATTGAAAGTATAAATTACTTTTAGCATGCGGCTATATTTGCCACAAGAATTGTCGTAGTCAAGTTCACGTCACATGTACCCGCTCATCAGCTGCAGTTGATCTGGATATGGGAGCTGAGGTGAATCTAATATATTACTATCTAGTACGGCGTTATGAATATACTGACTGTCTTTTTTCTTTTAAAATTATACACGATCTCCACTGTAGGTGCATTCGGAAAAAATTAGACTCGTCAGTGAAAAGCTTGCTGCTCTTGAAAAGGAAGTTGATATTGAAATGAAAATTCGAGATGGCCTTGAAAAAATCACTAAAGCCAAGCATCTTTCCGGACTGGGAGGATCAAATATAGCTGGAAGTGGAAATCTTTCTGGTGGGGGCACAGTTGGCATTGGGAAATCTAGACTCAAAAAACCCACGTCGATTGAGCAAGAAGTCACATCCCAGCTTGAGAGAAACACCAAGCGATTGGCTGCACTCAAACATGAAATACAAAAAAGACATTTGCAGCTTCAAAATTTACAATCTATAGTCGTAGCAACAGCTTCTTCGACACACTCGGATTCTATTTCTGAATTGTCCAAAACAATAAGTTGTTGTGATTTATCCAACCAAAATGGTATCGTGAATGCGTCAAATAACAGTATCAGTGGAGGAATGCGCTCCCTAAACGCATCATACAACCCACAATCAGTAAGTTTCCAAACTATTTGTGATTCTAGATGATTATTTTATCAATTTTTTAAAATATATTTGTCATAATGTACAAGACATCACGACTCGCACACACAGACGAGATGCACGATGGTGGCTTGATTAGAGTTTTGATTCAAGATCCATCTACAAAAACAGAGTCTAAAAAGGCAATTTATATTGGTGAAAATCAGTCTACAGTCGAGGTTATTGAACGGATTTTGGAAAAAGCCAATCTGCCTGGAATTCCGACAGAATTCGAACTATCATACACACGGCCAGATGGAGGTGGGAAAACATGATTTAAATATTGATGATATTGCTTAAACAGGTAGCTGATGTCATCATTTATTAGGGCGAGTTTTGGTCAAGGACGAAGATCGGCCGTTGCAGATTGAAGATGTGGACTTTTCTGTGATGTTTTTTAAAATTTCGGTACCTGTGCATTCTATTTCAATTTAGTTGCTTTGTACCGCAGATACTAACACAATTTAAATATCGGCTGTGTATAGCATCGAGAAGAACCCATACCTCGTAATTTAAACAATCCTTTGATCAAGAAGCAACGGGAAATTCTCATGGAAATCTACGAATCTGAAATGAACTACTCACAAGATCTTAAACTTATTGTTCAAGTATGTAGATTTACTTTTGTCAAATGATTCAACACAATGTTAAACGTGTATCTAAACTTTACTCTGTATCAATAGACATTTTTAAAGCCGTTTGAGTCATCTGGAATGCTGGATATGCCTACTTTGGAAAATATCTTTAGCAACATTGAGGAAATTGTAACAATTCACGAGTCGTTGGGAAAATCTTTAAAGGAAGTCACCAATGACACAAATTTTCAAGCAAATACAATTATCAAGTGCTTTACAGATTCGGTAAGCTTGGCTACTAATATATTACCATTGTACACGGATGCAAATTACTTATTCTACTTTGATGCATTTAGGTTTTGCAAATGAAATGCTACACAATCTATTGTGGCAACCAACACAATGCTCGAAGAACACTTGGAAAGCTTATTACTGACTCGGCATTTGCTAAACTCGTACAGGTATGTATTTTGAACAATCATTTGGTTAAAACTTGAAATTAGTACTTACTTTACTATCTATACTATTATAAATGCATTTAGAAATGCGAGGCAAATCCAAAACTGCACAAGCTTTCTTTGGCAGATATGTTGGTGAAACCTATGCATCGTATTACTCGATATCCATTGCTGTTTAAACGGCTTTTACCAAATCTCGGTACCGATAGTCGAGAATTTATAGCGCTTAGTGGTTTGCTTATTGAGATTGAAGCCGTGATTTTTTTGGTCAACGAAACAATTAAAATGAGAGAAGCAACTTTTCGTATTCATCAGCTTGATGAGGTGCTCGACTTTGGTGTAGTCTCAGAGGTATAATATGGTTTTTATAATTATATGAAATGCTGTTATTCAAAGCTGATTTTATACACGTGCTGAATATACTATGTTTTTAAATCGACAGAAATTTAAAATTGCAATTGAAGGTCGAAGTCTAATATCGGAAAAGCTGTTGCTGTATTTCAAAAAATCATCCAATATTCCAGTAGAAATTACAGTTTTTTTGTTTTCTGATATGCTTTTACTAGTTAAATCTAAGCGGCCAGACCATTTGATGCTAATGAAGGCACCCATTCCCCTTGAATCTGTCGTTATTTTGGATAAACCGGATGAAATCGGTGAGAAATTGAGCAGGATAAAATAATTTGCTTTCTAGCTACTTTTGTCCATGCATTATACTGCAGTACTTTAAACTAACAGCATTATTTTAGACAAAAACTTATTCCAAATTATACATCTTGAAGAAGATACGCATTTAATGCAAGCATTTAGTTCCTATGATAAAAATACATGGCTTCAGGAGGCAGAATCAACTCGATCACATTTCAGCGCCATCCACTATGATTTGGAGTCTAATTACATGCGTATTCAAACAGAGCGGTATCGTATCATGAACTTGGAAAAACCTACAGTGAATCACGAAACAAATATATCTACTCAACAGGAATTATATGATCAAGCCAATGGACTTTCTCTTGGCGTGTTAGCAAAAATAAGGCGACGAGGGTCAGACACATCCACAAAGAAAAAAACAATACTCGGCGAGGCTGAGCAACTGCGGAATGAAGATGGGCAGATCAAACGGCAATCATCACTACTGCAAATATTTCGATCACGTAAACAAGAGGAATCGTTAGATCCTACATCATCTTTAGAGCTGAATGAGTGTGATTTGTCAGCGAGTCAATGGGTACACGATCGCTCACGACAACTCTCTAGCCAGTCTACTAATGCAATAAATGCCTATCAAACCGAGCAAATCCGTGAATCAATTGCTGCTTCTGGACGAGGTTTTGACACCTCATACGGCAATCCTGGTAGTGCAGGAATGATTCAGCGAAATGATAACCGAATTCTTGTTCGAGGAAGTACGACAGACATGTTGGTAGAAAAACCTGAATGCAGTACAGCAACCACCAGCCCAAAAATATCCGACTCACATGGATTATCCAGCAGCAAAGGATATCTGGGTCGTAAAACAACAACATCCAAGATGATTACACGAATCTTTCGCATGTCATCGCCCGCAGTCGATAAAACACAGGAAAAGCCAAGTATCAATGGTCGTTCCATACATAATTTTTCAAACACAAATGAAACCAACAGTGTAATTACTTTACAAGCAACAGGATCTAACGTAGTGCCAGCAGTGACCAACCCAGACGTCAGGTCATTGGAAAACTTTGATATTGATTCGCTCTTGGCAGAAGGAATAGCTCCGGAAAACCTGGACAGTTACCATCAACAAGTAAAAAAGAAACGAGATCTAATGGGAGTTATTGGCAAAATGAAGCGATCGCTCAATCCAGTATCAAATTCGGAATCCCCTGTGCCTGGTCAATCATAAATGTATTGATTTTTCACCAAACTATCATATTTCCACTCCTAAGCTGAACCACTGTTTTTACCATAATTGAAACCATTTCATATACCTCCAAAATACATGAATTTCAAAAAAATATTTAAGCTTATTCTATAGTATGTGTAGCTTTTCACTGGACCAAACCAAGTTGTCAATGATCCTGATAACAATATTACGTGGAAAAACCAACTCTTGTGAGTGACGAACAGATTGGTAACAAGGAATGTATCGAGGCTTTTATTGACAACAGTAGAACAGTGAATCCAGATATCTGGATTTCAATGGACGGGTCTAGTATCAAACTTGTCGATCTAGAATGTATGGTTATGCAAAAACAAGAATGTAAGGTCTAAACACAACAGATTAAAACTGTGGTTTGATTGTGTGCATCATACAATGGTCGGTATGTTTGAGGCTGACCAAGGAAGCTGTCAAGATCGTAATATTGACTTTCTAAACAACGACATGCAACATTTTCAAACATGCATGCTATTCTAGACAGTATTACATTCCACAAAGCAACTTTCTGATTAGACATGGTTTACCAACCATTCAACAAACAGCGCGCAGATTGGAACCATACCACACAGTTCCATACTATCCATTCCTAAGCCTTGCAGAAAATGACTCGAGTATAATAAATGGTGTCGCTAAATTTCCATGTTAGATTTTACTAAAAAATATAGTCCCAGACCTTGACATGACTAGATTTGAATAAAAATGTCGCCTGAAACACTCGCTGATACGCTTTGGATCTACATAACGCAAACCATTCATTCATAATAAATCTACAGTATTGTTTTCAACAAGCGGTCGCACTTTGCTATATCTCAGTAAATACATTTGGTCTTTTTTCATCAAAATAGTTTCCCTAGATTTGGAAACCAACAGTTGATTAGTTTACAAATTTGGAAAAACTTGGCGGCCTGTCTGCATGTATGACATATCTTACATCTCATTAATTTGAAGATCCCCCACATCTTGTGTAACTCTACAGAATACAGCAGTGTCTAGATCTGGTTTCATGACTGTAATGAATGCTTTAGCAAGTTGTTTAAATTGTAATCATTACAAAATCAAAAAACATACGCATTTCATCACTGTCCAAAGCTTGCCATTGCTTTGATAAATTCCCCAAATAGGATCCTTTGTGATATGTCTGAATCAGTGTTTGAAATCTATATTTTAATCCGTCAAATATATACTATTTAGGATCAAAGTCCACAGCAATCCAAAATATCTCAAAACAAACCTTTCAGCAAAAAAAAGCTCTTCATCTGACATGCACATTCGTAACTCTGGATCAGATAGTAGGTAGATTGTCATGTGCTGAATCTACAGCAAATACAATGATATGAAAACAAGTTCATACAATATATTAATTAAGCAGAACATCAGTAGTTGTAGAACATGTACAGTATACCTTTCCAAGCCTTAGTCTAATATAACTCCGAAGCACAAATTTTATTCTCTCGAGCTCAAGCCCATAGATGAATTTCAAAAAATTAAATGTGGGTTGGCCAGAATAACGGAGATGCACGCCTTCTTGCTAGAAACAAATGGTTAGATGTAGAATCATCCATGTTAATTAAATGTCTTATATAATTTGTATAGATGATAGTGAATAGTGTTTTTTTGAAATGGATTCAACCTGAGTTTCAACAATAAATCGCAACTGAGAAACAAGATCGTGCTGGAATGGAAGTAGATCAGGAGCAGCCTTTTCATTCACCCAAGCTCGAATCATACTCTGATAAATATCAGCAGCAGGAGGTTTTTGAATTGGCTGTATGTTTTCACCAGCGTTCAATATCTCATCTAGCTCAGCATCGCTTCCAATCATTTTATTGTCGAGTAGAATTCAGTCCGAAACCATTTCAAACCAAACCATGTTATCACGTGATCTAAAATAGATTTGCTGCTGCCATTTGGTCATCGACTATATTGACCAACAAGCTATTCCAAAGTCGACTCTTTAAAAATAGTATTTGTATTGATCAAGATATTCAAGCAAATGAGATTTATTCCGTGTAAAAAAGCAATGCAACAAGCACTTCAAAATAAACTATTACAGCCATCATCATATAAAAAGAGGATCAAGTGTCAAATTCAAGTATTTCTAATAGAAAAGATTAAAATGGCATCAACGCTTTAATCACAATGCATCTGTTTTTAGAAATGGAAACCGGATCGATCTACTCCACTTCTTCAACTGTGGCTCCCTTTTCAGCATCTGGTTGAGCCGATCGCACATCTGCACTCATGAGTTGAACAATCAAATCCAAAACCGGTCCAGGCAACGACTTTTCAAATGCTTCAAAAATCATAACAGCTTCTGGATGCACTTTTAGAGCACGGTAAAAACATACCGCTGCAGCTTCATATCCAGCAGGTCCTATATAATTTAAAGTCGAATTAGGCTTCAACTATTCAAAAGCAACCAACAAAGTAGCCAGTATGTCCTTATAAAGACAGATTAAACCTCGTGAAAATAAAAAGACAGTTTTACCTCGAGAGAGCAGAGTTTCGCCCATCATAAGATGTTTACTAAAATAAGCCTGTGCATCTTGCGCATTGGTAGGCAGAGGTTCATCCTCTAGCTCAAACATAGTCGATGAATCAGCACCGCCTTGGGCACGACGAGTTGCTGCAGCTGCAGCCTGCACTTGGGCAGCTCGGCTGGAACGAATCTTTTGCGCTGCTCGCTGTTGATCTCCTGCAGAGTAGATGAATTCATAGTTCAATCAAAATATACATACTAATAAGTTGAAGTATATATCCATGAAGCCAAGCTTTAAATAGTCTATAGCATGATCTCAAATAAACTGTAGTTGTGTTCGAGGATCATATAATGGTCAACATACTGATTTTTTTTCTAAACTCTGGACTGGTGTTTCTCCGGTAATCAAAGTAGATTGCATATCCAAGAACACCGACAGCAGCAAAAGCTGCAGCAGCAGTGAACACACGGCCAAGTGAAAGTGTCTCTGTCATTATAGTGCACCAAATAAAAACTGTTCAAAGGGAAAGAAAGAAAATCTTGAAAACTTTAGTTGCTTCACGTTGATGCTGACCGACTCTCGAGTTTGATCCGTCAGAATTTACAGCCGTATTCACGTAAAATGAAGCACTTTGTATTTATGTTGTAGTGATTGTTTTGGAACAATAATTGAGTAGTCGTTGTTTTTTTACTAGAAATGGATCGCTTTTTATATCAAAGCTCTGCTGTATTCTAGCACCAGATACGTTCTAGTTCAAGATCGCACATCTTAGGAATGCAACTATTGTTTCCATTCCAATTACTCAGTGTCATAATTTTTGTTTTGAAAAAAGAAAGTTGAAGGTTGAAAAGATGTCAAGGTGAATATTCGCTCTGTATTTTTGTACAAGAATGGGCACGGAGAAGTCCAATGAATTAAAGTTTATAAAACAATATTATCCAGTAAGATTGGTACCAAATATGAGACTGTTTATTATGTATTTTGACTTTGTATTCCATTATACATGAATACGGCTGTAGATTCAAAGAAAATTCAACCAAGTTTAAGTTGCTTGTTCAGTCAATACAATATGTTGATATTCTCACCGTCTATTATAAACTAAATTCAATCTTATACATCACGTTAACCAGTTGTTTTATTGGCACCAGATAGGATGAGCTTACTCTTGCAGTAACCACATCCATGAGTTGCAACATTGATAGATTTACTATGTCTCCCGTAGCTGTTTTGCATATTATATATCAATCCAATTGAATTGAATCGAGTTCAATCAGTTTCTGTCTAATCTCGAAAAAACACACATTGCAATCCAAAAAAGCTTACTTTCGACCGCATTTGACATTTGTACATGAATATGTAAATTTGTATGCAATGTCATACGAATGGCATCTAGATACCTTGATGTGTTCGTATGCATTCATGGCTCGATCTCCCCTAGAAACGCCAAATGTTGAATCAGTTTTTAACTACAGTGCTATAGATTGATAAGATATCGTATTTACCATGCTTTGAATAATTTTCCGTGTGGATTCGAATTATCTCCATCAATAACCCAGCACGCAGCATGGCACATCTCATGCATAAGAGTGTTGCATAGTTTATCTTGAGTATCCAAAACTTTGGACGCAAGTTCTATACGAGCTATACGATTCCATCCACCTGAGCCATTTTTTTGGCTGGTTTATATGCATTAGATGACATTGAATAATCAATATTGTTTATCAACTATCCATTTGCGCTGAGCAAAATAACAAGAATACAACCCCGTTGTTCAAGTAAATACCTATGCGTGTGCGTTCTTCCAGCAGTTTTGTTGAGTCGAACTGACCATTCAATAACCATGTCATCCGGAAGTTTAGACTCAAATACACGATTATTGAATTCACAAAATAAATGCCGTGAAAGAGTTTCCTTATTTTTTAGCATAGCTCCAGAATACTTTTTTCTTATAGCTTCAATAAAACATACCATTAGACGAGTATTTCAATCAAAAAAACATATTTAGTTTTAGCTCTTACATTTTGGTGTAGATGGCGATTGAACTAAATGCAACATTTTTTTAGTAAGCGACTCTGGGCTGTAATGTGGCAACCATATATCATGTTGTGCCGGAATTGATTCAGGTGCATCATCACTAAAATAATACGTTTAGATTTTGGGTAAAACTCAAGCCAAAATGGCAGCAATACAGATTAATAGTAAAGTAACTTACGTTTCAAATGATTCAATCTTTGGTAGCTTCTCATTGTCAATATAAGCATCGCGAAAAGAAGCCTTCAAGTTTTTTGCTAGGTTTGCAGCTAGTAATTTTTTGGTATGACTTGAAATGGGAGTATGATCATTGACTGCCAATCGCCGATCGGATTTGATCTGTGTCAGACAAGGTATTGACAGACTTGAAATACTGCTGGCTGTAGAAAAACTAGCTGAAAGATGTTGCTGACACTCAACATCCGTGTCATCGTCGCTAGAAATTACAATAATATTTTTATGGCGTTGAGCGCTAGGCGTAGATATACATATTTCTAGACTGTCATCAGATTCACTGGATATGGCTGTAACACGACGGAATGTGCGATTAGACCTCATTGTAGGATGATCGCTGTCATCAGATTCGCTTGACAAGGATTCGATTTCAAACGCATTGGTAGGATCATAATCAACTGTAGACACTGTTTTTTCCAGATTGACGCCCTGATTCACATCGAGTGATGGTGCCAAAGTAAATTTGTCTACAGTAGCTTGTGGATTTGAAGCCAGAGTACTTGAAATACAGTCTTTAACCTCAACATTTGAGTATACCTTACTGTCAGCACTGTCTGATTCAAAATTTTGAATTGGTCGACTTGTTTGACAGGCTGTTAAAGATGTAGACAATTTTAGAGAACTAGAGTCCAAGGTATTATATATATTACAACTATTAATGCGACTGGATGATCCAAGGCTTAGTTTGTCAAAAGACTCCAATGCAAGATCAACCTCGTTAGCAATGAGCTGTGTTTGCAACCTGGAGGTTGAGTCTGGAGGTAGAGCACTGCAAGTCCGAGGTATAATGGTTTCAAAGTCGTCTGAACTACATGGATTAATAGGCTCTGATTGATTTCCAATAAACTCTACAGTACTACCAGACGATACAACTGGAGTTGGTAAGTTGGTTTTACTAACTAGGGACTTTAGTAAAAAGCTGCAGGATGAAGTAGCAATAGTGGTCGGTGAAGATATGTAAAAATCGGATTCATCAGCGGAAAAATAGGCAGTAGAAGTACTGCAGTCATCATCATCCGTACTATAGGCTGTTTGTAATGCCATGGGTATAAAATTGCTGCAAGTTCAAGATTAAAATCTGAAAACTGTCCGAATAAACAATTATTTCCAACTCCAACGCGACTTGATCAAACAATCCGACGCGTCGCTCCTGTCGATTCAAATCTGCAACACTAGCCTGAGAGTTGGCAATGGACAGTAGCAGCACTAGTCACATAATGAACAGTAAAAATAATGTGGAATTTAGTAGTACGGCGCTAGACAAAAAGTATAATGAAACTATTTTGCCAATGAGTGATTATTCAACAATACCCATGACTGCTCAAGACTGCTCAACCAGTACTGCAACTACTGCTAAAACTGCTCAACAGCAAATTCCTCAAAGTAGTGAACTACTTGGATTTAATAATGCAACCTGTCTTCAAAAAAGCAGTTTTGCAGACATGTCTATTCCTATCGCCGCTTCATCTATGTGTAGTCAAACTGCACCAGTATTTGAGCAACTTTCTAAAAAATCAACAGTCGGCAACAATCAAGAAAAATCCATCGGTAATAAGAACAATCAACTTGAATCATTTGAAAATACTATATTCTCAGTCATTATTTTGATTTCATTGCAAACTAACTCTTGTCTGATTTATGATACTGGCAATAGATCCATCACACCTTTCCAAGCTTGAAAAATCCGAATTATCACATATTGAGCCATCTCAAATAACTAAATGTGATAACTTGAATACTTGTACTCAAAATAATCCGAAATCATCCATACCTGCTACTTTTGATTCCAAGATTGACTTTCCTCGGTCAATAGATGCTAAAAAACAATTGGAATCCTTCAATGAATCTTCAGGTTTGTTTTACAATATATCTCCAAGCAATAGTTTTGACAAAAATTCATTTCTATTTGATAAAAAACATGCATCAAATTATAAAAACCCAGTTAATCGAGATATTCAAGGTACTGCAAGAACACGAGACAATCAAGCATTATTTGCAAAAGTCGTTGAATCTGATAACAGATTCAAGACACCAGAAATCCAATCTAATCCATTTTACCAAGCCTGCTACTCCAATATTGATAATTTTCAAAACCGATCCAACCACCATATGAACCAGAATAAGCACAAGATCAATTTGAAACAATACAACGCCAACACTCGTTGCAATAAAAAGTCGAGTCGTATGGGCGATTACTATTTTGAAAAACACTCTCCATCCGCTACTGACACTGGTGTATTTTCTTCCCTTAAAACTGAGCCTTTCAAACAGTTGGATTTACATGAACTGATCAAGCATATATCCTTTGTTAAACACGAAAAGGATGATACTGTTTACGATCTTTCTAATCTGTTTAATCAGATGAACCTTCAGCTAAAACACTCGGCCAAAGAAATAAAATCAATGTCTACCTGTATTCAGCAACTTGAAACTGCACTTCAGGCGACTAGATCGGAATACAAGCGTGATACTGTGTCACATCTATCTTCAAGTCAAGAACGATTGCTGGAACTACATAGTATGCATGCTAAAGTGGAGTCTCTTGAAAGTGCATTGCATTCACAGCTAAAAACAACAACTCGACTTACCAACTCTGCTACTCGTGAATTGGAATTTGAACTGTATAAAAAGAAACTGGATGTAAAATATCTTGAAAATGCTGCCCAAAACCAACGAGAGCGTGAACAGCATTTTGCCAAAGAAAATTATTTGGCTATTTCCCGATACATTCAACGTCTAAAAGAAATTCAAAAGGAAAATGAGCGGCAAAAGCAAGTTCAAAACATAAAAGCACTTTATGCCATGACTAGCAAGCAAACCGGATCTACTCAGAATCTTGTGCATCAGCTCACAGTGCGACTAAGAGAATCCCAAAACAAATGACTCGTGACTATCTTTTTTGCTTATATGGATTCATCAATCTATGCTAATGGATTTAACAGTAAATATTGGCAATTTTCTCAAAGCATTTTGATGATATCAAACTAGAATTATATTTTATATTTCCCAAAAAAACGCGATAATTACGAGCAGCTCCAATCACACTATATTTTGGGTAGATCTCATAAAGCTCCCTGTACTTGACATTCAAATTAAAACTATTATACTACCCAATTACTTGATTACACATTGATTCAGTAAATAGATATCATGGGCATTGAATCCCTGCATTTCTATCATGATGGAAAGAAATAGTTTATGAGACTCGCCAAATAATAGTTTTATTCAAGAGTTGCGAGTACATAGGAATTCCAAAAAAAAGAAGTTGGAAAAGTTGAGCAAGAGTGATGTTCATTATAAGGCTATAACCAGACATTGTGTTTTTAATCAGATATGTAAGATTTACATGCAGAAACGAATGTTCAAGTCAATCATAGTACTCGAGTAATTTGTGTCCTAAAGACTCGGACACGCTTGCGTTTTAGCTCAAGAAAACGAAGAACGCGATATTCAGTAGACTCGATGTAAAACATCATTTCATGAGACTTGCTGTTTATTATACACTAGTACTTTGTGTTTCGTTTTTATAAATATGACTGTAAATTGGGGAAATGTCAAATGTTGGGTTTGAAAGCTCAGCTTATACTAGATTTTTACATTTCAAAAAGTATCAACCAGTTGGTTAATGGTATAAAAGCTAAACTGTGTTATATTTGAAACCTCGTATAATATAGCACACTGCCAAATGCTCCAGCACTCGTGTCTATTTTTTAGAAATAGTAACAACATTGAAGCAAATTCCAGATCAGTGTGTCGGGATTGAAAAACAAGCAGAAAGTCGCAGAGATGGCAACATGCCATAGTATCTCTAGGCATTTCCGGGCGGTAGTCACCAATCCAAACGTGTGCCAACAACCAACAATTGTTGATTCCAAATTATCCAGCATGCAATACTCTACGAATACAACTCGCAAAAAACATCAAAGCACATATAGTTTTAATAATTAACCAAGTTTGATAAAAAGACAGCAATAATCGACGCAAGAGATTCAGTCGTGTATCATAAAAACAACATGACGTATATTTCTAATCCATAGCTCAACTAATTTCCTGCTCTTCGCCGTGCTGCACCAACATGCTGTATACTTTTGCTGTCACTAGCACCTCGTACAAAAGCAAAATCAGCATGGATGATCTGACCCAACAGATCGCTCCCGTCTGCCTGTTCTACAGCAGCTTTAGCCTCTTGAAACTTTTGGTACTCAATTAACGCATACCCCTAATTGTAATGTTTAAAACAATAAACTACATGTAAGATTCGGCGGCCAATTGAAAATACAAGTTGAAAACGTGTCTAGATTCAAGTATGTAGCCCAGCCAGTAATGTGCAAGCATCAAAGGGTACCTTTACAAAACCAGTTCGACGATCTAGATTCAAATGCATGTTCTTGATAACACCATAGTCTGCAAACTTTTCTGATACATCCTCTTCGGTTGCTTCTTCATGAACATTTGTCACAAGAATGATCCAGCCCTCGACAGCTGATTATTCAATTGCGATTTTCAAATCAAGAAAATAGCGTATTAGTAAACAATGCTATAAATCGCCAAGATAATTGTATTGACTCGAGGTATATTAGAATATTACATTTCTGTGCCCGTCCCGAATTATCTGTATCAAGCGTTTCGAATCCGCCATGGTTAAAATCATGTCGATCATCTGCCGTGCATTAAAGGTGCAAGTACTGGTTTAGTAATATCACTAAACAAAGATCTGGCCATTTGATGCTACAAAAAAAGGCAAGCATCATTACAGAATAGCACCAACCTCTGCTATCCTTGAATCCACGGCCCTTGCGTTTGGATGCGCCGGCCTTGAGGCGAATGGTGGAATCTGGATAGTTTACATAATCCAGTTAGAACATGAGCAAAGACTGGGTTAAACAGCATTGGTTTTGAAGCAAGAGATGGTACACAATCTATGCTTTATATATTGTGTATGTCGGCAAGTTTACAAGACAAAATACAAATAACCAGAACTACTGGCCAAACTACAATCCTGTATGTGTCCTACCCTCATCAATGAGCATATCTTCTGCCTGGACGTCATCCAAGTCCACACTAATCTCAAAATTCGATGCTGCTCCAGTGTCTGCCATGATTATTCCCAAAATCAAGAGTTGCGGAGAAAGTTGCAAATTTGAATGTTATTTCTTGCCAGAAAATGAGCAGAAAATACAAGCTTGTACAAGCAGATTGACAGTTTTGAACACCATTTTAATTTCTATTGTATCGATGCTTAAATATCTTGTTTCTGTGCTCAGCTCTGGTTGGATTACAGCGATTGAATTCATTGTTCCAGCAATCAATTCAAGCCAAAACACGCTGACATTGGACACGGTTTGAATTGGTTTTAAAGCCCAACCATCATGTTGTTTGTATTCAACAACTGGGAGAATTGAATTATAGACTCGACAGATTGCAGGAATCAAGACTGAGCATAATAGAGTTTCAGCACGTGATTTATATTCTTGATCACGTGAATATTTACATTTTCAACTAGCCATTACAATTAGTGTTTTGAATATCGAACTCGACACATACTTTTCGCCACACTTTCAGAATCATGACCGTGAGTTCTCGACTGCTTGTGATACTATAACGACCGACTGTTGTCGTATTCAATTGCTTATACACATACAGAAAATCAAGCAATGGATGGATGCATGGAGACGGATGGATGTATAGAATTAGATGGATTTATGCATAGCTATGGTTTGGACTGGAACACTCCAATCTAGTTCAAGCTCAATGTATGCTGCTTGTCATGGCCATAGGAAAAGTGACTCTCGCTGACTTTAGCATGTTGTCAGACTCGACTACTTTACAAAGTTGTGCTGATCCAGTAGTCTTTTCAGCACTTGATTCGTCTCCATTCTCCAAACCTTCAACTTCTGTATCTGCGATAGTCGAGCAATGATTGGACCTGTGCCTTGATTTGCCTTCTTTGTCCTACCAACGGCTATGAAGATCTTGACTGACACTTTCATGTTTATAGCTTGCCGTTGATCTTCTCAACCCACTCGAGTCAAGCGAGCGCAGCCAGCACAAGCTCAAGAGACTCGTACAGAGCCCCAACTCTTACTTCATGGACGTCAAGTGCAGTGGTAAGCATCTGTTATTCCTGTTTAAATTTCAGTTTGATGCAATGGATCGACTTGCTTACATTATTTGCGATCTAATATTTGACTTTTCAGGCTGTCTTCAGATCACCACTGTCTTTAGTCACGCACAGACCGTTATTCTCTGCAGCGGATGCTCGAATGTTCTCTGCCAGCCCACCGGTGGAAAATCCCGTATTACTGGTAACGTTTAAATAGCTTTGGACTATGTTATATTTAGTTTGTAGCCGTCTATATACTTATTGGATCGATCCATCTTTATATGAATAGAGGGCTGCTCTTTCCGCAAGAAGTCGGGTTGAATCTTTTCAGCAGTTTTAGCCTCCCTGTAATAAAGTACGGGAATCGATACAAACTCTGCTATACTATCTTATATTTGATTGTCGACAATTCTTTAGGCTTCAGTTTAATTAAGATGTCTTTATTTGGAGAACTGGGTGGGAGTCTAGTATAAGCGTTTTGTTGGATGCAAGCATGCTAGTTTATTTGAGTTGTCTGATTTTATTTGGCTCTCGCCAATTGTTGATCGCTTAACCCGAGTCATGAATGTTTGAAGGCGGGTATAAATAGATTCAACAAGTGATACATGAATCAGATCTGACGACAGTTTGGTAAAAATAACAGATCTTGGTCAGATATTCAGACTTGAGCCAGTTGAACTTTCCCCTTGAAACAGAAAAATCATGGGCGACGATGTGTGGGCAACAGATGATAGCCATAATGACACTGGCTATGACAAAGATATGGCAGAGCGCAACTGGACTAGATTGCAAGATACTCATGGCATTGTAAGCATCTTTGGATTTATGCTGATGCATTTGAATGGCTATTAGGGTTTTTATTGATGTTCGCTCGACATTTGCGACATGAATTTCAGGTTGGTTATAAAGAAGGGATTATCGAAGGGAAAGAGACACATATCCAGGCAGGATTCGATCTAGGATACAAGGATGGATTCATGATGAGCCATGGAATGGGTCAACAGCAAGGAATACTAGCGTAAGCTGTTGATATTTGAAACAACTCGGACTAAAAGTATCCAAAGCTAACAACCATGGTGTAATATTCTTGAAATGATCTTGTTATGATGTGCAGTGCTGTACTGCAAATGTGCACAAAAGAGACGGAGCTTCAACGAACCATGTTTAAACTAATCCCTTCTGATGTAACCATGCAATCTCTAAACGAGCTTTATGCAGAATATCAATCCATGACAGCAGAGAAGATACTAACTGCCGACTACTATAAATCTGCTCAACTTGGTGCTCTTTCTACAATAGAACCAGATCAAATCACCCATCTTGGGCAGAAGCTTGTGTTCTTACTGGAACCCATTCTGCACGAACCCATTTTTGCAGCATTGCAGCTGTAAGATAAACTATCCTAACGATCAACTATTTTTGGCACTCCATCGCAATGATACACTCAACCTAATAAAATAATTACCACTTGTATTCAAGAAATGACATGGTGCAAGACTAGGTTTAAAGTGATTGGAATAATCATAGTATATGCAATTAAACTATCTCTGCCAAGCAAATCACACTCATCAGCAATTGAATCTCCTAGGAGACCCATTTGAAACTACATTGTGGGCACAGTCCACTCTGGAGACAACGGTATGGGCAAGTGTACATCTAGTGGAGTTTCAAGAATCGCAAAAAAGTGAGTTTCAAGAAACGATTCAAATCGCATACTTGGAGTAGATGTCAGCGAAACAATCTTGGAGACATCATCGTAAGAATGAGCACGAACAATAGGACCTTGACTGTGTGAGATGGGATTATTGGATCTTTGGCCTCTACTAGAGCTGAAATGTGCACGGTATGCATCCACCTGGTCATTTTCATCTGTAGTGTCCATTTGCGTGCCTGACAAGACATTTTGCATACTCTGATCTAATGTCATGACTGGTGAATGAGTGTTGGATTGAGACACAAAGTGGTGATTAGAAGCAGATCCAAGCGACTGCATATTTTGAACAGAATAGTTGTAAACGGTGTCTCCCTTGTCGAAAGTCGGTACGCGTTGTCCAGAATCAACAGTACTAGACTCGAGACAAGTTGGAATTCCCAATGCTGATCTAGTCTCTGTTCCTGAAACATCATTAATCAGACAAGGTGGAGTGTATGTCATACTTTTGGTGAGACGTTTGGCAATTTTCTTTAAAGTTTTAGGCTTCGACCTAGTGCACAACACTGTAGGAATGTCAAGCTTCTTTTCCCCAGCAACTGGAAGAGTAGCAGCAAACGACGTATTAGTCTATTCAGACATATTCACAGTAAAGTGAGACTATATTTATCTAATGGTAGAATACAACTCGTCTATATAGCAAAAAGCTCCCAACCGGCACACTAAAGCCATCTTTGGTCAGCATACCATTACCAGAATAACATACCTGTTGCTGATCAGGTTTTAGCATTTATAATCAATGCACTACTACGCAGTAAAAATAGTTTACTGTAAGATTTGAAGTAATGTCAAGCAAGTTTGTGCAATTCATTAAAAGTCGGATTTTGATGATAAATTCTCGTTATCGCTTTGGGCAATTTGCATGTCAGATCAATGATCAATACTATCAAGACATGCATATTAAACCCATCATACAATCACAACCTGGATCTACACTCTAATCAACAATCCAGTATATTACATTTTTAGGTAGATTTATTTGACTCGTTCAAATCAAAACCATCTATCGTCAATGTTATACTATTGTCTGCATGGGTTTACCAGCATTTCCCTATACATTTAAACCATTCAGTAAAAGTCGCACATGACACCATATCCAACATTGCATTACCTTTCGACCTGCAAGTCTCTTATCATCTTTTCGTGCTTTCGATTCAGACTTGACAGTCGCTAGCTTTGAAGGGTCTAAACTTGACGCGCCGCTTGGATTGGCCAATGCAGTTTTGGGTGTTTCTGCAGATAGGCTCAACGCTGTTGCTCCAGGTGTATGTGCACTTACAGGACCGTGACTGGGAGAAATTGTCGGTGCTGATACTCCAGCCATTGGCGTTGCAGTCTGTGGGGTTGTAGAAACAGTGGCCTTGCTGTCTCCTTTACGTTTCCGTTTCTTTGTTTCTTCTGCTTGTAAATATCCCGATGGTAAACGCTTGCGTCCTTGAATTGCATACTTGACAAGTAGTTTTTCATCTTTACTTTTGAGGCGAAATTCATTCTACAAATCCAGTGCATTACACAGATGTGCAATGTTCAGAATTAATCCTTCAATCTTTTCTAACATATTAAAATGACATTACGCTAAACCACAAGTATGTTACTTACAATAGCAAGCTCCTCCACACTCATCCCCTTTCTATCGTAAAATGCTTTCAAAAGTCCAATCTGTTTTGAAGGATCAATCGGCTGCCAGGGCTCAAACGGTTTCACTAATTTTTCTATAAACTAAATATTAGCATAGCTATAAAAAAAAGCATTTGACATTTAAATCAAGCTGTTAATCTTTCAACAAACTTGCCTTGCTGCGTTTCATCTGCTGCATTTTCTGCCGCTACAGCATCAATCAATGACCGCTTCAGTCTTACTCGAAGTGGTTTTTCAGCTTTGCGATTCCAAAGCTCAGCAGGAATCTACAACAAATTATATATAAGCTTGAGATCATACAAACAGTTTGAATCTAATCCTACTTGAAACTTACACTTGTAATATCAATCCCAAAATCCTTCAAACCAAGAAGATCAATACCCATATCTTGAAAAAAATTGCCACTGATGATCTGATCCTGAGACTCTTCAAACACAACATCATCATCCGCCGTCATATGATCGGCTGACCGACTCAGCTGTGCAAACGCTGTATCAAGCTTGCGTCTAATATCTGTAAGCTTTGTACCCAGACCCAGCACATCATTTTGAATGTATGTTTCAAGAAACACGTGGTTTTCAATTCCATTGGCATTGAGAGTGTGCAGTAAAATAACCTAATTAAAAAGTCCAGATAAAACCCAAAGTCAATACAAACCTCCCAAAATGCCGAGTAGAGCCCACAAACATACCTCAAGTGACAGAGAGCGACTATACTTGTCCATATATACACGAAGAGTTCTTCCAAGATTTGAAAAATAATGAAGTGCTACATCCGTAATTGAAGCCAGAGCACTCTCACAAACGCCTAAGTGCAATTTACCATCATCCGTATATCAATAAATCTACACAATCAGTCGACAAAGTAAATCCTTTGCACAATCTATCAAACTTACCGTCAAATCCGGCATGTGCAATAATTACAGAACACATTTTACGCAAGATAGCACGAGCAGTGTGTTGATTAATGGTAGCTGGAGGAAGATCTTCGCGTTTCCACAAAGGATGGTATGGATCTCTTGGAATAGATGCTGGTATAACCAATTCAAATGGTTGCGGAGGAGATTGTTTGGCTAGAATCTTATAAAATGTATCCTTGATATGCTGGAGCTCTAATATATTCTTGGTGATACTAGCATGTAGTATACTCTTTGGGTCGGACATAAACTCGGAATATTCTGACATGGTAGGCAGCGGAGCAGGTGGAATTTTTGATTGTGAGCTACAGCAATAGTATGGTTGGATTAATAAAATCAGTTGACAAATATATCAATAGCACTAGAATATGGCAAATGCTAAACACTCATACATTTCCTCTACAGAAGGGAAAAACATTGCCATGTCGCCATGTACATTTTTCGGATGTGCTTGAAGATGTGGAAATGAGGAATTCCAGTGTTGAAGTTCGGGTAAAAAAGATTGTTGAAAAATCCGTAACAGATCCTTGTCCTCTTCATTAGTCACATTGATATCTAAAAATATATTACAGTTATTGGTGTGCTTAGATTTCAGCTAAATAGTTTAGATACTGTACCTGCATGTTCCGGTGTTGTGCCTGTATATTCAGGTACTGCTAGTAAATGTTCATCTGTTGCAGACTCTTCAGCATTACCAGTATCGTTTGCCAAATTACATGTTTTGAAGCATGTGCCGTTTTCAAAAGCTGATCGGCGATCCTGATTCTGTTTACAATATGTGTTGAACCCATCTAAATAATTTTTCATATCCTGAGAGTTTCGCACATAAGCAAGACGATCGCCAAACGACAATTTGGCTTGATCCTCTCGCCAACTCTACATGAATTTAACGCAAAGTAACAATTTCACAATAAGTACAATAAAGACAATCAAATTGAACAAACTCATCATTGAATAATATTCTACCTACCAAGTACTTTGTGCGATGGGTCAAAGTAGCCTTTTTCCACTTTTTGGTTTGCATCCATGGATCATCAGTAGGATCTTCCTGTTGCCCTTGATGGCTTTGAATGTCAGCCAGATCTACTAAAGGCTGGACAGCATCCTTCATTGTCACATCGTTTGTCGGTAGCATATCTGCAGAAGCCGTAATACCTCCATATTCTGTAGAAACTCGCTGTGCTTCTGTGATATTTCCAACAGCAGCGATGGAATCTTCCGGAATGGGGTTAATAGCATTTATACTTTTCACATCTTTTTTAATTTCAAGATCTATAAAATTTAAATTCACAAACACACATTTAAAGAATATAAGCTTTCCAAAGTCTAAAACAGGTGATCCTATAACGCAAAAACAATTTTAATTGGTACCTTCATCGCTATCACTATCTCCAGAGTTTTTGATGGTGATTTCGGGAACTTTTTTGAGTAAATCTGTTGATCTTCTTTTCATAGCCGTAGCGTGACGCCGATAAATACTGTCCTATAATGGTTAAAGCACATAGTGGGCTGTCAGCATTTCAGCCTGTGTTTTTGATAAAAATTCGACCGCAGTAATAAATATATACTTGCAGGAATTGTGTTATAAGTCATGCAATTAGTCCATATCAAATACAAGTCGTTTGCAAAATCCTCTTTAGAGTTATATTGCAAGGCTTTTAGTTTTTTCGACATCTATTAGCAAACAATATTGGTCTGTCAGTACATACTAAAGTCTAGTGACTGTAATCAGATTACGTACTGTGCCAAGATCCATAGGACACTTGATGACTACAAAGCAATGCATTAGTACAATTCATCATAATCAAAGCAAAAACCCTCAGTATCGGCATTAAATTGAGCAAACCAAAAAACATTCACTTACTATCAAAGTAATTCGGAGCTTCGCGTTTTTGGACAGGCTTTAGAAAAGGAAGTGAGTGCTCCTAAAACAAAAAATCAATACATAACGCCGATTAATCTCAGACACCAGAATCCGTCAAAATAGAGCTAAAAGTAAGCATGACTAAACAGACCGTATAGTTTTTCAATTCGGTCAAAACATTTTCCAAGTGCTCGTACAGCTGCTCTTGTCCCTGACGATCATCATTTGCCTAGATAATCACCTTTAGTCAATACTGCTATAGCAAATGAAAAACTGATATATTTAATCAAAATCTATTTACCCATTTGGATTTGCTAGGACGAACATCAGCTAAAAGCTTGCGCAAATCTTTCAACTGCTGCATATCGGCCTTTTCATGGATAATTTGAAACAAATGCTATGGTAGATTTATATAAAAGCAAGGTAAGAGATGTGCCTATCTAAGTAAAAAGTCGTTGCAATCAATGCACCAACAATGATATATAGGCACAAATATTAAAAATATGTTATATACATGTCATGACAAAATGAAAGTCCAACCTTCAAACTGGCATGTATGTCATTGGCTTCATTGGTTTCCTATAAATGATAAACATTAGTTACATGGTTAGAAGTCAGCCAAGCTAAGCATCATCCAGATAAACCTGAGCAGTCTTGTATGGTCCTACTTCAAGTTTTAGTGATGCGTCCGTTTCATCAGCCTGTTAATTTAAAAAAATGGGTTAAAAATTAGATCCCATTCCCATATCCAACACGCCGGATATTCGAATGCAGATATGAAAAGCAATCATTTGAATTTGACTCACATCGTGGATAGCACTACATTTAAGCAGTTCTGCATCATATTCAAGTGAATAATACATGTCATCTATAGGTATGAGGTCAGCAACGTCGTTTGTATCTTGGTCAGATAAACTCCTGTTCAAATCTGTATGCGCAAAAGTATCTTTGATGTCTTGAGTCAAATTTCTACAAGCATCCATTTTTGATCCCATTGAAACTACAGAACTGTCTTCAATAACCCCAGCTTTGCTGTTAGTTTCTGGTGCCGTACAAGTCGTGTCTGATGCTGTAGCAAGCGCAGTTGTTACAGATGTACCATATAAAGACGGAAGTAGTTGCTCAAAAAGCATTGTTCTGATTCGAAATACAATAATCATTTGTTGTGACATGGATCCGGTCAATACTTGTGCAGGATCTTCATCTTCATCGCAAAAAAATCCCAAAGCTACGTATACACAGATATACAAAGTATTAATATAACAGTAAAATACAGATGTAAATGAATAAATGGTTTGAAATCAAAACTTGGGTGCATATAAAACAGTGAGAGTGCCAGTTGGATCTAACCACCCAAATCAAGATTTGGAAATCCTACAACTCATTTCAGATAATGGGAAAAGTAAAGAATGCACAGTTATGTCGAGGATGGCAATAAAATGCAAAAGATGGAGAATCATAGATGGTCAAAGTGCATACAAGAAATTGTTTTTGCATATATACGTGCAACAACAGATTCTCGAGTAGTTTAGTGAAAACGTTGGTAAACCCAAGTCAAATCAAAAAAAGCAAACCTTTAAATTCAGGCTGTTCAAAGCAACTCAGTGGATCTCTCACTAATGCAGTCCATATAGTGTGGTTTCTTGCTGCCAGTTCAAAGACAGCACCTTCTTCTTTAGTGAGGTAAAGTCCCCATCGCTTGTTGATAAGTAGCTGCTGGGCAATATCAAAGTAGTCGTTCTTTGAATCATTAAAAGCAAAATCAAAAGAAGGGTTTTTATGTATCATTCAAAACACTGCAGTTGAAGACAATAGACTTCAGATAGTATTGGCACTAATGCTGTTTGGCTTCAAGTTCAACTCTTCAATTTCAGACCGCAAAAACAATCCTGTTCTCGGGTCTGAACTGTATTTTATACCGACTGTTCGCATAAAATAGTGGTTACTCTCTATCTTGTGGACTCGCTGGAAATCCTCATCTCAGCTCATGCCACCAAAAAAAACCGGAAAGGCCAAACCTCAGAAACAGAATGGTATGTCGGCATCTTGAAACAGTAGCTTATCCTGCTTGATGCAATTCATACGTTTTGCTATAAAGTTCAATCTGGCTTTGGCTCTTTTGTGATTTTCAACCCGCTGCTTGAAACTTAACACTTGATGCACTATGTATATAAAACTAGAGGATTCTGGTGATGTCGCTGTAAAAGGTGGGAAACTGAAGGCTGCCAATTCGATCAAGGTTTGTTTATATTAGATCTCAATTATTTGAGCAACTCTAATGGAAAATTAAAGCATCTTGTGAACTGATGGATATTGTGATGTTTAATCTTTATTCAATAGGTTCGCCATATTCTATGTGAAAAGCATTCCAAAGTAAGTTAAAAGTGTATTTTTATACCTTGCAAGCTTTATACATTCGAGTAAAATCAGTAAATAGACGCTCATTCAAATCCATTTCAGATTATGGAGGCATTAGAGCTTTTGAAAAGTGGACAGCGCTTTGATAAAGTAGCTGAGCAGTATTCCGAGGATAAGGCCAAGGCTGGCGGATCTCTAGGTTGGATGACTCGTGGTTCCATGGTGGGCGTATTCCAGGTAAACAGTTATTTTCAAGAGCAATATTTGATTGTTGTATCACTACAGCAAAATACCCTATCCCATTCATCTATCGCCATATTCATGTAAAATGGAACTTGTATTTATCTTGCAGTGATTGCTTCAGAATATACAATGGCTAAATATGTATTGTACCCTACTATAAATTGGCATTTTCAATTCAATCGACACAACGTCCATCATACAAAATCAGATTATAGTTTTGAATCTGCTCTATCTCTTTTTTTGGAATTCATATGTTGTACGATTGCTGTATTCATTCATTGAAATCCAGATATTGGGGTTGACTGTTTTCTACAACTCTGTACAAACGCATTTCTGCTGTACCCTAATATCAGATACACCTGCGCTCTAGTTTAATAGAACAAATACTGTGCATCTCAGGAATACAACAGTTGTTTCTATGCTGATGGCTCGATATTTGGTTTGAACGAAAGAGTTGGAGATTGAACAGATATGGGATGCACTGGAACTGTAATGTAAATATGGCTTTGGAAACTTGTTGGTTGTATTGTTTCATTTACGTGAATTCAGCTGTAAAATAGTCCAGTATCAATTGCTCAAATTGTAAAAGTATATTTTCAAACCTTTGTTGATTACAAACTAACAATGTCGTTTCTACTATAGGATGCTGCATTCTTATTAGTTCCAAGCACGCCAGACAAACCAATCTATACAAATCCTCCAGGTGAGTCTTTTGTGTTGACAAAATAAACCCGATAATGATGTTTTGTACAATATGATATTCCTGTTTTGTAATTGTGGATCGGAACCAAGTCAGGACTGACGCACCCTGATGTTTTTTGATATTCAACAGTTAAATCAAACTTTGGCTATCATATCATTATGGTGGAAGATCGTAAATGAATTATGGTTTCGACTTTTTTATTGGCTGGAAATTAGCTTTCTTGGTATCTATAATTTTCGCAATGCAGTAAGCCTAAAGAAAATGAATTGTATATTAATACTGGCGCTTTTTTAAATCCAAATTACATTGGGTAAAACTAGCATAGATGCCTTTAAAGCAATAGTATAATGCATGCCCAAACTTACGCCTCGTCTGCAAACGTATCGGAACTAATACGATTGACTCCATACCCTAGAGGCTTTGGATTGTATTTTGATGCACCGATTGTCATCATTGCTGCCAGCACGGAATAAAATTTCAAATCAATAGAATATTAGTTTGATGATAAAGTGACAATACTTTAATGCGCTGATGACTTACCTTCACGATACTGTTCGATACTAATGTATCCACGACCAGTGATATCAAATATTTTGTATAATGCAACAATATTGGCTCGAGTAAACAAAACATGGTTTTGATTGCGTGCCTAGATAAGTTTATAAAACATTGTACTTTAGTCCTGATTGCCTTGTGAATAAGCTTGCAATAGTAATGCACAAAACTCGGAGAATTTGGTATTTTATGATAAACATCTATCAAAACTTACTCTTGCCACACGCATTGCTTCGAGTTTTCGTATCATAAACTCTTGAGGGTTGACTAGAAAAGATATAAAGTAGTGTTTGTTTAGCAATTGAGAGTTGGATTAAAACACCATTTAGTCGTATATCTTTCATTTTAATGGCAGGATAAACATTGAAACCTATAAACTTTAGTAAATACAAATTATAATTTAATATACAAGTCCGTTCTACCTGGTTTTTCTATCAACAATGAAGTAGTGAGCTGCTGGACGATTTCTAGGATACGATGTTTTTCGAGATACTGGCGCGCCTCATCGGTGTACTTGTTGGTTAGAGGTGTTGTAGGATGGACTAATGGCTGAGAATGATGTTGGACAGGACTAGAAGAATGTGAATGAATAGTTTCTAAAGATGAATCGACTTTCATATTTTCAAGTATAGAGTGATATCAAGACAATGAGTAGCAGTGTTGAATTTAAACGTGAAAGTTGAATTTCAAGGATAAACTTTGGTGGACGAGAATAAGACAAAACAAGTCTTGAATTAGCTTGATATAATCGCATATAATAAGTCAATATGTAAATCAATCCAATCTGAACAAATAACCAACGCAGTGTAATGTAGGACCAGCACACAAGTACAATTTCAAGCTCGATATTGGCTGCTTCGGCAATTTTATCGAGTTTAGCCCACTTGCAAACATCCACCAAAACTACAATGGCCAGTGCTCAGATTCGTATTGGAAGCTACCTTCTTCTGGAAACCATTGGAGTTGGCACTTTTGGAAAAGTCAAGCGTAAGAATACAGATGGTTTTTGTCTTGAGTAAAGTTGAATTGCATTGACAAGTGTAGTCAATGCAATAAAATACTGCTACACTCGGATATTTGCTTATATCCGTTGGCTGTTTCTATCATCAATTGGATTCATTCAACCGTACTGTATTGAAACTATTGTATAACTCTGCAATAAATGGCTATTCTCGTTTCATGGTAGATTATTGTATCCGTTTCTAACTATTTAATCTTGTCTGCATGTGCTATTTTTTCATTCATGGTCATTGACCAGTTGCTTTTCATTCACAAACTGGCCACAAGGTTGCAATGAAAATTGTCAATAGGCGTAAAATTGCCAATCTGGATATGGCCACTCGTCTTAAGCGAGAGGTTCAGTATCTAAAGTTGTTGCGTCATCCACATATTATAAAACTGTAAGTTTAACTGGAAACTTGTACGTGTTGGTACTAATACAAATATTTAACCCTTCGACTCTTGTATCGACTATCGAGCTTTACCCTTGGCAGATACTTATCCCATTGAATTTTCAATATTTCTAGATATGAAGTAATAACAACCCCAACAGACATTATTCTTGTCATGGAGTATGCAGGTGGTGAGCTATTCAACTATATTGTGGAAAAGGGAAAGGTGAATTTTTGTTTCATGATATTCAATTTTTGATAAGCTTGTGATACCATTGACTTTCTCAAAAACAAGAGCATAATCTTACAAATGATATATTTGTATATTCTTTAGATGCCAGAATCTGATTCACGGCGACTATTTCAGCAAATGATTTGTGCTTTGGAGCATTGTCACAAACACAAGATTGTTCATCGGTATGTGCGATTGTGGACTATATTATCTAGTAAACTCATGCTACTCAGCATAACTAGTTGACCGCTAACTCTAGTTTTCAATTTGTGTAGTGATCTTAAGCCAGAAAATGTTCTTATGGATGAGTACGGGAATATAAAGATTGCAGATTTTGGCTTGTCAAACTTTATGAATGACGGCGACTTTTTAAAAACCAGCTGTGGTATGTTTGACCGAGTAGTGATGCTGGATCAAATTCTACACGTGGATGAGTATTATTTACATATTTGAACAATTCTAGGATCACCAAACTATGCCGCACCAGAAGTTATTTCTGGAAAACTCTATGCTGGACCTGAAATTGACATTTGGAGCTGCGGTGTAATACTTTACGTTATGGTTTGCGGAAGACTTCCATTTGACGACGAGCATATTCCAAATCTTTTCAAGAAAATCAATGGTATGCTCAATATACTGTTGTAGATTTTCAGAATGTGGTATGGCTTTGTCATTGGGATGTTTGGGTTAATTAAGACTTGTGTTTAGGAGGAATTTTTATACTGCCGCCATTTTTAAGCCCCGCTGTTAGGGAGCTTGTGTCTGCCATGCTTGTCGTTGACCCACTAAAGCGTATCACGATACCTGAGATACGGTAGGTTTATAAATGCTGATAGTGCCTAAAACTATTGCAGTATGAAGTTTCTAAATTTAAAGTACTTTTATCTTATTTTGGAGAATAGACGCACTGACTGGTTTAACACAGATTTGCCAGAATATCTTCAACTTCGTCCTGAAATTCCTCAAGAAGAACTCTCATACTTGGACGAGACAGTGGTGGAATATCTCATCAAGGTACTATTACTATTCCCGTATTGTGTTCTTTTCAAAACTATGAGCAATAGCATTTTCCAACTAATATATTATTAGAAAATGACTTTTAGCAGAGAAACCATTCACCATGCACTTGAAGAACCTGGTAATAATCAGATAAAGGTGGCATATCAACTTGTAGTGGATCAGCGGCGCATGGTTGCAAATGGTAAGTTTCATCACCAATCGGCATACATGAGGTTAAAATGGTTTAAATATCTGAATGAGTTTTTACTGCACAATAGACACGGTCTCTTTGAATGATAATGTGAAAGGGTTTCTTTCTTCCTCGCCACCAGCTTGGAACTTGCCAGTATCGCGGGTTAGTAATAGTATATGCCACATCAAGTAAATTGATGTGCAACTTTTTGCAGCTTTTAAAATCACAGCCAGACTTACCTATCTATAGAGTAGACCATATTATTCTTCATCTAGTGAAAATGGCCCAACAAGCCCTCTTTCCAATTTGAGAAGCACGTCAGGCGCAGTTTCTAAACCCGAAACTATCAACACTTTAAACCACAAGTCATCTATTCAAATTTTGGGTGCTACTCTTCCAAAACCTGAACTTTCCAAAGATATTGAAGGGACACAACGCGGAAAGACTCGCTCTCGGTGGCATTATGGAATTCGTTCAAAAAGCGATCCATTGGACATCATGTTGGAAATCTATCGAGCACTTGGAAGTGCTGGAATGGTCAGCTAGACTTTGAGATGCTTTCTATAATTACAGACCATTTAAAACTAAAACTATGATGGCTGTGTTTTTAATCAGAGATGGAAGACAATGGACCCTTTCAAGATCAGATGCATCCATAGGACTTCTCGAGGCAAAGAGGTATTTGGCAGTTGTTGAATCAAGTGGAGATTAATCATTTTAGAATCTAACACCAAAGCTCATGGTTTCAGGTGAAAATGGACATCCAGTTACTTCGAATTGAAAACAGCAGCTATTTGGTGGATTTTAAAAATGTTGCATTGAATCTTGAATTTGTAGCAGATTCTGTCGAGGAAAATGCCCATCAGTGCAGTACTGTATTTCCATTTTTTGATGCCTGCACTAGATTGATTACTGAACTTGCAATATCCTCGTAATGACTGGCAATGGCTACACTAGCTCACTGCGATCCTAATTGAATTTATCGTTTTATTTGAGATGGTTTTATACTGAAATGGACCAATGCGACTCAGCATGAAAAATACACATGCACACAATCTGATGCAATGATATACAGGATTAGAGCTGGCATGCAAACGTTTAAAGTACTGATACAGATTGAGGGATTATTTTTATATTACTTGGTTAGACTAAGCGAGTGCATTGACTCCTCACCAATAGTCTTTAACGAATATCTACTGAGAAATATGTCAAAGTCTATCAGAATAAACAGATTGACATTTGAACTTGATTACCAAGACTAATTGAGCATTTTGATAGTCCGATTTATACACATGAATAAACATCTTCGAGTCAAAGCACAACTTATTCTAAAACTCAATAACTTGTTAAAAACAACTGGTCCAGCATTGTCTTGGATTTTATTGTAAAAATGCATACCGTCAGCCTTGTAGATGAATCCATCACTTCTTTGCAAGACTTACAACACATCGAACACAGTGTAGATTTTTCTAAAGTCGTATCGCTCAACTTGCATTCAAATGAGATTCAACTGCTGGATAATGTCATCTTTGGATATTTTACGAGCCTCACTAGACTCGACCTATCTAGCAATCTGGTTAGTATACACAATTGTAATGAAACACAACGGCGTACCATTCAGTATCATGCATGCTAACCTGCTATCAATTGGCACTTGTTCCAACAACAGTTGAAATCTATGGTCGGATTCGATGGTCTTTTACAATTGGAGACTCTCAATTTAGCCAATAATCTAGTGGGTTTTTGTTTCTGAAATACAGTCTAAGATCTATGATGTAGAATCATTGGTTGGTAGTTATAAACTACTTGATGTGGGCCAATGCATGCTTCAATATAACTAACCAATTCTATAGATTGTCAAAGTGGAAGGGCTGCGTAATTTAAAATATCTACAAAAGTTAAACTTGTCTTTTAACAACATAGATGATATCTCTGGGTTTGTAGACCTTCATGGAGATTCAAATTCGCTCAAAATAGTAGATCTAAAAGGAAACGTTTTGACAGATCTGGACCAATTAAGGTTTCTTGCAGGTTGTACGGTACGGTTTGGATACTCTATATCACTCCACTATACCGTATGAGTTCATCATACAATCTGAAATACAGTGCTAAATTTATATTTATATTTCTTTTGAAATAGAAACTCGTTGATCTTACTATCATTGGACCAGGAAAAGCCCCAAAAGTAAATCCTATGTGCGTGATGGAATCATATCGACCATGGACCGTGTTCAAGCTTATCCCACAAATTCGAATACTGAATGGCCGAGATATTCATGGAAACGAAGCTAATTGTACGATGATATTTGTATTGCTTCTTAAACAAATTACATATTTTTAAAAATTGACTTGATGCGTTGATCATCTGGTTAGATTGTCAACCCCCTGTGCAGATCCCACATATACAAGGTGAACCTGAACAAGAAGCCAAACAGTACAAACCAGCACTGTCACGCAATAATGTCTCGGATATTCATATATTGCAAAATACAGTATATAAACCTCTGCAGAATATTCTTTCCAAAGTTTCAAAAATGGAAAGTCAATTAGCAGACTCTATATCCAAACCACAGATGGCCACCAATGATATACCAGTTGACTCAACTTTGCCTATTCCCCCCTTTAAAAGTAATCAGCAGGAAAACATTGAAGAAAGACTCCAATCACTGGAATGTCATATTAGCAAACTAACTGCTTATCCGGCATCTGAGCAAGTTAAACATCACAATTCTAAATCTGTCGACTCTTCTGGCTCCGAGAAAAATCATGACTTGCTGAATGGTGAGAGATTATCAGCAATAGAGGAACAGATTTCAAAACTATCGGAACCAATATCTTTATTCTTAAACAGCGCGTCATTAAAGTCTGATTACTCTAAAACATCATTACCTGAAAACCAAAAAAGTCCAGATCGCACAAATTCTAATCTATTATATCAGATTAAAGTTGCTCCAGGAATAAAAACCGTAAGTGGATATGTGTTAAGCCATGTTGAATAGCTGTACAATGCAATGTTGAGCTTATTCTATTGAAATTTAAAGCAGAGTGAACTAGATGTACCAGTACCAGCACGAAACAGATTAGTTGAGGTACTGCCATATATGCATGTTTATTTAGACTGGCAGCATGTTTTTCTTGTATGTTTACTATTCACTTACAACATACATGTATATATAGATTCACGCACCAGTGGATTGTAATACTATGGAGGGCGGCAATGTCTTGACGGTTCCTATGAGGGTACCCTCCATGCAGGTTGGGTTTTATATCAGAACATGTATAATAGCTATTCTAGCAGGAATCTGAAGCTTATTTTATTTTATACTGTGCCAACAAGGATCCGAAAAACATGTCTTTAGTATGGATATCTGATGGTTCATCAAAAATGTTACCACAGCGCGATCATTCTGCCAACTCTACCAGCGCTAAAAACAATATGCAAAATTATGCTTCCTGGTAAGTTGGTTTGGTATGAATTCAGCGTAAATCAAGGCTTTATGTTTTTAAACATTATCTTGTAGTTTGGAAAATGGTTATAGTGACTATGGGAAACCTAGTCATGCAAAACAGATGAAACCGGCTCAGCGGCTTTTTTCAAATAGCAAGCAAGTAGATACATTAGCTACAGCAAACTCTGAGCTTATATCTGCACTTGAAAAAGAGAAACAACGACTTTGCGACAATGAGCAACTGTATATAGAAAAAATCAAAACTTTGGTTGACCAGCTTCAGCAAGAAAAGGCAATCTCTAAACTTGTTGGGCCATTAAATGGACAGCTTAAAGCAATGGTATTTAGTGTTATGTTTTATCTGCTTTGATATTTTTTCATTAAAACAGCTTATATAATTTCAACAATGATATGTCACATCTAGAAAGCTCATATTGAGAAGCATTCAAATGAGAGCAGTATAAGGGAACAGCTTCTGTTGTCTCAAAACGCAATCAATCAGAAGCTGATTGAAGAAACTGAAAAATTAAAAGCCCAAGCTAATGAGACCAATGTGAGCAAATACAAAATCTATATGCTGTAGTGTTTTAAACGATATATACTAATTTTTTGTAAATACAGATACAACTGACTGAAAAGATACAAGAGGTGTTGGCTTTAAAAAATACACATGAGTCTATAAAAATGCAACTAACTTTCACAACTCTTGAACTCGAGCAGTCACAGAAAAGGTTGCATGATGCCGAAGTAAGTGTAAAGTACACTATTTTGCTAAATGACACCATCTGATATCAATTAATTCAAAAAATTATTCATAGACTAGCACTGCAAAACTGAATGCTCAAATTGAAGGGTACAAGACAGATCAACATAAAATCGCCAGTAAACTACTAAAAGATCGTGAACAATACAAAATAAGAGCTGCCGAGGTATTCTTGTTTTGTAAAGCTTGACTTTTAAAATAGCTTTAATTGCCCATTTAAACTTGTAGCTTGCTTGTTATATAGAGTAAAAAGGAAACAAACGTGCTTAAACAAACTATAGAAAAACTATCTTCTGAACTTGGGAACAGTATAGAATGTTTATCGTTGCGAGAATCCGATTATCAAATGCGCATAGAATCAATTCAAAGGTAACTATGCCATCAGTTTGTGTCTGAGTATGTCTGTTTCACTGTTAAACTTTATCATTTCAATAGTACGCATGCATTGAATATAAACGAAGCTGTTAACCAAACAACCGCACACTTGACTCATCGTCATCAAGCTGTGGTAAGCACACTGCAGACCTCTCTTCAGCAAACCCGGCAGGCATACCAAGATTTAGAGCAAGAATTTCGTTTGGCAGTAAAGGGTAATACTGCTTGACTATTTTGTGTAATAGCTGACAAGAAAATCGAAACAGTACAAAGTTTTTTGTTTCTAACCATTTTATTGCTGTGGGATATTGTACCATATACTATTCAGAGCAAGATACTCGATCTGCATACTTGCAGAAAATGCTTGAAACTTCCAAAGAAAATATTGAAAAACTAGAACAAGCTACTATTTTAAAAGAAAAGGAGCTGACGGATATGATTAGAGAGCTATCTGGTGTTATCAAAAGTCAACAAATCAAAGCGTTGTCTCTTGAGAAACGCGCTCAGGTTGCAGAGGTAAAGTTTAATCAAACTCGAGTTTTATAATACTTGGCTAATTAGAAAGTATTTTTTCCAATCTCTTAAACTTTAGTCTTATAACATCTTTAACTAATGTGTATAATGGATATTTAGGAGAAGGAGCAAGAGCTTGAAGAGATACTAAAAGAGTTGCATGCAACTCGAGTCGATCGAGATCGCTTACTACAGCAAATATCTTTTTCTGAGGCAGAACTAAAAGCCTGCCAGACTGTGTGTGACAATGCTCAAGAAAATTCTAGAAAATTAGCTGATCAATTGAAATCTCAGGTACCTAATGTGCATTTATATATTGAAATTTGATTCATGTACTCACACAGTGACTAATATGCTGAGATCCAATTGAATAAAGTCTACTGAGCATGCAAAGCAAATTTCACAGATAGATTGCTTTCAAACATCGCTTCAAGAACAGTGTACCAAGCTGAAAGAACAAACAGCCTACCTTGATCAAGCTGTTCGGGTGAAATCAAAGATGTTGGATGACCAAAATGAAACAATAAGGATTTTGAAACAAAATCTGGAAAATAAGGTTGGTCATGTTTTATATGGTTTATGATTGCAAGTATATAAAGCATTTTAAACAAAAGCATAAAACAATGCGCTTACTTATTTTTAAATAGGCTCGCGATCACCAGTCACTAGTAACAAAATTTGAAGACTGTCAAGAGGAGTTGGCAGAACTCCGTCATATTGATGCAGAATCTGTTGCTGATTTGAAAGCAGAGGTATTAAACTTGTAACAATTTTTAATGCCATTGACTGAGCATTGCATAGATATATTCAAAATGTATCGTTTATTGCCTCAAGTTTCAATGAATTTTACTAATTTGCTTTTGATTATTTTATAAAGATTCAAAGATTAGAGAAAAGCAGAGAAAAATATCAGTTAGCAGCACACGACTATCGTAACGATCGAGATGAAATTGCTCGAGCTCTTGAAGAAATGCGTGAAACCCTCAACAGTCGCAATCAAAGTATTGAAATGATTGAACAAGAGGTAAAGACCAATTGTGAATTTGATCATTTTGCTGGGCTTAACTGAAATACCCAATTATTAATTATTTTCGATAGGTGGGTCGAGTAAAAGAACACTTTAAACTCAAAGAGAATCGAGTACGAGCTGAAAAGGAAAAACAGCTTCAAAACATCCAGATCGTTGCCGAGGTGATTTGCAATATATTTTCTGTCTTGACTAAATTTATCATTTCAGTACCACCGAATATATGACGAGTACTAACCAGCCTGTTGGATGAAATATCAGTCAAATACTAGAAAATTGAAAGAATATGAACAGGAGCGATCTGGCATGATCAACACCATCGCTGACCTTCGTAGTGAGCTTGATAACACGAATTCACGATGTGCTACACAAGAATCGGATATCAAAATACTCCTTTCTGAACTGGACTCATGCAAGCGTAAAACGAATGATAAGATATCTCGTCTCAAAGCAGCTTTAAACGAAGCATAATAACTTGATTGCTTGGATAACCCCGAGTCTAGAAACTGCAGTTTGAGTTGATGTGATTTATGCCAAGAACTGAGTACAACCAAGTAGTAGACATGTAAAAGCAATTTTATTTATGTGAAAGAGCACGATTGCTAAGCCCTTGTGGTTACAATATTAATGAATTGTATATACATACAGTCAAAGCCTTACTTATTTAGCATGCTTGACCATACCGAAACGTTACCAACAATATGCTGATACTATTGACGAAAATCAAAAGTATTTTGAACTTCGCTTACAGTTATCCAAACCCATTTCTAAAATACACTTTAAATTTTAAAAACAATCAAGCCATTGATACCAACCCATACAAATATTTACCTCCATATTTCGTTTGTATTCCAACCGCATTGCAGAAAACATGGCCCATAATCCAATAAATCCGGTCCATTGGATCAAATCAATCCAAGATGCCCAACCATGAACCTGAAGAGTAGTACGACCCAAGCCACTTTCCTTTGGTCTGAAAATCGATTTTTTTGTAATTAAACTTTGCACACTCTGTTTTTGTGATAAAAGTGTAACATGTTTTTCCTGAAGTGGTACAGAGGAGGCTTCAAGCCACCACCAGGGCGGAACAACACACATTCTGTCTTCAAACGATTCGTTACTATTCAATGAAGCGCGAATTTGTAGTTGAACAAGCCTGCTTGTAATACTTGGTTCTATCCACAGTGCGCATGAAAGGATTGCCCCCACAATAAACAAAATCTTGGTCAAAGAACTTGGGCCATGAAATCGCCTCCTGCGCCTAGTTACCCGACTGATTGATGTCTGTGAAATTACTTGTGAATGGGATCGATTTAAACCAATTGCAAAAGCAATTATAATGAGCGGTGCTATTTGCAGTATTGATAAAATCATAAATGTCAAGTATCGAAATTGATCAAAATCTGGAGAAACTTCTGTAGCAAGTATAGCCCTAGACGCCAATGGTTGATAAACAGAGGTAGAAGGTTCTAAACTATCTACAAACGCGCCAGAATCACTAAATAGTTTGAATCAAAATGATGTTAGATTGACAAACAAGTACTAGGTTGGCTCCACACCATTCCAAGCAAAAAGCATCAGAAATGTTTGCAATACATAGTTGATCTTACATCACTATCAACTGGCCAATAATTCGAAAAAGTAGTAAAACAAAACATAAAAACGACCATCGAAATACAAACGTCTCAATTAGATAGTATGATAATAGTTTAAACTTTGAAAAAACCCCTTGGATCCATGTAAATGAACACGGTGACATTTGGAAGTCGGTTTGATACATTCCCATATCCCTTTCAACTCCATTGGATTCATGGAAAGGATGTGCATCCACATTCAGACTTATGCTTCCCTCTCGAGAACAAAAAATATCTCGATTAGATACATCAGCATCGCTTGATAGAGAAGCATTATGTACATTCCCTTGGGATGTAATGGGTACATGATGCAAACTTGATAATACTGAAGCATGTGATCTGGCAGATGATGGCTCAGTAGAAGAGTGCAATGGCCCAGATGCATCTGTATGATACACTCCAAATGTTCCATTAGAATGCTCCCTGTCACTCCATCCACGATAAGCAACTGTAGTACCACAATTATCCACTAGATCTGGGGAAGGTAAAAGAGGCTCGGCTGTTTCATCATCATTTGAGGGACTCTCCGAGTGCAAAGAGTTTCGTAGTCGATGTGAGGTATCCCCAAGAGACTCGAAAATGGATGATGCGTTTTGATTTGAGTTTTGCGATGAAAGATTGGAAACTGACAATCATAATCAAAAAATGAGAATATCGACAAGTCAGCTATTTGAACATTTTAAAGTAAATCCTGGCTGTGGTTTCAATATGTTAAATCAAGTATAGCGCTTTAGCTTGTATAGTACTCACAGATTGATTGGTTCCTGAATTGTTTGAGAAGAGCAAACGACGCTAAACTAACAGCCAACATTCGAAGAAAAGACGAAACAATAAGCAGCCACGCATCTATAATATGAGGTCCGACAATAGAAGATACTGGTGGACTTGATGGAAAATTCGGTAGATTAGAGGAGTGCACGATGTGTCTAGAAGCATGTGAGGTATTCAGCATATATCTGACAGTGTCTATTCCATAGCTAAAACCAAGACAAAATTAGGCACTGCATTTCTAAACCAACAAATGTCTAAACAATACAATGGCTTGTTCAGTCCAATATAATGAAAATCTACCTAAAACTAACAGTAAAAAAAACAGCAGCAAACTCTCGATTGAGTACAGATGGATGGGATATGCAGCGATTGAAAATCCGGACCTGATTATAGTTTGCCAGAGTTAAAATACCAAAAATGCAAGATGCAACTGAAATGACCATGAATGTAGATGTAGTGGCTGGATTATGATATGAAAATGCCTGTTCTTGCAGATGAGTTGCTCCTATGGATGAATTAAACACAGGGCTCTGTGAATCAGGGGGTAGTGCCGAGTTGGCGTATGGACAGTTTGGTAGGGGAACTCCGCCTATAATATCTACCACTGGGAATAGTGCTGTCCCTGGCATATCATCACTAACTGCAGAAAAGGTAAAAGTAGACATGACTGCGGAGTAGTAGTAAATATACTCAGTTTAAAAATGTTCAAGTCGACTATCAATAACTTGTCAAGTCAGAAGTTTGGATACAATAGTAGAAGCTGTGTTGAAATACTCAATTCGCAGATCCTGTAGTTTGTAATGGAAAGAACAATTGCAATATTTGCAGCCGTATCCATGTAAAATGAATCAAAAAATACACAAGTTTCATAAAATGACAATTTACTGGACAGCACTGTTTTATGAATTCTTTAGTTTATTGATATCCTGGTAATTGGCATGTATAGTTGCATTCCTGATATATGCAATTCTTGTTGAGTTAGAGTGCAAACGTATTCGAGTTTTTGGATACAAAAATCCATCAATGTTATGGTCGTTCCAGATATTCTTTTTTGTGTAAAGCCTACATCTTCAATGGAAAAAACAATATCTGATCATGGCTTATGCAATGGTGTTTACCTTTCCTCTTTGTTTTTATCCAACTGTGTTGTTGTTTCAAAGAATGAACAAAATATGCTTTTATGGCAAATCCTATCAGGTTGAACCATTGTAAATCGTGTACTAGGAAAGCGTTGAAACTTTATTCTTCAATAATCTCAAGACCTTCAACTAGCCCTGGTAGCTGATTCATTGAAGCGTATCCGGAATCAACTCGACCATTTGCAGCTAATGGGGCCGCGGGGATATGACCGGGAAGAGCCATTGCAGAACCCATTTGGACATTATAATAGGCTTTCTTGTCTTGAGGTACTTTCCATTCTTTCTTGCAAAACTTGTTACAATTGTGACGTGAAAAGAATGTAGAGATTCCCTTGGGACCAAAATCGGTGGGTCCATACTCTTGAGTCCTTGACATAACCACGGGATCGGTAATAATAAATCCGTTGTTTTGAATACCACCTTGAAGATCACAAAGCAATAACTGGCAGTCAGTTGCATGATACGAATAATGACTCAAGGCTTGCATTACTGCAGTCCAACCAGACAATTCATTCGACGTCCATCCAGTGTTGCTATTGAATTTTTGAAAATTGATAATCATTGGCTCCACTAAGCATTTCTCTCCTGCTCTTGTAGTGCCTGGCAGAAACGTCCATACAGCTGGTATATTGAGCCAAATATTCTGATCGACAAGTTGATCCTTGTTGAATCGATTGATGATTTCAAGTGCCTTGTTCACTATTTTGAGCTCATTATCAAAGTAAGACTCTTGAAAAACACTGCCAGATTTGAATATTTTGGTAACAGATTCCTGTCCCGTTCTGTTTCCTTTGGTATACTTTCCCTTGTAGACATTCTTGAAAGCACCTCGAGCAAATACAACATCCATATTGGGAACAGTTTCAAAAGAATCGTTTTCTCTTGCAAAGTTGGTTGTCATTTTGAAAGAAAAAGGCTACCTTTAATGAATATAGAATTTTCAAAATATACCAATGTTGCTTACTTTTGGATGCAAAGATTGTATGTGAATGTGGAGAATCTTATTTTGACTGCGAATTTGAATGAACCCTTGATTGCCTATATAAACCCAAACTATCCCAAAAGCAACGAAAGATTAAGCAGCATGGATACCAAATACAAGAATATCAAGAAAAAGGAATACATGCTTTTTTGGAATCCCAGTTACATTGTTAAACTCGGAAAATCATGAAGCGAAATCATCATCTAATGACAACAAGAATTCTCTTAGTCGTGAAGAGATATGAACGAAGCATCTAGCAGTATATCGTACAATTTTGAACTCCTTATAAAAGCACGATGCCATCATTAATTGGTGGTAAAATTGCTGAAATTCATACTCAGCTGCCAATATATCCTGAATCAAATCGTTGATTTTGTGAAAAGGCTCATACGTTGTAACCATTGATGGGGAGACCAGTTAAAGGATATTTGGAGGTTTCTCAAGCTATTGCTGACCAGATACACAGCGATTTGTCAGTCACAGTCGTATCCGCATATAATGGAACATTGAATAAGCTAAATACATGATAAACAGTCATGCTTGATTGGTGTCAATTTTACTGAACAATGTTGTGCTCCTGGAATCATCGTTTAGAAACAGTTTGTGATAGGTTTAGCATTCAAAACATGTCCTTTTACGTATGGAATAATGTACTTTTATGTCAAAACTTTCTATGATATATTGTCATCAAACCAGCACATCAAATCATTGATTGATGGTCAGCCTTTGGAATGATGTTTTCAAAAATTGCTTGGATTTGAAGGTTGCAAGAAATATACTTTCGTGGTATCATGACAAACAAATTCTAAACAAAAAATTGATGACATTCAAAATTGGACATGTAACAAGTTGTGGTCCTCCACACTTGGGAAACAAGACACTGAGACGCATTTGTGGACCTTGCCAAGCGCAAATGTCCCGGCCAGCATTGTCAATGATCCTGATAACAATATTACGTGGAAAACCCAACTCTTGTGAGTGACGAACAGATTGGTAACAAGGAATGTATCGAGGCTTTTATTGACAACGGTAGAACAGTGAATCCAGATATCTGGATTTCAATGGACGAGTCCAGTATCAAACTTGTCGATCTAGAATGTATGGTTATGCAAAAACAAGAATGTAAGGTCTAAACAACAGATTAAAACTGTGGTTTGATTGTGTGCATCATACAATGGTCGGTATGTTTGAGGCTGACCAAGGAAGCTGTCAAGATCGTAATATTGACTTTCTAAACAACGACATGCAACATTTCCAAACATGCATGCTATTCTAGACAGTATTACATTCCACAAAGCAACTTTCTGATTAGACATGGTTTACCAACCATTCAACAAACAGCGCGCAGATTGGAACCATACCACACAGTTCCATACTATCCATTCCTAAACCTTGCAGAAAATGACTCGAGTATAATAAAGAATGGGTTCGTTTGTCGAGCAATTCCAGACACTGAAGAACTGAGAGTGCCTATCAAGTCAATCTGTAGTAGGAAAACAATGAATATTCAATCATTGCATATTCTGGAACGATGACTGCAGGACAAATACAAGTCCCACTTTACGTGAATACAGCTGTAGATTAGACTGTATCAACAATTATTGGAAAGCATCAATCAACATTAAATGCTTGTCTACATTTTTCTTTATAAAAACAACCTACATAAGCCATTTTTCATCCTCAACTCTTTATTTTATCATGCTATCAAGAGCCATGCCACTCCAACAGGAAGCTCATCTCCCATGACTTTGCAATGTACCTCAAACCAAAAGGTGTTCAGCATCAGACCATTGCACCGTATAATTTTCAGCAAAACGGTATTGCTGAGCGCCAAAACCAATCAATAGGAGATACGATTAGACTTATGCTGACCACTTCAAACATGCCCAAAACTTTTTGGGTTGAAGCTACCAATACAGCTGTTTATCTCCAAAATCGGCCAGCTCACTCCACATTCGACGAATTAACCTCATATAAGATGTGGACAGGTGCTGCACAATGTGTGCAACATCCTTGTGCATTTGGCTGTGAAGCCAACATTGTCCTACCAAAAAATTCGGGAGATTGGATCCAAGAACCACCAAGTGTATAATGATTGAATACAAACAAGACTCAAAAGCCTATCGATCCTAAAATTTTGATGAAAAAAGTATGATATCCATTAGAGATGCCATTTTGAATGAATACAAGTTTTCTATAAAGGCATCTGGAAATTAAATCAGGATTCCGTCGTATCACACTGGAAAATATCCAACAGTATATATGGGTATATCAGATGACTAAGATGAACATGTGGATATTCCATAAACAGTTCCAAATTAACCTCAATCATTTCCTACCGTAGATTCTTGTCCTATTCCTCCTTTAGAACTGTTTGTAGACGTTGCTTGAAACTTTCAATCCTTATTACAGTTGAATCAACAGTTAAACGCGAATCTTCAAGCTCACTAGAAAAACTACCACAATTCCAGATCCCTTTGCAAGATTATATCAAATGAATTTCAATCCAAACAGATTGGATGAGCCATACAAGAGATAAACCTACGTGAATGCTAACAAAAAGTTTACTCCGGACACCCTTACTCCAGTCGATCGAGGTATTTCTAGAAACAAGCAGATCTCAGACTCGTACAACAAAAAAGATATTTTCAGATCCAGCTATGCACTAACTGCAACTGCTTGCACTCAACCAGGCAATATTCCTTTGGTTCCATGTCAGAGTCAAGTGTACTTTCAAACAGTGGCACATTGGCTTGGTTTCGAGTAGGAGCAGTTGTAGCGATCTCATCTTCATCGTTGTTCAAGTGTTAATTTTGCTGGTTTGACACCTTCCTTATACTAATGTTTCTTAATTTTTTCATTCAGCAGAGGCTAACGGATTATACAGCAAAATTTTCAACAAGTCGACTAAACGTTAACAATACTGCTGATTCAAGTCAGGAATCAAAGGGTTTTCAGGAGAGTTTTGCCACTTTACAAAATATTGGCTGAATTGAAAAGTCGAGGTTTTCTTTTTGTTGAATGTAAAAACACAGTTTCGATTAACGCAAGAAACAGTGCAAAAGGCAAAAAGTAGAAATAGCTTAAAACTGGATGATTTAAAACTAGCCTTTACTCTACAGTGGCTTGAAAACAAGAATTGTGTTTCTCAAGGCAATGAGTACTTGTGAACTGGAGAATGGAAGCTTACACTCTCAGAGCACCACTTGAAATTCTATTTGAACCAGAATTTAACTTGCAAGGAGGGAAATTTGGCTTTAAAGGAGCAGCTTCTTACTATTAAAGAGAAAGAAATACTGAAACTTTAACCTACTTTTGAAAGCTTACAACAGAAACTCGAATGGGCATTGGTTCTACTCAACGATCTCTATCTGTGCAAACCAAGAGTGACGAGGATCTCGTTAAAACCGAAAATTTGAGATTGCAGAACCCAAATGATGCTTTCGAATACTTGATATACCATCTGGAAAAGATTGTCGATGTTTCAAAGCTACAAAAAAATAAAACAGTCTTCAGATCAACTTTACAAGTATGAACTTTGGTAGGAAAAGTATAGGATATTGCATTGAAAGACTCGAGCTGCTAGAAAAATTCACTGATAGACTTTGAACCTGACTTTTGTTTAGAATAGCCTTCAAATTGCTCACAACCTTTCACAAAACTCAATCTTTTTCCAACAGTAGTTTTGAACCAGAACTCTGATGAATGCATTCAGCTACAGAATAGCTTATATTAGGAGACCCAAATGTCTGGTAAATTCTGCCATAAAGGCATAGTGCTCCATATAGTAGTAGTAAGATGATTTGGAGATGCCAAGTCTGCTGTTGACATAGTCCAAGAAGCGTCCCTTGTGGCCATCCCCAAATGTTTCCAGCAGTTTCATCAAGGACCTTGCTATCAGCATTACTTTTTTTGATGCTAATTCATTCGCTGCTTTGAGTTGCTTCATATTCAATCGGATTGATTTCGTCAGCCGGTTTTTGATTTCCACAGCAGATAAGCCAGTAAACCTGTATGAGGATGACTCATCCAGCACACTGAGATTGATGTCGTAGTGTAGCATTTCAATAAGAATGATTTAGACTTTTCAGTGTCTGTTTTGACAGTTTCTGGTGTTCCCCTTGAACTGGTACATTCCCTTCAATATAACCAGACAAATTTAATGTCAATTTGAGTGATTGTTGCCTCCAAGGCTACATTAGGACATTTTCGCTGCTGCTTGACCCAGTCAGTAAAGTGGTTGTAGTCACTCATTTGAAGTTTTTGGTAATGATTTGTGGCAATTGCTATTTTTATACTCTAGACGCTACCGGGAAGGTCTTGGGAAATTCTAGAAGCTAAATTTTTTCCCTTCACAAACTCATTTTTATGAAACTAATTCTCCTTCAAATCATTCAACAATGTCAACCTCGAACCAAACGAACATTCCTGATAAAGTCTTGACAGAAGAAGAGAAGCAGTCAATTATCAATGCTGCTAAAGGCCAGTACAAGGAGTCTATAAAGAGCCGAAGAGTCGAAGCTGTATTGGTTTACGGTGTGGTTTTATATGGGAAACCTCCATCATTCTATTCGGGTTGGGCCAGTGGAACAACAGGTCATTGGGGAATCGTTGTTGATGGATACTTGAATCATCTAGTTTTCAAGTTGGATCAAAACAGACAGCCAGTGGGAATCGAGTTTGAAAGTCAACGTTTTCGTCAAGAATGGATCGATGAAGGGAAGGTGACTGCTAAAGAAGAAATTGGCTCAACATCTCTTCCACTAGATGCTATCGCCGCTGTTGGAGAATCACTAATTTTGCATTTTGGCGATTACCGACGACTGTACAGAAACTGTCAGACATTTGCGGACATTTTTGTGCAAATTGTTTGTGACGTCGACCACAAAGCATTCTCTTCACCATCTATCCAGAATGTTATCGCCACTACTCTTTTGGCTTTTCCCCTGACTACAGTCGGCGGCTCCGTTATGCACATCAAGCAAAAAAAATTCATCAAGAAAGTCATCAAGAAAACAAAAAAGGCAATTTCTTGGGAAGATATTGTTGATGCTGAAATTAATGATGAGATCAACAAAATTGAGCTGGGCATTGTTGGATCAAAAACTAGTTGTTCCCTTATGTAATTACTTTTTCATCTTGTATAGTAAAAAGCATGTTCTTAATAATACGTTTTATGACAGCTTTCTTTCTGTTCTGATATTATTGCGGGATAATTCATTTATGACAAATGATACATTCAAGTTCTTTGGTAAATCAAAAGATAATATCTTCATTTTGTACATCTAACTGATTTTTTATTGGATAATGTGAATGACGAAATTTACCAAACTTTCAATTAATATGAAGAAAGCGTAAAATGTCGCAGTAAATGAAAAGCGGTATCATTCGGTGCTCTACCCTTACTACTTCCAATGTATAAACGACACATCGTATAGTTCCATTTAAATGCTTTTATAGTGTAGTCATTGAATTCTTTTGATTTGGAAAGCATCCTTTCAAGGCAACCAGGTCTTGTCCTATGAATTGTCTAGTTTGCAAATATTTTGGTAATGGACCATGAGTGCGATTTTTGTCAGGTAATTCAGACTTGTAAATAGTAATTCGTCTGGTTCATACCTTGATTCTAGTATTGTCATCTATATGAGAACTGACTGGTGTTTCCGAATTGATGGCAGATAGTGTAGATTCTCCAATAGAAACCAATAAATTGATTGTATCTGCATGGGGATGTGCTTCATACGTTCCATTTCTGTATGTATGAGAATCTAGTTCGGGACGACGGATACGACCAATTGCTCTTGCGAATGCATTGAGTGAATTCTTGTTGACCAATTTGAGCTCTTCTTCCAAATCTGAATCATTTAGAGCAGCAACTCTTCTAATCCAGGTTGTAAAGCTGTTCAGACATTTATAGTAAACAATGGAAATTACAATTGTAAACTAAAGATTTGCCTCAATGTTCAATCTTGTAAAATAAGTGAACAATTATAAGGTTGGATAAAGCTGCAAATACAAGGAAAAGCATTTATTGATTGATAGAGACTGAAGACCCAGCAGGTGTCGTACGAGGGCTGTTGATATGAGATTGCTTCACCACATAGTAGACAAGACGGTAGATTAGGTCAAATCCTTCCTTGACATAATTTTCAGGATTCAATTGATACTCTTTTGAAACAAACAATGATCCATTTTCATCAATGAAAACAAACTTCCAGATCGAGCCAGTTGAATGAATGCCATAGACTTGAAGATTCCTCATTTCAGCTTTCTTTCTGCGATAATGAATGGAAGCACATTCCCCAATGCATTGCAACAGAGTCTCATTGTTTGTCACTTTAGCTCCAATTGCGACCAAATGAGGAAGCTTTCTAAGGCCACGGTGGCAGATGGTGTAGTCACAGTTCCCATTTAAGCGTCTTTTCTTGACTTTATTCACCAAAGTCATATGATACTCGCAAATGATAATAAAATCTGGAAATTGGGCAACTACTTCCCGAAGAAAAAGATCAAAGTTCTTCTGCTTGCTTCGGCGCCAAATTCAAAGACGGAGCAATTCTTCTTGAACAATTCAACAAACTCTGGAGAAGCTTCAACTGTGGTGTCAACTGGAATATTTTCCCAAACTTGATTTTCGTCTTCAACTCCAGTCGCTTCGCTAATAAATGGCATTGTAGCTTTTCCATAGGACATTGATACCATTTCCTTTTGAGCCTGTTCTACAACTGCAACGCTGATGAATAGAGGAGTCTTTGCTGTATTCTGAGCAGGAATAGGGTTGTCTGGTTGTAAAGGAGTACCACCATCAGTAGTGGAAAGACAGAGTTGAGCAGGAGCATAGGAATCAAAGTGAGGAGAGAGCTCCTTCTTGCAGGCTTTAAGAAGGTCGTCCACAATCTCGCAGTCTTCAGTAGATACCCTTGTAGCGTTGTTTGGCTTGAATTTGACCCAAAGTTTTGTCATTTTTAAAGCTTTTTTTTCCTCAAATAAACTGAAAAATGACAAAAATATACTTCAAAACACCAACACTTTGATACACTGCTCACTATTGACCAATTTAAAGGCAAGACTATTTCAGCTCTGAAATGTGCGATAAATGAAGCAGTTATGCCTGCTTTGCAGACTCCTATTTGCAATTTAGATTTGAAAATAGGAAACTCGATTATTGAAGTATTAAGAGCCTCTGATTTGAAGGATGTATTAGAAGAAGCTCAAGTTTCAATCACCAACACAATCATAGTGATTCCTTCAGTGCCTTACCTAGACCAATGCATTTTGTGTTTTTGCTTTTCATTTGGTTTAGGACTTGGTTATTCTGTCGCTATCTTTTTGAGACTGACTAATGAAGTGGAAGAATATCATCATCCATTTATTGCTGATGTCATATTCATCATTATTGATATGACTGGCTTAGGATGCTCTCTATACACTATTTGGCAGTTGATCTGGCAAGCAACAATGGAATTCACAACTTGCATCTGTTTTCGCTGGAGTTGTCTGTAGTCTTTTTGTAGAACCATCTTACCATTCCTGAAAAGGTAATAATAAGTTTTAGTAAGAATCATCCAATAAACGTTAAACAATAACTGGCATTATCTGATCGTGGTTACTATTTAACTTTACTACCAGATCTTGGTATAACGGCAGGATCCATTTAAAGCATTAGTATGAGTCTCGCACAAATAGCTCCTAATAATTCCAACTTGAATGCGATCACCCTTAGGTTTCTGACCTTGATGCTCATATCTGATAACTTGTTATTTTGACAATTTCAGAGCAAATTTAGCAGTAATTGTTGGTTAAGAAAATTGGTATCATTCGGTGCCCAATATATACTACTCACGTCAATAATGCTAATGCCAGCTTTATGAATATCAAAATGGATCGTTTTGAACAAGCTGGTCAACTTTTTTGTTGCTTCAGTCGCAGGCTTTACATCCAAACTATTGTAATGTTTCAACAACTCGGACGGGTTTTTACAATTGCATTGTAGCATGATCAGTGTTTCTTATATTAGTTTTTGATAAATCATTGTAAACCCATGTATTTGCAGGGATTGGTGAATGTTTAGTAGTTTAATCAAACCATATTTTTGATGGTTTAATTGTAGGATACTTTTTCCAGATGCGTGTGTATGTTTTGGGTTGTTGTATGAGCAAACATGTATTTTGAACATTCTGCATCAAATGGTTTCAAATACTTGTTCAAGAGTGTTGCAAGTGATGGGCAAACAATGATATTTTTAAAAATAAACTTGTCGTTTGAAACCATTGTACTTGATATTGCACTTGATAGTATGATTGGTTTATATATATTGTGATGGTTAAACTGACATTTACAAATAGATATCATATTGTAACACATTTTCATAACAATTTTTTGTTTTCTTATTGTTCTTTGATAACTCATACGATATCCTGCGTAAAACTGACTTGATCTGCTCACAACATTTGACATCCATTAAATGCGTATATTGTATTGGGGTTTTATCGCACCCATCAGCATTAAATCTTTTAATTTTCCTGTTGTGATCTACACTACAATTTAACTGATTCTCAATCGTTTAAACCCATTGCCTTTTTCTTTTTGAATATACTTTTAGTTTTCTTACTATTTTGAATGGGAATGTGAGGCAAATATATGTTCATAACATTAGTATCATATGACAAAGAATTGAATCCATTAATTGAAAGCATGCAAGTTTTATGTTGCAATCATCACTCAGATCATCGATTCAAGTAAACATGGGCTGTAGAGTTGATGCATTTTTAATTTCCTTCATTTTTTAAAGTATGATTGTTAATGACTCTTGTATTCGTTCCAACAAACATAAAGACAGGCTCCTTTTCTTACTTTCAATCAAGCCGATGCCCAAGAACTCGTGTGCTTCAGTGTATTGTAGTTTTCCTGTGGTGTTCTTGTATCCAATCAGGTTTCAAAGTCGTGGAATATAAAATAGGAATAGAATCTTGACTCGTTTGGTAATTTGACTACAGAAGTATCCGATTCTTCAAATATGCTTGGTTTTGGATTGTATTGCCATTTTCAAATGTTGTTTTAGCGTGCACTTTATTGCTGAATGTTTCTCAAGTTTCTTGTATTCTGTCAAAAACCATTGCAATTTATAGATTCAAGTACTTTTGCTATACTGGCTATGCTTTTAATGAATGAGAAATGATGCCTTGCAGTTTCAACTTTAATAAAAATATTTAAATTCAAGGTATGTTGATAATTTTGAAACAAATGCTTTTCCATCAAAGCTTCATCACCTCTAAATAATAAATGTTGATGTTTACTTGGAGATGAGCCTCAATATCATTTAGTTGTTTTATATCAACACTGTTATAATCTGAATTAAATGATTTGCAACAACTTGTAAATACCCTGTTGTTTTCCCATGTATTCGGTCTATTCTACATGATGAATTTAGAAGGCATGTCAAACAGTTCCAAAAACAAGTATTGTGTTCATTCTTATACAATGCCTTTACTATTAATGACAAAATCGGGAAGTTTAATGTTGCTTCCAATTGTCATTCCTGGTAATGCGGTAGTTGAAAGCACGTTTGTAAATTCTTCCAACAGTTCATTTTGAATTTGGTCTTTCAAGCTGTTCTATTAAACCACTTTTAATTCCTGAATAACATTCCAACAGAGCTGTTTATCAATAGAGTTTGTCCAAGTTTGTTAAGGATAAATGTATTGTCTGATGGATAAAGGATCATAAATACTCTTGTTTCAATGTTTTGAATGAAATTCTAATTGTAAATCAAGTCAATAACGCAGTTTTTGGATTTGATGATTTGTCCTTGCATTGTCGTGTAGATCTTGAATAAACAAATCTATGCTGTAAGTATTCAAAAGTTTTTGGTTTTGATTTAAAGGGATGCTTTTATACTTTTGTTTCGATTGTTTCTGTGGCTTTGTCGCATCTATTTGCAATTGAACGCACTGATTGTATTTGACTGTTTCTTCAAGACCAAAAAACAATCCCTTGATATATTTTCTAAATCTAAACTTGGGGTTTTATTCTTTTTAATCTAGTCTTGCTACCTGTGCTATCAAAGTCTGCATTCGTTTCTTTTTGTTGTTTTTATTCAGAATTAACTCGATTGATAATTCTTCACGGTTGTAAATGCAATGAACCTTGTATAAAGCAATGTATCTTTTGGGTTTTGATCATTTCAATTGGATTGACCATTCATTCTGAACGAGAATCTTTAATGTTTTGCAAGAAAATAACAATTTGTTTTTGAATCAATTATTAATTAGAAACTAATTATGCATGAACTATAATGCGGGTTAGTAGTATATATTGGATACCGGATGATACCAGTTTTCTTGACCAATGACTAGCACTAAATATTGTACGAAGTTGTCAAAAATAGCAAGTTATCGGAGATGAGCAATCAAGGTCAAAAACAATGGGGTATTATAGTGAGTAGCTTATTAGTTTGAACTATCAGGAGTTTTCAGTGCCAGACTCACACCAACGCTTTAAATGGAATATCTTATTTTTGATGAGTGTATATAGAGCTATCACAAGTACGGTAACAAAGAGTACCAATAGATGATTTCATTGAATTATCAACTTAATTTCAATTATTTCTTCATTACTTGTATTAAACAGTAAGAATGAAATTAACGTCACACTTTGACTTGATGAAAACACGCAATGTCCAATATGCTTTTCTACAGTAACCACACGATTAATCCAATGCTTCAACGCATCTCACTTTGCCTGTTTGACATGCTCCAAGAAATGTCAACGAAAAGGTTATTGTGCGCAGTTTAGAACCACACGATCGTTACACAATAAGCTCCTTGAGAAAACCATTAAACAACAAATGATAGCAATTACGAGGTTGATATAACACACTTGACCAACGATACCACACAAACTGACATAACGTATTAGCTTCCTGATCCAAGTGTTTGGCAGATATACAACTATTTCAATAAAACAAGATGAATCAAATATGTTGAAACCAACCATTCCCATTGAAGTTATTGACTTGCTGTTTTATCCAAGAACTAATTCCAAAGAAAGAGAGCAGGATGGAATGGATCGATTCTTCCAACAACTACTGGATACAACAGTGGCATTGAAGATGAATAGTTTACATGATAATTTCTTTCACATCATCTGAATTAGAATCATCACCGCTCATAACAATTCTGTACAACTTTTCCTGTAATGATTGCTGTTTCTCGATGACTCTTGGCAGCATCTTTATGTTTGCAAAGATTCGATAACCCATCATTTCTAGATTAACCTTCGCATTGTCACAAGTTGGATAATGCTTTTTGAAAGGAACAACTAACCCATAATGTAGTGAATAAGTGGTATCGTTTGTTTCATAGCAACTATCGCCTATCATTTCTTTAATCCTTTTATAGTGATTTATGTCGATGCCGCATAATAGACTGGCATTGTTTTCCAAAAACAATATTCTGCCTTTTAATAGTTTCGATGGATTAGCCTTGATTGGGTTTTCTAGTTTAAACACTGAATCCGGAACATCATCTAACACAACCGCTTCTTCATTTCCAACGTAATTATACGCTACTTTCAACAGCGAATTATTGACACGCTTTTCAACAACTTGATAGATATGATTATTTCTTGGATCGAGATAAATTGTGTCCGTTAGTAAATTGTTGATGTACTTTGATCTCGGATTTGAGCAAGGTAAATTCAACATATTGTTTAAATCTAGTCTAGAAAATAAAAGATGCAATATTCAATCACAGCCACTATCATAGATAGTTGATAAGTTTAATCCAAGATAAAATTGAATATTTAATTTCTTTTCAAATGATAAACAAGTTCATCAGAAATGTCAAACATATTGGAAGAAACCAAATTCATTTGAATGGAAATGCTGTATTGATTAAAGGAAATGACAGCACAGTTGGTCTGTACAAGGTTCTTTTTGAAGTAAATGTCATTGAGAGATATCGATTTGCTATTAAATACAAGACGAAAGAGAAAACTAGTACAAACAATTGATTAGTTCAATTACAAATCTGGATGTCGGACGGGTTAGGAAGGTTAAACTAAGATTCAGAAAGCACATTCAAGGGATCTTCAGTGGAATGGACGATGCTAAAACCTATCACCAACTTTTACAGTTACAAAACAAACAGAAAGAGAGCTGGACAAGAACAACGGTCGTTTTCACAATATCATATCAAGAAATATTCGTTCTGACCAAAATCAAAACCAATTCATTGGTCGAGACACTTGTTTACAAATTTAGATGAATTGAAGTTTACCATCAAAGAGAATCACAAAAAGCAAGCATTAAGATACTGGTTCGATATTCAATTCGGATATGTGCTGAGGAACATTGAAACTGATGATAGAGTTCAGTTTTATCCCTCTGATAATACCTGCTTTAATATCAATGATTCACCACTAGTTAATTCCACTATTGATACGGTACTAAACCAATTGGATGGTGATGATATACTGGAAAAATTGAAGTGTTCAAACTCCAAATGGAGTATTGAAAATATCTACGAATATGTACTTTTAACAACACCCATTCCAGAGGTATCAATAGGCGCATCTGTAATTCTACCTGATTTCATCAAGAATAGCAAGAGCATTGTTTCATTCCAGTATGTCACAAATAACCTTTGTTTTTGGTAGTTTTGCTCGTTATAAGTATCCAGAAATCAGATTAGACAGATTATCAAAGAAAGCAAAAGATCTTTACAAGGATTATTACAAAACCAACGTAAAGAAGTGTTATCCCAAACTTGATATTCAAGAATTGAAAGAGATTGAAAGCCATTTCTTTGTAAATGTCAACATATACCGATTCAATGGAAAGAAAGCGGTTATGGAACGACATTCAGGTAAAGAATACAGGAGGTTATTAATTTGAATATATACTCTGATATAAGCCATAAATTCCATCATTTCTCTTTTATTATTAACTTGTCTCAGTTAACCAGTGTTTCAATGTTCAGATGCCATTCATCCTTTAGTGAATTCAAAAAGATAAAACGACACTCAATTGTTTGTGCAAAACCAAAGATAATATTTGAAAATGTAAATTATCAACCAAAGTTGAATGTATTTGAGCATCTTGAATTGAATGGAATTAATATACCGAAAGAAATGAGATTTTATCCATATTTCATCTACTTTGATTTTGAAACTTGGTTGAAATCGGTCAATCTACGACCAACTTGAAGCTCACTCATTGAAACACACAAACTTTTGAGCACAAGTTTCATTGGAAGTGAAGAAAACAAGGCTCAATTCATCCCAGTTGAAGGTACAACTGAAGAAGCTTTGGATATAGTGATGACAAATGGATCAAATACGACACAAATATCTGCAATTGTTGTATTCAAAGTATTCTCGGTTCTTTGGAATAATGGCCAATTTGGACGATGCAAAGGTTCAGAAACGATTAAGATTACAATTACTAGAATGGCTTGGTGTTCTGGCTATTTATGGCTTCAATAGCTCATCATATGACATTAACATCATCAAGAAATACCCTCCACAAGTCTTGAAACACTCTAAAAACCATGGAAATGTATCCAAATGCGAAAAGCCTTGGATTAATTCAATTCAAGGAGAATTAGGTTGTAATATTGAACAAAGCGAAAAGATTGAACGATACAATGTTGATGGCTACGATGAAGAATCAAACACAATCTATGACTTTCTGGGATGTTTTTTCCACTGATGTAGAAAGTGTCACAAATCAGAAGATATCAATCCTTTAACTGGAGATACGATGAACATATTGTATGAAAAGACATCAAACAAGGAAACAGCTCTCAAACAAATGGGATATACCACAAGATCAATTTGGGGTTGTGAGTTTCATTCACCTGAAAACGGTCAAGTGGATGACATTATCAAATGTAACAAATACCGAATGATATCAAATGGATCGTTTGCTTTTAACGACATTCTTGCTTTTCAACCACCAAATACTTTATTTGACAAGTTCTTGAAAATGTTTGACGCACAATCACAAAAGGGAATATTTCCACATAAAGTAACTCGGAATTTATCGAAATACATTGATGAACATCCAGATTTGACACAATATTCTGATAATGTCATTCAAGTTCTTAAAACACTCACATATTCCATCCAAAAAGTGGTTTTACAACAATCTAAAGGGAGAATCAGTTTCATCAAACGATTACAATGAAATGGTATTCACTCACACCAACCTGTATGATTTGCTGAACGACTACAACAATTTGGATGCGAAGCCAGGCGTAGAAGCGACAAAGAAGCTGGGTAATTTCTTTCAGTCGTTGAATCTTGATATCCACAAAGACGGCATCTTTGTTCCTAGACTCACTCTGAAATATCTCTGGCACACAAAAAGCAAAGACTGCGAGTTTCAGTTATTCAAAGGAAATGAAGAATTGTACCACAAATATAGAGATAATCTGGTTGGTGGACCAAGTATCGTATTTCATCATTATCAAGAAAAAGACGACCAGAATTAGAAAAGGAAAGCTTTGTCAGGGAATACTTGGATATGATACCAATACTTTATATCTGTGGGCGATAAGTCAAGATATGCCGTGTGGTGAGCACCAAGTAGTTCAAGTTTATCCCGATATTCTGAAAGATGTCTTGGATAACACGTTCTTTGGAATGATAGAATGTGATATTGCTGTTCCTGAGCATTTAAAGGAATACTTTGCTGTAATGCCTCCTATTTTCAAGAATGTTGAGATTACATGCAATGATTTAAGCTCTGACACACAGGCACATGTCAAACCAAATTACAAAAGTAACAGATTAGTTGAAAGTATGTTTGGTGAGACGATGATGTTTGCTACTAAACTACTGAAATGGTATCTTGAACTAATTGAAAGTGCACTTGTACCTGTCGCAATGTCAACCTTTGGAACTGTCGCTGCTGGAGTCGGTGCACTTCACGCACCAATGGCTGCAGGAGGTTGTGCTGCTATTGACTCTATTTCTGATCAACAGAAAGCTAAATCATAAAATAATCATTTTGAAAAGTATTCATTGAATAATACTTTTGATGACTGCAAGAATGGCTGTTCTTAGCCCTCCTTGAGCAATTCCATACTTTTCTAATTCAGTATCAGTTATGGCCAAGTCACCAGTCTCCATCAAATCTTCAAAAAGAATTCCTTGTTCGGTAAAGGTTTCTCTGAGCTTGATGATATCAAATTCGGGTCTTTTTCGTTCAATTTTCATCTTGTCAAAGAAATGCTTTATATTCAGATTGTGATCTACAACTTGTTTCTTGGGAAGCTCTTCGTTGACGGTTAGGGCATAGTACAAGAATCCATCACGCAAGTTTTTGACATCGGTAACAACTATAAAGTCATTATCTGCAAATCGGTACAACATTTTGAAAGGCACAGGCTGAGAAAAAAATGAATCAGCTGTTGATATGACTTCAGAAAGAGATTGCATAGAGGAAACTTCCAGGTCAAATGCTCTTCCTTTGTATTTGATTGAAATGTGTTTTTCTTTGACAGCTGGAATCCATCCCTCTGCAACACCAAAACCTGTAGCATTTATCATACTAGCGAATGTTTCTCTGGCGACTTTTTTCAAGTTTTCAGTTGCAGCAGAACCACCAAAGGAGATCTCTTCAAAATGCTTCTCTAGAAATTCTTCAGATGATGGGTCTCGTTTCAGTTTTTCTGGAGTGTCTTCAATGGTGACTGAAGAAAGTCTATTTTCTTTAACAATACTCTTTTTCCCCATACAATGGCAGCATCATAACCGATGAGCAAAAGATCCTTAAGGTATTCCATAGAAGAGGACACTGCTTTCGGATGTCCCTGTATTGTTACTGCTGTGATTCCAGAGTTTGTATCTCGGATTTTAGCAAGCATATTTACTTCAGAAAAGTATTCGGCAAGCAGTGTTTTGAGCCCTGCACAGTCTGAATTGATCGTTGCTTCTACAGACACCATTGGGGTATCAAGTGAAAGAGGATTGTAGAATTATGTGTATTTTGGCCTGACATTTTGATATTTGTTTGGGAAAGTTCATCAAACTGAAAATGGATGCCATCTGTAAAGAATTCTGGCCACTACAGCATTAAAATAAACTTATATCCTGGTTAAAATATTGAAAAGAGTTTGGCACAAAAGTCTCGATTATCTCGGGCTATATTTTGGTACAGGAAATATCAACTTTTACAATTCATCAAACAACTATGGGTCCCACTCTTGATAGTTCCATATACATTCATCAAAGATGTTTTACATAAAGCGTTGGTATGAGTATGGCAGTGAAAGTTCCTGATAATTCAAACTTATAATGTATCCAGTGCTCTATACCATTGTTTTTGACCTTGATTGCCTATCTCCGATAAATTGTTATATTTGACAACTTGCAAGCAAATTGAGCTGTAAATACTGGTCAAGAAAACTGGTATCATCCAGTGCCTTATCTATACTACTCTGGTTAATCTGTGACTATTTGATTATCTCCATGAAATTTACCATCTTGGATAGCATTAAACTACGTCCATTGAAGATTTCCTGTCTCATTTACTCAACAATTCTATCAACCTTATACCGTAATCCTAACAAGTTCCCATTGGAAACGATACAAATTGAACCAGATAGAAAACTACATTGCCAAAAAAAGCAATAAAAAAGCAATAAAAAGGATTTAATGTTATTTTGAAAGAATGCTCAAGAATCAAGCATCTCAATACTAAATCAGCAAACCTACAAATTAAAAACTATTTAAATAAGAATGTTTGGTTCAATGCAAAGTGTATTTTGCTTGCAAGATATTCCATTGTGTTTGCTGTAAAATTGACAATGGCATTCTTGTTAAAAGTCGACAATTTTAAAGGATTGTATCAAATTCGTTTGGAAATTATCTGATTTACTGATTCCAAAAGATTGTCAAAGAGCTGAGTTGAAAAGAAAGTCACATTTCAGGTCTGAGCAAGCTGGAGAATTCGCTTTTACTACTAGGCAATGAACCAATTCATTTTCTTGCACTTTATTTCTGATGGTCACTAGTTTTTTGTGACTGACGGTACCGATGTTGGCTCTGATTTCAAGTAGCATTTTTACTGTTTTGAACGAATTCAATACCAATATGTCTGCACTTGATACATCAAAATGAACAAATAGCAATCTACCTGCATGATTTCTGGAAAAACACTGCGCTCGCCATCTAATGCCATTCCTTCTCATCATCAGCACCATTTTATTGAAAAAACTGCTACGTTGGACTGCAAGCTATTCAAATCCTTTAACTTGAACTCAGCTTTTCCACAAGAAAAAACAAGAGTCTTGATGAGCTTGTTTGGTTTTGTTGAATCCTCTAAACTTGCACATCCTGTGATTAGCGGTTGTTCAAGTCGCCTGGGTTCATTATTGATTTACAAATGAAGCACTTTCATGAGACATATTTGCATTCATCTCGGCGAATATCACTACTCATTTCAATATTTGCCTAAAACAAAGTCCATTCGAACCATTACTCGGATAATCAATCAAATCTTGAGTAGTTGTGAAGTATTTCATTTATCTACAAGATGTACAACTCTTTCCTTTCAGTTTGATAAACATCCAAAACATATAAAGTGCAAAGAGTTGCTGCATTGATAAAACAGTAGATAAATTCATTCGAACCAAACTATGCATTAGTAGTGTGTAAATTGGTAACTTTCCATGCCAAATTCATACTTGATATACATGACTTGAATGATCATGCGGACTCTAGACTCTGTTTTGGAGGAAGGAAAAGTTGGATATTGAAAGGTTGTGGAATGTACTGGAATAGGGATGTGAACATTTGCTCTGTATTTTTGTACAAGAACGAGCAAAGACCAGTGAACTTTGTCAAAGGGTTCAATGTTGTCCAGTAAGATTAGCACCAATCAAACATGAGACTGACCGTTTATTATGTATCTTGTGTCTAGTATTTCACTTTACGTGAATACAGCTGTATAAAGCATTTAGACATTTGAAACGAATTTCCATTGTCTAAACAAAACATCATTTTAAAATTTATTTAGATAATATATCCACTATAGTAAAGCAGGTTTCTACATCAAACGAATGAAATCCGAATTTTGAAATACAGCTTTATACTATACTCGTCGCGTTAAGATGCCGCAAGCAGTTCATCCTAGATGATAACCTTATTTCTGATGTCGTATTTTTAGCTTCAACAGTTGTGGTATTCCAATAAACAAATCTTGATTTAGATATAAGATATACTAGTCAAAAATAGTAAAGCCTGGTTTGAATACCCCACTTTAAATGCACTTTTCTGTTTTCTATTTAATGATTTTCCGGTCATGTAAAGAGGCAATGCCTTATTTTGAATTATCTACAATCCAACTCGTTTCAATTTGCTCTAAAAATTAGATGGCTTTGTAATTGAGCGAATACGATAAATTAAATACACGTGATTACAAATAGGTTTTTTTTGATGCATTTCAAGTATAGAAAAATAACAATGGTCAAGAGACGATCATTGGCAGCAGAGCAGGAGACGACAGATGTAACGACGTGTGGAGATAGGGAGATGGATAAACAGCAGGTATATACAGAGATGCAAAATGTGCTGCATCAAGTACAGGACGATGAACATCCTGAAAATATTATGCAGACCGACCAATTGGAATCTCTAAAGCGACACAAATCCAACTCTTTGAAAAAAGTAATCAACAATGCTCAAGGTCTTCCCAACTGGATTTCACAGCCAATAACTGTCCAGGCAGCCATTATCAGCACAGATAACAATAAAATTGACTCGACTGCATCAGAAATTAAATTATCGTCTATTCTCTTGCAGCGATTAACTGCAATGGGCATTGAGCATTGGTTTCCTGTCCAAGAAGCAATTCTTCCACAACTTCTTAAAACTCGTTGGTGGACTCAATCCGTATCTCCAGGAGATTTATGCGTGGCAGCTTCAACTGGTTCCGGAAAGACTCTTGCGTATGCTGTGCCGATCGTAGAAACGCTTTTAACAAGAGTTATTCCCCGTATCCGAGCACTAGTGATTGTGCCTACTCGAGATTTGGCATTGCAAGTTCGCAGGACATTTGAGAGTTTGGTCATAGGCACAAAACTCAGAGTGGCAGCGGTAACTGGTCAAGCTTCATTTTCCGCAGAAAAGGCATTATTGGTATCTGCTGAAATACCGTGCTCGTCATCTCTGGACTCTTTGCTGCTACAACATCCTTTGGCTAATGAAGATGCCATTACTGAATCTGGCGGATCCTCACGGATCGACATTTTGATTGCCACGCCTGGCCGTCTTATGGATCATCTGAATGGTACGCCTGGTTTCTCTCTCAGCCATTTGCGTTTCTTGGTAATTGATGAAGCTGATAGATTGCTGAATCAGTCGTTTCATGGATGGCTTGGAAGTGTTCTCAAAGCTGTTGATCCTGTCCAGAAAGAAGCAGGTGAGTTTTTTTGTTTTTGCTCGTTGAGTGATTTGTATCTAGATGATTTCAAGCTTTTATTAAATCGAATACAGCAGCTTCAAACCATCTAGATATCCCATCAACTGCTCTTCAAAAGCTTTTGTTTTCTGCAACTCTGACTAGAAATCCATCCAAAATTGCCTCACTGCGGCTCCGTAATCCTCGTTATATTACTGTGTCGGGCTCTCCAGATGGTTTATTAGATCAAGATGTGAATAATGTCGACATGAACGACCAGCCAGCCAATATCACCAGTTCAGTTGAACAACGCTTTATCACTCCTCCCTCGCTGGTCGAGAGAATGGTGGTTCTTTCTGAATCAGACAAACCGCTGGCATTGTTATACTTTTTTGACACGCTTAAACATTCGGGAGTTCTTGTATTTGTAAAGTCAGTGGAATCAGCGCATCGACTTTCACTGCTTTTAAATCTATCTTTAAAGTTACATCATGGCAAAGCTTCAAATGACCAACCTCTTACCGAAGCATTCTCCTCTGATCTGTCTGTATCCAAACGCCAAAAGCTTATCTCTATGTTCAAGGCAGGACAAATATTGGGGCTCATTTGCTCCGATATCATGGCACGTGGTATGGACCTGGGTGAGTCTGTCAAAGTTGTTATCAACTATAGCGTTCCTAGCAGAATAAAAAGTTATGTTCATCGTATTGGCAGAACCGCCCGGGCTGGTCGAGATGGTATTGCATATACTTTTCTCGAGTCAAGGCAAGTACGATGGTTCAAGTCTGAGTGTAAAGCCAATTTATCTCGTGCTGATTCAAGTCATCAGTTTAAAAAATTGGCTCTTGACGAAAAACATTGGGGACCCTATATATCTTCCTATCAAGCATCACTTGAGCAATTGCATCGTACCATGAAAGGAAAAAATAACGATTCTCCCAGTAGCTCGAGTGATTCTTCAAGCAATTCTTCCAGTAGCTCGGATGATTCTTCAAGCGATTCTCCCAGTAGCTCGGATGATTCTTCAAGCGATTCTTCCAGTAGCTCGGATGATTCTTCAAGCGATTCTCCCAGTAGCTCGGATGGCTCTTCAAGCGATTCTTCCAGTAGCTCGAGTGATTCTTCCAGTAGCTCGAGTGATTCTTCAAGTAATTCCTTGAATAATGAATCTGATCAAGTTTTAAAATCCTCCTTAATGCATCCTGCTTCAGTTGTTTATCATTCAGGAATTCAGGCACCCGAATTCAAATCCACTCCAAGTATGGATTGCTGGGGAGAGGGATGGAAATAAAGATAAATATTTGAAATCAATTTTCACTCATCTTGATACAAGACCCATTATGCCACAAACTATTGAACCGCGCCAAATTGGTGTGCGATACAATCGGCCTGCTCTCTATCTAATATACAACTTAGTTCCCAGTGGTAAATACATTAAAGTGTCTTTTTAGTTTATTTTTATTCAAGTCTTTGACTGACTGAATATATTTTAGATAGGCTACGACGTAGAAAAATACCACTGTGGGATATTGACGAGGCTGTCGATATTCATACGCGTCAGTTGGATTTTGACAAGATAACTAACGATGTAATCAGTAGACACAAGATGTACCTACAAAACTGTAATCAAAACCAGGTTAGAAAGCAATAGCTCATTTAAAAAGTAAAATTAGTCGAGTATGTGATAGACTCATCCAAATGTTACATGTTATCTACTAGATTCGATTCTTAATTGAGATGGTTTGCAAGCATTACAAGATTGACTGTAGACCAAAGGCTAAAGAGTTTTCTATACCCAGACCCCTTCAACCCCAACCCTTACAGCATACACCGCCTTTAGATATTGTTTCTTCAAGTAAAACAACGTACACTATAGAGACTCCAAAGTGTGCTGATGTATCAGAAAAGTCGCAGCAAAAACCAATACTTGCAGATAATAATCAATTTCAAAACGCCCAAGCATTTCTCTCTACTGCAGGAAAAATGTCGGGAGAGCTCGATTCAAGTTTAAAAGTATCTTTGGCGATGCCCAGTAGTATCGACAGCACTCGGCCGGCTGAAAAAAGTTCAACTTTCCCGTTGCCCCCATCTCAAACCCACTCAACTAGTAATGGACTAGTAGATCTCAACAAATTAAAGTAAATTGTGATGTATTTGCTATAATGTATCTATATGGTAATTCAATGATACTAACATTTATATCCAAGTGATGCGGAGCTATTCGCAATCAAGACGACAATGGAGTCTGATTTTTCAAAAAATCAAATCAGAAAAGAGGACAAAAAGTTTCAATACGATATCAAGGTAATCATCAGCTGGACTGGTGATTTTCATGTGGCAGTGGGCTCTATTAACACGATTTTATTTATAACCCACAATCTTGACAATAATGTATCTATTCTAGAAAAGTTTTGGGCCTGCGGTTGAAAAAAGTGACTGGGACTCGGACTCTGAAGACGATGCTACAAGTACTAAACCCATTACTACAAATATTATGGGATCTATAGATTCAACACCGACGTCTCGATTGGAAGCGATTCCAACTGTGCATGAGAATAAGATGGCAGTTTCCAAAAGTACATTTCCCGATATTCCGAAAAAAACATTTTTGAAGGAATCCGTATCTAAAAGGAACCAAGAAATAGATGGCAATTCTTTTAGCTCTGACTCTGATGAGGACGATATTGATGCACTACTCAATGCACTTGATTCTACTACCGATACAAAGCCTCGTGTTCAAGATAAATCAGCAGTCAGTGCTTCAGAAGCATCTATTTCTGAAAGATATCGATTGCTTAACGAGCCCACCAAAATATGTTCAAGCAGTACAATAGAGAAACTGCCAATAGACACTAAAAATATCTTTCAAACAGAAATCCACAACTCAACCTTATCAGCAGTGAAGTCATCCATACCTCAAGCTGCAGTCGTGTTTGCCTCGCCAAGTTTTGTAGAAAAACAAAACAGCTCCGAGACCAGTATTATTCATAGTCATGACAAACTCTCACCAGTAGATACCAGTAAATTAGCTATTTTAAAAAATCAGAATCCCGTATCGGCCCAATCACATCTAGAGAATCTTCCACCATTAAGTGGAAATAACATGGCTATAAAGTCTTCACATGAAATTTTTCCATCATCGTTGACAAGTATCAATAAAAAAGAAGTCGCGCATGCAGATCCAGCAGCTTTACCGAGCAAATTGCTGGATATCTCCTCTCATCAATCTGCACCACAGAATATGTCGGTTTCACAGTCAGACGCACCTATATCTTCAACCAATGAAAAACCGTCGACTATCTTATCACACGCTAATTCACCAGCACCACCAGATGATATAGATGAAATTTTTGAAGATTTTGAGATGCATAGTGATGATGACGACTTTTTTACATCCTCTACTAAAACCATCAACCCAGCAACTAATCCGGTAGCTCCAAAAGCAACTTCAACTCAGCAATCTGTCCCACAAAGCGCATCTTTTCAATCCAAAGATCCAGCAAGCCTTACCAACAGCAGTTTGATACTTCAAAATGAAAAGCCGAGTATGAATGTGAGATTGCAAGAATTGTCTGAAAGTAAGCCGTCCAATCAGGCATCAAACCAAATTCCACATCAGCAAGTAATAGACAAGAATAAATCTATGTTGGTCCCTATAACAGACTCGCCCAACAAGTCTTCATTTCTAGCGGATCTGCCTGTTTTTTCTAAACGGCCTGTAACTGAAACAGCGACTGGACTTCAGACACCCAACATAGCTGTTGCAGAGTCGACACCACCCAAATCACGTATCGTAGAGTTCAAAAACGACGATATCGATGAATATGGAGCAGGACACACTGATGATGAGTTTGAAAACGATGCTGACATAGTATTTTCTGATGACGAATCTTTATCCAATAGCCGTCCGATATCAAGAAAAAACGAATACCATCTGGGCAGTTTGAGTGATGATGACGATTTATTTTAAACAAAACCTTGCTCACACATAAAATCCAAACAATCTAAAGTGTACAGTTTTGCTGAAGAACTTTATGTGCAAGACCATTCGATCCAACGCTCAAATATATCAAATGCAAGTTGTAAGCAGCAAAGCAAGTAAATCGCGACTTTTTTGCTTGGATTATTTTGCGGTAATAATGAACAGCTAGATGAGATAGACCTATAATATGGCATAATAAATTATCAAGCTGTGTCAATCATACATATCTGAATTTAAATAGCAGTTTTTAACGACTAGAAATTTCATCGAGTAGTTAAGCAATGTTGAAATTCATATGCTGTTTACCAACTGTATGAAATGCTCTACCAAGATTATAGTCCGTTTCAAGATTCTCTCCTCGAAGCTCTGCGTACTTAAAAAGAAAGGAAAAGCCCTGTAAAATAACAGCAAATACAAGTCTTTTAAATCAAGTGTACCAAGTTAAATATAGTTTTTTGATTCATAGTCAATCAAAATAAAAACCAAACCTGCGAAATATGAGTATGTCTGCTTTCGCTTTTGCGCTGCATTGCACGATGAATATGTGCATTTCCGAGTGCAAAGTTTGTCATTGGGTCGTTTGGCGCAATAGAGTAAGCATGCATGTAGTGAACTGGAGCATGTGCATGAGTATTAAAATGCCAACTTGATTAAATGGGCCAAAAACAAGGTTGATTTCAAACACAACTAACCTATAGCACCATTGTATACACGTGCTAAACAAAGTATGTGACCATACAATATATGCAAAAGTGGAAATTTGGTTGCAAGAGTATCGCTAGTGTTGTTTTGGTGACTTTTTAGTCGAATCTGACGAAAAAAATACTTGAGATTGGCACCACTGGCGAGCATAGTTGATGCCGCAGCCCCACTTTAAATAAAATATTGTTAGAATAATTGAACCATCAAATAATTGAAGCTTTATCAACACACTTACGCAGAAAACATGGCACAATATAGGCGATATGCGTCATCTGAAAATGGCATATTTTGAGACAAGTGACGGCAAAGCTCAGAAATACGAGCATAGTTTCTAGAATACATTGCCACATCTAGAGTTACAATACATAGAGGCGAAAGAGTAATAAGATTGGATGAGTCAAATGATCAAATTATTTGATAGATTGATTTACAAAAAATCTTACAAAGCATTACTGTTCTAATAAAGGCTCTTTTTGGCTTGGACTGAAAAAACACGATAGAGTCTAGAGCAATCGAAAGAGCAGCATGTGCGTCATCCTCTTTGTTATCAGAAGCCATAATAACAGCGTACTACAGACATCAATCACGGATTTAAATAGATTGATTCAAAGAAGCTTTTACAAGCAGTATTGGTGTTTCTAATATGCTACTTACCTTTATAAATACACTCAACCAATCATTCAGTGTAAGACCTTCTGCAACGGATTCAAAATTTATGCTAGTAATCTCAGTAGATTGAGCAGAATTAATATTCAGGTTGAACTCTAGTTCTAATGGCTGGTCAAAATCATCTGGAATCTTGTTTACACTTGGCATCTGTTCGGCTGCCCAGCTTTTTAGCTAAAAAGTAGATTGTGTAACAAATTACCAACCACATGTCGTAATCCACCCAGTTAGTAGTCTAAATTTTAAATCAAGTCAATCGAACGTCGACTTACACGTGATTCCTAATAATCAATGTGTTAGATCTTCAAAAATATGATCAATGCCAATAAATAATCAAACCATACCGAGTAAAATATCCGAGAGCTTTGAAAACGAGACATGAGCTTTCGTGAGCATCGAAGCAAATCAATCTAGTTTTTTGAAAATCCACACGTTAAAATTCAAAAAGTATCTCAGCAACCACAATAAAATATATATATTAGTAGGACATAGTTATACATTCCAATGTACCTTTTGTAGTGAATCAAGCACAGGCAGTTTTGAAAGCTGTTTAAACTTTTCAAAATTGACTACATTTTCAAAATAGCGTACTTGTTCTTGGGCATGTATCAAGGCTTTATCTGCAGCCAAGCGTGTTTGCCTTCGCTTCTCTTCAGCTTGAACAGTCAAAAGAGAGCTAGAAATACCCTGAATTTTGGATGCATCCAACTTTGCCTGTTTCAATAAATTTTCAGCAATATCCGCTAATATTTTTCATTATATTCACCGTATGTAGTTCATCCAGATTAGGCTTGCAAAATTCAATACAGCGCATCAGATACCAATAATGCCACGTTTTTAAACAAAATATCATACCTTCTTTAAAATAATTAAGCGCTTGTGTTTCATCACCTAACGCTTCATAAATCTCTGCTAGTGATCTCTTCAAATCAGCATTATCGGGATCTGCTTTGCTGGCTAATACATATAATATTGGCATTGAGATCTTATACAGACATAGTTTTGATTACATTTTCAAATACAGTTTTTGCACACTACCATTTCGATACAGCTTAATAGCCATGGTGTTATTTCCAAGTTGATGCTGACACCGTGCCATTCTGGACCAAGTAACAGAGACATTGGTCTTTGAAAAAATTGGTAAAGTATTAAAATTTGTTAAAAAAATCAATCGTGATTGGTATATCTAGCAACACACATGAAGAAGCCATACCGATTCGTTTTGAGTAAGAACTTTGAGAATTTCAAATGCTGGAGCAAACTTTCGACAGCCCATATATGCTTCGGCAACGTCGAAATAGAGCTCACTGTATGTTTCTGTGCCCTCTTCATATAGTATATCAAAGTGGTACTACAACGATATGTACACGTCAAGATTCTAGGTTAAATCATTCATCATATTCACAAATATCTGCTACAAGGTAGATTACACATTTCTTGATGAAGCGAAAAGGTAAAACGTGGTAACTAAGACTGTCGGCAATAATTATGATGTAATACAAGTACCTGGGCTAGTGTAGAGTCTCCAAGGTACAATCGACAAATTCCAAGCTTTGTTCGCAATTCGATTGGAAGATGTATTGTGTTTTCAAGACAAGGATCAAACTCGTTATCTGTATCACAATCAATCACAGTCAATGGAAGTTTACACAGTCGATGCACTCCTTGCTTGATAGTAAAAATCGCCTTTTCATATTCCCCAACTTCAATATATAGTTCACTAAGCATATTCAGTTCTTCGTAGCCCATACGATACTGATCAGGAAGATCACTTGCAGCATCAAGTGCAGTGTCTTTCACTAATAGTGCCAGATCATTTCCAACACCATCTTCGTCTTGCGTGCCAGCAGTAGGAAAGCAATCAGCCTCATCCATGCTCATCAAACTCTCAAAATATCGAATTGCCTGTGGAATATCTTCAAGTAAAACATATATGCGGGCCAATTCCTTGACAGCATCCACGCTGTCTGGAATGATTTCAAGGATATCCTGAAGACCATAAGCCGCTTGCTCCAATCGGCCAAGATCCCGATGTATTAATGCACGCGACCATTTGCATTCTAGATCGTCAGGATCTGCACGCACAGCTTTGTTTAAGCAATAGAGTGCCTGATTCATATCGCCAATATCCCTATAAAAATACAATGTGGTTCGCTTTATCGGTCAACATTCAAAAGGTTCTTTGGTCGATGCGGTGCGCGTTTCATTCTGGCATATTGTAACTTACTCGGACATGCGGGCCAAGCGCTTCCACAATTCAGCATCTTTAAATAAAAGATGTGCTGCCATAAGGTATGCTTGCACTGCCTTTGATTTGTTGCCAAGCTCTTCATGTACCATTGCAAGCGTAGACCAAGCAGGCTGGGCATTTGGAGCCTGACGAATAATTTCATGTAACTGTTTAATTGCTTCATCGTGTTGACCCATGGTGTAAGCAAGATTAGCTTTTCCAAAAGTAGATTGGAGAGCTTCTGGTATTCTTGTTTTTGCTTGGCTTTGACCCTGATAGTAAAAGTATTAGTGGATCATTAAATTTGGAATTACAGAAAATGGATCAAAAGTAGGTCAGAACCATATAAAAAGCAAGCGCTAACTTGAAACAATGAACATTTTAAAAAGCTTAGTTGTGTTATAGTAGATACCTTTGCAAATCGCCGACCTTTACCGCGACGTTTTTTTGAATTTCGTCCCATTTTTCCAGTAAATAAAAAATCGGCATCTTCGCCAAGATGCTCTCCAATTTCACGTAGAGCTTCCTCATCTTCCTCCCAGAGAATTTGACTGTAGTTATGAGTGGATCCAGCAAACTCGATTGCAGCATTCATCTGAATGCTAAATTCAGTAAAGATCCATAGACACACCATATCATCACGATGGTAATCGCCAAATAAAAAGATTAGTATAAAATACAGATCCAATATCAGATTTCCAATTTTCTATTTTAAAATAGTCATATTCATATAACACATTAATAAGAGTACCGATACATAATGAACAGTCAATCTCAGAGTGATGAGTGCCAGATTTACTGGGCAACACTGTAACATGAACTATTTAGCTGGCTGGCTTTTCTCCTAATAATTGGCATGCATAGTTGCATTCCTGAAGTATATTAAACTAGAACGCGAATGTATCCGAGATTGCATGATATAAAGAGTTTGAAAACATCAAAACAGCTGAACCCAATATCCGGATTTCAATCCATGAATCTGGTGACTGTACAGTATATGGTGATACCAAATGATGAAAATGGAATCATTCCAGTTTAAAAGTATAGATGGACTGTATACATTATGATGGTCGATATGTTTGAAGGAATTGAGAATGCAAGTGCTCCATTTTACATGAATATGGCTGTAAATTAAATTAGTTTTGACTTGCCCAATCTTATCTGGCACCTCATCGTCATCATCTTCATCTATTTCGTCCAAGTCATTGCCTGATGTTGTAGAGGTTTTAGTCAGTAATAGTTTTTTCAGGATTACTCAAGTAAAACTAATACTAATTATACCTCCAGGATTTGAATCGGTCCAAATATTATTATCAAAATTGCTCTGTGTAGGAAACATTGAGCCTTCATCTAATGAACCAAAACTATTTGGATGATTGTCCAAATATGATTGTGATAGATTGGCACGAGTGGTGGGAATAAGACTAGCATGAACGTCAGTAGTTTCCATATCTATTGATGGAATATATGGTTGCACATCGTCATGATTCATCCAAGAGTGTGCTGAGATGGGAGTATAGATGTTGGATGCAGCAGGATTACTCGGTTGAAAATCATCGAGTAAATATGCAGGCAAATCTACAGATTGAATTGGTGGTATGCTTGCAGTAGTGATGGATGAATGCAGTGGTGGATTTCCGGTAAGATCCTGAAGCACTTTGTCAATGTCGAATTCAGGCACGAGTAAAGGCGAGCTGTTCGTATTGGCCATTTGCTGTCAATTCAACTGTCGGATTTCCGCGATAAAAACGACCGAGATTGGTCACGTGTTATTACTGTCAGTCGATGCGGCTCGAGTTTGGTCCACTTTAACAGCAATGAAGGATCGAATTGTCGTGACTGCTGTCAAGACATCTGCCAAAACACCTGTCAAGACACCTGCTGAAACATGTTCTGTAAACTCTACTAAAAATATGAACCATTCTTTCGAGGATTTTTCCCGTTCGGTCTGTGATTCTGACAATAAACACAGTCTTTATAATGCAAAGGCACAACCCGCTTTACTAAGACGTCCTTCATTTCAAGATCAATCGAGGCAAGTCTGGTTTGACTATTCAATACGGTGGTTTATGCACTGCTTTAGAAATATAATGCGTATTTTTAGTCTAGTAAACTGGATTGGTTTACTACCGAGTCGGATTTATAGCTCTTATTGATTCAGTTGTTGGCATATTGGTTTATTAGACATGTACAGTCTGACGTTCAACATGAACGTATACTGAATCCTATACAAACTCAAGCACAAACTCTCTATTCCACGATTTGTGATTTTGAAAAACTAGTCAAGAAGCAAATCACTCCTAGCAATTTGAAGAGTAGTCTTGAACTTCGACAGAGGTTAGTCGCCAAACAGTTCTTTGCTCATTGCATTGGTGCATTTTGTATACGTATTATTAATATATGTACAGTATCGCAGTCAATTATCTGTCCCTGATTAAGCTAGACAATCGGCTCAATATAAAGTACGGTCTGGATTCTCGTTTATGGAAAGCCGTCGTGTATCCGACTGTTGACTATCTTCGCAAACAAATATGTGCCGAGTCTGAATTGTCGGAATCAGACTCACAATCTCTGTGGAAATCATGGCTTTTGTCGATTCAAGATATCTATACAGAGTTACTCACAATGTCCCATAACTCTTCATCAATTATCTCTCACAAAATATCAAACTCTTTGGGCGATTTAAAGCGGTATCAGGCTCAAAATTTAACAAACGATCGAGCTGGAAAACGAGATTTGATGAAAGAGGCTAAAAGTTACTATTTGTTTGCATCTCGGGTCGCACCTCAAAACGGTAGTTTCAATTGAAACATGAGTTTTATTTTTCATCAAAATCTGTCTAAATCTGTCTGGTATCGTATCTATATACAATTAGGATTTTATCAGAGCCAAATTGCTGGAGTCACCGTTACCGCTGGCATCCCTCTTGAATCTGTATGCCATTACATTGCTGCTCTTTGTGCTCAAGTTCCTTTTGAGCCAGCCCGGGAAAGTCTTCGAAATGTGTTTTCCATTGTTCAAGACATTCCTTTCAAAGATACTATAAGCTCATTCATCAGCTTGATTGATACTCTTTTTACCAGAATTAGGCACGTCATGTGGAGATTTAGTGCACATATAGCAATCTCATGTAGCCAATAGTGCTTTAGTTGTTTTGTTCAAACCCTATTCAGCTAACTCCTTTTTATTCTTTAGCCTGGAGCTTTACAAGCAAAAATACAGTGAATTCAATGCTTTACTCGCAGATGCAAACTTCAAATTTCGACAAACGTCATCTGCCGAATCTAATGTCAGCAACGAGACCAAAGCATTTGGAGAGCATTTGTATTATATGTGTGTTATCACAATTGGCACGGTTTTAATCATATCCCGTCAGTCTCTTAATCCTCTTCTCATGGATCAGCTTTTGGAAAATTGTTGTATGCTACTTACAGTACTAGTGGATAGTGCTGGGAGCATCCAGCTTACTAAATCATGTTCGAATGACACAGTTGATAGACTATCAATTCTAGAATCGATTCTGTTTTTGTTAGTATCGGATACTGGATGCAAAGTTGCGCGCTTTATAAACTGGAGGGTGAGCATGCTGCAAACTATAGTGATGCATCTATTTAAAGTTTCTGTTTATTGATATGACTTGAACATCTAGACAATCCAAGCTACATTTAAAACCATTCAAGATCAGCTATTGGATTTTATCGAGAATAAGGATGAATCAATGGCGACTTTACAAGATTATAGTATTACAGAAATGGCTCATCAATTCCATGTTCCTCGGGATGACGTTTTGATTACTATGTCCATATTCAAGTGTTCTATTAAGCCGAGTCTTTTTTCAACAGCTGAGATTGATACTGATTCTACTCAGACCCTGAGATTGCACTATACTCGGCTTGATGTGTTATGGAAACATGTGACTCGAGTAAGTTGGCTAGTTTGAAATACGATGCAGATTTGTGTGCTCATTTTATCGAGTTTTATAAATTAGATTCACGAGTCAAGTTTTATGTCTTTGAAGTCTGACTGTGCTACTAAGTACAATGCAAAGAATAGCCATGGCAAAAAACAAGGTATATTATACAAGTTTATATACCATTCAAATTGATTCAAGTTGATTAACCCATTACAATTTACATTAAAGTTTCCAAGCAGATTAAGCAGGATCTTACTCAAAGCGATACTGACAATGCATCTTTTATTTCTCAAGAGCCTGCTCAATTTGTAAAGTCTTTAGACCTTTTTGAATCTCTTGAAAATCTTGCAGACAGTTTTGACGATGACGCTGATATAAAAGCTCTCAAGGTGATGGCTTTAATTAGTTTTGGTTACAATTGAGCATTGCACTGAGCCTATTGCTGATTTGGTGATTTATTTGCGATCCATCATACAGATCACCCGGGATGAGCTTGAGGGCATTGTAGATAGAAAAAACGTCAAGCCTAAAGAAATACAGTATGATACTGATCCTCTTCATACGATTTTGGTTCTTGATACCAATTTATATCTGCACAACTTTGAACAAGTCAAAACAATGATTACATCTCGGAAATGGCATATTTTGATTCCATTAGCAGTTGTGAGCGAACTGGATGGATTGCGATGCGTGGAGAGCGAGATTGGAAAAAATGCAGAACTTGCATTGGATCTACTGACCAGCATTTTTGACACACCAGATAGCTCACTGGTTGATCTTAAAAGAGCGTTTGTGAGGGTTATTACAAGTCGTGGTAAAATGATGCACACACTACGCGTACGCTCAGAAGAATGGCCCAAGTCTTGGACAGCAGATCAGGACAGTAGCAAGAATGAGGGGGGTTTTTCACTACGCAATGCAGATGATCTAATTTTGAATGTGTGTTTGGGTTATGGGACGAATAGCACTCAAAGTTCATTGGCTCCAGATGCCGAATTTTCTTGGTCCACATCAAAAGTCGTTCTTGTTACACACGATATTAACCTACGTCTCAAGGCAAGGGCACTTGGAGTACCCGTCATTGATTCTATTGCAAGTGTCTATAAATCAGCATTATCCAAGTCCTAAGTAGAGTAACATTGGTTTTGATTCAGTCTTTTTCAAGGTATACACTCTGAATGTGTTGACATGGCACAAGAGTTTATTTCTTTGCATATTTGGCAAAAAATCGCTCAATTGCTTCAAAATAACCTTCCTGGATACATGTATCATTGTGACCACCATTTTCAAACTCTTCAAACTCGGTGTTATCCGTACGACTTCCTGCTCGAGTGCGTTCTTGGATCAGTCTAGCGCGTAGTTCAATCATATGTTGTTGTGGAATCAATTCGTCTCGCTTTCCACTTAGAAATAACACAGGAATATCAACAATCTTTCCAATAGCACGCTCAGAGTCCCATATTTGGTGACATAGGAATACAAATGGACGTAAAAGTTTGATGACGTGTGGAATCAATTTTCTCTAAAAACAATAAAAACCAGTTGATGACAGTTAGCAGTTGAACAGCAAATGGTCAAGTGTATAGACTTGCCAAGCTTAAAAAGGTGTTTTCAATAATAAGAGCAGAAATGCGATCCTTATTTTCCGAGACAAGATTGATGGCCACCGCACCGCCAATGCTTTGTCCATATACCAGCACTTTTGTATCCTTGAGTTTGTCATGAGATTTGATGTAATCCAGTGCGGCCTATATGAAATCGTATGCATTGATGAGAACATGATTGCATGCCAATTACGACTGCAACGTGGATAAGCTGTTCTTACAAACCTGTGCGTCTATCTTCATGCCAGTTTCATTCGGAGTGCCTTGGCTATGTCCATATCTAAAAGCGAAGTTGTTTGAGTTAATCACACCTTCAATGTCCCATCTGAATGTCAACCACATACCCTCTGTAAGAAAGCATAAATATATTGCAGTTTAAACGCTCCATGAGTATACGAGCAATAGGCAATCGATGTCCCTGCATGTACGATGATTAAGCAAGTTGATTACAAAAAGATCTGGACAGCAACGAGCAGTAAACGAGCAGTAAATACCATATTTCCAGCATTTGCATGCAAATACAGCAGTGTGTGACTGGGTAATGCATCAGCAGAGATTGAAGAATGGTTTGATGCAGTAGGCTTGATGAGATATCCAGTAATCATCACACCGTCCTTGGTTTTAATGCTTACGCTCTCATAGTTTGACATTTGAAACTCATCAGGACGAGATACATGATCTCTAGAGCCTTGAGGAAACGAAGACGGATCTAAACCAACCAGCAGTTACAAACAAGGTTGACAGTAATAAAGTATCGAGTTTTAGCTCATTTACACATGCAGTTTGGGCAACAGTAGATGATATTGATTTTATAACTTGCAGATGAGTGATGTTTGGTAGAAATAGGCTGCACCAAGCAGTCCAATCGCACTGAATGAAATAGTGTAAACTGCAACTTTAATCAACCAAACTGTATTCGATAAGAGTGTCATGCAGTTTAATGGGTAAAGATTAGATGGATTGCTTTTGCAGTTTTATGTAAAATGATGGATTTCTAGTATGAAATATTGAATGTTCAAGCTTGTCAGATTTGTTTAAATATATTTTATTCAATCATTTGATTGTTCTTGCGAATAATATTCAAAATCTCTTTCCTATCAGACAGCCATGCACTAAATGTGATGGGTCGAGACGCAGGCAAACTGGGCTCATCGTGTTGTGTTATGCTGGTATTCTGCATATCAGACAATGACTGCATTTCAGATTCACTCAAAAGTGTATCTGGAACCCACAGACTCCAAATCTCAATCAGGTAATCCGCAAATACAATCAGGTAAAAGTATCGAATCAAATAATTCCATCCAACTTCTAACAATGTATGGAATTTTCGACTGTCTGGTTCTGCAGCCAGTAGTCGTAGACGATAGTCAAAAATGGCAAGTCGTAAATTCTGCATGTGTTCTGACATGTCAATGGCTTTGTCTGTAAGAAATTTGGCTAGCTTTCCATATTGAAGTACTGCAATGAGCTGCATGACTATTTGGTACTCGCCAGACTTGAACCGTTCATGCAGATCAATTTCAGAGTCATGCATGCGAGTCAAAATGCGACGATCACCATCCATCACTTCATCCTCGGTATCCACTTTATGAAGAAGACGTCCAGAGTTTTCAATCAGACAAGCATTTCCAACAGTCATCTGCATAAGACACGCAGTGACAATCCCTGTTGTAGTTCGTCCACGCCCCATTTGACAATTAAAAATGGCATCGCCATTGACTCCAATGGTCAAAAGTCGCTCCATAAGTTGATCAAATACATCTGGAATAGGTGCTTGTTCATCGGTAATAGGAATTCTCATATAGTCAATACGATACCCCTCTGCCTTGATACGAGCATAAACATCCAATGGCGTTTCAATGTCTTCCTTTGTAACACTTTCCCAGACTGGAACAATCGAAAACTGAGCATTTGGTTCAACCCGCTCTTCATGGAGCAACAACCTCCCATTGTATCGGTGCATGTCACGAAGGATCTCCTCTTTCATCTGAGCTTCCATCAGTTCCACACGCTCACGTGAAATGCCAGTTGCCTCGAGGTTCTTGAGTGGGTTTTGAAAAAGTCGCAAAACATATGGTTTTCCATTGATATATATGACTGGCTCTTCTCTCAAGCTTGTCCAGTAAAGTGTACGATCTCCAGTAGAGTCAGCATGTGTAAATCTTAGTGTACGACGAATACCTTCCTTTGTTGGCATGCCAACGCCGTAGACTGAAGCGGATACGGAAGGAAGATTAACATCAGAGCACAAGGATAGTGCTGACATGGTTTGTTCAAAAGGTTCAGATTCCACAGCAGCACGAACAGATGAAAATGAAATACCACGAAAATTGTGAGCACCTTCAATACGATCGTTGAGGGATAATTTTTGTGCTCCTGGAAACATGTCGTACTTGATGATGGTGCCTTGAGCAAGCACTCCACCATCACGACGGTTTACTACATCAACCACTTCACTAGTAAGTGCAATACCATCTCCTGGTGCAAGTTCTTCAACCGGAGTGAGAGCATCAAGACCACCAGATTCTAATTCTTCACAAATAGTTGCAAATTCGGGATGCTTTTGAAGCCATTCCTGAAATGTCACCAGCATGGACTCAACGCCTGGCTCGTTGTTTTGCAAATAACTTTGAAATAAAATCAACATAAAGTATCGTTTAAGATGCAGAATCGCTCTCGTTAGAACAACAGCCTTTTCGACTTGATCCGTTTCTGATTCGACCGCTTGACGAGATATCTCAATTATCTCTCGAAGATTGACATACTGAGCACAGTTATCAATAGTATCATCAACTATACGTTTGCATTCAACTCCATTACGAATCACACGAAGTAACGAATGAATGGGCCTATAATTGAGTAGAGGCTTGGAAGTGGGCATCCAGGCTTGGGAGACATCCTGACTTGTATCAATCGAATGTTTGAGCCAATGGAATACAAGCGAGGCAATGACAGTGCCTGTAGTAGATCGACCTAATCCAACTTGACAGTTTACAATAATGCAAGATGATGAACCGCTGTATCGACAGAGCAGATGCACAATATGATCAAAATCAGAAGGATCTGGAGGTGATTCAGAAGTAACTGGCACTCTAAAGTACAGTATTTCAGGACTGACTGCAGTGTCTATCGAGCTTACAGAAAACAGCTGAAATGAAGAGGTGTTTGCTTCCATCGAGTCTGAGCTATGACCAAACGACTGGCTCTGTAGGTTGGATGTACAGAATGGCTCATTCAATTCTTTCTCTCGTAGTGTTTTCACCAATTCATGAGGAGTCATGACGCTGGCATGTTTACAGTCCTGCCAAATGGGATTGATGGTTCCGTGAGTCTCTGTGTGCAAAAGGACTCTGCCATTATATCGAATAATTTCCTCCCGCACATCTTCAGACAGCTTCTCTTCAATGATCTCTAATCGCGACCCAGTAATACCAGAGTATGATTTGATGTTACGCAATGTAAGGTATTGATCGCGCAGTACATAAGGGTTTCCATTAATATAAACCAATGGCTCTTCACGTAGGTTAATCCATACAATTCTGTTACAGGACTGACCAAGCGACAAAATGACATTACGCATCCCTTGAATTGTAGGCTGAGCAACAGCATAGATGCGAAACCCAGATATTTTTCTAAAACATCAGATAGTAATTGTACTGTTAGACATGATGCATCAAATGTAAATTTACAACAGTATTTAAACTCCCAACCTAAAGTTTGCTGCGCCTTCAATGGTCGATAAACCTTCTTTTTCTTTGCTCCAAAAATCTTCCTTCAAGATTGTTTGTGGACCCAAAACAATCCCCTTACGAGACTAAGAGTTGATGCAAATAAGTTTAGATATTAGCCATTTCAAACAGCAAAACTTTCCAGTCAGTATCCTATAGATACCAATATCATCTCACCTTGATCACATGTTTGTCAAGCTCTCGTGTAGCAGGCTTTTGATTCGGACCCCATCCAACTAAAGAGGATGTGTTGGACATATCTTCGGAAAAAACACTTAGATCTTCAATCGGACGAAAAAGCGACAGCGATGTCGAATCACGACGTAAATTTTCAATTATATTCCAAATCTCTAGTGCATATCAAGCAGTAATCAATATTGAAAATATTACAAATGTCAGTCATGATGCCTTTTCAAAATTCTTATTCGACTTACAACTCACCTGGACGCGACTTGAGCCATTCATTGAATGATCTTTTGAACCCTTTTGCATACAGTTTATTCACATATGAACAAAACGCAAGCAACAAAAAGTATTGTTCCAGACACCTGAATGCCTTTTGAAGGTAGTTTGTATCCATGGTTGTCGAGTATAGCAGACGGTTAGTTAGAATATCTTCACGAAGATTTGTGAGTACGTCACCTAGTGCGCGAGCAAAATCAAGTAGTGTCAGTATGTTTCTATCTAAAATACCGCCAACTAAATGGCATACAGGAAAAGTAGAACCGAGCAAGCAACCTACATCTATTGATGGCTTGGTCTAGTGCCTTTTTTGCACTGTTTCCATCAGCTAAAACAGCAATCAACTGTTGAATACAGTGAAAGTTTCCAAGAATGGCTTCTTTTAAATCATCAATCAGGGCTCCCTTTGATACAGCCCATTCAATGGTTGACTTGTTTGATATCTTTTGGAAAGCAAGAGCTACACACTATAAATGTAAATAATGCGGCACAAAATAGGTTCCCTTTGAATATCGGTCAAGTATCTCGAAAATCTACGTACTTTGGTCAACAATATATACAAGCCGAAGAATAGCCCGATTGTGAATTTCCATCTTTCTAGCCAGTTGAATTTCCGAATAAGAGCGCGATGTTTCAATTTCTATATCTGTATTTTCCACAAATGGATCCACAGATGTTTCCGTAATGGCTTGACCTCTTCGAAGAAGCATTGCTAGCACCATGGCAAACGTTGCTAGATGTAATGTATCCAGTTATGGCATCACGTTAGTATGTATCCAGAAATCACCCACCAAATAAAATAGCAGACTTACTTCGTCCAACACCCATGCCGCAATTAAAAACAAGGTTTTCATTGATATGTGTATTACGGATCACGCGTACATATTCGTCAATGTATCGATCGTCTGGAGCTTGTTCAGGACTGACAGGAATCCGAATATAACTCACTCTGTAGTCGTCTTTAACAAGGTCTTCAAACACTTCACGTGGGGTTTGAAGAGATTCTACCGCCATCCATGAAGGAAACACTTGACCGCCAGCTATATGATGAGTTGAGCAGTATATTGATGTGAGTTGGTGAAACCAGTAATACTGCAGAACTTGGCATTTCAAGTTTTTTGGTTAAATGATAGTTTAAATGAAAATGTAGTATACATACACGACTCTTCGTGTACCAAAACAAGCCCATGCCAGCGCAATTCTTCTCGTAGAATGTCTTCCTTGAGACGGGCTTCGACTTGTTCCAGACGGGATGAATTGATTCCATGATACGTCTTGATGTTTTGTGTTGGCTTTCCAGCATCCCTAATCACAAAAGGTTTTCTGTTGAGGTAGATTAAAGGTTCTTCACGAGTAGAGATCCAAGTTGTAAACTGAGAGGTAGATCCAACAGGATGACATCCAAGTAGTGTTAGTACAGTGGTAATTCCAGGAACTGTTGGTTGAGCAACTCCAAAAACATTCATGTCTGCCATTCGGAAATTAGGCGCACCTTGTAAATGAAAGTCGAGATGCGAGTGGAGGCCAGTTTCGAAATGATCCGACTTTAAAATGATTTGCCGTCCAAGAACCGATCCGGATCTAGTCTTGACAACATTCTGTACAGACATGAGTAGCTCTTTGGGAGATTTAAATTGAGAGGGTTTTCCGCCCATGATTCTGCGACGACCGCTATGAAGACTAGGATTGCAGATATACGCAGATCCGTGTGCAGACAAAAGCGATCCATGAATTCCAAGATCCGGAGTTCCTGAAATTGACCCGTGATTAGAGAATAAGCCAGTGGCAGTATCCAAGCCATGCTCATATACCAAACCTGAGGAAGTTGAGGCTCTCTTGTCGAATGTATCGCACCCTTGCTCACAACTAGAAGCAAGACTTGAATCACAATCATTGTTTGTTTTGGATGAAAAAGGAACGTCCAAAGACGCCGAAGAAGATGCTTGCGGAGAGAACCCAGCAGACGTAGACGAGAAACGCTCTTCCATCATACCAGTCAATGGCTTGACTGTAGATGAACACAGGTTGATGGAACCAGCGTCAATTGAAGATTCAGCTGAACCAGAGTCTATTGACGTACTTTTAGATGTAGAATGTTTCTGGGATCTTCTAAATAAAGCAGCTTGCATTAAACTATCATGAGATGATTGAGCTGATGTCTTGGGTTTCAATCCATGTCCTGAACCCCTATCCAGTAGGTTAAATCGTTTCTTTTCCTCTGACATGCTAAGCTGTTATAAGAATGCCTTGAATATCGAATGGTTACAAATTCAAAGATCCAAAGTGTCAATCGAATTCAGTCCAGTTTATCTGTAGTTTATACAGTATTAATTCTCTTGACTGAGTTGATAAATGTCTGCCTTTTCAATTTTGTTACAAATCAACCCAAAAATGGGTCGACTCAAATTCTACCAGAAAATCCATAAACAGTCAGATTCAATTGTATGAAACCACTTGCATTGCTCTTTGTTTTGGAATATGTTAAACCTTTGCAGTACTTTTATACTAGAAACTGACTTGAATTGACATTCTCCAAACACGCTCATTATAATAATACAGACTGTCTTGAAATAAATTATTGTACGATTGTTTTGATATGTACTGACACATTGATTGATTATACAACAATGAGCAGACTAAAACATTAATGAGTTTGACAATATTCAGAAAATTAGAGAAAATTATAATTTATAAAACAGTCATTTTTGGAGTCTTCTATTTTGCGTGAACACAGCTGTAAACTACATTACTTTGTCATGGTCGACGCATCTAAAATCTGCAGTGGTCCAAAGTCTGAGCTCAAGTGGTGCTTAAAAGAAGTGGGATTTTTAGGCAGATTGATGGGTAATTGTGAAGTGCTAAAGAAGCAGTATGAAGCATGCATGGATGATGAGGCAAGTGATTACTTGTTGCTATCTGACCGACTTGCAGTATGTATTGACTAACCCTGACATGTACTCTACATATGATCCACTCTAGTTTTTGATTAAACGCAAGGAAAACCATAGATTGGCAAGGCAAAGCACTAAGAAATGGATGGATGGAAACAAAGAGTTGGGTCTTGAATAGACTCATATGACCGTCTTACAATAAATCCAATGACAGAGATGCTTATTCTGGTGCTGCATTCATACAACAGCTTCAAAACATCCAACTTGTCACTATCAACAAGAATATTACTGATACCTAACAACAGCAAGCATATTTGTCGAGTTACTAATACGACCCATTTCAGTATTTCACAATCTGAATAAAATGTAACCAACTGATTTGAATAAAAACTTGTATGAGTTTTGATAAGAAATCTTGACGATTCACAACAAATACCAAGATTGACTCAGTGCGTTGCTGGACTAAAACGAGATTTAAAATATTAAAAAAACGATTCTTTTAATTCTGGAATTGCAAGCCAAACGATAATCGCTTTAAAGTCTTGAATGTCGTGTTTCGTTTTACGTGAACACGATTGAATAAAAAGTGACTTAGATAACAGGTGTTGAATGAACACGACAGTGAATATGCAGGATGTTAATCAAGTGGAATGGTATCATCTGGATCTGGATGATAATTCAAACCTGCTCATGTCACAGAATGAATACGACAGGTTTCGGTTGGAATTACTTCAGGAAGACTCGGATGCTCAATATACTGACACTGAGGATGAATTCGTCCGATATCCAAGCTACGCTGCAACTCCTATTCATACTGTTGTTTCAGCTCCACCCACTAGTCCATTCACTCATTCCACTACTACAGCTTCTATTGCTTCAACTAGCTCTGTTATCACTACTATCAATCCTACTTTCAATACTATTAGCAACACTGCAATAGATTCAAATCCATCAACTTTTATACAACCTAAACTATCCACTCCTCGGCTTAACACTGATGGCCATGTCAAGGTTTTACTTCCTAGTCCAACTATTCACTCCACTTCTTCAAAAGAAAGTCTTCATTTGGAAACTGACGATGTCATGCTTAGAGATACAATGGATGACGACAATTTAGAACACTATTCAATGGGACTCAAACTTCGTGAAAAGGTAGTTTTGCTTCATTGATGTCACCATCAAGAATCTATCTTGTATGCATTTACTGTCAAATTCAATCTAGAAATAGGTCCAATTTTTATCATCTTACTCGCTCTCTTGTGTATTTAGCTTATTGATGATCTTAAAAAGGAGAATTTCGGATTGAAGATGCGATGCTACTTTCTCACTGAAAACCTCGAAAAACTCTCGCCTGAAGGACTAAAAGAAATCATCAACGAGGTAATTACATCTATATCTAATGATAATCTGTGATTTAATACTTATAATTGCATCTAATGATGTCTAGCATGCTGAACTCAAAGCAATCATGGAAGATATGCGCTTAGAAGAACGGATTCTTGGCCAACAAAAAACTCATTTACACAAGTCTGTGCCAACTGCAATCACTTGTGACGCTGCTTGTGATCCTATCGCTGAAATTGTGTGTGCAAGTCATCCATCAAACTAGATCCTTGGTTTACTTTATGTATACATGTTTTGAGTATGCTATACAATACTCATGGTGCATTTACTGGTTGGATTAATACAATAGATTGAACTACACACCCAAAAAGAAATCAAAGATACGGTTGAACAACTCGAGTCTATGTTAACAGCAAAGACTGAAGAAACTGATATTGCAGTTTCTAAATTAAATCAACTCACCCAAGAAATATCTATAATCGAGACTAAACACGCCAAAGATCGTCTACAATGGGAAGCTAAAACAGAAAAACTAAATCAGGTATCATTCCAGAGTACAATAGTATTGACTACAGACTTGGAAATCTGGCATACTCGCTCAATCTACAATCGTAATGACTAATATAAACGAGTGTTTAGAAACTTACTTTAGTGCGTGCTAAAATCAACCAAGAGCGTGAGACTCACATTCAAACCGTCAAACAGCTTGAATCTATTCAGCAACATTCCTCTCTTCAACAACCCACACCTACTTCAACATCTGATGAATCCAAACGCGAAGCTCGGTATGTCACTGAAAACGAAGAGTTGAAATCTCAAGTGATTCTTTACAAGCAAAAGGTGGACGAGTACCAAGCCATTTCTGCTTGCAATGCGGATGACATGGTGTTTCTTCAAAATGAACTGGAAAGACAAACTGCAAAAGTGCGTGAATTGGAGGAAAAGTTTCATATGGAGGCGGAACAAGCAAAAAACAAGAAACGAGCTCCTGAATTATCTGTATGTATTTATTTTGTATTTTGCTAAAATGTTTGAATTTTAATATAACCATTTTGTCTGTCTACTATCAACAGAAACATCGATTGCAGGTATCAATATTTTGATGCCATATTTGTGTTTTGGCATTTTCAATTTATTTAATCTAATTGTTTCAACTGCAGCTTCAAGAACTATCTAATGAAACACTTCGTCTAGTAAGCTGAATTTACACTTTTAAATTGTAAAGCATACAAGTGAATTACTTGCTAACTGGAATGCCATCATTGCTGAATATAGCTACCCCAATCAACAAGCGAACTTTCCGAAGCCAATATACGCAATCTCTTATTACAGCTATATGCAGTTGAGCTACCTTTACTCTTGACAAGATATCTATATAATTGTACATTTGTGTGATTTAAAACCTAACCCTTTAGTACTTTGTTGCTTGCATTTAAGCGGATTCAAACATTGGTTGCAACAAAACAAGATACAACAAAAATCACTCAAACCGTAGATAAACTTGTACGGGCTTTGCCATTGAACGACTCACAGGATGCGAACCGATTACGGTATATCACTGAATTGAAGCAACGAAATCTTTTGCTAGTTCAGGTCAATCAGCGATTTGATTCTATTTTGGCAGATAGTCATTTGAGTCCACAGGTAATGTATTTTTGGAGTTGAATATGAGTAGGATTTGAATTTAACTCTGTTTTGATGATAGGCTATCAAGAGTTTTTCGGATCTTAAAGTAGCCATTCACGAAAAACTTGAACTTTTGAAAACGCATTATGAATCACTACAACAACTCAATATTGAAAAACGGTATGTTGTAATGTCTGTCTTTAATCTTTGAATCTTTTAATGACTCTTTCATGTCTCAATTTCGAACAAGGTTGTGGAAAACAAAAATGTCTGCTATGGAGGTCAAGTTGGCTCGTGCCAACCATGGCGAAAATCATAATGAGCCTGATGTTCAAGATAACCAATCGAACAATGGTCAAGTCTATACTACAGTAAGTGTAGAATCAAGTTAACTGTTGTTTGGAATGCAGTGTTATTGTAACGATCATTTGGCAAGTCGACTGAAACGGGTGGCATACATTGCATTTTGATTTAGTCTGAAAATGAAGTTTTAAAGAAGCAGATTAAAGAATTGCAGGCAAAGCTTGAACGTGCTAGACAAAATGTTCGTACTGAGCGACAAAGTGCACAACGTCGCGTGGAAGAGTTCACAGCTACAAATCGGTATTGTTATATTTTGTCGCGAATATAACCCAGTATAGCAACTGTTGAATTATGGCTTATTTCAAAATATCTAACTGTGTCTATTTACCTTGAAGCCAACTTGAAAATGAGTTGCTGCAGTGTTCAAAAACAATTGTAGCTTTAAAGGGTGGCCATAATTTGGGAGAGGCCAATCCTACATTTGTAAGTTTTTTGCTTAATGTTTTAAAATCAAATACGCTGATGTGATATAGCGATTCAAGTGGTATATGAATGGGGTTACTGACTGGGGTTTGATAGATGAATAGTCCAACCAAAGCAAAGCTCGCACGGCTTAACGATCAACTCAGAACTGATTTGGGTGATCAGATTGCAGATGGAAGCGCCATGCGAGAACAACTTCGTAGAGCCAAAGTGCAGGTAAATTATAATTGTATATATGATATAGCATTCTATTTTGAACTCACACTAATCCACATTGTGTCGATCTACACAGTATGCACGGACTGTAGCTGACCATGAATCGCTAAAAAGCATTTTACTACAAAACGAAATATCTGTAGTCAATGCATTGTCAAAACTTGCATCTGTTCAAGATAGACACATGTCTGACCCGGTTGTGATCAAACAGGTGGCAGATCAAGTTCGTCATATTTTAAAGTCGTTGCGTTTTAAATGAACATATCAAGTTGCTTTCAATCCCGACTTTAATTGTTGTCAATGCATACTGATCAATATTCATGTTACATGTATATCCAAACAAGTAGTCTACACATTATACTGCTATGCGACTGCATTCATTCTTGTCAATGTATGATTCAACTCGATGTGAATGTCGCGTCCAATCCAACAAGTCTATACAGTCAAGTGGGTTGCAATGCTGCATGTATGCATTAGATGTTGTGACGATCACGACATGCAATATATGTCCGATTGGATGATCCATGTTATGACATGTTATGTCATGTTATGACATGTTTAAAGTGTATTGATCAAACTGTGATCAACGCCTTATGTTATTTGACAAGTGTATAATCAAACGAGTCTTGATGTTTTACGATCCAAGTAGTCAAATTACCATGTTGCACATACAAGTGATTGAATCGAGTCATGCGCAGATTCGATCATGAACACGCAGATTCAATCCATTTCTAGTGACACCTTGATATAGTTTGGTATATATGACTACATTGCATTAGTCGACACATCAGTTGATGCAATTACAACGCCAGATACAGTCAAACATCACTCAGTTGCATGATATATACACTATTCAACTACACACAAAACACCATCACTGAACAGCATTGGTGCTAGAATACATCCAAAACCATTACAAAGGGTTGATGGTTGTGTAAAACTACAATCATTGTTTGGAAAAAGTCGATTGATTTATACACGTTTGCATGCATGGTTTGAATACAAATAAATGGGTGTATAGATTGACAGCAATCATGGATGGTTTTATATTGCAGTATATAGTGTCAGGACTTGTAAGTTTTTGTTGATCAAGAAATGGAATACAAGGGTTGGTTGTATGGTGCTAATATTAACATTTGAGTTTAGTCGTGCTTGCAGCCTTATATATTGCTGATTCTCGATAAATTTTTGTTCAAGTTGCTTTCAGTAAGGTTTTTTGATTGCAACTTGGTTTTTGCAAATCTATTTGATTCTCAGTGGTTTAATTAGGTTTTTGTACATGTTGTTTACATATACAATAGCGATCTGCAATGTCAAATAAATCTCTTCCTGGATACAGATACGCGGCAATTGACTTTGATACTGATTTTGAAATTGATCATGCAAGTATGGGATCGACACAGAGAATGACTGATGCAATAAGGCTTATTCCACCCATCCTTCCCGACAAAGTATTTGAGTGGCTTCGAGCCAAATGCACATCGATGCTGAACAGTCCAACTATTTCTTCATCAGGTGTGTATTTTATCAAATGCATTTGACTAGTATGTAGAGTAGTATATTTATTTTACTTTTAACGGACTGTACTATAGAGTGTCAAGCCATTTCTACCATGACAGATTGTATCATGAGTGCAATTCCTTCTGAATCGGTACGAGGATCAGACATCAATCAGATTGAGTTGGCTAAAAGTATAATGCTGCTTTTGGTGCAATTGATCGATTATAACGGAAACCAGGTGATTTTAAGATTTGAATTGTTTTGAATTAGAACAATGCAATATGCTAGTATTTATAAACAAGTATGATATTGGTGATAGAATATGGCAATCGTGATATATCAGCTTCAAATGATTGTTGCATTTTCCGAATACATGGATTTGTATCCTGAAATTTTACTCAAATGTCTTGAAAAGGTGAGTTTCATTAGATTGATATGCTTGGATTTATGATGTTAACATGCATGCAATTAAATGAATCTAGTTTTTTGGGTTTGTGGTATATACTCAGCCTAATGAAAAGGACTTTATACAACAACAAAAAATTCTGAGTGAGAGTACACGTAACTTGCGTCGTAAAGCAGCTGCATCACTTGTGCGAATTGGATCAACTATGCCCAATCTTCTTCAAGTAAGTTTTTATTATTTCAGAATCACGACTTTGGGTATGATCAACTGTAATAATGTATTGTGTATATCAATACTTTAGCCACTTTTACCACAAATTATGCCACTAGTATCCAACTATATTCAATCAAGCCAGCTTATGCGGATTGAGCAGACTCTTATGATTGAGTTTCTTGTGCTTTTTTAATAGCCTTGACGAAAGAATTGATGGAATTGCCGTGAATTCGATGTAATTCTCTCTCAATGTCTGAGTTTGGTTGTGCGAAATGTCTTATCCATTGAATAAGAAAGTTTTTACTATCCATTTCTTTCGAATTGTGCTAGTTTCTAGAAACCAATTACGACTCACATTGAGCAGCCCGACTCATTTTGAGTACTCAATTTGAGTCAACTCAACAACATTGATTAAGGAGATTTAAACAAATCAGAATGTAATTTATTCAAGCAATTTATTTTCAACTATATTTCATTCATCTGAAAGCAAAGCATAAATCTTTCCAGCGATTCTTTTCAATGATTCAAGAGTGGCAACTTCTAATTCGAATGTCAACGTATCCATATTCTTTTCGATTTTATCGTTCTGGCTTTTCAAGAAAATCCATTCAACATAATTTGTGACTATCCCATAGACAGTATCCAACCCATCCAAATCAGACGCAACTTCCATTCCAACTAAATCCTGAACCATTCCCTGCTCCATATCATCCTTCTTCGCTTCAACGATACATACTCTTTTGTTGTTGCGTTTGAGCATGAATTCGAAATGTCCATTGGCTTTGACATTCACACCATTCAAATCTTCTTCGACAACAATCTGAATTGAGTCTTCTGGTCCAAATAGGTCAGAAACATAGACGAGAATGGGAGCAATAAAGTGCAGGCGTTGTGATTCTTTACCAGTAGTGACCGAACTCAAACGTCTTGTGAGAGTAACGAGATAATTGTGCAGCAGTTCCATGGTCTCTTGAGGAACTTCTTTGACAGTTTGAGTATACTGATGCATAATGTGTTCATATATGGGAGAAATGAGACTCCAATTCAAAGATGAATACGCAGAACTTTCTTTGAGATTCTTCTTTCCACTCTTCGCCGCTGCATCGATTTCAGCCTGAATAAGAATGGGATTAAGTTCTTCCCATCTTTTCTTTCTTTCTTCAGAATGATGAGAAGTCTTTGGCTTCTTGATGACTGGAAGGAGAGCATCAGCGTATCTGATGAGAAGTGGATTGTCGTAGTTGTTAAAAAATTCACTCGCCTTGATGAGAGCATTGATTTTCATGTCGCCTTTGAGTTTGGTGCCAGTGTAGCGATGGAGCGTCAACTTGGCGAGTGAAAAAGTGTCGAGTTGAGGTGAGAACTCCTTCTTGGCTTTCTTAATCAACGCAGCGACTGTTTTGCATCCAGTTGGGTCGACTTCAAGTGGTTCCGCATCATACTGAATGTACAAAGGTTCAGGTTCGTTCATTTTCAAAGTGTTACGTAGTGTGATACAAACTAGGAAAAAAATATGAAAACTGAAAATCAAAAAACCACAATGCTAGACCTCTAATCTGTTTATGATGATAATTCATTAGGGTAATAATGCACTGGGTAAAATAACAGATAAATAAATTCTTATTTTCCAAGTATAATTCACATGAAATTTACAAAGAAATTTAGCTGGTATTCTCATTCAAGTAAACGGTATTATCCGGTACTCTGTATATACTACTCGTATCAGACAAGAAAATTGGTGTCGTTGGTCTTGTTCTTTATGATATGCGTCGTAAAGGCAAAGTCGATTGGTTGGGCATGGTTGGCACCACTGGAAGAAAGAATGCCGGATTAAAGTCCCATTTACAACAGCAAATTGCTCATGTATACAAAGATATGGATGTCACTACCGAATTCTTCCCGTCCGACTCTGTCGAGTATTCACCGACTGAATGTATGTGGGTTGAATGCATTCAAGCTTATACATCACTGTTGGCATAATTGACGTTTGTAATCCTTTATAGACAAGACTGCAATGGATCGTATGCAGCCTGGTGATGCGGTAACCATCTTTACTCCTGATGACACTCATTTTGATATTGCTTTGTATGCGATTCGTCGTAAACTGCATGTTGTAAGTGGTTCCATTCAAATGCGGGTAGATCTGTGCACATGTGTCGATTGCTTAATATTATTGCATTTTATAAATCTCATGAACCGATCGTGTTTGACAATCTAGCTCATTGCTAAACCTGCTGTCAAAACAGTCGAGCATCACAAAATTCTTATTAGCGAAGCCCAAAAATACAATGTTTTGGTTGTCGTTGAATTTCACAAGCGGTTCGATCCTATATATTGTAAGCAGTTTGCGTATCTATATGTTGTCCAACTTTATATTAGTATAGCCAGCAATGGCCTCTAACTTGATTTATATTTTTCAAGCTGATGCTCGTGAGCGTATCCGTGGTCTTGGAGATTTTGGCTTCTTCTCATCTTATATGAGCCAGCCAAAGTTCCAGTTGCATACATTTAAAAGCTGGGCCGGAAAATCATCTGATATCAGCTACTGTTGAGTAACTACTGTAGCAGTACTGTATAGTTTACATGATCGAGTGATTGACATATTTTTATACTGTAGATCTCAATGCACATCATATCGATATGCATGTTTGGAGTCTTCAAGGCAAGTTCACGCTTAAATTCGTTACTCTATATGTTTATTTTTGGCTAGCTCAAGACTTTAATTGTACAATATTGTTGATCGATATAGGTCGTGCTCGACCCATCAGTGTTACAGCCAGTGCTGCTGGTGGTGTTGCTGTTGATACTCCATACAACTGTGCTCCAGGAACCATGGATACCATTACATTGATGGTAAAATGGGAGAATCTTGAAAGCGGCAATCCTGGAACTGCTGTATACACATGTATGATTTTGCAAACCTTTTTACAACCCAAAATATTGACGAATAGATATCCAGCATTTCCATAAATCTTACACCAAGTTTAATGTTTCCAAAATGATGTCATAGCATCGTGGTCTGCACCCAAAGCAGAAGTGCACTCTCAACAGCGCTTCTTTTATATGGGACACAAGGGCGAGATAAGAATTGACCAGGCCCACAGGGGATACGAAGTTGCTACCGATGCGACTGGTTATGCTTCTGTCAATCCACTTTTCATGCGATATACGCCAGACGCTCGTGGATACTACGGTGGGCAGCAAGGATACGGCCACCAATCTATTGAAGCATGGGCGGATGCTTGTCTAAAAATCAAAAATGGAGATGCTTCTCCTCAAGATTATACCGGCGTGTTGCCAACCATAGGAGACACGGTCATGGTGACTGCAGTACTCGAGGCTGGATTTAAAAGTTTGCAAAATAACGGCATGACTGTGATGATTGATCTTGAAAGCTAAAACGATTTTGAGGGTTTGCAATAAATGAAGCCCATGAGGCAAGTCAGAATTGCTCCGGCACTCGACTATTGCTGTGATACGGCTTTTTTAATTGATTGATTTGAATTATGAGGAATGATGTTGCTTTCACTAAACAAGCAGATTATGTGGTCTCGCTCATCTCGGAATGCATCTCATCAAAAGCCTTGGACGAAAAGGCACCATCTATTGCCTCTGCAGCCTAAATACATTAATGAAGATTCAAAAGTAAGAAATCATGCATAGTTGGACTAAAATCACAACAGGAAAAACGTTACACTATTTGATGTGAGCAGTATATGCAGCACTCGATTATGGACATCTATATCCCAAGGAGAAAATTTGATTTCCGAGTCGGGATCCTCATAGATATACTTTTTGGATGCATCGACTGATCGTTTCGCCTTGTCCATGAATGCATTACGGTCATTCAGAATTCTAAAATCAATGGTGCAGAAAGATTGGATAAGAACTGGTAAGCATGCACGCCCATTCAAACAAGTCACGAAACCTATTTTAGAGTCTTACAATTTGCAAGCGTCCATATTGCACGGAGCTGCTTGTTTAAGGTTTGAAACGCTGTTTTGTAGTTTTTTCAACGACCACAACACCATATCATCAACATCGACTTTGAGAATCCGTTTCATGTACTGAATTAAAACAACAACGCCCATAGGTATCGAATTACCAGAAGGAAATACTTCTGTGGAATCTAGCACACCCGTTAGTGGATCAACGAGTGGATGAAAGAGTAGCGACGTAAATCGCATCACTGGGATAGTGTCGGGATAAGTATCCCCAGCCTCGATAACAAATCGAAAAATCCCACCATTAAATAATCCCTCTAAAAATAAGCGTAGTGTACTATATAGATTAGTCTACTGACACCAAACCTTGTGAAATGAGCAGATCTGGTGACAACCCACTCTTACCATTCATAAAAACAACTCCTTGCCAAAGTGTTGGAGCTTCAGGAACTGGCAGTATATACACACCACTTGGTGCCAATACTCTTAATGTCGTGTATTCTAGCTGCAAACCTATTGTGATGTGTCAATGGGTTAGATTTACACTGTATAACACAGTACGAATGGTCTAGAGGAACACTCCATTATTGAAACGAGTTTTACATTTTTCAGCAAACTGACGTGTATGAGTGGAGTGGATACGACTAGTAGGATGATGACGAGATGACACAACACCCAAATCGGTAAATGACCGAGTAGGCTTTATTGAGAACGACAGTCGTTTAATGGATGGCCAAATGGCTGAAGTAGCGGACCTTAATTGACGGTCGTGAGAAGGTCTACGAATAGAATTCATTGGAAGTCGTGGTTCTGAAGGAATCAACGACTGCTCTAACAAAGATGAATGAAGTAATACTGAAGCAGAAGATGAATGAAGCGATACTGAAGCAGAAGCTTCGTCTGACAAGTGGCGTTGGGAATCATGGCTCCGACCATTGAATTGCGAGATGGACGACAGAAATGAGCTCCAATCTTGGCCAGATGAAATGCCCATCCAATCGCTCTTATCAACCCCAAAACCTAAAGCGTACAACTATCAGGTTTGGCGATCCTTCAAGAAATCTTGATTTTTAGAGCACAAACCCTCAACCTGAAAATAGGAAAGACTTGCCCTTAAATACTATTTGGTCATGGCAATGCTGACAACTGTCGTCCAGCGACTGGCTGCTCCTGCTACTGGCTTGCATCTGACACAGATCTCTACTAAAAGAATACTTCATTCTAGATTGTTTACTACTGCGAAATCCTCTTTGTCGCTCTCCTTTGCAGCACCTACATCCATTCGATATACACCTCCTCATGCATCGACTTTAGCAGTTTGCCATTCTCTACCATACCGATTTGTCGACAGAAAAAGTGTTCATACTTATATTTGGAAGCAAATTAAAAATAAAGTTGCCTCTAAACGCAAAGGAAAACACTACAAACTCAAGAACCATACTGGTGCCGTTGCAAGGTACTTTTATTCATACCAATACTCGAATCCTTGTGTAAACCCTATCATTAATTGAAATGTATAAATAGATGGCTTATTGCTGGGAATAATCAGTTTAAACGAGCAACGGCAATCCGGATTCGCATGAATAGATCTCGTCGCCAATGCAAGCGAATCAAGTCAAGAAGACGAGTTTTGGCAAATGCAACTCATCGCAACCTTTTGAAAAAACTCATTCCTTATTACCGCAAAAAGTATATGAAATGATCTGTTCAAGTTAATTTTTGTATTATTTAAAAATGATGGGTGCTTGGATTGATATGAATATGCTGGCTTGGAGGAATACTAGTATGCAAACAAAATATTGATAAAAAGTCACATTCAGTAACACTGGTGCTCATATGTGTAGATAGAGTCAAATTACTGCATTGAATTTGATAATGTAAAAATCAGATCAATCGATCTTATTGAATGGTTTGAACCAGTTCCCATTCACTCATCAAAAGTGTGTTACAAAACGAAATATCTGTAGTCAATGCATTGTCAAAACTTGCATCTGTTCAAGATAGACACATGTCTGACCCGGTTGTGATCAAACAGGTGGCAGATCAAGTTCGTCATATTTTAAAGTCGTTGCGTTTTAAATGAACATATCAAGTTGCTTTCAATCCCGACTTTAATTGTTGTCAATGCATACTGATCAATATTCATGTTACATGTATATCCAAACAAGTAGTCTACACATTATACTGCTATGCGACTGCATTCATTCTTGTCAATGTATGATTCAACTCGATGTGAATGTCGCGTCCAATCCAACAAGTCTATACAGTCAAGTGGGTTGCAATGCTGCATGTATGCATTAGATGTTGTGACGATCACGACATGCAATATATGTCCGATTGGATGATCCATGTTATGACATGTTATGTCATGTTATGTCATGTTTAAAGTGTATTGATCAAACTGTGATCAACGCCTTATGTTATTTGACAAGTGTATAATCAAACGAGTCTTGATGTTTTACGATCCAAGTAGTCAAATTACCATGTTGCACATACAAGTGATTGAATCGAGTCATGCGCAGATTCGATCATGAACACGCAGATTCAATCCATTTCTAGTGACACCTTGATATAGTTTGGTATATATGACTACATTGCATTAGTCGACACATCACAGTTGATGCAATTACAACGCCAGATACAGTCAAACATCACTCAGTTGCATGATATATACACTATTCAACTACACACAAAACACCATCACTGAACAGCATTGGTGCTAGAATACATCCAAAACCATTACAAAGGGTTGATGGTTGTGTAAAACTACAATCATTGTTTGGAAAAAGTCGATTGATTTATACACGTTTGCATGCATGGTTTGAATACAAATAAATGGGTGTATAGATTGACGGTAATCATGGATGGTTTCATATTGCAGTATATAGTGTCAGGACTTGTATGAATTGAGTTACGCATGGTTGTACTATGGTAAAATGAAACTGCTGTTGATTTGTGGTGTACTTGATCGAGACGCGATGTGATGGAGTGAATGCAATCGTGTTCATTAGCTCATGTCGACACTGTCAAGTAATCATATGGTTTACGCCAATATTCAAAGTGGTTGATACGAGATAGTGATGAAGCTGATATCATTTGTATTTTAGTGCTATTACTAATTGAATTTACTTTTAGATACTAGAGACAAAATGGAAATCATTACATCGCTTTGCTACCACCACATTCGTATAAAATGAAACACTAGACAGAGTGCCAAAAACCAAGAAAAAGCATATTTAAAACTATAGTTTGATTGTGCACATCATATGGTGGATATTGTGTTTGGAACAAAAATTGAAAATGTTTATTGAAAAGGCAGTCAATTTTTAGTAGGAAAGCATAACAAATGTTTAAGCATTGTATACTCCAAAACAAAAAGGCAGCCACTCCAAGATGCAAAGGTGTTCCATTTGACGTGAATACGGCTGTGAATGAAAAGTAATCAGAATATTGTTAGTAACCATAGCAGAATCAATGCCCATAGCCCAATCAGATGCAACACATCATTAATAGACAAGTCAAGATTGGATCTTCAAGTATCATCAACTAAACATTTACTTTTATAGCTTGGCTTTGGGGATAGGTGCAGTTGCTTCGAATACCGTGCGCATTTCGTGGAGGGCTTCAATCAGATACGTATGCAGGTGCTCATTGTTTAGATGGAGACTGACGAGGTTGAAATGGAACGCGTTGTTTTTGACTTGGTAGGCAATACCATATCCATCTGATACAACCTGACCCCAGCCGTATCCGTCGTAGTATTCTGAAGTGATCTGGGAAGTTGAAAGATTCCAATGGCACGACATGGCATAAGCAGGGTCGGTAAAAAGAGCTGGTTTAGGTTCATCAGCCTTGATCAGAAAACGTAGACCTAGATTTTAATACAAAGTAATTAAAAGTATTAGCACTCAATATCTAAACAGACTTGGTTGATGATGTTGAATCGTCAATTAAACTGCTATTAAAAACAACAGATTGGCGTACCAAGGAGATGACGATCGACACCACGGCCTTCAACTGCTGCAGCCATGTAAGAGGATTGCGAAGCAATAGCCTTGCGTCCCATCTCGCCTTTGACACTTATAGGAACAAGTGGATCTTCCATAGCCTTGACCCATGCAACTGATTCAATAGATACGGAACGGCAGGTTTCAGTGCGACCGTAAGCATACTTTTTAGTCTGCGCACTTTCATAAGTGGCTTTGCATACACCATACATTTTGTAGTAAGCCAGCTGAATAGCCATCTGAGCATATGCATCGGGTGACACTTGGAATTTCTTGACCAGATTTTTGCCGTAACTTTCAAACACAACAACACGGAGATCGTGCAAGGCAGTTTGCTTGTCAAACTTTTGTTTGGCGATTTCAATGGTCTGTACAAGTGCAGGAGTCAAGTCGAATTTGAGTTTCTTTGGCTCAGGGAGTGACAAACTAGGAACATTGTACCCTAAATCAATTGTTCCTTGATCGAGCCTATAATCATGTATGTTCAGAGTTAAACATGGCCAATACATGCCGTCAGATCATATAAATTGAGTGGTTGCAACAAAGCGTTTACCCCTTGCAAACGAATTCGCAGCAGCGCGATGTAGGAGTTGCATCCATCATCGAGTGTTCGCCATTGAACCCAGCTTTTCCATTATCAAAAATGATAAATTGAAGACTTTTGTCAAAGAAACGATTGCAACCATCTCCGTGCCAGCATGCGCGCGAAACCTCTTCTCTAGTGACTGGCTTGGTGTTGTCAAGACAGATAACAAAAGAGGCGGTCTCTATAGCCTCGAGAGAGTCTTTATTGGTTTGAGAGACTGCAAGGAGATTCTTGCGTGCGCTGGCCCACACATCTCTATTTTCAGTAGTAAGTGCACCAATGGGAGTATCCTTTGTGGTACCAGCCATGTCATACACCTTTTGAATTTGACTGATAAAAGATGAGTATTGATCGTGACGACCAATATAAACCAGAATGGTTTGAATTGCACTTACTTTTGTAAATCAATGGTAGAGAGTTGGCTACCATTAGCATGGGTAGTTTCAATGATAAAGAACTGATTGTTGCGCATCACCGCGATATGGGTGTTGGAAATGGGATCAGAGAGGCGAGTAGTGTCAGTATTCAACTCTGCGATGCGTGTAGAGTTGAACATGTATCTATTCATCAGTAGTCAAAGTTACATTGCGGTTGTAGACTATAAAGTTTTACCATTCCTGCACGAATGAATTTTTACCTGTATTGATGGGAGCACAGAGGAGTGTCGCGAGCCATATCTGGTTTCAACTGCTCGCTAATGATTTACAAGTGTAAATCACACATGAATAAAATAACCTTCATCAGTCATCACAACATTGCAAGAGTAGAAAAGTTTCCAACACATTCGAATTGACAGACCTGACAAGTTGGCTTCGAAATGCAAGAACACCGGTGATGATGGAAGCAGCACGAGCAGCAGGATTCTTGCGAAGCTTGTCGTCCTTGAATGCTAGACATGATAATGAGAGAGATTAACCAAGATGAGACCAGTTTAAGGACTAGGAACAGAATCACATCAACACTTGATGCCTTACCGAAAAAGTAGTTGACATTCAATACAACTGGATCTCTGTAGCTCATATAAGCATAGTCATTCCACCAATCAATCAGCCAGCTGGTAGTGCATGCCTGATCTCTAGCAACCAACCTCTCCTGTAGAACATGGCCCACACCGCCTGGCTTTTTAAAGTCAGCCACGGCAGACTCAGTCTGCTGATATTCCTGGTCGTTTAACAAAGGACGAACAGTTTTCAGATAGCGAGCAGTTGTTTCATCGATGGTAGGAACAGGCAGTTTGGGTAGAGATGCTTGATGACGATAGAGTGGACGAGAGTCAAGAGACTTGACATGAGCACCAGGGGTGGTGTGACTAGAAGACATGCGTATAGGGATCATCTTGGACATGACAGCAGATCTGGCGGTAGAAACAGTTGCGTAATACGAAGCAAGGCGAGGACGACTGGATATAAGAGTCAGTGTCTTGTACAGCATCTGTCGATGATTTCAGATAAAGAACAGTTGACAGATGGAAGGGTTGTTTGGAGATGTTGCTTACGTCAGACTGTTCCCTCGGATATATTCTCAAGTGTCAAACCTTTATTCTTATTACTAGTATCAAAACTCTATCCGTTCTTTATAATTAAAACCCATTCCACTCTCAATGGCTCAAACTCGAGTTGTAAATACTCGACTCTAGGCTCATCATCAATCCTGAATACTCGATAAGCGCGTCGAGATGATGCCAATACACACCTATTGATCACAGCTAGCAACAAAGACGGATAACAAAAGGAAAATGATAAACTGTAGCAACCATCACGTCAGTGTTGTATTTGGAAAATACTGTTTCAATTGAAGTTGATTCAACACGAATTCATCCGCATCCAGACACAACAGTTGACCCGGTATGGAACAGGTCGAGTGTTGTGGCTTGCAATCATGGTTATATCGAGGGAAAAGTCACCATGTAAAGTGAATTGGCTTTTGAGTTGATAACAGAAGATGCTTGCTGCGATGAGTTGCAAACATTTCCATCGTTGCTCAGCGCATTTAAACTGCTTTGCACTTTCAAGTCACCTGCCAATTGCTATCACCGACAATATTCCTTATCAGCTTCAAAATACTTTTACCATTAGCCACGTATTCTTTCCATCACAACAACATGGCCTTGGTAGATGCTTCTCCCGTTCAATTAAATAGTACTAATATCGATGCTTCAACCTCAAATAGTCCTACCTATTCCACTTCCTCATTGATATCAAGACATAATTCGGTGGCTAGACATTCTTCTGCCATTGGCTCATATGGCTCTATACCCCCCGCTGCTCCACAACCTCAAGTTAAACGACGGTTGCAACCTCGTCATCTTCAAATGATTGCCATTGGTGGAACTATAGGTACTATTTATATTCTAATGCATGTTTGGATTAATGGTTCGAAATAGAATCAAGTTGAATGGTCGAATTCATTTCAATTTGATTTCATCTTGTTGAAACGAATGCCTCGAACGACTCGAATGGATGTATTTCAGCCCTTTTTTTTGCAATGTGCTGATTTGAATGTGTGATATTCAGGAACTGGGCTGTTTGTTGGATCAGGAGCGACAATTGCTACTGCAGGTCCACTCGGATCGCTCATTGGATTTTTAACAGTTGGAATTATGGTTTATTTTATCACAACGAGTTTGGGTGAGCTGGCAGCCTATATGCCCGTATCCGGATCGTTCAACACATATGCTGGCAGGTTTGTCGATCCTGCACTCGCGTTTGCACTTGGATGGAATTACTGGCTTCAATGGGCCATTTCATTACGTAAGCCACATTGAATCGTATTTTGAATTCAACTCATTGCTATTGGTATTACTTGCTACATGGATCATACATTCTACTACTCGTATCAACTCCCCTGAATGCTTTTACTTTGATGTCGTCATTTCTTGGCCTCTTATCACGCCATCTGATTTGTTATCGTACTGTTGGGCTGTGACTCCATACTGGTTCATATGAACAGTATTGCTTGTGCTTTTCAAGTAAAAAGCTCGATTGTTGTAAATGTTAAATTGGGTCTGCAATAGACTGCATCTAAATCCACATTCAACATTGTCTTGATTATGAATACTCAATTTTTGTTGAAATGCATATAGCGTCTGAATTGGCTGCAGCCGGTATCATCATGTCGTTTTGGTGTCCAACAGTCCCGTCATGGGTGTGGTCGGCCATTATTCTTGGACTTTTAGTTTTGATTCATTCTCGTGGTGTAGAAGGGTTTGGTGAATCAGAATACTGGCTATCTATCATTAAAGTCGTGGCAATCGTTTGTATGTCACCAATGTCTTGTCCATCTTTGAATGACGTATTGCTAACACTGAATGTAGTGTTTATTATTTCTGGCACTATGGTGGATCTTGGATGGATTGGAACAGGTCCTATGATTGGATTTGACAACTGGAAGATTGAAGGTGCTCCACTCAAGAATGGCATTGTTGGGATTTTTAATGTGTTTGTGGTTGCTTTTTACGGATTTGGCGGTAAGTCGGAGTATTTGATAATCGGCCGAATTTGTAAAGATTCGGAATACTAACATGATTGAACAGGAACGGAACTTGTTGGTGTGACTGCTGGTGAAGCCATCAACCCCAGTAAAAACGTTCCTAAAGCCATCAAGCAGACATTTTGGCGCATTCTGTAAGGATTGATGTCTGTTTATAGTAGTAATTGTACATGCAGTTGTTGGTTTACTGACTGTTTGCAATGGATAGTCTGTTTTATGTGATTGCGATTTTTGTTATGGGACTTGTAGTGAGAAACGACGATCCATCACTTCTTGATTCTGCAAACAAAGGCGACATTACGATTGCACCGTTTACACTTGTTTTTGAGCGTGCTGGATTGTCGTCGGCAGCGCATGTAATGAACGGAGTGATTTTTAGTGCAGTATTGAGTGCATCGAGTTCAGCCATGTATGCAGCAACTCGTACGTTGATGTCATTGGCACACGATGAAAAAGCACCAGCCATTCTAGGAAAAATCAACTCTAAAGGTGTCCCGACATATAGTTTAATTCTAACCACTTTAATCGGATGTCTGGCGTTTTTATCGACCATATGGGGAGATGGAGAAGTCTTTACGTGGCTGTTGAATATAACAGGTTCATCAGGAATCATTACATGGTTATCGATTGCAGTCATTCACATACGATTCCGACGAGCATTTCAACTGCAAAAGGAAAGTTTAGATAGATTACCGTATTTAGCACCACTGTATCCATTTGGGCCATGGATTGCGATTGTATTTGGTGCTGGGATTATCATTGGTCAGGGATATGCTGCTGCATCGATTGAACCTTTTAAATTTCGCAACATCTTTGCTGCATATCGTAAGTTGATATGTCATGTAGATTCCAAATACTTTTCATGTGCCATATTACTGACTCGACTTTATGCATGAATCAACTAGTCGGTATTCCATTTTTTCTCACAATGCTTATTGGATACAAATGGTGGCATAATACGAGTTTAATTGATTTGACCGCTTGTGATTTAAGCGGCGGTGGGGATGATGAAGAGGTTGTTATGGATCAAGGCAACTCACATTCGGCCGTTGAGGAGTGCACACAATCAAGATCTGACGAGCGATCTTTATTGCTACCTATCTGATGAATGCCGAGCTTGAAAATAGAAACTGGTTGCTGGGCGAGGTTGACATACTATCTTGATTAAATCCATAAACTATTTCAACTTGTACAACTATTTATTTTTGTGTATAGCGGAACATTCAAAGATTAAGCAGCTTGAATGAATTGAAAGCAACTGAAACTTTTATGATGCTTTAAGACACTATTCTAATAAAATAGACGGATTCGATAGTTTTGTACAGTATAGACGACTGTTTTTTGACATTAGCGCATTTTTCAAATAGAATTTGTTTGGAAACAGTCATTTTTAAATCTGGCAGGTGTGAACATGCAGTATTGGAATCAGTACATTTCAGGTTGGTTGACATTGTAGCGTGCATCTGTCTTGGCTTTCAACGGCCTTTTACTCTATTTCCCACTTTGAACTGGAATAAAAGTGGTTGGATTGGAGCATGAACAGTTGTCAAATTATGCCAAGATTTAAGGGTGTAGCCCTAAAGACAAGGCTGATTTCACAAGTACGCTGCAAGTGACCAGCCCTTACAGCTGAAAACAAGACACGAGAATAAAAAAAACCGCATGAGAGATTCTTGACGACCCTCATTTTGGTGATGTTGTTTCACAATATCGGTGATTGTTCATCTGTTGATTTGAATGACATGAGGATCCATCGTTCGTGTCTTGTGTACCGCGACAACTTGTCGACACGACCGGTTTGCTGAACAACTTGCAGATCCTTTTGATTCAATTACAACGTTCCTTATTTGATCTAGCGGCAACTGCTTGCAAAGCTTAGTGGTAGTGTTCTGACACAAAGCTTCGACGTTCTATCTACATCATCATGAATCGGAAGCAATCTGAGATTTTACAAACGGAGAATTCACGTTTGTAAAAGGCTGCAATAATAGTCTGCTTAATACTAGGAATGTTTTCAGAGCATGATAGCTGTTGGCATTTTTCCCTTTTACTGCTTCATCCTATCCCTTTGCCACCAACCGTAAAATTGGAAAGGGTGGAAACAATCATAAGGGAGAGTCTAATCAGTTTCAATATATATACAAAACGATGCCTTTTTTTAATACACCTATTTTTACCATCATACTTGTTGTCAACGAACTCTTGCAAGCTGGTTATACTAAAGTGTTTCAATTTTTCAGAGTCTAAAGCATGAAATGAATTCAGATCATACTTTAACGGAGCGGCAAGAGGTTATTGCACAACGACCACAAGTAACATTTCAGCCAGAATTTTCAGTTTTGCCCAACACCACAGCGGGAAACTCTACTATTCATACTGGTGTGCCTTGTTTAAATAATTCATGGGATATTAGCTCGGATGAAAATCATAACGATGGTCAAGAAAAAAATGAGCCTCGAGTTAAACGACGACTTAAATCTCGTCATCTTCAAATGGTTGCCATTGGTGGAACTATAGGTACTATTTATATTCTAATGCATGTTTGGATTAATGGTTCGAAATAGAATCAAGTTGAATGGTCGAATTCATTTCAATTTGATTTCATCTTGTTGAAACGAATGCCTCGAACGACTCGAATGGATGTATTTCAGCCCTTTTTTTTTGCAATGTGCTGATTTGAATGTGTGATATTCAGGAACTGGGCTGTTTGTTGGATCAGGAGCGACAATTGCTACTGCAGGTCCACTCGGATCGCTCATTGGATTTTTAACAGTTGGAATTATGGTTTATTTTATCACAACGAGTTTGGGTGAGCTGGCAGCCTATATGCCCGTATCCGGATCGTTCAACACATATGCTGGCAGGTTTGTCGATCCTGCACTCGCGTTTGCACTTGGATGGAATTACTGGCTTCAATGGGCCATTTCATTACGTAAGCCACATTGAATCGTATTTTGAATTCAACTCATTGCTATTGGTATTACTTGCTACATGGATCATACATTCTACTACTCGTATCAACTCCCCTGAATGCTTTTACTTTGATGTCGTCATTTCTTGGCCTCTTATCACGCCATCTGATTTGTTATCGTACTGTTGGGCTGTGACTCCATACTGGTTCATATGAACAGTACTGCTTGTGCTTTTCAAGTAAAAAGCTCGATTGTTGTAAATGTTAAATTGGGTCTGCAATAGACTGCATCTAAATCCACATTCAACATTGTCTTGATTATGAATACTCAATTTTTGTTGAAATGCATATAGCGTCTGAATTGGCTGCAGCCGGTATCATCATGTCGTTTTGGTGTCCAACAGTCCCGTCATGGGTGTGGTCGGCCATTATTCTTGGACTTTTAGTTTTGATTCATTCTCGTGGTGTAGAAGGGTTTGGTGAATCAGAATACTGGCTATCTATCATTAAAGTCGTGGCAATCGTTTGTATGTCACCAATGTCTTGTCCATCTTTGAATGACGTATTACTAACACTGAATGTAGTGTTTATTATTTCTGGCACTATGGTGGATCTTGGATGGATTGGAACAGGTCCTATGATTGGATTTGACAACTGGAAGATTGAAGGTGCTCCACTCAAGAATGGCATTGTTGGGATTTTTAATGTGTTTGTGGTTGCTTTTTACGGATTTGGCGGTAAGTCGGAGTATTTGATAATCGGCCGAATTTGTAAAGATTCGGAATACTAACATGATTGAACAGGAACGGAACTTGTTGGTGTGACTGCTGGTGAAGCCATCAACCCCAGTAAAAACGTTCCTAAAGCCATCAAGCAGACATTTTGGCGTATTCTGTAAGGATTGATGTCTGTTTATAGTAGTAATTGTACATGCAGTTGTTGGTTTACTGACTGTTTGCAATGGATAGTCTGTTTTATGTGATTGCGATTTTTGTTATGGGACTTGTAGTGAGAAACGACGATCCATCACTTCTTGATTCTGCAAACAAAGGCGACATTACGATTGCACCGTTTACACTTGTTTTTGAGCGTGCTGGATTGTCGTCGGCAGCGCATGTAATGAACGGAGTGATTTTTAGTGCAGTATTGAGTGCATCGAGTTCAGCCATGTATGCAGCAACTCGTACGTTGATGTCATTGGCACACGATGAAAAGGCACCAGCCATTCTAGGAAAAATCAACTCTAAAGGTGTCCCGACATATAGTTTAATTCTAACCACTTTAATCGGATGTCTGGCGTTTTTATCGACCATATGGGGAGATGGAGAAGTCTTTACGTGGCTGTTGAATATAACAGGTTCATCAGGAATCATTACATGGTTATCGATTGCAGTCATTCACATACGATTCCGACGAGCATTTCAACTGCAAAAAGAAAGTTTAGATAGATTACCGTATTTAGCACCGCTGTATCCATTTGGGCCATGGATTGCGATGTTTATTGGAGCGGTAATTATCACTGGACAAATCTATGCTGCAATAATGATGCAACCATTCCAACTACAAAACGTAATTGCCGTGTTCAGTAAGTCGATCCAAACTACTATTTTATATTTCAAGTTAAAATAACTAACAGTGAATATGTTTTGGTTTTAGTCGGCATGCCATTCTTTTTTACGCTTTATTTCTTTTACAAGTTCACCAAAAATACCAAACTGGTAGATCTATACACATGTGATTTGAGTGGTGGAGACAATGACGACTATCCGATAAATGTGATAAGTAACAACCAAGTATTATTGACAGCCAAACACAATGAAAAGGAGTAATTATGACGACCATGCTTGATTGAGATGCTGGACTGCAGATTTAAATATCAATTTTTATACAAGTCAATGAATGGTTTCAAATACTAGTTTAACAGTCTCTATTTATATAAAACAATAATGCACTAATAAGCACATTCATTTTAATAATCAGAAGATAAAAAGAGCAAGGTAAAGTTTAAGGAGAATTGCCAAATGGCCGACATTTATGACCCATCAGCTGATGTGGATTGATGCGGTTCTTCAAGAGATACTGTATCTGCAATAGGAACCATGTCTTCCCAGAAAGCCATGCTCTATCAAGGGAAATGTCACGATGGATTAGATACACACCATAAAGATTAAAATTTGTCATGACTCAATAATTGTACCTTTTCATGGTATACCAACTGCGCATCAATATAATCTTGCAAGTGCTTGTTAAAATCCTGTATCTTGACGGCTTGAAACCCGTCGATTTCTCTTACAACTTGTTTTGAAAAGGCTTCGGCAGTGATGCTACTTTGACCCACAGCATCCTTCAGCTAGTTGTATCACAAACCAAAAGTACGGTTATCAAAAAACTTGAATGGCTCAATACATATCAAAAGCAGCATGCATTTACCTCTTCAATTTTGGCATCCAGTTTCACCAGTCGAATCTGTCTGGCTTTTTCGGGATCCACACCCTTGAGATCATTAATTTTATCCTTGAAAAACCCTGTGATTCCAGGACTTTTTCCAGTACTCATAGTACGATCACGATCGACTTGGTGACTCAACAGCCAATTGGTTAATTCTTCATGTTCGACCTGCTTCTGGTCGCGAGCCTTGAGCACATCTTTGACAGATTGACAGTATGAAATATATTCGCGTAGTTTGTTGACATAGTATTGTTCTTCGGCTACAGTCTATACATGTCTTGGTTTAGTATTCAATCACCGTGTTTTTTGGTTCAACCAAGGGTTATCATGTGGACATACCTTTTCAGTCAATGCTTGACTGAAAATGGGAGCTCGATTTCCAAAATTACTGAGTGGTTGAGAAACTTGAGTCTCCATCATACCCAACGAGGTAATGGAGCTTCCAAATTCGAGATAATCGGCGGCAAGACCTAATGACAAGAGATGAGGCAGAATAAACATAAAGACTAGTAGTTACACGTATGATTGAGAATAGAATCTACCTGTTTGATGCTTTAATAGACGTGAATGCAACTTTTCCACATTGATCAAATTCTGTTCGAATTTTTCGACAGCTTCTTTAATATCTACAAAGCGTTCGTCGGGTTTACGTACTTTTGAAAATGCATTCAAAAACACATCACCCAAGTTTTCAAACACATGAGATTCTCGCCTTGGGTGATCGTAGCTTGACTGCACAAGTATGAGTAGCTTGTCAGTAGCTAGATATAAGCAATCCAATCAATCCAATCAAAATACCATTTGCTCAGCTTCCAGAAAACGTTGAACGTGAGGTGACTGTTGCAAAATAGGATGACGAGCAATACGATCGATATAAGCCTGTAAGGAAATGCGACGTTTTTCGACGAATTCCGAGCTAAAGCGATCACCAGTAATATATTCTATAAGATCAAGGGTTAGAAGCGTACAAAAAGTCGATACTATTACAATATGAATTACCCATGCGATGTTTTTCAGGTAAAGGAGGAATGATGCAAGCAGAGTGAGTATCAGACAATAGTTTCTGCAAGGCAGTAAAATCTTGAAATCTGCGACGAACAGAGGAAGATTGAGATTTAAATGCAGGCAAACAAGTGCGAGTAGAAACCAAATACGACACAAAGGCAGACGAGCCTTCGCCATGTTTTTGAGGATCAGAAATGACAACGGAAAGAGAGTTTGAAGCAGCAGTGATAGCAGCAGTGATACTGGTGACTGATACGCTGGTTGAAGCACCATATTGGTCATGACTGTTGGAAGCACTGGCGACAGCATAACCCTGAGAGTCGAACAAGGGGTTACCAGGGCCTGAAGATCTGGAAAGTGATGAAGAAACAGCCTTCTAATATCAGGTTGAATAGAAACAATAAGCGGATTATCATCAACTTGTATCCAGTCATCCTGACACTACCTCGTCCTTGACAAGTTCCTGTTCCAGCATCAAGTCTCCTTCTAAACCTGTCAATGTAGATCTCCGGTTAGTGGTGGTGTCCCAAGGTACTGCAGTATAAATGCTACTGTCCATTTTAATATTGTAATTGATTGTAATCCAATGAAACTTGTGAATCTCCGCCGTTTCTCAATAAAAGGTAAACTTGTCAATTGTTGTTATAATTTGAATCCATGCGATCGTTCAAGTTTAAAATAAACTTGATTTTTGTATTGAATTATTACACAAGATTTGAATAAATCTTTATAAGTTGATCAAGTATTTTATTATATAAATTGATTAAAAGAAACAATCAATCAATCAATCTTTAGATTGATTGTGTTGTATAAATTGATTTTTGATTAAAAAAAAAACAATACATTTTAAATAAATCAACAATTTATTCAACTTCTTTATCAAAAGTGATTATTATTACACAAATGAATAGACTCTCTTATTCACTGCGCAGAATCACTTTTAAACATCTTCCTCACTGTAATACAGTGTATTCAACTACCAATTCTCGTTTCTACTCCAACGTCACTACAGAAAATATTGATCTGACTGCTTTAATTCCACAAGTCATTACTGTCAATGCTTCCACTACTAATACATCCTTGAAAGATCATAATCTACTCAATCAAAGAGATGCTCATGATATTTCTTTGAAATCTCTTTTGGCTGCAAACCTTCATCTGGGTCATTCTACTACCCTCTGGAATCCTTCCATGTTGCCTTACATTTATGGTACTCGTCATGGTACTCATATCATCAATCTGGAGCATACATTGACCCATCTTCGTAGAGCCGCTGCATTCATTCGTCAAGTTGCCATGTCAAATGGCAACATTGTGTTCTTGGGCACAAAACCTGCTATTCATAAAATCACTGTCGATGCTGCATTGCTAGGCAATGCTTACTACATCACTCAGTGGGTGGGTGGAACCATTACTAACAAAGAACGAACACTTCGTCATAGCACTGGGTTCGACCCTTCAAAGGTCTTGCAAAACACTGCCGGATTCAATTCTATTGTAGAGTTTGTCGAGAGAGGAGGAAAGGAATCGTCCGAGTTGGACTCGTCCATTGTCAGCAAACACTCCAAAAAAGATTCAAAATCTGGCATTCAATCTACGCTCAAAGGATTTGGCACAAAACATGTTCAAGGCAAAACCAGTCACTCGGATCAAGCTTTCACTCGCTCTTCAACTTCAAACACTCGGCAGCCTCATGTTCACACTCCTGACGTTCTTGTGGTACTCGATTATATTAATAATCTATGGGCTGTTCGTGAAGCAAACGTGGCCCATATCCCAGTGATCGCTGTTTGTGATACCAATACTGATCCTACTCTTGTACAGTATCCTATTCCTGCCAATGACGATTCAATTGCTGGCATAAAACTCATTGCTGGTGTACTTTCTGCTGCTTCTCGCGATGGTGCGACGACTCGTTCTATTGCTCTGAATCGCAACCAGAAACCGCATTACAATTAAAGTCGATTCACTTAAAATGATCCGCTTTTCTTGATCACTGCTTTGGAATAAACACTCGTTAAATACTCATTACAAATTATCATTCTCTAAAACACACCATCATAAGACTGGCTGTTTATTATACTCTTAGTGTTTCATTGACGCAAGTCCGATCGTGATGCTACTCATTGTTCATGTCGATCAAAAAAGGTAGACAGCACTGGTTCAATCGTTTCCTTTTCAATAATGTCTGCATGATGAGTATCCGACTTGACTGCTGCAAACATGTTTTTTTCTGATAGATTCAAAACAAAAATGGTCGCTTTTTTAAATCTTTCCGATAATTCCACCTTTAGATTGTGTTGCACCATGTTGAAAAATGTAAATTCTAATTAGACGGTTGCATTTTGTTTTAAATCAAACCATCAAATAAATCTTACACCAGTTACTGATTTCAGCATTGTTCGTACAACCACATGCTGCTCCTTGACAGTACGTTTACTCGTCAGCTCCTCTTCAAATCTCTACATATTCCACAAAACGTTCATTATCAGTTTTCATGCTCATTAAAAATCAGTCCCGATCCACCATCTTCAAAAAGTGAATACCTGAAGAACATCAATTGTCATGCCGGGAATACTGGCCATAGTATTGAAGGGTATGCGAGATACACTATGAAGCTGCATATATATTTCTGTAATCAACCCAATCGCGTCCGAATGGTTGACTTGCTGATACCCATCGTGTAACACCTACTCCAATCATACATTGCAAGCATTATTACTCTTCAATTCAATCCTAACCAGCAGTGTACAACCAAGTTCAACTCACCTCTAACGCAGAAACAAGAAAATCTTTACCCACCATCTCATGAAATGCAGTGTCTTTGACTAAATGCGAAGTAAGAGTCATGCACATGGCCAATGACCGTTTGCACGCAAATGTGTCTTTGACACCCATGAGCAAAGACATTGTTCCAAGAAAAGATCGAACGAGCGACTAAACCATCCAACTCCAAATATAAGACATTTTGCAAAAAAACAACTCTCTATTTTGCAACAAATCCATCGTTTTACCTCGTTGGCAAAAAAAAACATGACCAGGTTCGTGTTTTGAAAGACAAGTTTAGCTGGACTGGATGGGTGATCCACTTGTCCTGCAGTTATAGAACCCCCCTCGACCTTTCGTTTTGGATCTAAATATCATACACAGGTCAGTAGTGAATCCCTGATCACATTCAACCCAAAAAACATACTTTTTTCAGCAAAAGGCATCAGTATCGCAAACCAAAGATCGGCATACACGCGCGTAACATCCCTCAAGAGCCTATCAGCAAGAATCTCTTCTGATTCATCATTGTTTTCCTCATCGTCACAATAGTGGTGAATACTATCAGACACCTGGTCTTCAGTAGAGGTGACGAGATGGTCACGCCACAAGTCAATCAACTTTTTTACCACAATTTGAAAAAACACTGGAAGAATAGGAAGAAGAACTTGCTGCATAGCTTCAGCGGGACAGTTCAGCACAAACGGTCGCATAAATCCAAGTAATCAAATCAACACATTCAAACAATCAAGGGCATGCAGTAAAACAAAAATGGTCTAGCATGGCTCAATAAAAATAAAACTGCACAAAAGGATATATATTATGGACTTGAGATGCTGTGGTGCTAGATCTTGCGGATTGGAAAATACACTCGAAATGATCGTATCAGGAAGATTTTGTATCAGGTAAAAATCAGTGCCCATGGTAGAAAGAGTCGCCAGCAGTTGGTAACTATCACCCACATATTTACAAGTGTGATTTGATCAGCATACTCGAGCCAAATACAATATAAAAACATCAGAATATACCTGATTTCCCGCATGCGTCCAAACCATCCGCATATACGCTTAAGATGATCTTCAAAAGCACTTTCAGGATCAAGCACCGACGTATCCTCGTGATCTTTTTCAGCAAAATAGCTGCCTATATTCATCCAGTTGTCGAACCCACATTTGGTTAAATAAGCGCCATATACCATTTAGATCAGATAATAAACTCGATTGTTCAGTCATTATAGAACTCAACATTTACCTAGCAACATTGCCCTTTCAGTCTTGGTAAGAAGTCGTAGCTGAGCAAAATCCGGAGGAAGAGTCGACAACACTTTTGGGCTCCACGACTCATGAATGCATCTACAAATGTTACATACAAATCGTTAAACACAATTGATACTCAACACCAATGCAAATTTAGCCCTATAAAGTATAAGTAATTTAAAAACTTGCTTGATCGTGGCCAAAATTTGGGGTAATATGTGTACAACGATTTCCGGCCAGACATTGGAAACAGCAATAGGTGCACCTGCAGAACCATCTGAAATCTTATTCTACATTAAATCGTTCAAAGATAAGTCTATACATAATAAACAAGTATGTCTAAATTAAAACAACTTACCAATTGAGAATGTCGAATCCGTTTTAAATAATTCCAAATAGCATTGAAACTTGCCGACCAAGAGTTTCTCAAAGAGGTTGCAGCTCCCAACATATCATGAGCTTTTCCCACAGGACTCTTTGTCGCCTTTAATTCACGCTCTAATTCAACATTCCAACTTTATAAATGCCTGAAATATCAACTGTTGCAAACTAAAACACATGTAGATTATTGGAAAATGACTTACCCATTTGAACAAGAGTGTTCACACCAATCGAGTCAAAAAATTGCACATCAAACACAGAATAGGGTTCAAAAGACTTGAAGTGTGCAAGATCCCATGCCAAAACGTCTTGAAGCATGCTGGATTTGGAATGAATCTCCATACTCGACCCACAGCTACCACAAATAAAAATTGGCGATATGATCAAATAAATTTAAAGTTACTAAGTAGATTAAAAAACAGATACTTGGTGTGCAGGTCAATATGCAGTTTTACATAATGGCTACAAGAAACTCAATCATAAGAGTCTGCTCAATCCGCATAAGCTGGCTTGATTGAATATAGTTGGATACTAGTGGCATAATTTGTGGTAAAAGTGGCTAAAGTATTGATATACACAATACATTATTACAGTTGATCATACCCAAAGTCGTGATTCTGAAATAATAAAAACTTACTTGAAGAAGATTGGGCATAGTTGATCCAATTCGCACAAGTGATGCAGCTGCTTTACGACGCAAGTTACGTGTACTCTCACTCAGAATTTTTTGTTGTTGTATAAAGTCCTTTTCATTAGGCTGAGTATATACCACAAACCCAAAAAACTAGATTCATTTAATTGCATGCATGTTAACATCATAAATCCAAGCATATCAATCTAATGAAACTCACCTTTTCAAGACATTTGAGTAAAATTTCAGGATACAAATCCATGTATTCGGAAAATGCAACAATCATTTGAAGCTGATATATCACGATTGCCATATTCTATCACCAATATCATACTTGTTTATAAATACTAGCATATTGCATTGTTCTAATTCAAAACAATTCAAATCTTAAAATCACCTGGTTTCCGTTATAATCGATCAATTGCACCAAAAGCAGCATTATACTTTTAGCCAACTCAATCTGATTGATGTCTGATCCTCGTACCGATTCAGAAGGAATTCCACTCATGATACAATCTGTCATGGTAGAAATGGCTTGACACTCTATAGTACAGTCCGTTAAAAGTAAAATAAATATACTACTCTACATACTAGTCAAATGCATTTGATAAAATACACACCTGATGAAGAAATAGTTGGACTGTTCAGCATCGATGTGCATTTGGCTCGAAGCCACTCAAATACTTTGTCGGGAAGGATGGGTGGAATAAGCCTTATTGCATCAGTCATTCTCTGTGTCGATCCCATACTTGCATGATCAATTTCAAAATCAGTATCAAAGTCAATTGCCGCGTATCTGTATCCAGGAAGAGATTTATTTGACATTGCAGATCGCTATTGTATATGTAAACAACATGTACAAAAACCTAATTAAACCACTGAGAATCAAATAGATTTGCAAAAACCAAGTTGCAATCAAAAAACCTTACTGAAAGCAACTTGAACAAAAATTTATCGAGAATCAGCAATATATAAGGCTGCAAGCACGACTAAACTCAAATGTTAATATTAGCACCATACAACCAACCCTTGTATTCCATTTCTTGATCAACAAAAACTTACAACTCGGATAAAGTCGTGCTTGATTGCCTCTAATAAAAACGATACTGCATGCCCGCTCACAATCAGTGATGGATGAGAAATCATCAGTAGAATCAGTTGCATATACTCTTCAAACCGCTGTGGACAAACAGTGTTTTTTCGAAAACAAATCTGATAGTTGCCAAGTGATGCAATGGCCTATTGAACAATAAAATCTGGCGTTAGAGATATACCAGACCATAAATTTAAAAATAATTGTGCAGGTTTAAACAAACGTATAGCATAAACATACGTGTGCCAAGCGTTTCAAATATATGTAGTCACATTCTGGAATAAACACATCTTGCTGAGCTTGCTCAATATTCAACGATGAGTATGGAGCATATACACCGATCCAAGCAGCAACAATAAGATCTAGCTGGCCATCAGCAAATAGAGGTTGCCATAAACAAGTCATGCGAATTGGATCTAGAGGACGAATATTCCTACTAAACAGCACTGTTAAACAATCGGCTGATGCAAGACGAACCGAGTTGGATTGCACAGTATGGAGCTGAAGCAGTCTATACAATGTTCGCGTTTCGATAACAGATCTGTACTTTAAAAGTAGTTTGACATTATAACCAAAACAATAAATAACCAAAAGCAATCCATCAAATAACCAAAAGACATTATGACATACTCGAGCAGCACCCAGTCAAGGAAAACAGCCAGACAATTTAAAGTAAGCACAAGCAAACGCTCGGCATCGCTCTGAGCATGGTTCTCGCTCTAAATGTATATTTAAAAACACAAATACTTGATATTAGTTTTGTAAAACTATTAAATGACATGATAGTTCAAAGCAGTTAAGCTACCTTTGAAGTCATGGCGCAAGCAAGCGTTTCAATCGCTGTAGACCATCGTGTAAACCACCCTTCATTGTCTGGATCAGCAACAATCAGCTGCATCAAAAGCTGTAAATCCTGACGGTTTGAAACACCAGTTTGACTCGGATCTATTGGTTTAGATAGCATGTTATGAAGAATTCCTGTACCAACAGTAACTGACATGAGCGCAGTCGACAATTCCTTTTTCCTGCTAGTAACCACATCATCTTCAAATATAAACACGTCCTCTGCAAGTGATTTATAAAACAATAAAACAAGGATTCTGCCGCCCATCTATCAGTTGCAAGATTTTAACAATCAACATGACAAGTTGTTCAAATACGTTTAAACAAGTGTAAAGATCAAAAACACTAGGCAATACATACATGCTTTTGGTAAAGCGCACGAAGTTGAACATCCATGCTTGTCCATTCAAGTGGCCAGGTACGTTTGGCAAGTTCAACAAATATTTTTGCCAGTTTCTCTGTAATCAATCTAGTTTCTTGAATATTGTTTCCTAGTCCCTAGCAAATAAAATGAATTTAAAAACGACTCAAATCACCATTTCAAAGCTGGTGAAATTAAATGTAGAGTCTTACGGAATCACATAGTTGAAATATCGATGATTTGATGATTTCTCGCTGATCGTCAGAGTATGTTGAAGATTTCCATTTGTATTTAATGACAGACTCGATTAAGCCAAGACCAAAGTGTCTAACATGGCTTGGAAGCTGTGATGTAGCATACGCAAGATGAAGTCCCAAAAAAGGTGCTTCAGGCATATCCCTAATCCCCTCCAAATACTAACACAATAATTAAAATACTTGTCAGTCACTCAAAAAACACCATTGGTGGGCTTGAGAACCAGATGGCTAAATCACACCACCTTATCAGATAGTTTTCTATCTTCGTTTGAAGATGTATTGCTATAAACAGTATTTAGAGCCTGAACAACCCCATTCAAGAGTGCTATCGTTTAAATCGCGGAGAGTTGAAGTAGATTCATTCAATATAGCGTAAAGCATTACCCAGATTATACAAGTTGAACATTACAGATCATGGCTGGTTAGTATCGGATCATATTGTAATATGGTTGAATAGTTAAAAATTCTTAGATGACAAGCAGATAAAATAACGAATAAAATAAGGTGAGTAAAACTAGAGCAGCATGTACAGCAGTACATGCCTGAATCCATATAGAATTAAAGTCAGTTGGAGGTAAACTGCTGGATTGTCGAGTCGCGCAAGTTGTTGAAAAAATGAAATTAGGTTCACGTGATTCTCGTGACGCATATAAAAACTGTTTTGACTGAATGTAAGCTCAAGACATGTGCAATGAAGTCTGTTTTAGCAAGACGATTACATAGCAAACTGGTCGATACTTTTAATTGTAAATTCTATAAAAATGGTAAAAGTGTTTTGCAGATTCATTCATTTCAGATTTGATAATTTGCATGTTCGCAGCGTGCTATTCTCTTTCCCAATCAATTCTATTAAATATCAATCATGGTATGCCATAAATCTTGTTGGATCATCTCAATGGTCATACTTTTAAAATAAACTATTAATGATTTTTAAAAACTTTGGATTTTAACCCAAACATGCTGGATGTTGTGTCATTGACAACTTAAAGCTACGACCATGCATTCTTATTGATGTAATGCTCAACCGACCTAATAGTCTTTTATTGCTTTTGGTATTTGATATAGGAACTCCCTCATGTTGGTATCCACTGTCATGATAAAACCTGCAATGTTTTAGGTATGCTTATTGTCGCCTTCAATGTCAATTCTGGACAGTTTAAATTGATATTCAGCTGTAATAATGTTTAGACTTTCTTCCATACGAATGTCCATTTTGTAAAAAGACATTTTGGCAAGTGTCATCATCAATGTGATTCACTATTCATTTGAATATCAGACTAATTTCAAATTATAATCGACATTCAATCTCATACATCTAGCCAACAACATTTCAAAGCTGCAAACGACCTGCAGAATGAAGTTTACAATACATATCCAAAAAATACCATTTCTGTCACCCCAGGTCATATATGTCCTGATAAACCAATGGATGTGCGAGCAACAACGTGTCCAGTTTGTTCAAGAGTTGTTCCAATAAATCGAGGTGCCGACCCCAATGTTGCAGTCAATGATCATATCAATGCTGGGTGCCCAGATCCTGGTACATCCACTTCAGAAAAAGCATACACTAACCCATGTTCCATGCAGGGATGCAGTAAAAAGGAACTGGTGCCAATACTGTGTCAAAAGTGTTTAAAGCCGTTTTGCATTCGGCATCGACTTGAAGCAGATCACAAGTGTAGTATTGCTGGATCTACACCTCCTGCTCAGAAAAACGGACAAAGCTCTGCCAAGACAAAGATGGTGTCTGCTGCAGCTAGGCAGAATACTAGAGGAGAACAAGCAGCTCAGCTGGATAAAGATCGCAGGGATAGAGCTTATCGAGCAACTCAGGTATGATTTTTAACTAGGCAGTGGATACACGGTTTGACTAGAGACTCGCTGATGAATTTCTCAAACCAACTATTTTAGATTCGACAGGACGCTGCACTTGCACAAGAGCTTCAAAATTCTGAACAGGGACTTGATAAATCTAGTAGCAGTTTTACTAGCCAAAGCTCTACAAATGGCAACCAATGCATACTATCGTGATGGAAAACTATAGATATAGTCTTGATTACGTGTATTGTTTTGACTTGATAAATAAATCTAAATGTTGTGGGATAGATTAACTGCCTTTGAATACTCACTTTTGATATCTCATAGCAACCACTTTGAATATTGGCGTAAACCATATGATTACTTGACAGTGTCGACATGAGCTAATGAACACGATTGCATTCACTCCATCACATCGCGTCTCGATCAAGTACACCACAAATCAACAGCAGTTTCATTTTATCATAGTACAACCATGCGTAACTCAATTCATACAAGTCCTGACACTATATACTGCAATATAAAACCATCCATGATTACCGTCAATCTATACACCCATTTATTCGTATTCAAACCATGCATGCAAACGTGTATAAATCAATCGACTTTTTCCAAACAATGATTGTAGTTTTACACAACCATCAACCCTTTGTAATGGTTTTGGATGTATTCTAGCACCAATGCTGTTTAGTGATGGTGTTTTGTGTGTAGTTGAATAGTGTATATATCATGCAACTGAGTGATGTTTGACTGTATCTGGCGTTGTAATTGCATCAACTGTGATGTGTCGACTAATGCAATGTAGTCATATATACCAAACTATATCAAGGTGTCACTAGAAATGGATTGAATCTGCGTGTCCATGATCGAATCTGCGCATGACTCGATTCAATCACTTGTATGTGCAACATGGTAATTTGACTACTTGGATCGTAAAACATCAAGACTCGTTTGATTATACACTTGTCAAATAACATACAGCGTTGATCACAGTTTGATCAATACACTTTAAACATGTCATAAAATGACATAACATGGATACATGGATACATGGATCATCCAATCGAACATATATTGCATGTCGTGATCGTCACAACATCTAATGCATACATGCAGCATTGCAACCCACTTGACTGTATAGACTTGTTGGATTGGACGCGACATTCACATCGAGTTGAATCATACATTGACAAGAATGAATGCAGTCGCATAGCAGTATAATGTGTAAACTACTTGTTTGGATATACATGTAACATGAATATTGATCAGTATGCATTGACAACAATTAAAGTCGGGATTGAAAGCAACTTGATATGTTCATTTAAAACGCAACGACTTTAAAATATGACGAACTTGATCTGCCACCTGTTTGATCACAACCGGGTCAGACATGTGTCTATCTTGAACAGATGCAAGTTTTGACAATGCATTGACTACAGATATTTCGTTTTGTAACACACTTTTGATGAGTGAATGGGAACTGGTTCAAACCATTCAATAAGATCGATTGATCTGATTTTTACATTATCAAATTCAATGCAGTAATTTGACTCTATCTACACATATGAGCACCAGTGTTACTGAATGTGACTTTTTATCAATATTTTGTTTGCATACTAGTATTCCTTCAAGCCAGCATATTCATATCAATCCAAGCACCCATCATTTTTAAATAATACAAAAATTAACTTGAACAGATCATTTCATATACTTTTTGCGGTAATAAGGAATGAGTTTTTTCAAAAGGTTGCGATGAGTTGCATTTGCCAAAACTCGTCTTCTTGACTTGATTCGCTTGCATTGGCGACGAGATCTATTCATGCGAATCCGGATTGCCGTTGCTCGTTTAAATTGATTATTCCCAGCAATAAGCCATCTATTTATACATTTCAATTAATGATAGGGTTTACACAAGGATTCGAGTATTGGTATGAATAAAAGTACCTTGCAACGGCACCAGTATGGTTCTTGAGTTTGTAGTGTTTTCCTTTGCGTTTAGAGGCAACTTTATTTTTAATTTGCTTCCAAATATAAGTATGAACACTTTTTCTGTCGACAAATCGGTATGGTAGAGAATGGCAAACTGCTAAAGTCGATGCATGAGGAGGTGTATATCGAATGGATGTAGGTGCTGCAAAGGAGAGCGACAAAGAGGATTTCGCAGTAGTAAACAATCTAGAATGAAGTATTCTTTTAGTAGAGATCTGTGTCAGATGCAAGCCAGTAGCAGGAGCAGCCAGTCGCTGAACGACAGTTGTCAGCATTGCCATGACCGAATGGTATTTAAGGGCAAGTTTTTCCTATTTTCAGGTTGAGGGTTTGTGCTCTAAAAATCAAGATTTCTTGAAGGATCGCCAAACCTGATAGTTGTACGCTTTAGGTTTTGGGGTTGATAAGAGCGATTGAATGGGCATTTCATCTGGCCAAGATTGGAGCTCATTTCTGTCGTCCATCTCGCAATTCAATGGTCGGAGCCATGATTCCCAACGCCACTTGTCAGACGAAGCTTCTGCTTCAGTATCGCTTCATTCATCTTCTGCTTCAGTATTACTTCATTCATCTTCTGCTTCAGTATTACTTCATTCATCTTTGTTAGAGCAGTCGTTGATTCCTTCAGAACCACGACTTCCAATGAATTCTATTCGTAGACCTTCTCACGACCGTCAATTAAGGTCCGCTACTTCAGCCATTTGGCCATCCATTAAACGACTGTCGTTCTCAATAAAGCCTACTCGGTCATTTACCGATTTGGGTGTTGTGTCATCTCGTCATCATCCTACTAGTCGTATCCACTCCACTCATACACGTCAGTTTGCTGAAAAATGTAAAACTCGTTTCAATAATGGAGTGTTATTCTACACCATTCGTACTGTATTGTTATACAGTGTAAATCTAACCCATTGACACATCACAATAGGTTTGCAGCTAGAATACACGACATTAAGAGTATTGGCACCAAGTGGTGTGTATATACTGCCAGTTCCTGAAGCTCCAACACTTTGGCAAGGAGTTGTTTTTATGAATGGTAAGAGTGGGCTGTCACCAGATCTGCTCATTTCACAAGGTTTGGTGTCAGTAGACTAATCTATATAGTACACTACGCTTATTTTTAGAGGGATTATTTAATGGTGGGATTTTTCGATTTGTTATCGAGGCTGGGGATACTTATCCCGACACTATCCCAGTGATGCGATTTACGTCGCTACTCTTTCATCCACTCGTTGATCCACTAACGGGTGTGCTAGATTCCACAGAAGTATTTCCTTCTGGTAATTCGATACCTATGGGCGTTGTTGTTTTAATTCAGTACATGAAACGGATTCTCAAAGTCGATGTTGATGATATGGTGTTGTGGTCGTTGAAAAAACTACAAAACAGCGTTTCAAACCTTAAACAAGCAGCTCCGTGCAATATGGACGCTTGCAAATTGTAAGAATCTAAAATAGGTTTCGTGACTTGTTTGAATGGGCGTGCATGCTTACCAGTTCTTATCCAATCTTTCTGCACCATTGATTTTAGAATTCTGAATGACCGTAATGCATTCATGGACAAGGCGAAACGATCAGTCGATGCATCCAAAAAGTATATCTATGAGGATCCCGACTCGGAAATCAAATTTTCTCCTTGGGATATAGATGTCCATAATCGAGTGCTGCATATACTGCTCACATCAAATAGTGTAACGTTTTGCCTGTTGTGATTTTAGTCCAACTATGCATGATTTCTTACTTTTGAATCTTCATTAATGTATTTAGGCTGCAGAGGCAATAGATGGTGCCTTTTCGTCCAAGGCTTTTGATGAGATGCATTCCGAGATGAGCGAGACTACATAATCTACTTGTTTAGTGAAAGCAACATCATTCCTCATAATTCAAATCAATCAATTAAAAAAGCCGTATCACAGCAATAGTCGAGTGCCGGAGCAATTCTGACTTGCCTCATGGGCTTCATTTATTGCAAACCCTCAAAGTCGTTTTAGCTTTCAAGATCAATCATCACAGTCATGCCGTTATTTTGCAAACTTTTAAATCCAGCCTCGAGTACTGCAGTCACCATGACCGTGTCTCCTATGGTTGGCAACACGCCGGTATAATCTTGAGGAGAAGCATCTCCATTTTTGATTTTTAGACAAGCATCCGCCCATGCTTCAATAGATTGGTGGCCGTATCCTTGCTGCCCACCGTAGTATCCACGAGCGTCTGGCGTATATCGCATGAAAAGTGGATTGACAGAAGCATAACCAGTCGCATCGGTAGCAACTTCGTATCCCCTGTGGGCCTGGTCAATTCTTATCTCGCCCTTGTGTCCCATATAAAAGAAGCGCTGTTGAGAGTGCACTTCTGCTTTGGGTGCAGACCACGATGCTATGACATCATTTTGGAAACATCAAACTTGGTGTAAGATTTATGGAAATGCTGGATATCTATTCGTCAATATTTTGGGTTGTAAAAAGGTTTGCAAAATCATACATGTGTATACAGCAGTTCCAGGATTGCCGCTTTCAAGATTCTCCCATTTTACCATCAATGTAATGGTATCCATGGTTCCTGGAGCACAGTTGTATGGAGTATCAACAGCAACACCACCAGCAGCACTGGCTGTAACACTGATGGGTCGAGCACGACCTATATCGATCAACAATATTGTACAATTAAAGTCTTGAGCTAACCAAAAATAAACATATAGAGTAACGAATTTAAGCGTGAACTTGCCTTGAAGACTCCAAACATGCATATCGATATGATGTGCATTGAGATCTACAGTATAAAAATATGTCAATCATTCGATCGTGTAAACTATACAGTACTGCTACAGTAGTTACTCAACAGTAGCTGATATCAGATGATTTTCCGGCCCAGCTTTTAAATGTATGCAACTGGAACTTTGGCTGGCTCATATAAGATGAGAAGAAGCCAAAATCTCCAAGACCACGGATACGCTCACGAGCATCAGCTTGAAAAATATAAATCAAGTTAGAGACCATTGCTGGCTATACTAATATAAAGTTGGACAACATATAGATACGCAAACTGCTTACAATATATAGGATCGAACCGCTTGTGAAATTCAACGACAACCAAAACATTGTATTTTTGGGCTTCGCTAATAAGAATTTTGTGATGCTCGACTGTTTTGACAGCAGGTTTAGCAATGAGCTAGATTGTCAAACACGATCGGTTCATGAGATTTATAAAATGCAATAATATTAAGCAATCGACACATGTGCACAGATCTACCCGCATTTGAATGGAACCACTTACAACATGCAGTTTACGACGAATCGCATACAAAGCAATATCAAAATGAGTGTCATCAGGAGTAAAGATGGTTACCGCATCACCAGGCTGCATACGATCCATTGCAGTCTTGTCTGTAAAGGATTACAAACGTCAATTATGCCAACAGTGATGTATAAGCTTGAATGCATTCAACCCACATACATTCAGTCGGTGAATACTCGACAGAGTCGGACGGGAAGAATTCGGTAGTGACATCCATATCTTTGTATACATGAGCAATTTGCTGTTGTAAATGGGACTTTAATCCGGCATTCTTTCTTCCAGTGGTGCCAACCATGCCCAACCAATCGGCTTTGCCTTTACGACGCATATCATAAAGAACAAGACCAACGACACCAATTTTCTTGTCTGATACGGATGCACCGTCATAGACATATCCGGTAGTGTACTCTAGCATATTACTAATGATTAGATGTGTTGTAGGAGTAAATCTGGCAATGTATTCAACTTACCACCTATAAATTGAATAAAATTCAAACATCAGTCATGATCAATACAAGGTTAGATACATATATCGATTGTGTTTGTAGTTCAACTACCTGTTCCGACCATAAGAACATTGAGTTTTGAAGCCATGGTAGAATTCAATTCCATAAATCAAGCAAAAAGCAGCGTTATGATCAGCGATTAAATCGTAAACTCGTTTTATAATGAGATTCTTGGTTTATTCTGTTGAATTTCATATTTACTATTTTCTCTTGAGTACAGTAGGTGCATACCATACATTCTGGTATAAGCGCAATATTCCAAATATTAGACATGACATTTAAATGAATCTTAACCACCACTTGGGATTATATTTCCTTGGGAATATGTGTTATGGGCTTTACCCTACTAGTGATTGAGGAAGTGTATGAAGATGTATTTATTCCTTGATTCAAACTATGTGATGACCTGCAAAGCAACATGACTTTTTATCTGTTTGAATTCCAAAAACAAGAGTGAATGGGTCTCGATCCAAAACTTTGGTTTTTATTGAAAACCAGCCATTATCATCGCATTCTGTCTCACAATCGAGCCATATACATAATCCAATACATGACATCCAAAATTTAAATATATAATACACTGCATGGTGCTTTACATCACCTTGACAACAATCAAATCACAATCAGTACCACAACTCATTCTCGCTTTGTCCAAGCAATCTACTTTTACACTGCATAGTGTATCGCTCACTCCAGGGTCGCGATAGTACACTACATCTCGAGCTGCATCGTATCCAATCAAGACAATGTAATGCCCTTCAAACTCGTTTTGTTGATCATAGATGGTCTTATAGTTGCGGAAAGCAAGACAGGGAAGACATGGACGAGGTGGTTTAGGTCGAGTGTAATTACAACGAGAAGATACCTGAAGTGGTGCGGGTGTTGGAAGAGGCTGTGTCGAGGGTGTTGTAGTAGCACCAAGACTAGATGATGATATACTTGTTTGTCTTGTGCGCTGCTGGCCTGCAGTAGAATGGGATAAAGATGGATCGCGTGATTGCGAGTTTAAGCTCGGTGTTGTTTGGTTTGAGGACGGTAATGGACACGAGGTATATGTTGCGTTTGTAGATATACATGTTGTGGGTGTACAGGAGTGTGTGTTGGATGTAGCTGTGTTTCCAGTAGATATAGATGCTTGTCCTGAGCCAAACACAGCATGTGGACTGATTAAGGAAATGGGAAATCTGGGCGAGGATACCTGTTTAGTAGGAGAATGACTGGGTGTTGTCGGATGAGATACCGACTCACGCTTTGGCGAGAGTGAAGTACCTACTTGGGTTACTACTGGAGATTGTGGATGAGAAAGCAATCGCAATGGCGATGCCAAAAATCCAGAAGCTTTTGGGGATGTTGGCAATGCAGCGCTTGAGCTCGAGGCAGTACCATGAATACCAGCAGAACCCGAATTGGATCTAGTCATGGTTGCAGGGAGAGTGGATACAGTAGAAGTGGGTAAAGGCACAGGAGTATCTCCAGCAGTTGGGATCAATGATGGCACCATGGCTTGATGAAATTGAGATTGTGACAATGTGCCAGAATTTGTTGGTTGAGCAAGTGAGTTTGTCGCAGCTGCAGCAGGGAAGAATTTGGCAGAAAGTGAACTGACCATCGATGCGCCAGAAATGGATCGAGGAGAAGACTCTGCTGCAGTAGGAGCGTCAACAGTTGTGTTGTGGCTGCTGGTATTGGTGCCTATTCCAAGATACAACGAACGTGACGATCGACGATCTCGTGGAATATGCTGTTGCTGGGCTACAGCCGAAGGAGGTGCAGTTGGAACAGGTTGCTGGATATTAGGTATTGAGAAGCGAGTATGTCGATCAGGACTTCGCAGCGGAGGTGTTCGACATTCAATACGATTGTGAAGATTTCGAGATTGGCTGCTGGTGCTACTCATTGCTCCCAATAATGATTGAGTGGGATCATTTCTTTCCTCTTCCCCCTTGCCATCGTCATCCAGTTCATCATTGTCGGTATTGGAAACGATACCCTGCTCTGGAAAAAATCCAGCAACATCATCGATCTTGTCTTGGCTGCTATAGCAACGTCCAAACAGCCATTGTAGCCAAGATACGGATGTTTTGGCTTTATTCTTGCTACAAGTTGTGCACTTTAGCAGATTGAAATTCACCAAAATAATAATTGCATATCTATTAGAAGCAAGAAATCTGCAGATATCATCCATGGCCAGTACTAGCGGAACAATTCGTACTTGGCAAGCACGGGCCTTGGCAAATAAGGAATGGACTCGCTTTAGATCCTCAGCAATCGAATCTCGATAAAAGGGTTTGGATGCATTCTGCCAATTAACACCAATGTACGAAGTGTACATTGCTATATAAATATGTGGATCGAGTTGGGTTAGATAATCATCACACAAAGAGTCAAGCTAGTTGCATGCAATCGTCATATCCAGTCAAGTCACTGATGACAGTATACAAGTTAATGGGGCTTAATTTGCTTATTCAATACATAACAACTCACTAAAGTCTTGAACTCCATAGTGACGAAAGATGTAGACCAGATCGACTGTCCAGATGGATCGAGTAGAACACATGTTGGATACATCCAAAAGAGTGCTCCGAGGAATGCCCAGTCCAGCCAAAACCATACTAGTGCATGCTAGACCACAGTCCCAACTGTACGACTAACCAAGGGGTTATAAAATACGGAGAAGTTGTAGGGATGATGAAGCATGCATGCAAGAAGTGCATGTTCATAATTAAACCATTTATCGACATTTCAGTATAACAATATGAATGTTAGATAATAGCATCACTGATGTGTACTTGCAGTTGTAGCAGTTGCAGATTGAGGGTTGATTACTATGCAGTCAGTCAAAATAGTGTGCAATTACCTGTGCTATATGAGGAACGATTGTAAGCATCGCTACAGAATATATGGAAAGAATCAATTTACAGTTGTGTTTATATAAATTGCAATATTTGTATCGAGTTGTAATCACTGCCTTTATTTCGCTTCAAATAAACAATAGCTGCATAGTCACTTCACATACATACTAGAAATGAATTGCTTTTTAATTGGCATTCTTTACTAAACACAGCGCTCATTATACGATGCTCAATTAAATTAGTTTTGAATAGAAATGTTTCTCTTGGAATAAATTATTGTACGATCGACAAGTTAAACTAGATATTGGGCAACTGCTTTGAGCTGTCAAACTCTAATTTGTATCCTAAAAACTCAAATATGTTTGTGCTCCAGTTCAAAAAAACAGTGAACTTTGCCAAGGAGTTTGAATAACAATACTGTCCGGTAAATTTGGTACCATCATTTGACAGGACTGTTTATTACACATTTTGTTTCATTTTACGGGTAAAAGGCTTTCTAATGCCTACAATAAACCCAACACTTGAAAAGAAGCGAATAAAATCAAATCACAGATAGTTTTTCATTCAGATTGATCCATAAAAGACTTTTTGGCTGATGTTTAGTCAGGCTACTGGACAACTAACTTGATTGATTCGCGCTCAAAACTCCGCCTATCGCATCCTCGTCGACTTTACTGATGTTTTCATCTATAGAAACAAGTCTTGTCCGACTTAAAGTCAGCAGTCAAGCTAAACTCGCTGTATGTGTTAATCCATTCTTTATTCGTGTCGTGTGAGCTTGCATTAACTCGTACTAACAGTCTTTGTAGGATGAGGAACGCATAGAAAATAGAAAACGAAATGTTTTAATTTTAATATTGCACCATCTTCAAGCTCATGGGTGAATTCTTGTGTAGATGGATATCATATCTTGAATACTGTCGTTGCTTCATCATTCTAAACCATTTCTTTTTTTGATAGATACCTCTCATCAGTAGAAAAGCTACAATCTGAAACAAACTTGTCGCTTCGCAAAGTTACTGCTGCAGATAATATGAATCTAATTAATATTGTACAGGTACGGTTTAGTTGGTTATTTCTACTTTTTGTTTAAACTGTTTTTAATCGTTCATGCTGCGGTTTAAATGGTGATAGGAATTTGAAAGCTATTATCAGTTCAAGTTTGGAAAACCAGCAAAGCTGGTACGAAAAAACACAGGTGCAATAATATATCTAGATTTGACAATGATTGCAATCCAAACTATGAACCCTGAACAAGAAACTAATATTGATGATCATTTCAAATTACTATTAGGTGATGATGCTACACAGTCTTTGCAGCATTCTAAAACTGTCTATACAGCCAATGAATCTCCACATCGCGAATCAGCCTTGAATACTCGTGGACCACCATTACCAAAAATATCAAAACAGTTGCACTCGTCATCAAGTTTATTTCCTAAATATCAAGAGAAACCATTGATATCACCAACGGGATTTATTGAACACGCAAATACAAAACCATCAACTTCTGGGTCAAACGAACCTAAACAGCATGATCACATTTCGGCCGTTGGAACTAAGGTCACTTGTAAAAGTATTGCAAATGAACACCAGTTGTCAACAAAAAGTGGTAGTGTGGTCAGTGTTGCACCAGCAGCTGAAATGTCCGATCAGGTAAGCCATCGAGGGAGATATTAGCTCAGACTTGAAACATCATCTTTTCATGTCGCTTATTTTTGTTGATAGAATATGCATACCAAGGACGATTATGATCAGAAATTGCTTAAACCTATGCCAGACTATGCCAATTCAGAATTTCGCGAACTGGCAGCCATCATTACAAGGTAGTGACGCAGCATGATTTAAATACACTTACTTTTAATCACTAACTTGTCATCACCTTATTTGAATGGGTTGAATATAAATAATTTAGGGATATTTTTGTGCAAAACCCAAATGTAAAGTGGTCCGATATTGCTGGCTTGGCCAGTTCGAAACGACTGATCAAGGAAGCCATTGTATTTCCTATTAAATTTCCCAGGTTTGGTTTAAATCAGGCTAGACTGGTGTTTAATAGACACCATTTATTCAAATCTGCTTGGATAGTTTCTCATTATATCTGTTATTGGGAACAATAGTTTATTTACCGGAATACTCAAGCCTTGGAAAGGAATCTTGATGTTTGGTCCACCAGGAACGGGAAAAACCATGTTGGCAAAGGCAGTTGCTACTGAATGTCAAACCACATTTTTCAACATCTCTGCTTCGTCAGTAGTAAGCAAATGGCGAGGTAAAGCAATATAAGCTAAATGTGTCTTGCAACGATTGAGGCTAATGCTGAATTTGGCCATGGGATTAATATATAAAGGTGATTCTGAAAAACTTGTGCGTGTTTTATTCGAGCTGGCAAGGTATCATGCACCCTCCACAATATTTCTGGATGAATTAGAGGCAAGTATCATTCTCAACACTGCATTTTTTATTTGTAATCAACCATCTGATTGCTATATGTAAATCAATATAGTCGATTATGGGCCAGCGGACATCAGATGGTGGCGAACACGAAGGAAGCCGAAGAATGAAAACAGAGCTTCTTATTCAGGTATACATTCCACCAAATTTACATAGTATTACCTTGAATGCTAACTCTATTTCTTTGACATGATCTGACATGTTGATAGATGGATGGATTGGCAAAAGGAAATGAACATGTGTTTCTTCTTGGTGCTTCAAATCTGCCTTGGGATCTCGATGTAGCCATGCTGCGTAGACTAGAAAAACGAGTAAATTTTGCCTGTCATTTCATTACATTTTGGCAGGTGTAGTATATGCTTATATTATGCACATGCTAGATATTGATAGACTTGCCAGATAAGGATTCACGAAAAACCATATTCCAGTCGCTGTTGCCTGCAGATATGATTGACGATTCAGATGTCAGAGTTGTTGGCGATTTGGATTATGAAGCACTAGCTAGTCTTACTAAAGGTATTGTCTGGATAATTGTATGTAATGATACACAAAGGGCTGCAAAACCAACATTTGTTTGAAACGCTCTAGGATACTCTGGGTCAGATATCAATCTTGTTTGTCGAGAGGCAGCTATGCGACCATTACGAAAGATTTTTGACAAACTAGAGGCAGTTTCCAACAAGCAAATAGAAGCTTCTGTCAGCACTGCATCTGTACTTGATTATATCCAAAATGAAACTGGCGGAACAGAGATTGCTCGTGATGCGATTTCCCAGCATGATGTGGTTGAAGCAATCAGAACTACTAATCCCACCTGTGATGTTAGTTTAGAGAAAAAGTATCAAGATTGGCAAAAGAGTTTTTCTTCTGTGTGAATGGGAAATATATTCATTTATTGATTATGTTTGAATAGTCGAGTGAAAAACAAAATCCAGCGTATTGGTAGAATTCAAATAAGCTTTAAACACCACGAATGCGATTGGTGAATTAACTGTTTTGAATACTTGATGACACCAGAGCGATACTCTAGACAAGATATTCTTAAGCGGACAAAGGTTCATGCAGCATTTTTTTAGCTGGTTTTTCTTGTTCAACCTTTTTAGATTTGAGTTTTGTTGAATCAACAGCAGTATCGGCTTGAGTTGTAGCTGCTTCGACAATATCATTTTTGGGTACATCTGGCAACACTTGCACGACCTTTTGGTTCTATAAAATATAAAATAAGTAAATTACAGTACAGACAAGCAGATGACAATAGTAATCCGCTTACTTGTGTCTCAATCAATTGATCCAGCTCAGCCATAACATCAGCTTCGTCCTCTTCGCTAAACACTTGGCTTAGCATTTCACCCACTTGGTTTTGATATGCAACCGCATCTGCTGAATCATCCATTAGTTTCTCGACATCTTCTAGTTGCATTTCCTTGTTGAGGTCGCTCAGAACCTGTGTTCCCTGCTTTAAACCTTCAACGACTTGTTTCTCTACAAGAGCAAACTCGATCGATTGAGTGAGTTGTTCGAGAGTCAGGAGTTGAGTAGATACTTTCTCCAAGAGGGATTGCTGGTACTTTTTCTTTGAAAGAGCAAGACGAGCTGCATGATGGTTCTTGAGACGAAGCTGTTCCTTGGCAACTTGAAGTTCTCTATCCAAAACTGTTTGTAGCTATAATGCATGCTGTTAGTTGTAGGACTTGGTAGAATATAGAATCATCTTACCTTTTTCTCATATTGTTTTAATTTATCCCGCTGGACTTTGAGTTCAAGAATAGCCTTGTCCTTGCTAGTCACTTTAGGTTTGTGTTTTCCAAATGCATTTCCCATAATCGATAGATTTTGAGTTGTGGTTGGTGACAAAGAGTATGAGATTAAAATTGTTAGCAACCATCACCATCAGCGTTTATCATATTTTTTAAAAAATCAAAAAGTTGGTTTTATCTATCCACAATGTATTTGATTATTGGTCTAATCTTGTGTACACTGCAGTAAGATTAGGACCAAGAACAATATCCTGTGACACTGATAGATTTCCACTCTTGAATGTCACCCATCCTTTAGAAGCCAGTTGTAGTCGAATGTTTCCAGTGTTTTCTTCCATCTCGTCATTCGCATCGAGTTTGGATTCAGCTTCAATGATCATAGTATCCTTTTCTACCAATCCATGTCCATGTCCATGTCCATGTTCATGCGATGCATTTAGTTTTCCAACATCCTGATACACAATTGGAAGCATATATCCGGGTGATGCCAAACTACCCTTTTTGCTATCTGCTCGTCTTAGTTGTCCGTCCATATTCATTCCCCATACAAGCACATCGTGTCCATACCGTTCACTCTCCTTGGTACGCGACCCAGTCCATAACCATTTCCACACTCCAGATACCCATCCAGAGAGTCCCACTTGACCATGCTCGCCAATTGAATTGTTCATTACAACACAGCAGTGTACGTCGCCAACACATACTTTACGAACTCGGATCGGAGAAATCTTGTGTTGGATAGAATCATACTCGACTAGATTGGACAAAGGTTTGATGAGAGAGGGTGTAGCCATAGTATGATTGAAATTTCCTGTTCCAAGTTGTCCAAACTGTCCGTGTCCACTTGCAAGCACTCTGGTTGTCTTTGGAGTATCTACTACAAATAGTGTCGTATCCCCGCCAGCTGCAATATGTGTGCATTTTGAGTCGGGAGATTTTTGAGTAGGTTTTCCAGAATCAGACCAAATGGTATCGATCTGGACTGGAGATGCATGAATAATATCTTTACAGAGTCCAATACCAAGTTGCTAATTCAAGAGTAAATCAATGCAATGAAAACTAGACATTTCGACAATTATGAATACAATATCAACTTACACCGAATCTATTTTGACCAAAGCCAAATGCACGACCGTCAGTGGTGCCAATAATGGAATGAGATCGACCAGCAGCAACCTTGTCACACATGGACAGTCCAGAAATACGGTTGAGCACAAAAGAGTCTTCATCTACAATGTTGACATGACCCAATCCCAACTGTCCACACTTGTTGGCATTACTATCACAGGCAAATGAATAGGCACGACCAGTATTGGACACAGCAATCAAATGGCTAGATCCACAAGAAATGGATGTGATGCGCTCACCCCATGCAGAGCCAGCAGGTAGTTTCAAGGGAGTGACTTTGCTGTAAGAAGGATCAGAGTCTATTTCATAGATCATACCATTACGAGAGAGAGCATATGTTTTCTGAGAAGCACAAGTGACTTTGACAAGGTTGTGCTGAGTGAATGTAAGTTTGGGCTGATCGCTCGACATGCTACGACCCCATTGAAGTAGATTTCCATGTTCATCAATGGCAGCAGCATGAGTATCACCAAAAGCAAGATCTCTTAGTGCTCGTCCTTTGAATGCCTAATGGTTGAATGACATGAATAAAAGAAATCCAGTCACTATCAGGAATTCACATACAATTCAATGAATCAATCCGGTTACCTCGATAGAAACAGGTTGATCCAACTTGGAAAGAGTTCCAGGTTGAACCAGACCGCCTCTATTACTTCCCCATATATAAACACCTGGATACATGCAAGCTGCTTTGATCTGAGTCTTGAGAGCAGTCAAATCCATGGTACGAATCAAGTCATTTTCTTCAGAATGAACAGTGTAAACAGCAGTTAGAAAAGAGACTAGACCAATACCAATACTGAGAGCAAAGATGGTGGATCTTGAGTTGCGAATTTGCTTTTGAACGACTTTCTGAGCAGGATGAACATTGGTATCGCTGTGAGGATCAGCAGGTTTATTGGGTGGTTTAATACAAGTAAACTGACGTTTAGTGATGATGGAATTAGAAGTGAATCTAAAAGTATTAGCAGAACTAAATGAAAAGAGAATTCTCTTGACAGCAGTCATGATAATCAGAATTAATTCAAAGAATTAATCAATTCAGTTAAAAACTAATAATTTCATTTTATTTCATTTCATTCAACACGTAATCATTATTTTTATAACTTTATTCAACTGTGAATGAATCCTCTCGATACTTCCATTCGAATTGCTACTGTCGACTCTCTTGCTCCATCTGCTGCTCTTCCGTTAAATGAAAACGTTAATGTACTTCAAGCTGCTTCTTATATGGCTGCAAAACGTCAGGATGCCGTTCTTGTGGTTGACAATGATGGTGAACTTACCGGAATCCTTACTGATAAGGATTTGGCTTATAGAGTCATTGCTTCTCGACTCAACCCAAAAACTACTCCGATCGTAGCTGTCATGACTAAAAACCCGGTTTCTGTTGGTCCGGATACGACTGCTTCAGATGCTCTCAACAAAATGGTTGCTGGTCACTTTCGTCATTTACCTGTCGTAGATGATGGCATCAATGATTTAGATGACCAACTCACCAACTTGGAGAGTCTCAGATCCGCTGATATCTTGCGATCCGTTTGCACTGATTCGGGTGATTTTCCTACAACTACTTTTGCTATTCTGGACATCACAAAGTGTTTGTACGAGGCTCTAGAGAAACTGGAACGAGCATTCGACCCTCATCTCCCTGCAGACATCATCAACCACCCTAATGCTTTAGATTCATTTCAACTCAGCATTCAACAACCGGATAAACACATTATCACAGACCCAGATTTGGAAACTACTCCGTTAATTCAATTCACTCGCAATATTCAAACTCAGCTTGCTTGTCCAACCCTCGAATCGGTTCTCCCCAAAGATGCTCCGTCATCCACCCCAATGCTATCCAAAAATTGCTCTGTTCTTGATGCTGTCGTCAAAATGCAACAAACTCACGAAACTGCTGTGTTGGCCTTTGAACCTTTGCCCAATCAACCCATGGTCGCCAGTTCCTTGCTGGCTGGCATTTTCACCACAAAGGATCTCGTGTTGCGTGTTTTGGCTGCTGGTTTGAATCCCGAAAAAACTGCCATTTCTCGAGTCATGACTCCACATCCTGACTGTGTCGGTCTAGATACAACTGTAATCGACGCTTTACGGAAAATGTATTTACATCGCTACTTGCATCTTCCTGTTCTCTTGGACAATGGCGATGTTTGTGGTATGGCCGATGTTCTCAGTCTCACTTACAATCTTCTTGCAGAAATTGCTCAAGTAGAAGGATGTTGCAATTCCGCAGACGGTCCATTGTGGAATTGGTTCTGGGAAGCTGCATCAGTCGAACGGCCACTCAAACTTGCCAGTCCATCTATACGATCACGGTCTCCTTTTGATAGCTCTGATTCATCTTCTAATCTTCATTATCCAATTAGCTCACATACAGGAATTGTTGTTCCTATGCGTCATCGACGGTCTGTTGGTGGTGGCATTATGACTTGGGAAGACGATCGCGAGTCTATTATTCCTGATGACTCTGCATCAGCTATCCATCCCACTAGACTATCTAGTCTTGGCCACTCTGCCCCTTTACAAGAATTTATTTACAAATTTAGAAATACACAATCCAAAAAAACCCATAGATTCAACTTTAGCTCGTGTGATCTCGACGGTCTATGTGCACTTGTTCAAACCCTTCTCGATCGTGATGCTCACAACGAAACAAATGTATCCATTCCACACGAGCGCATCCATCTCTGTTATATTGACGACGAAGGTGATGCAATTCATTTATCAAGCAGTAGAGATTTAGAAGATGCAGTAATTATGGCCAAAAGTTTGCAATGGAAACGACTGGTGTTGGAAACAGTGCATACGGACTCTACTGTTATGGATAGTGGATATACTGCATCTTATTCACTACAGCCTAAAATAGACAATCATTTAACCATGGCGCTTATGAAATCTACATCCAATGCTACTGCACCTACTCCACAGTGTCAATCCAAAACCACTCCATCTATATCCGAAACTAAAAGACAAATATTGAAAAGTAAAGGAAGCTTTCAGCAATATATCCAACTCTATTTTGGATTGGCTAGATTCCAGCCTATACAAGATGTTGAAGCTGTCGCTCCTTTGGTGCTTGCTAGCGGGGTTGTAATAGCTACAGCATTTTTGCTCGGTAGAGCGTTCCGGTAAAGTAGGCTTGGATCATGTTAAACTATTGGTGCATCATTCGAGGTTGATGATGCATTATAATCTCATCACATTCAGGTTTGAATCATTTACGGATATTGACAATGTAATGGAATCGATATATAAATGAAAAGTCATCAACAATCATTACCATTGATGCATATTATGCTTTTGCAAAATATTCATGCAAATCTAATCTAATCACACTTGTATGTGATCAGTTTTGTTACTTGTTTGTTACTCGTGCGACTGCTACCATCAAATCTAGTGTTTTTTGACGTTTAAACAAGGGATTTCGGGACATACAGGTTTACATTGTAGACTGCAAGTTCGTGTTGTCATATTTATTTGTCAAAGTTTGATTGTTTTATAGTTACCAACGCTGTTGTACGTTGCCGTACATTGTCATACAAGGTTCGACGTGATACAACGCGATACAACTGTAACACAATATCGGTTGACAAATGGTGACACTACTGTTCAAGCTTCAGCACCAGATGAACATCATACAGATTTAACAATACATGTGTTTCGTGTTTGAGCCATCTGAAAGTGTATCAAACGATGGCATATCCAGTGAAATAATAGTATGTGACTGGTGTAGTGTACATATCAAGCATGCGTGTTGCCAAAACACAACCAGATTACTGTGATCGGACTGTTTAGTTCAAAAGTGTGTTTTTTGATGGTTTCACAATACCGGTTGATTATGTGCTAGTTTGAATGGCATGAATGTCTGTCGATCGTGTCTCGTGTATCACATCGACAGTATGGTTTGTTGATACGACCAGTTTAATGTACAGTTTGTTGTTTTTAGTTGAATCTATAGCAATGTGACTCATTTGATGATATTCTGACATGATATTTAGCGTTTCACGTATACAATCTACGCTAATCTAAACCAATCAGCAGTTTTACAAACCAAAAGCCATATTTTTGAAATGCAACAGCTTGGTTGATACAGTTTGAATGGCTACAAAATACGTTGAAATTGAGTTGAAATATAAAGATTTCAACTTGTTTTCCACTTGCATTCTCAATCAGATTATTGTCAAGTGTGAATATCAGATACTCGAGTCCAATCCGATTTAGTTTCTGTACACTCGAGTGTTTATTTTCAATATTGATATAACCAAGAGCTTTGTATCCCATATTAAAGCATACATCACACTATAAGGGTTAAACAAAAACAACAGCTAAACAATAAACTGACACTATACAAGTGAACAAAATGATAAATCAATGTTTTATAGTTCCAAACGTAACAATCTAGTGTGCATTAAGCAAATGAAATCCAACAGCCAAGATAATCAACTCCAACGAAAAATTGACTTGAGCACGAACTATTTCAATCAACAGTCCACCGATTACGGTTGGATTTGATTTTAAAAATACATGATGATCCATTACCATTGGATCTGAGGTGATGGAAAATGATGTACCGTACATGCCAACATAGTGTAATGAAAACACAGCAGCGCCAATAACCAATGGAGCCATAAGACGAAATACCCAGCCACGAAGGAAAAACAAAATCCATAGTCCAGCAATAGCAACAACAAGACCGATAATGACTGCCAGAGCAACAATTTCAGAGCGATGGCTAAGTGATACACCTGGAATTCGAATAGAAGCCACACCGCAATAATGCATTGCTGCAGCACCTAATCCTGTAATACTACATCCAAGCATAAAATAAGCTTTTCGAACCATGCTCAGTTGAAAAAAGTTGATTTTGTTGATGTTGATGTATCCTTCGCTATTATTTTCAGTAGTCGGTGCAGGCGTTTGAGATGCTGGGGGAATTAATTTTTCAGGCGATCCTGCAGGAGAAGTGGCATTGCTGGCATTATGTACAGAAGCCATTGGATTGATTTTCATAGAGTCCATGATATGTGATGCAACAGCACGTTGAGAGACGGAGTGTGCTCCACTATGTTGTGCATGACTCGATGTTCCAACTTTGGCAGAGTGCGCTGCCAAAATTGCCGACATTTTGTGACTATCCGATCTCACGTAAATCATACCAGCTGCATAAGCCGAAATCAGCATACCAATAAAAACAGCTAGAACAGCGATAAGCAACGACGCGACGGTTGTCCAAATCTCGTAGTATAGCGGAATAATCAAAAAATAGTTTTGACTGATTTCTTCTGTATAAGGGTCAAATATAGGTAAACTAGAAGTGACATTCTTTGGTACAATGTAAAGACGTAAAGCGTGCATGCCAAGAAAATGCATTCCCCATATACCGCATCCTCCCAAAGCAATCGCAATCATAAATATCGAGAGGATGATTTTAGCGTTGATTTTGAAGTAGATGTAGATATTTTGTAAAATTTGGTTTTTGATTTGAGGCGGGTTTAATAAAAGATTGTTTACATTGATTGCTATGTAAGTTTGGTATACTGTCATGAGCTCATTCTAAACAGTAATAGTTTAAATGTAGATTTGTAGTGGACATGCAAAGTGTATTAAAAAAGTCGTGCGTGTAAATTGACCCAATGTCCAATAGAATGGTGTAAAAGCAAAGCATCGTGTTAGTAAATTACGTTTACAATTTACTGGAAATACAAAAGCTGAGCAGAGTGTCTGTACAGGATTGACTTAATACAGATCCAGAAACAATTTATTTTATAGGCCAAGCCAAAGTAATTGTAATTTTAATGAGATCAGCTAGTCATAGCTGTGATGAAAAGTGTTTACAACTACGAGCCCATATATTGATCAAAAAACACGAGGCTTTATAATAAATATTTACAAGACATACCAGAATCTGAATACCGGTGTAGGATCCTAGCACAGCTGTCCAGTATGATACAAATACTAAAAAAGGATCATACTCGACTGTAAAAACAAATGTCGGATGGTCTTCGTTTTTAACAACTAGTGGCATAGCTAAATAGATAGACTCTGGCTATTGCGCGATATAGGCCCGTTATATATAATTGTCAAATATAGATATAAATAGCAAAAGCAAGCTACTTTATCAAATGCTGGCTTTTAAATACATTTTGGTCAGCATTATTATAATCGAGACTCATTTCTTGTCAAAACTACCACAAAGAATGACAATTAGGTGCTGAGCTTTGTTGGAATACATTATTTTATTTCCCTAATCATCACATCTACTTCAAATATAATACTCGCTATTTGACAAGTCATTTGTTATGCAAACAAAAGAGAGTTGGCCCAAAAGCTTGGGATTGAACAATAGATAGAACAATTCAAGACGTCCATTGAAAGTCGGATATGTCGGCCACCATATTGAATTTTTAAGCTCGAGTATTTTAATTGTTTATTTTACCGCTGTATTTACGTAAAACGAAACAGTCAAAATATAGTAAACATTCATTCTCATGAAATAATGAATGTCAAATTTACCGAGCAACATTTTAATATTTGAATCATTTACGGATATTGACAATGTAATGGAGTCGATATATAAATGAAAAGTCATCAACAATCATCACCATTGATGCATATTATGCTTTTGCAAAATATTCATGCAAATCTAATCCAATCACACTTGTATGTGATCAGTTTTGTTACTTGTTTGTTACTCGTGTGACTGCTACCATCAAATCTAGTGTTTTTTGACGTTTAAACAAGGTATTTCGGGACATACAGGTTTACATTGTAGACTGCAAGTTCGTGTTGTCATATTTATTTGTCAAAGTTTGATTGTTTTATAGTTACCAACGCTGTTGTACGTTGCCGTACATTGTCATACAAGGTTCGACGTGATACAACGCGATACAACATGCAACAATATCGGTTGACAAATGGTGACACTACTGTTCAAGCTTTAGCACCAGATGAACATCATACAGATTTAACAATACATGTGTTTTGTGTTTGAGCCATCTGCAAGTGTATCAAATGATGGCATATCCAGTGAAATAATAGTATGTGACTGGTGTAGTGTACATATCAAGCATGCGTGTTGCCAAAATACAACCAGATTACTGTGATCGGGCTGTTTAGTTCAAAAGTGTGTTTTTTGATGGTTTCACAATACCGGTTGATTATGTGCTAGTTTGAATGGCATGCATGTCTGTCGATCGTGTCTCGTGTATCACATCGACAGTATGGTTTGTTGATACGACCAGTTTGATGCACAGTTTGCTGTTTTTAGTTGAATCTATAGTAATGTGACTCATTTGATGATATTCTGACATGATATTTAGCATTTCACGTATACAATCTACGCTAATCTAAACCAATCAGCAGTTTTACAAACCAAAAGCCATATTTTTGAAATGCAACAGCTTGGTTGATGCAGTTTGAATGGCTACAAAATACGTTGAAATTGAGTTGAAATATAAAGATTTCAACTTGTTTTCCACTTGCATTCTCAATCAGATTATTGTCAAGTGTGAATATCAGATACTCGAGTCCAATCCGATTTAGTTTCTGTACACTCGAGTGTTTATTTTGTAATTCTAAATGAGTGTTGAAACCCCATTTCAAGAACCACTTGGGACAAACAAGCCTGGGGCTGCTCTGCCAGTAAGTATATTTCTATACCATCATGTCAGCTAAACTTGAGGTTTATCATGTATTTTAGATTCAATGGTATTTGATTTTTATACTGTAGGACCACTGCTATTACTGTTTTGAAGTACTGTCTGCCCACCTTGACAATCGCCAACCTACTCCTCCCACTTTTCCAAACACTCAATTGTAAGCAGACTTTTAGACTTTTTGATGGCATGTATCTGCGTCATCGCTTCAATTTGAAATCAAATCAATGCCTTTAATGATCTATTAATCCATAATGTGTGTGCTGTATTTGTCAAAAATGCATAGTCCATTGTTTGTTACTTGGTCACTTACAAGAACGGATGAGTTGCGAGGGTGTATTGGGAACTTTTCAGCCATGCCACTTCACAAGGGATTGGAAGAGTACGCTATCGTTAGGTAATCGCACAATATACAAAGTGGACAGTAGAGTGGATTTGAATCTTGGACTTATTTTTTGGTACTTGAATTGGCTAGTGCATTGCAGGATACCCGATTTAATCCGATTCGTAAATCCGAACTAGCGAATCTGAGTTGTGGTGTATCGCTGCTAATCAATTTTGAAAGTGGTCGCAATTGGCAAGACTGGGAGGTATTTTTCTATATACAATGATGTTGGTATTTACTATTTCATCACTTATATTTTGGCAACAGATTGGCAAACATGGAATTAGAATCTCGTTTGAAAATGAACACGGCCGCCAGCAATCTGCTACATACCTTCCAGAAGTAGCTTCAGAACAAGGTATGATGTAATACTTTTAAATGACATTTTCTTAACCCTATTGTGTGTGATTTTGGCTTGAGTTGATTTATATGAATGAATACTGAATAGGTTGGGATCACAAACAGACGATCGATTCACTCCTTCGCAAAGGTGGATTCCGAGGAGTTATTACTCAGAAGCTGCGGGATTCTATTTTGCTGGTCCGGTATCAGAGTTCCAAGATCAAGGTCACATACGATCAGTATCAGAAGCATCTTGCACAGTAAAATTTGAAAGAAACAGTAGTTTTAAACTTTATTAGTGGAATGATTTTTAGGCTTGAATGAACATTGCAGCCTATTATTCAAATAAGGCCACCTAATGAGTTTTGTTCAAGATAAAGTCCTTTCTAAAACGAATGATTTCAACATTTACAATTAGTAATCCAGATAATCCGTTGTATTTAATTCATTAGTTGTATACCTTGTACAATGCCAATCGCTTGTGTTGGTCAGTAACATGTCGATTGGATTCAAAGTCTTTGCGAATGATTGAGCGAACGTAAGAAATGTTGGAATGTTTTAAACAAGAGGATCGAGCAAGCAGGTTTTTGTAGAGCTGCAGAACCATGGATCGGTCGACCACAACAGCAGGAAGCGCAGCCATGATGGTAATAAGAGAGAAAGTAAAAACAAACGAATGAAAGCAAAAGAACGAATACGATCATGTCATGTGAATCAAAACAAGCGATCATCCGTTTCTTGCTGCAAACAACAATTTCTGGCCGACATGGCAAAAGGTTCGACCAGCAAGCCTGCAAAGACTACTGCCAAAATGAATGCATTTGAAGATTCGTCTGCATTCAGCCAGTTGAGTTGCTGTTTTACACCAAATTCAACTATTATTAATATCAGTTCACAGTGACGTTTACTAACAGATTTCATTCCGATTCTCGATGCATTTCAGAACTTTAGTCGCTTCCAAAGTTGTCAAGATTTCGCAGTTGGTTTCGCCTTCTTCACAGGTTTTTCGCATCTATTCTTACCCATTTGCATTGGTTTATGCTGCATGGGTTTATGTACGCTTTTGGCATTATGACCGGTTTCTTGGATCTTCCGAGTTTGCTCTGCTTTCGTTCCTTATTGTCGCTGCAATTCATGTTCTATCGTACCTTGTCTGTTTATGGAGCGTGCAAGCCCGTGTTGCTTTGACTTGCATTAAAGTAGGCTGTTTTTAAAAAGTATTCGTATGGGTGGTTTGGATCTTTACTCACTTGCTTCAATTATTACATCAAATCTATCCATCTATTTGTTTTTAAAATCTACAGCAAGTCGATCCATTTAAAGCAACTGCAATCATGATTCTTCCTGTTCCTGACAGTGGTTCTGGTGCTCTCTGTGATTTAAAGCGTTCTGAAATCACCAACACGGATGGATCTAAAGAGGTAAACCCATTCCATTCTGTATTACATGTTAATGATTATCTCGGGGTTTATTGACGCTGTAATCGAATCAATTGATTCTAGTCCCAGATCTACTTTTTGTATCAGCAAAAAAAATACATTTTTAATACAGATAAGAAGCGATTTGAGAAACTGGATTATCTGTCATCTCACGAACTAGACATGCATTACTATAAAACCCAACGGGGTATTGCTACTGATCAAATGGTTCAAGTCACTCATGAAAAATATGGCAGTAATCGATTTGAAGTGCCTATTCCAACTTTCCAGGAACTGTTTAAAGAGCACGTTGTTGCACCGTTCTTTGTTTTCCAGCTGTTTTGTGTTGCGCTATGGTTTTTAGATGAAATGTGGTACTATTCTCTGTTTACTCTCAGCATGTTGTTTGTGTTTGAATCGACTGTTGTTTTTCAGGTAAATTTCATTCTTGTTATGCAGCCTATTTAAAATCAATGTTTTATTCATTGATTCTATTTTCAACATTCTTTATCGTGCTTAGCGTCTGAGAAATTTGCAAGAATTTAGAGCCATGTCGATTAAGCCGTATCCTATTCATGTCTATCGTGGCAATAAATGGGTTTTGATCCAAACTGACGAGTTGCTCCCAGGCGATTTATGCTCTGTTACTCGGCAAAAAGATGAATCTCCAGTTCCAGCTGACATGATTCTTGTTGATGGCTCGTGTATTGCCAATGAAGCTATGCTGTCTGGCGAATCTACTCCACAACTCAAGGAACCCATTAGTCTTCGCGACGATCATGAAATTTTTGATCCTGTCGAAGACAAAAACCATGTCCTATTTGGTGGTACCAAGATTCTTCAAGTGACTTCACCAGAAGATTCCAGTGCCATTCAAACGCCAGATAAAGGCTGTCTAGCGCTAGTTTTACGCACAGGATTTGCTACCCAACAAGGAAAACTTGTTCGTACGATTGTTTACTCCACTGAGAGAGTTTCTGCCAACAATGCCGAATCTCTATTCTTTATTCTGTTTCTTCTTATATTTGCCATTATTGCTTCGTGGTACGTATGGACTACCGGTAGCAAGGATGAAGAGCGTAACCAGTCCAAGCTTCTTTTGCATTGTGTGCTAATTATCACTTCCGTTGTTCCCCCAGAGCTTCCCATGGAGTTGTCATTGGCGGTAAACAACTCGCTGGTATCATTGGCCAGAGCATATGTGTTTTGCACTGAACCATTTCGCATTCCATTTGCGGGAAGAATTGACATTGCATGTTTTGACAAGACTGGAACATTGACAGCAGAGAACTTGATTGTTGAAGGTGTGACTGGATTAACTGGATCTATGGACGACTTGTCTTTGCCCACCCAGCTACCTATTGCTACGACACATGTGCTGGCTGCTGCTCATGCTTTGGTCAGACTTGAAGATGGTGTGATTGGTGATCCAATGGAGAAAAATACGCTGGAATCAATTCGCTGGATGCTTGATAGTGGAGATATCATTACACCCAAGCCAGAGGTTAGTAAAAGCATTTCAGGTCATTGCATCAAGGTGCAACGTCGATTTCCCTTTTCTTCTTCACTGAAACGCATGTCAACTATATCGCTGCTAGAGGATGGATCAGCCCAAGCAAAGACGCTTATTTCAGCCAAAGGAGCACCTGAAACCATTAAAGGCATGCTTCGCACCGTGCCCAAAGACTATGACGAGCATTACAAATACTGGGCACGTCGAGGCAAACGTGTTCTTGCTTTGGCATACAAACATGCACCTAAAATGACAGTCACTCAAATACGCGATCTCACTCGTGAACAAACAGAAAAGGATCTTGTATTTGCTGGATTTTTAATTTTCTATTGTCCTTTGAAGCCTGACTCGATCAATGCCATTCGTATTTTGAACGAGTCGCTTCATCGTGTTGTCATGATTACAGGCGACAATGCACTCACTGCCTCTCATATTGCTCGTGAGGTGGAGATTGTTCAACGAGATGTGCTTGTGGCTGATGTAGATACAAGTGGTAACTTGGTCTGGGAAACTGTGGATGAAAAAGTGCGTATTCAAATTGATACCGATTGTATTGATGTGGATTCCCGGCTTAAAAAGTATGATTTGGGCTGCACAGGATTAGGACTGGATGCTTTGATCAACACGCCATGCTTTAATGCACTTTTGCCTCGTATGTGGGTGTATGCTCGAGTTTCTCCAAGTCAAAAAGAACTTATTTTAACGCGACTGAAGCAGGCTGGATATTTTACGCTCATGTGTGGTGATGGCACGAATGATGTTGGTGCACTTAAACAGGCTCATGTGGGTATTGCTCTGCTGGATACAACTCCAGAAGATCTTCAAAAGATTGGTGTGCGCATGCGTGAAAAGCACAAGAAAGCCATGCTTACTAAGCAGAATGAAATGCTAAAAAAATGGGGATTACCACCTGTTGCTGATTCGGCAGGATCAGCAACAGGCAGTGGTTCGAATGACAAAAAACAAGGTTTACTCGCGAATACCTCGCAAGCAGCTCCTGTATCTTCTGCCACTACTGTTGGTACCAAATCTCGACCTGCAAACAATGCTGCACCGCTAACCAACATGATGGATATGATGATGGAAGAAATGGATGACGATATTCCCAAGATCAAGTTTGGTGATGCGTCTGTTGCTGCACCTTTTACTTCTAAAATTTCTAGTGTCATGTCTGTTGTTAACATTGTGCGTCAAGGTCGTGCTACGCTTGTTGCCATGGTTCAAATGTACAAGATTCTTGGGCTCAACTCTTTGATTATGGCTTACTCTCTTAGTGTGCTTCATCTTGCAGGTATCAAGCAAGGAGATTGGCAAGCAACGATTGCAGGATTTATGATTACAATCTGCTTTTTTGGCATTGCCAAATCCGAAGCTTTGGAAAAGCTTTCTCGTCAACGACCTCAACCCAACATTTTTAACCTTTATATTGTATTGAGTGTATTGGGACAAGCAGCTATTCACATTGCTGCCTTAATCTATATTCGTCTTGAAGCCATCAAGTATTCTGAAGCCATGGAAGAAGTCGTTCCTTTGGATGCAGAATTCACACCCAACCTCCTCAACAGTGCAGTATATCTTGTATCCCTCATTATGCAAATCTCTACGTTTGCAATCAATTATCAAGGCCAACCCTTTCGCGAAAGTCTTTTCCGCAACAAAGCCATGTTCAATAGTTTAGTGATTGTGGGATTGATTGCTTTTGGAGCTGCAATGGAAATATCGGATGAGTTGAATGACTGGATGCAGCTTGTAGAATTTCCTCCCGAGTTTAAGCGAAAACTGTTGATTACCATGACATTGGATTATGGAGTTGCTTGGGCAGTTGAGATGGGATGTTCGTGGCTTTTTGCTGATAATAAGGCCAAGGCGAGTTTATTTCCTGTAGATTGATCTCTATTGAATGGATTGATGAAAAATGGAAATAAATAGACTGTTTTGACCGAATCAATCATTGGTCTAGATGACTATTCAGTGTAATTTTACTGAACATCCTTTAACCTTGTCAGTAAAAAAAAGTGGTTAAAAATCTGAATTGCGATTGCCTATCCGACTCATACTGTCATGAGTTTTATCAATATAAGAAAGTGTCGGTTATTGACTCCATCTTTTCAGTATCGATTATACCCAAGAGTCCGAGGGAAATCGACTTTATTCTCATCGAATCAATCCCAAGAGAATCCAGGTGTTTCAATCTACATTCATTTCCCATATTGTGAAAGGTGAGGTTTAACCCGACTTTTATCTTGATCATCCAATGTCAGCGTATTGATTCTATTTTTCATTTATGTTAGTAAATGCGTATATTGTAGTTTCAACAAATATACTGTGCCATCCAAGTATGTCCTATTGCAAATGCTAAATCATTGAACAAGTATTCTTACAATACTGTTGGGATCACTCGATGGGTTAAACCATTTTTTATAATGGGATTTATTGTAGCGGGATTTCTCATGAAAGAATAGAGAATGCATTGGTTCAGGATTTAATTTACGGACTTGTGCATCCCGTTGAAGCGTTACAAAAACATTATGTACCAACACAGAACCAACCGTCCAATCCAACAGCAATTCATTCCATTTATTTTGGTGGTGGTACGCCTAGTCTTGCCCGTGTAAGTAAACCATGTCATTCATGATCAAAACAGCAACTTATTTGAGTTGTTGATGTTTTAGCCCGAAATGGTATTCAAGATTTTGGAGGCTGCAAAAACGTATGGTAATTTGAGTAACAATACAGAAATCACTCTTGAAGCGAATCCAACATCTGTAGAGATGAAAAAACTCGAGTTGTTTAAACAGGCGGGTATTAACCGACTTTCACTTGGAGTACAAGTACGTTTTGCATGTAGATCTTGTTTGGATAATACGTGTATACATAGTATGATTTATACTGTCATGTAGTCATTGAATGATACAACACTCGACTTTCTTGGTAGGGATCATTCGGCAAAAGAATCTGAATTGGCAATAGCCACATCGGTTGCTACATTTGATAATGTGTCTTTGGATTTTATATATGGGATACCGGGTCAAACTCTTGAATCTTGGAAACAAGATTTATGTCATATTTCTCAATTGGGTACAGCGCATCTTAGTCTTTACCAGTTAACGGTGGAACGGGGTACGCCTTTGTATCGTCACATTCATAACAAAAGTATAACCATGCTGGATGACGACAATCAAGCCGATTTTTTTGAAATGACTCAGAATGTGATGAAAGAGCAGCAGTTTGATCAGTACGAAGTATCGTCGTTTGTTCGTAGTAAAAACCAGAATTTACGTGGCATTCATAACCAATCGTATTGGACAGGAAATGACTATATTGGTGTTGGTCCTGGTGCACATGGACGATCGTGGAGTAATGCATCACAAAGAAGGTTTCGCACATTTCGAGTAGGGTTTTATTTGATTTTCAATGTTTTTATTCAACTGAATCCAATACTGACTGTGATGTTAGATTCTTGAACCAAATCAATGGATGGACCAATGCGAATCAATTGGACATGGGTGAGTTGAATTACAACTTTAAATCATGTATAGTGAGATTACTTATAGATTGTTGTATTTGTAGAGCAAGACGATGCGTGCCAATTGCTCATAAAGAAATGCTAAACGAACTGATTATGCTTGGATTAAGACGAAAGGATGGAATTTCTGCACAAATATTGGATCGATTTGGAGGAGAAGTGACACTAGATTCAATGATGCAGAATAAGCTAGCTATACTGAGTCGAATGGAACACGAACTTGAATGGATTGTAGTGAATAGAAATATGAATGGACGAATTTCTAACATTCGAACGACACAGAAAGGATTAGCATTTGGAGATATGATGGCAAGAGAGTTGATGTGAATAAATCTGAAGAATCTGATAAAATCAACCTGCAAATTCGCAGGTATTTTCCCAAGAATCTATCAACTTGACAACATTGTATTAATGGAGGTAATAGTTGAATGAATGATTAAGATTAAACTGCAAGTAGTAATAGTTCAAGCAATATTACAATTCAAGTCTTGTTCTGTTTTACAAGACTTGAACACCCTTGCTGTATATCTACATGACTAGTCATATCTGCAGTACTAACTTGAATGTGTATTGTTCTTATGCTCAACATCATGTTAGGTTCTGCTAGCTATTACAGGAAAAGATTTTGTACTCACTGCAGCAGATGACACCACTGCTCGCTCTATCGTTGTCATGAAGCGAGGTGAAGACAAGTCCCGCGAACTCACTAACCACACATTGATGGTTTACTCTGGAGAGGCTGGCGATACTGTTCAGTTTGCAGAGTACATTCAATGCAATTCCCGTTTGCACAGTATTCGTCATGGGATCGAACTGTCTACTAATGCCATTGCTAGCTTCACTCGGATGGAGTTGGCCACTTCGCTCCGTAGCAGGGTAACGTCATTGATCAACCCTTTAAACCAATGCATATTATCATCATTGAGCAAGATGTCCAATCGTTGGATAGGATCATGCTTGTGTAGACTGGTGTTTTGAGTGATTCATATACAAATCTTCTGGTTCAACCAGATCTACGGTGTTATTCATGCAGTCTTACAGTACTAACACTCGGTTATCTCTATAGAACCCATACCATGTTAATGTTCTAATTGCTGGAGCAAACCCTAAAACTGGCGCTCCTGAACTCTACTGGATTGACTACATCTCCAATATGAGCAAACTCAAATTTGCTGCACATGGATATGCTTCCTACTTTTGCTTGTCTACCATGGACAGATACTGGCATGAAAACATCACACAAGAAGAAGCTATTGCACTCTTGAAGAAATGTCTTGCTGAACTGCGCGTACGATTTATTGGAAATCTGCCCGATTTCTTTGTCAAGATTGTCGACAAGAATGGAATCAAAGAGGTTAAGCTTTGATTCCAGTGTGGTGTTGATACTGTTCTTTGAATTAAACCGCAATTAACAAAATTGGTTTTTTGCTTTATTACGAATTAAAAGGTTTATTTTCTAAACTGTCCATTGCTTATTTTTTATATCAAAGTTTCTTGTTTTGAATCCATTTGAATTTCTAGCTTTTCGTAATGTCTACGACATACTGGACATACATGCACTTTACGATCAATATCAAATCGCTCCAGTCGCTCCAAACATACCCAATGAAACATATGTGCACAGCTTAGTAACCCTAGTCTGTGACGTTTTTTTGGAATCTGTTTGGATGCGGTGTCTGACGTTTTTGTTGGGTTGAGTGGCATAATACATATTGCGCAACAATCTGTCTCGAGTTGACACGCTTTAATATACACTTGATCCCAATCTAATGTCGATAGTTGAATCTTTTGCATATGTTGCATAGTTTCTGTCGAACTAAACAACCATCAACACAATGTTATAAACAAGATGATTCAACATCATCATAATTGAATCAACTCAAAACACATTGAATATGTAATACTTGCCTGTTGATAATGCGTTTACTAGCTGCTACTTGTATATCCATTTCTTTTAAAAAATGATCCAGCTGTTTAGTAGATGATTGCATGGACATTTCGAGTAAATCATTGTACGTTTTGAGCTGACATCCGATTCGTACCAAAATAGTATGAATTGCATTCAGTATGTGGGTTACATTGTAGAGCATGCATGGACTGTCATACCTTGTTGAGATGATAGGTTTTAAGCAGTTTGGGATGTTTTGGTGGATGATGTTGTTGATACTCTAAATATGCTTTGCGGCATTTCCACATCCGCCACGTTTTTTGTATCCTAAACACCAATAAAACACTCAACCCCCATTTTATTGAATCATGGCTTAACACACATCTACCTACTTGATTGCACTGATACGTCGACACGCTCGACGGCCTTCAGCAGTCAACATCTTTTGATAAGTTGTATCCCTACACAATGGACAGCATTTCATTTGTACATGTCGCTCATAAGACTCGAGACAGCTTTTATGAAATATATGTGAACATGATAACAAAATCTGTTGAATATCAGTGTATACAGTTGGATATAAAAACAATACAGAAACCAGTACGTGCCTGATCTTGAAGTGCAAATGATTCTTGACAAATCGGACACGGATGAGAATGATCACCTCGTAATGCCGTTTTAGATTTAACTTGATTCCAATCGTGTGATGTGAGTTGTTCAGCAGGTTTAGCAACAATACCCAACTTTTGAGCTATATTTTGGTTTAGGTGGGTGTTAATACATATTGGGTTCAATAACGTATGGTATGAAGTGGGAGTTTTGATAGATTCAGATACTATCAATAAATCATTGTAATACACTGTAATACACTACCAAGCGTGAAGGGCTTTTGTGGAGCATCCAACACACGATCAAATCCATTCTCTTCTACCAACAGTTTATCCTTTTTGGAAATAGGTTGAGATAGGTTTGGATCGTGTTGTATTCGCTTTGCATCCTTGTGCCATTTTTCAAGCTGTCGTTGGCGTGTATTCAATGTGTATTTGGGTTTGACTCGTTTGGTCGAGATACCAGGAATAGGAGGTAAAAACGATACAGATGAAGCATGACCAGAAACAAGATGTAGTCTTGATAAATGGTCTTGAATGGCCGCTGCATAAATTGGGCTTTTATAACCTATTGGTCTATGACTACTAAATGGTTGGGTGGGTTTGTTCATTATATAAACTGCATAGATGGACAAGGTTTGAATACAACCGTGTTGGAATAAAATACGTCAAGTGTTGAATTCGCCGCCTAGTTTTTTTAATGACATTCAAAGCAAATCAACTTGCCAAACATTCGTAATTCACTCGTTACCGTTGTTTATGTTCGAGTATGTGTTGTGACATTTGAATCTTTTACAAATAAAATCTATTCGATACTGAAACATCAGCTAGAATCATCAACGCTTTCAGTAAACCCAAAATGTATTGCAATGGACTGTTATTTGAGCCAATCAAACAATTGTAATCATTTCAAGCAATGCACATCATGATGAAATTTCATTGTCACATTATTTCAGTGTTTAGGGTTTCAAGTGCCGTACTTGTGTTTGTAGAATGCAACAGGCAGTGTAGCCAATACATGCAATACAGGCCGTTCAATGACTACAAGTTCAGAACCAGCGTATTCCATATACATGATGGACTGGTATCGCGTATCCATGACAAATCCTTTACGAAGAGTGACTTGTGTGCCATGAGCTGTAGAAGCATGTTTCGTATTCTTTTTTCCCTCGTGTGTCTGGGTAGTCTCTATATCTTGATTGTTAACAGCGTTGGATACACGCTTGAGATTGTTTTTGCTTTTGTGACTGACGGCTTCCAATCCAACACTTAGATCTACAAAACAGACCATATAAGCACCCCATACAACCAATCGCATTGGCATGTTTGGATCGACACATACGCCCATGACGCTTTCGCGACGCTCCACAAAGGCTTCAGGAAGACGATGTGAGTTGAGTCGAGACCAGTCACTTATTTTACCAGGATTACTTTCGCTGCCAATGTCGTACATGATAAGCTCATTGGCCATGGATGTGAGAATAAGCGTAGGTGAAAAAATGGGAAGTTGGGTCGTTTCTTGATACTGCTGTGCCATACCTGGATGAAATGTCATGGATGTAAGGAGCGATGTGAATACAGGAAGAGTTGAATGCAACTAGATTTGCCAACAATGCAAAGAATAAGTCAGTAAATGCATAGTATGTATAGTTGAAAAGATTTGAACCTACTTGAAGAGATTCAAGATTGTAAACATAAACACGATTGAGCACATCTGCCGTTGCCATGTATTTTGAATGGGTACAGATAGAAATCAAAAGAATACCAGCACAAGCCTTGACAGAGTCGGATTGATTGACACTATACATGTCGCTTTTGGAGGCATCGCCAGCATGTTGATTAAATTCTGCAGCAATTTTAAACGAACCATTCAACTGCATTTCCAAATCAACCACTCTGACAATCGAGTCCGTTCCAGCAACAATCAGTTTGCTTGAATCTGGAGAAAACAAAACACAGCTTGCTCCACCTACAATGTGGAATTTTTTGGCACGTTTAATAATGGGCGAACCAGTGGGATTGGATTCGTCGGTTTTGGTTGAAGTTTCATATGGGAAACTAACACGGTAAAGTTTTACAGTGTAGTGGTCTGACAAGCAAATCCAAGCACCATTACTGGAGATTGCACTTGCAACAAGATTAGTTTTTCCTTTAAACTTGATGGTCATGAGATGCTTGTGACCAGTGTGGTCTAGTCGCTGATGATCATCAACAAAAGGGACCGAGTTAATTTGGGATGTAGCTGTAGTATCTATATCCATATTGTTGCTTATAGAGGGCTGGTTAGTAGATGGTGTTGAGTCGGCGACTGGGTTAATGTCAGCCAAACGCCATATATTGACATGATCATCAAATCTAGCCATAACAAGACGCACATCAGGAGCAATTGAGACCAATGGACGATGAGGAAAAAGAGGCATGCGCTGTTGCTTCATCTTGTTAAAAGAAGAGCCAGGAGATGAAAATATAAGAGATGTGTCTACACCACCCGACACGATGGAATCAAATGGACGATCTTCAATATAAAGAAGAGCACGAACATCGTGAGTGTGGAATCGTTTTTGGCCCGACACAACCCAGCTTGTTTTTGATACAGGAGCTCGTTTAGATGAGTTGGAGTGTGTAGTAGCCAAAGAGGAATCTTGTTTTGATGTATTGCGAGCCAAGTTGTTATTTTTTTGGGATTTTTTCAAGAAAGTTGGAGAGCTAATGTCAGTCAAGGTGATTTCAACAATTTTACGATCCACACCAGCGGAAAACACACGAGTTCCAGCAGCATTGGAAGCCAAACACAGTGCATCGGCACCATGTGCCTTGACACATTTACGCATTGTAGCAGTATTCCAATCCCAAAATGTGATGTAACCGAGAGAATCAGCAGCAACTATAAGAAAAGAGGGGGATGAAGCACCAGGCAAAGTTGGAGCGATGATTTTCAGATCCCAAACGATCGTGTCTTCACCACGAACTGTATCGAGTGTCATGCGATGTACACTACGACCGGTAGCGACTGAGATTTTTCGGATAGTGTTTTTGACGGATCCGACGACAAGAAAAGTGTCAGATGGATGCCATGCCAGGGACATGACTCTACCTGATTGTTTTTCAATTGTTGAAACGAATTCCAAATGGCCGTGAGTTTGAATAGTTTCCAAGGGCAATATTTTAAAAATACGAACGTAGCCGTCTTCACAGCCAACAGCCAAATGTGATTGAGCGTGATTGACGGCCATACACCAAATTGGACCACCAAACGAGTCAGTTTCATATCGAGGTAAAAGAGAGGATAAATTGTATTCAGTGATCAAGCCAGTCAAGCCAGCAGAAAACAGACGAAGAGGACTAAAGTGTGATGGAGTGATTGAAGAGTCGACCTCGTGAGTTGAAGTTGAATCGGGTTCAGCGGATGAAGTTTGATGTACCCATACTACAGATTCGATGGGAGCTTCAGCAGATCCATGGATAGTCTAATGATAATGTTAAAGTTGAGTTGATAAAAATAAAAAAAAATAAAAAACTTACTCTTTCCAAAAACCAAGATTTTCCACGAGGATTCCATAGTTCAATATTTCCATTGGCACGAGCAGCAGCAAGATAACGTTGTCGTTTTGTAGAAGAAGGAGCGAATGCTAGAGATACGATGGCAGACGGAGAGTATTGAACAAACCGACATCTATGAACAGGAGTGAATGCGTGATGATGGGATTGTATTTGATTCATTTGAGTTTGGTCAGAGTTGTTGGTGATTGTCTTGACACCCATAGTTGTCTTGACAGCTGTAGTTGTCTTGACACTTGTAGTTGTTGCAAAGTCGGCAAGCAAATGTTGAATTGAAAAAAAAGTGTTTTTTTTTTGAATTCAATCGATTTGGGTGAATTTTAATGATTTGGGCAAATTCAATCAATTTTGGTGAACTCAATCGATTTGGGCAAATTCAATCAATTTTGGTGAACTCAGACCGAGTCATAATTCAAGTGTATCGCATAACCATGTTCACGTAAAATGAAACACTAAATAAGGAAACCAAAGTGCATCATAAACAACCAGTTTCATGAAATGCCAACTCCAAATTTATTAGACATTATTGTATTCTCTGAACCCTATTAATATGGTTGACTGATATTTAAACCAAACATTGGATGACTGCATGGAAACAACGGTTGTAATCCCGAGATTATTTTCTTGAAGAGTGAATGTATGAGATTTTAGAGTCTTGTAAGATGAGGATTCTTATTTTACAAGATCCCAGTTGGAATGTATGAATCTATTGATTGTTCAATGCAAGAATATTCCAAAAAGAATGTCAAGACCAAGACTGTTGACTCGAGTGGAGCCGCAGTGAGTGTTGATTTGTTTACTCAAGACGCAATCACTGTAATGATTTTTATTACGTGAACATGACTGAATTCAGCGCCACTTCTCAAATCACGTGTTATTTTTGAACTATAAAAACATTCGGCTTTTCCTTGATTTGAATTCGTGTTTTTGGCTTGTTTTATTGCTGCGTGTTCCAGTTTCTTCGGTTTCCTCTTGCCATCATCCCGTTCAATGCCGAATTCTCGACCTCAACAAACTTCCTTTCAGAATGAATTGAGTCTTGGTGCTGTTCGTCCAAGACAACGAAAGTCGGGCTGGATGGTGACTTTCAATAACTGGATGGTCAATGAAGGTACTTTTTGGGTTTGTTTGTGTTGATTATCAACTGCGCTAACATTCGATTCAGGGCGTAGTAGACTATTCTTTGCTTTGTTCATTGCATCCCAATTGGGTTACTTTGCTTGGTCTTATTATCAACTATGGACTTCTCCTACTCTTGTTACGTTTCGCACTGTGTTACAACATGGTTTACCCATGGCAAGAGCCGCTGCCAACGTCATCAATTTGGACTGTGGCATCATTCTTTTTACTGTTTGTCGAAACGTCATTTCTTTAATGCGCACTACTTTTTTAAATCGTATTATACCAGTTGAGTACAGTCTACTTGAATTGATTATACTCTTTTATTTTCTATTACTTATTCTGTCTTGAATTATAGTTTGATAAAAATATCACATTCCATATTTGGATTGCCTATTCCATTGCGTTTTGGACTTTTGTTCATGTCATTGCTCACTACTTCAACTACAATAATGTTCGTATTGCCTTGGGCGTGTCTGCCGAATACCTCTCTCTTGTATCTGGTCCTGGCCTTACGGGTCAAGTCATCTCCGTGTCATTCTTTCTTATATTCACATCCGCTATGGAAGCTGTGCGTCGCAAGTACTTTGAAATATTCTGGTTCACCCATCATCTATTCCTTGTCTTCTTTGGTGCTTTGTTAATGCATGGCTCCTTTTGCTTCATCAAAGGCGACTCGGGTGACCCTTGTCGTGGTGGCCCAATGTTTTGGAAGTTTTGGGTTGGCTCTGCTGCCTTTTATCTAATTGAACGCTTGTGGCGTGAAATCTCGGGCCGTCGCAAAACCTATATTTTTAAAGTGGTCCAGCATCCTTCCAAGGTTGTTGAAGTTCAGATCAAAAAAAATGGTTGGAAAATGCAGGCTGGCCAGTACATATTTATTTGCTGTCCTGAAATCGGTCTATTCGAATGGCATCCTTTTACCCTAACCTCTTCTCCCCACGAAGAGTTTCTTTCTATCCATATCCGCGTTGTCGGTGACTGGACTGAAAAGTTTGCTGAACGTGTTGGCTGTCGCTTTGGTGGCTCTTCTGATAATATGCCTGCTCCAGATACTCTTCCCTATGTCATGGTCGATGGTCCTTATGGATCTGCATCTGAAGATGTGTTTGATTACGAAGCTGCTGTTCTCGTTGGTGCTGGCATTGGTGTCACTCCCTTTGCCTCAATTCTCAAGACAATCTGGTTTCGCATCAACAACCCTACTCGTGCCGTACCACTTAAAAAGGTTTATTTCTTTTGGATCTGCAGAGACAAGGATGCTTTCGAGTGGTTCCAAGATTTACTTTCCACAATTGAAGATGAAAACATTTCAAATTTCCTGGAAATCCACACTTATTTGACACAGAAACTCAAAATATTTGAAGTCAAAAACATTGTCATCAATGACGGTGAGGATGGCAGAGATGCGATTACCGGACTAAAGTCTCGTACACAATATGGTCGTCCCAACTGGGACCAAATCTTTGAAGCTCTGCGAGTAAAGCATCGAGCCACAGACATTGGTGTCTTTTTCTGTGGTCCCAAAGTATTATCTCGGACTCTCCATCACACATGCAACAAATGGACCGAAGCTACTGAAGATGGAACTCGGTTCTACTATGGCAAAGAGAATTTTTAATCTGCTCAATAACTTGAGCTGACTTGTAGTGTTTTTTGTGAATATCATACTATTTTCTGTATATATTATTAAATAAATATCACTTATTTTTTAAATTAGTGTTTTATGGTTATGTAGGTTGATGTGCATACTGAGACTGTCTTGTAAGCCTATTGTTTGAATGAGATCAGCTCATGACACTGTTGAGATACAACGCATTTCTAAATTAATGATTTATAATCTTACCATGAAGACATCAAGCCAATCATAACTCAGCAGACATGAATTTTATGCTGCACACATTCATAAACACGAAATAGTTTGAATACTCCGAACCTAAAAACTGACATTTACTATCTGAATAACACATCATGGCAAGTTATTTTTAATTCAAGATGAGTTGAATAACCGAGTATTCTGACTTGTATTTATTTTTATTGTGGTTGATAGTCTAAAGGAATGCCTATCAAGGATGCTATCAAAGCATGGGTAAGTCGTTTCATTTGTACATGTTTGTATTACAAGAATTCAACCCTGACTGTTGACAGGAGGAGAAACACCAGAAACCAGCAGCGGAAGCAACTGTAGTGAAAATGATGATGTGTCAACCCTTCTTGGTAAAACTGGATAATTCCTTGGGCACCTTGTTAAAAGTCGAGTAAGTGCAAGTGGGTTTAGTTTTAATTCAAAATGTTATACTCACCAACTTGATTAGACATCTCGCACTTTCGACCAACCAGATTGAAAAAATTAGCAATTTGCATGGTCTTTGTATGTATGAATGGTTGATGTTCATCTTGTTGGTATGCATCTAACTGGGTTTGATTGAAAGCATATCTCCGCGTTCTCTCGCTCGGACGCAACAATATAAAAAAGATTGAAGGACTGGATGCAGTGGCAGATACTTTGGAAGAACTTTGGGTTTCCTACAATCAAATCGAAAAACTCAATGGTGTAGAAGTATGCAAAAAACTCAAGATTCTGTATGCCAGCAACAACAAAATCAAGGCTTGGGATGGTTTATCTCCAGCAGTAAGTAGTTATTTGATTAAAGTGTATTGAGAATGGATTGATAATTTTATTTTTGGAATGGTTGTAGCAATCTTTGCCAGCTTTAGAGGATATGCTGTTGTATGGCAATCCACTGGAAGAAAAGTATACATTGGAGGGAACATGGGTTACTGAGATTACTAAAAGGTTTCCTGTTTTACGCAAAATAGATGCGAAACCTATTATTCGTGAAGATGCTGGTGGTGATGAAGAAGAAAAACAAGATTGATTGCTTGATCAATAAACAGCATAATTGTCTTTCAGATTCTGAAATCATTACAAGAAACTCGTGTAAATTGAAACTACTGCGAATTTATAATGAATGTCAAAATGATTCAACAACTCTGACTTGACATGCTGTTGTTTTTTGTTTTGAAAAGATTGTTCAGTATGATTTGCTGGCATTGCAACGAATAGTTTTAATACGAATAATTTGAATTTTGAGATTTAAGAATTTCACGAGTTGCTCGATTTATTTCACATAAAACAACAAGTTTAAAATTTTATTTTTAGTATGACAAAACGACATCAACCAACTCATTTACTCACTACCAGTCATTCAGATGTAGTGATGCAGTCAATAGAACAATCACATCAGTCAATAGAACAATCACATCAACCATATCAAACCCAACCTCAATCGACTGAACAACGACATTTTCTACAAGCAGTCGCAACAGCTCTCGAGACCTACACTACTCAATATTCAGAAAGTGTTTCAGAGAATACTCTAGCTTTAGCATCACAGTATGAGAGTGCTACAAACGAAACATCTGCTGCTGCTGCTCAGGAGATGTTGATGAATGATCCCGGATTTATGGCCTTGTTTGCTTTAGCTAGCCAACTTATCCAACATTCTGGAGATAATAATGTGGTTGCAGACAGTAGTGAGTCTAGAGTTGAATCCTTATCAACTCAGTCCAGGAATGATGCAAGTGAGAATGAGTTGGCATCTCATTCAGTGACTGATGCAGTGTTGCCTTTGGCAAACGAAATGGTTTTGATTCCGTCTGCTCATATCAATGTGTTTGGTAATGATACATACCCAGTCCATCCATATATGCATGATCAACCAGCAGCCATTCAACTTCAAGCTGAATCTACAGAGAATATATCCACTGCTAAAACAATTGAATCAGTGCTTTCAACAGAAACAGATACTGCTAATGTCATCAATACTTTAACTACATTGCCTTCAGTTTCACCACACGACGAAAATGGGTTAATGACGGGATTGATGGCTCAGAGTTTGGTTGATACAACTGCTGTTCATTCATCACTTGGATTACATCAACATAATGCACATTCAACACAGAATACTCGACACATTCATGAGGCCGTAGAAGAAGCTATTCGCAAAGTATTGGGTAATGGACATGTCAATCATACTATTAATGGTGAGGTCGCGCAGCCTCAGCAATCACTGTTTCAACAGCAGTTTGGGTTGTCCGAGACGTTTTCAACACCGCCAGTTGAAGGATCTTTGTTTCCGTTACTGACTCAAGGTAGTTTGGTTCCTACAATATCGGATTTACTGGTGAGCGCGATCTGCGGTATCAATGGTGAATCTGCGCCAAGTGTATCTTGTACAAAAGATGTTGATTCTGGAATTGTGAATTCAGATACAACAGAAATACTGTACTTTATCTACTTGTTGGCATCGTCTATTGCATCGTTACAAGCCACACATCCCGATGAAACGAATCCAGTATCTGAAATAGTAAGTTTTTTTCAATACATGTTTGAAAACAGACGAGTTGATTTATATTGATTTCAATGGTGTTTTAAACAACTAGGATCAACGAAGCGATACATTGTTTGATCAAGAATCTAGTTTAACTACTTTAAACAAGACAGATCATGTACAGTCCCACGCTAATGCACTCAATCAAAAGTCTAGCATTTTAGAAAGCCATACTCAGCACTCAATGTCTGATCCATTAGCCAGCATATTGCATCACCCATCATCACAGTCAGCTTTATTTTCTACATCTATCAAACACATGGGTACACACCACGTACCATTCCGACGGAAACGGTTGGCTATTTTGTCACGGTTGTTGTCATTGACACGGATAGCAGCCAAAGCTCCTCTTGCATGTGAATTTCCAGGATGCAAGCAATCGTTTTACACAAAAGGAACACTCAAGACCCACATGGGGACGCATGACCAAAAAAACAAGGTGACGTTTCAATGTAGTTATTTTGGATGTAACAAGTTGTATCGATGGAGATCTGCACTTGATGCACATATTTTGACCCACAACGGAAAGGCCATGCAAGCAGATATGCAAGCAGATATGCGAATAGATGAGATTGGAGATATCAATATGCGTGATGATACCGTGGACAGAACAGACGATTCAGGATTGGCACGGTTTACAGGAACATTAGATACCATAATGGCGAGTCCACGAAATGCAATAGCGTGTGAGCATGAAGGGTGTAAGCAGATATGTGCCAATAGGAATGCAATGGAGATGCACCAGCGAACTCATTTTGGGGTTCGATCGTACATTTGTCCAATCAAGGAATGTGGACAGGCATTTGCTCAACATTCGGCATTGCGAAGCCATAGTTTTACACATTCGGGTAATGTATGATGCACTATAATTGTAGATGAGATTCAAGAGGTTAATCACCATTATAACAGGGGAACGACCCTACAAATGTAAATATGAAGGATGCGAGAGTGCGTTTACGACCAGTTCGCGATTGATAGTGCATATAAGAATTCACACACAAGAGAATCCATACGTATGCAATGCCAACAACTGTAAAAAGCAGGTAAATGATAAATGGAACAATAGATGATACACGAAAAAAAGAAAAGTAACGATAGATTTAAACGGGTTTTAGTTTAAACAAGCGAGTTCACTCAAGCGACATTTAGAAACGCACTGGGAGCAACTAGGACTATGCCGGCCTTTACCACGAGTCAATAAGAAGCCCGAGAACAAAGAGTATATATGTAGTGAGTGTTTAAAGAGATATTCGAGTCGACAATCGCTGAGCAGACACCGAATAGGGACGCACTTGACCAAAGGGAGCGAAGCGTAGATTCAAGCAAGCGTGGATAAATAAGAGTTTATCCACGTGACAAACAAGAGTGGAATCTATTCACGTGACAAACACCAATGAAATTCAGAAATTCGTCAAGAATTGATTTTTGAAGAATTGATTAAAGAATTGATTCTTGTTACGATTAAAGAATTGATTATCAGAATTGATTATCAAAGAATTGATTCCTATTACAAGTGAATTAACTATTATTAAAACCCATTCCTTAGTCTTATGTCTTCTTTGCCTATTCACAATGACTTCATCTTTCCTCTCCAGTTGGCTATGGCTTAAGCCAGTCCAGTCCATTGACGGGATTCTGACTATCAACAGAACCACTCTTTATGCAACCATCACTACTATCGCCTGTCTCTCCACTTACAATTACAGACAAACACTTTTTGTCTTTTATCGCCACATCCTTGCTTCTTGGTCAACGACTCGCACGACTCTTGCTGTGGTGCTTGCGAGTGTTGTGGGTCCGCTTGTCCTGCTCAACTTAAACGACTCGTTGGGCATCGAGTCTTGGGCTCGTTGTGTTGTTCGTTATTATCGACGCAAGCGTCGAAGACTACTGCAGCAGCAGCAGTTGTTGCTTCAACAGAAGCAACTCGTGTTGCACTGCAACGATCCTCCCATCATCAGAAAGGATTCTTCAAAGCCAGACTCTATTCCTAGCGCTTTAAGATGCAGTTTCAGTAGTACTGGAAGTCAGTCTGCTTCTCCAGTTTCTCCATTCGAGTCTTCATTGCCGTTACCCATGACTCGTTCACAGTCCTTGCCACATACTTCTGCTCCTCGCATTCTTGGCATTTCTAAAACTGATTCTTCGTCTAATATTCAAACTGTATCATCACATTTACCAGTCGAATATCCTACAAATTCCAGTCTTTATTCTGCTTCTATCTTGCCGCTCTATACATACTCATTGGGAAATACCAGTGACGCATCCGTCGCACACTCCACTTGCTCAAGCACATTCAATACCGCCATCTCTACAGACTTTAATCCATCCTCTACTTCAACCAAAGCATACGTCAGGAGACTCGAGGCTCAAGTACGGTTGCTCTGTCGTAAAAGAGAAGCCATGGTTGAATCTGTTCGTGGTTTAAAAAAAGAGGTCGCTCTAGAAAGAGAGGCCAGGTTTGTTGTTGAAACCTATCTGAATGAAAGATTGCGTCGTATGGAGTTAGAGGTATGCCACATCTTGACACTACTTTTTAATCCATTTCTATTGCTTCATATTTACTAATTCCTGTCATTCCATTTTATTTTGTAAACTCAGCTCGATTTTCGGGATAATGAAATTCTGAAGCTACGTGATCGTCAGCGTGAAATGGATGCTTCCATGGGTTACTCTGATGTCGACGATTATGATGCAAACGATGAGACTGACTCTTCCTTTGGAAAAATCAATGCATCCACTGCTTTGCATTCCACTCTCCCTTCTTGTTCCACACTTTTATCTACAAAATCTCCATTGAAAGCATGCACCATCAGAGCTCCCATCCCCATTTGTATCCTAAATAATAATACGCCCGACTCTCCTACAAGTAATCAATTGTCTGTGGACGATACGGTGCTTTTTGGAGAAAGTCCTCGCTCTTCAACTACTGCATGCATCGCTCCCTGTTCAAATATTTTCTCTAAATCTGTCGACATGGACGACTCTGACGAAGACGACGAAACATATTCTAAAAATGAGTCTGCTTCAGATACTGAGAGTATAGACACTAGTACAGCTTCAATTCAGCACGATGGCTCGTCAGTATCTACTGACACTCACTTGACTCCCATAGGCCGCAGCTCCAACAAGCATGATGATGAAGACTTTGGATATGGTTCCGAAGAATCAACTTCCTCACATATTCTCTCCATGGCATTGCCTCACTCTTTTGACGAATACGCACCTGCAAAAATTTATCAAGAGCTCTTGGCTGAAGTAGCTCCCTCGCTTCTACTTGTAGATATTGATGACTTGGCCACTACTCTACATGCCACATCACACCAATGTCTCGTGGCAGTCATTCAAGCTGCTCTTCAAATATGCGAGCGCAAAGGTCACTGGATGTGTAAAGTAAAGCTTGTCGAGTTTTTTCAACGCTATCACATCCTTATATCACGCTTTATTGACAACCAATCTGATCAGTTGTTGGCTCTTGCTGCAATTGAAGAGTACTGCAATGGATCACTGAAGCGTCGTGCTTACCATCTGAAAATCATCATGTGTTTGTATCAACTCGATGTTGTTGATGCAGAGCTATTGATTACATGGTTTGATCGTGGCATTGCCACGAATGATTTGAACGATGTGCGTAATTTGTGCAGCGAGTTTATGGACTGGCTTGAAGAGCAAGTTAGCGATGATGACGATGATGATAGTTCTAGTGACGACAGCGAACATGATGGATCGCATTCAGATGGCCCAGCCGATCCTGATGCATTGTGGATTGTTCCTGCTGTGACAATTGTGTCTACCGACACTGTTCATAATGATGATTCTATACGTGCACACGATCACGACGAATCATCTCGGAAACCGCCTTTGTTAGTGTCAACTGATTCATCCGCGCCAGCTGTTCCATCCAAACTAATCGAGCATTCTTTGCTTCTCCAGACTCATGCATCTGATTCAGAAGATGATGCATCCAACTCTGAAGATTTGGGCGAAGACGAGGACGACACATTTGATGCGTCCTATGCACACATGGATCCGGAGCTTTGCTTTCAATCTCCGCTCATGTTTTCCGCCCATGTACTAAACGAAGTTGGATGTGAACGAACAGAGTCGTTCTCAAGCAGTGGATCTAGAAAGAAAGTGACATTCTCTACTTGAATACTTGAAATAAACCGAGTTTGATTTGTATCTACAAGCTTATATGTTGTATCTACAAAATTTGGAATCTGTTCAATATTTATTCTTGATAAACACGTGATGTTCACGAGCACAAACTCACATTTTAAAGCAAACGATTCTTGACCAAGTGTCGTATCTTGAGAGTGTCGATATACCAAAAACAGTTGAATGTCTGCACATGCGTATTCAGGACATGCTGTAGGAGTGAAATGGCCAGATACTACATCACCCACTACTGGAAACAGTCGGACAGTGTATGTTGGCGATACGAGATCCGGACGACTATGGCGACCTTTGGAGTGGAAAAAGATTATGGCTGGATATATTCGTAATGGGTGGGTCGATAGAACATAAGAGTGCAGTCAAAACTGCTTCCCAGATCCATTGGCAACAAGCCATTTCAATACAAGTTTAACTCAAATCTACATCAATGAATTCATATTTTAGAACATTGCTCAAACTATGTAATTCAGCTCCAGTAGTGCGTCAAGGAGTCCTCAAAACTCTGTATAATAAATCGTCCATGTTGGGTAATATTCAACCGTTGCAGTCAAGACAGGTCGCATTTGCCTGTTTGTGCACGAGTCGTGAAATGGCAAGTCTTCCGCTTGGCTCAGATCCGCCCACTCCATCTGTGTTTTACTCTTATGTTCTTTGCGCCATTGATCAGCGTGGTCATATCTACATTGTAGACTTTGTTGCAAATCGATTTTGGACTGTTGCCAGAACAGGCGTGGCTGCTACTGCTTGTTGTTTCAATTCTGTTAGAAGACGTGAAATCATCATTGCCATGTCCGATAAAAGCATTCATTGCTACAATATTGGTAAGCGCTATAAAACTGTTTTGGATTGATTCAATCTGTAATGTTAACTCGTGTACTCAGATACGTGTCAGTTGGTTGCAAAGTTACCAGTCGCTCATCAGCATTTTGTACATTATATTGCTGTTCATTCTACACGACCCTTGTGTATCACTACCTCGAGTGCCGAATCCATTCTATGGAATACTGAAACTTGGGAACGTGTACGTGTTCTTGTCGGATCTAATTCAGATGGAATGCAACAGGAAAGTACATTGCATTAATCTCTTCAATATCTCGTGTACACATGACTTATTGGTTTCTATCATTTTTACAAATTCAATTTACATAGGCTTGCTTTTCCAATGACGGTATGTCCATTATTGCAGCGTTTGAAACGGGCTCTATTTTTTTTTGGATGATAGATTCTCTCAATCTACAGTGGAAAATCACCTTGGATCAAATGTCTAGTGTGACTCCTGGCACTGAACTGGATTCAAATGGATTACTAAAAGCATTAAGAGTATCATACTTTGATATGGTCAAAGGGTGTGATTTGCTTGCGTATGCCGGGTTGTAAGTGTTTGATATCCAATGATTTTGAATCAAGTTCAAGGCATAGATGTTCAAATGATTCTATGGTGTATAGATCTTCAACCGTGTATGTGTGGAATTTGGTTGAAAAACGACTTTTGCACGAGATTCTTGTTCCTGCTTTCAGAGATACTTATATCGCTCAATTGGCATTTGTCGGGTCTACCAATGTAAGTATTTAATTGTTACCAATACAAAGCTCTGTTCTACACATTAAAATCTAGTAATACCAACCAAGTTATTGTTCTGTTTTGGTTGCACGATTGAATGCTTTTAAATTAGATTCTAGCAATTTTGTCCAATACAGGAATGCTGATTTTTATTGATGCTGCCGAGGCAAAGTTTGTTGGCCACGTTCAAGGAAAACATCAGTTTAATTCGTTTGCCATTTCACCTGATGGATGTGTTTTGAGTTGTGTGCTGATGGATGCAAAATACATTGTTAGTACAGTGCGGTTGGATGAGATTCTTTACCCAAATGTAAGTGTTTTATTGGTAGATTGAATTATGTTATAAAATGATTGATTTAGTTGTGTGTAATGTCTTAGACTCGACATACGGATATAGAACACACTGAATTTGATGAAAAAGTCAATGTTTTTCAAGTAAGTTGCTATTTTGCTTTAACAATGGATATAAAATGATGATTAATACTCACCCATGTGATTGGTTAAAATAGTCAACTGAACCAAGTAGGACTATTGCGTATTGATGTGATGTGTGATTTGCCTTGTTGTATATCTGCTGTTGCACTAGTCTGATTTAAAAATGATTCATGTTTAGCCAAACCGCCTGTTACAGAAATCCAGCCCAAAACCTTTTACGAATTGATTGAATCCAAGGTATGATTCACCCAGTACGACTTATTGTACGCGAGTATTGTGTATCTACTTATTTCAATGTTTTAGGAAGAATCATGCGTGTTAAATCGGCGTAAACTAGGAAAATTTCTAGCACATTATGGAGAATACCCGAGTAAATACAGGTAAGATCTGTTTTTGTGGAGTATTTAATATAAGCCATTTAGCGGGTTTACCAATTCAAACTTTAAATTACTTGTTTACAATTCTAAACTTTAACCTTGGTCTTCCAGAGCTCTTATTTGGCGATTCTTGCTAAAATTACCAGAAAATAGAGCTGGATATGAGGCTTTGCTTGATCAGAACGTACATCCAAACTATAAATCTTTTCGAAAGTCTTTTCCACTTAAAAGCGATCGACAGGCCAAATCTATGGAACGCATACTTTCCAGTCTTGCTTTTTGGTCACCGATTTTTGGCAATCTTGATTACCTTCCAGCCATGATCTTTCCTTTTGTATTGCTCTTTTCACACGACATTTTTTCTGGATTTGAAGTCATTATGACTGTCCTTCTCAATTGGTGCCAAAAGTGGTGGGAGTACTACCCCAATCCGCCCATTGATTGTCTCGATATGGTTGAAGAGCTTCTTGGGTTCCATGATCCAGAGCTTCTATCTCATTTTGTCCAACACAACGTCACCAGTCAAACCTATTGTTGGATCATGATGCAATCACTCTTTTCCGAATTGTTTTCCAATCCAGATTGGTTAAAACTATGGGATCATCTTTTGACTCAACCACCTTCTTTCATGTACTGCTTTATCGTGGCTTATATCACCACGCTACGCACTCCTTTGTTATCCATCAACAAACAGCAAGATTTCAAATTTGTGTTCCAACGACGAAGCCCTATTTTATTAACTCGGGTTATCCAAGAAGCGTACAGAGTGCAAAGCGTAACACCCGAAAGAATATCACCTCGAACGTTTCTAAAAGGGTTTGAACCTTGTCTAAAAGGTGCCTACCCTGTCTTTAACGCATACCCTGAATTCATTGTCAATTACCAAACCCAGATGAAAGAGAAAATTCGTAGTGACGAAGCAGAATATTTAAGCAAACGGTATTTGAACATTGTTATGGCAAAGTATATCGTTTCAGTATCGCTCATCATAATTGTATACTTTTGTAGGAAAATGGCAGATGAATTGGCTAGATTGTCTGATGAACTAAAGCAAGATAAGAAAACATGGGATTCTGTAGATTTCAAAATGGATCAGATGGTTGAAAAATGGTGGGAACAAATGATGGGTACGTGACCATTACCATAAACGATTCAAACTTTTATTTAAATAGTGGGGATTAAACCACTTGGTAGATATCAAACTTACAGTCTGTGTTTTTAGGCGAAGAAGATATGCGGCAAGAAAGTAAAACCAAACTCGGTATTCTTGAAAAGGAAAAGCGAGCCACTGCCATGCGTCAAATAGCAGAAGCTCGAAAAGCATTTGCTGATCACCAGATTCATACGACAGAACAACATATAGCCAGTATATCTCGTGCCATTGGTCATAATCGTCGATCCCAAGCTCAAGCTCGTGAGCAAGAGGAGATTGATGCAGCATTTAAAGATATTGAACGCGAGTGGATGCGACGGAGGGATGAGATGGTGCATATGCGTGGAGAGTTGGAAGCAGTTCAACGAGGAAGAGTTGAGAAACTTGTTAGACATGTAGAGGACACTACGATCCATCAATAAAACCGACGTTTTTTGATCGACTTTATTTTTACCAATTATGCAATCGAGTCTGCTACAATGACTACAACCCCAACCCATGACAAACCATTTCAAGCAAGTTCATCTATGCAGTCAAGTTCTGCCGATATGCAAACAAGTTGTGATGATGCATGTGTTTTGGTGACCGATCCTGCCAATATTTCTTCAAATCTATTGGCTGAACAAACCATTCATGAGTGATTTGATTTTGATTTTTAATATTTTTAATATTATTGTGTTATTGAATATATCTGTCAATGTGTGGTTGGTTATCATGGTTTGAGATGTGATATTAGTAAAATGAATGGCAATAATTGGTAGGACAATAATTGTATTTTGGGTCGAGTAAATCAATAGTTTCAATTGCATTTGCCGAGTGATTTACAAGACATTGGCTAAAACAGTACGCTAATGCAATGGTTGAAACCCAATAAACATATTTTAATATTTCATTGGAAATACTCACGACACTATATTGCTGGGTGTTTATGAAATCGCATGCGATTCCAAATACCAAGAAAGAGTCGAGAGTGATTATTGAATAAGCAATCAATCTCTAGTATGGATATAAAAAGAATAGGAGCTATTATTTATTTCGAGGCAAAAGACAGCCACTGCAAGATAGATACAAGTGTTTCATTTTACGTATGATAGTAATTACGATACCAATATGGCTATTACATAACTATCAGGCTGTGTTTTTAGCAAGATATTTGAATATATTGTTTTCTCGCGACTTGCATCGTTCTAAACCAACCACAATAAACTGATACTTGTTTTTGTAATATTCCATCAGTTTAAAGATGCGCAAGGCACCTTCATCAGATATGATGGGTACGAGCATTTTAGGCCGACTTACATCTGCCATGAAATCCTCAACGAGTACTAGCAATTTCAAACAAACCTTTTCATCATCGACCTCAATGGGAAATGCCAATTCGAGCGACTTTTTTATTCGTATGGCGTTGGATATGCTTCAAAATTCTAAAGAAAGTCGTAGAAGCGAGCCACTTAAAGCAGCCATCAGAACCGCCATGAGTAAGTTGTTTGAATGAGATGTTGAGTACTTTATGCCTTACCATTTCATAATTGAAAAAGGAGACTACTAGTGTACTTGTTATACCAAGTCGAGTTTGTAGATGGGTGTTGAACCTAACAATACTTACCGCGTTACTTGTATTTTCATGCAACTTTTATAACGGATCCATCTTCAGACGCGCTGGATAATGCAGAAACTCAGCAAGCACCTATATCCATATTCAAGCCATTTCAGATTGCATGTGAATCTGGAAATGCAGAGTTGGCTACTATAGCCATTGACTGTATGGGGAAATTATTTACCTACAACTATTGGGGTCGAGTAAGTGAAGAGTTTGAGCCTACAATGAAGGATGGGTTCCAGGCTAGTAATAGCAATAATCTCGCGGGCGGATCGGACGAGCAACAGGATGATGACAATGACAATGACGGAACCAAAGACATGATTTCTTTTGTGATTAGCACAATCTGTAATGCGTTTGCTGGTGAAAGCACAGATGAAAAGGTTCAACTTCAAATCATCAAGGTATACGTTTGATTTACGATGCAAAACCCATTGATATATGATTAAACTGACATTCAACGCATTACCTATGTTTATCAAGGCACTTCAAGCTGCCTTGTCAACTACAAACTCTGCATATACCCTGCATGGCGCAATTCTTTTAAAAGCCATTAGAACCACGTACAATGTATTTTTGTTGTCAAAATCTCAAGATGTTCAAACTGTTGCTCAAGGCACAGTCACCCAAATGATCCAAAGTGTGTTTAGTCGTGTTCCCCGTCCACCTGGAAGTCAATCCCCAGTCACCCAACATAGAAAATCAGGTTTATCATCTTCTTCGTCCAAGGACTTTTCAGATCGCTCAAAACAGCTATCCACAAAGCCTCCCACTTCTAGAGTGCCAGATTCTGTCGATTTGTTGGCAGGATCGGAAAGCGTTGATGTGACTGTGACTGTGACATGTGATGAATCGTCACTACAGGAGTTATCTAGCAATCCTACTATTTCTGTATACAGTAGTACCCCAGACATTAGCAAAAAGTCGCCCAATCTAACAGGATCTCATACAAGAAAAGAAACAGCAACAATTACAGATAACGTGCTTCCATCGACTCCATTTGGAAATCAATCTTTAAAAGATGCCTTTAAAGTCCTTCGAACATTATGCATTCTCAGTATGAAGCCTATTCCATCTCAAGAAGGATCAATGGATTTACGATCTCAACCCGTCCGATCTAAACTTTTGGCACTGCATCTCATTAATGCCGTTCTAGGATCACACACTTATGTTTTCAGCACCATCTCCAGCATTGCATTTAATTCTAAAGATCTAAACAAAGAAGTAGATCCAATGACATTCACAGAAGCAGTTAAAGAGTTTTTGATCTTATCATTGAGTCGAAATGCCACAAGTGTTATCCTTCCAGTGTTTGAAGTGTCAATGGAAATCTTTGGTAAATTGATGTTGCATAGTCGTGCTGGTCTCAAGCGTGAAATTTCAGTATTTTTTACCGAGATCATCATTCCAATTCTTGATTCAAAAAAGAACATTCCATGGTATCAACGTTACACTCTACTCAAATGTTTACAAAAAATATTCGGCGACTCGAATGCTGAAGGTGGACGCATGTTGGTTGAAATCTATCTCAACTATGATTGCGATCTTGAAGCTACAGCAAAAGAAAATATCTGGGAACGATTGATTTCGGCATTGGCTAAAATAGCCTCTCAGCCAATTGATGGCTCGACTCAGCCACCACTTACTCCACTTTTTACATCCTGCTACGTAAATGTTATTCCCGGTTCTGCTCCAGCACTGACCACAAATAATTTAGTGGCATTGTCCCGAGATCAAGTACGAGATATCTACTCTGCTGTAGGAGATACTCGTGAGTTGAAAAAACGAGGTCTAGAATTGATTTCTCGAGGTATTCTGGGTCCTTTAGTTAAATGGTGCCAGCTACGTACTGAAAAATTGCAGCAAAATCTGGATGATCAAGACAAGAAAAAATCAAACGATACAGACGACGGATTATTTGGAGTTGGCGGTCTACGTCTTATCACTGAAGGTGATGAAGAAAAGCAAATGAGTAGAATTGGTTCTATTCGAGCTGAAGATGATCCTACTGCGTTTGAAAATCTCAAGCATCGTAAACAAGTCATGATTGAAGGCATCAAGCGATTCAATTCTAAGCCCAAAAAGGTAGACATGTTTAATAATGCTGTTTTGTTATGTTCAACATACTCACATTTTGTCATTAGGGTATGCAATTTTTACTCGACTCCAACTGTATTTCAACTCGCACACCACGAGATATTGCTCGATTTTTACTCACCGCTGAAGGGTTGAGCAAAGGAATGATTGGTGAATTTCTTGGCGAGGGTGACGATGAAAACATTGCCATTATGCATGCATTTGTCGACGAAATGGAGTTTACAAATCTTGGGTTTGTTGAAGCACTCCGCACGTTTTTACAAAGTTTCCGTCTTCCTGGTGAATCTCAAAAAATCGATCGGTTCATGCTGAAATTTGCAGAACGGTATCTTAAAGGCAATCCCAAAGCATTTTCGAGTGCAGACACCGCATATGTGCTTGCGTATTCAGTGATCATGCTCAACACTGACCAGCACAATGCACAGGTCAAGCGAAAGATGACAAAAGCTGATTTTTTGAAAAACAATCGAGGCATTGATGAAGGAAAAGACCTTTCGATCAATGTACTTGAACAAATTTTTGATGAAATCAATGCCAATGAGATTGTCATGAAAGACGAGGTGGCATCAAAATCAAAAGAAGCAGCTAAACTGGCCAAACCAAATACACTCGGGTTACCTGTTGATGTAGACAACCTTCTTTTTGGAAAACCCAGAAAAAGTGACGGTCAACCAGGAATTAGTAAAACAACTGAAAACATGGCACTTAAAACAGAGGCAATATTTACAAATATGCGAAGCAAAACAGCTACCGCTCGATCTCCAACCAAAAACGAGATGGGTACTTGCGAAACCAAAGGTGTTTCGCGTAATCGACCTACTTCATTTTACTCTGCAAGCCACTACGAACATGTAAAACCCATGTTCCAGCTTATATGGATGTCTATTCTTACAGCAATAAGCTCTCCACTTCAAGAAACAGACGGTATTGATACAATTGCAATTTCTTTAGAAGGGTTTAGATCAGCTGTGCATATTGCATACTTGTTTGAAATGGATCTAGAAGCCAAGGCTTTTGTTTCAACACTGGGAAAATTCACCATTCTCAATAACATTCAAGAAATGCGAGCTAAAAATTTTGAAGCGATCCGTGCCCTGCTAGATATTGCTTACATGCAAGGCAACTCTTTAAAGGACTCATGGAGTGTTGTTGTTTTATGTATCAGTCAATTAGAAAAACTTCAAATTGTAGGCGGAGTGGCTGCTGAAGATGCGTCTCGCACTCGAGGTGTGTCTGAACGATCAACAACAAAAGGAAACTCTTCATCTCGAGTATCTGGACGCGGTGGTGTACTTGATGATGTAGCTGCAGAAGCCAGTTCTCAAACAATGGCATTATCGGTAGATCGCATATTCACCGCAAGTGCAAAATTGTCGGGTTCTGCCATTCTCGACTTTGTTCGAGCACTATGTGAAAGTTCGTGGGATGAAATCAAGTCCAGTTCTGATCGTGAACATCCACGCATGTACTGCTTACAAAGACTTGTGGAGATTTCATACTACAATATGCGTCGTATTCGTGTTGAGTGGTCCAACATTTGGGCCATTCTTGGAATTCATTTTAATCAAGTTGGTAGTTATCCAAACACTAATGTTGCGTTTTTTGCTGTCGATAAACTCAGACAGCTGGCCATGAAGTTTTTGGAATTAGAAGAGCTGCCCAATTTCAAGTTCCAAAAGGATTTTTTGCGACCATTTGAAGAGATTTTACGCAGCAATGTTGACATCAAAGTCAAGGACATGTGCTTGGCATGCATTCAGCAAATAGTGACGGCCAAATCAAAGAATCTGATGAGTGGCTGGAAAATGCTGTTTGGTGCTCTTCTTCGTCCATCTCGTGATACCAATGAGCCGCTCGTCACACAAGCATTTGAAATCATCAAAGTGATATACAAGACAAGTTTTGAAAATGCTTTGGCGAATTCAGCTTATCCAGAGTTTGTTGCGTGTGTCGTCGAATTTTGTAAAAATGCCAAATTTGTAAGAATTAGTTTGAGTGCAGTAGAACTATTGCGTCAGTCTATTGGCCGAGTTGTTGAGATACTGTCCAAACAAGATCGTATTAATACAGGGAAAAACACGATTGCAACTCCATTGCATCTTGAGGAATTGACTTCTCCAGAACGTGTTGTTGTGAATCCACATACAGGTAGTATCCGTCATACTTCTGCTGAAGACGATGCATCTGTCAAGTATTGGATGCCGGTGTTATTTGGCTTACAAGATGTTATCATGACTTCCGAGTTGGAAGTTCGATCCAAAGGGTTGCAGTATTTGTTTGAGGTGCTGCGTGCTCATGGGGATACGTTTAGTTGTGAATTCTGGACTCTGTTGGCAAAAGGAGTGCTATTCCCAATCTTTGACGATCTCAAGCATTCCGGATCCACAAGCCTTGCCAATTCAAAATTTGCCAACAAGGAGGAAATGAGCATTTGGCTATCAACAACTTTGATTCAAGCACTTCGACAACTTGTGGATTTGTTTTCACTCCATTTTGATAGTTTGCAATTTATTCTTGGTAGTATGCTCGACATTCTTCGAACGTGTTTGACCCATGAAAACGAAGCACTGTCAAGAATCGGTTCTGCTTGTTTAACTCAACTTATTGAACACAACGCTGCTCGATTCAACACCGAGCAATGGAACAGCATTGTTGAATCGTTTGAAAGTCTGTGTCATGAAACCACGCCGTATTTTTTGTTTTTTAATGTGGAAGCTACTCGTGATTCTGATGGCCAACAATTATCTGATGAGATCAATCCCGCTGATCTGGATCCAGATTTGGCTTTTCTTAAACAACCGTTTGGTCCAGCACCAGAAAAAGTTGAATTTCAGCGACAACTTAGCAACTGCGTTTTGCATCTACTTATTATTCAAACACTCAATGACACCATGCTTTCTGGATCAAATGATGTGGTATATAAGGCTTTGGCTGCAGATCATTTGTTTAGACTTTTGGACTGTTTTGAACAGAGTTTTCGATTTGCCAGAGCATTCAATAGATATACGAGTCTGAGGGTAGCACTGTATCGTCTTGGCTATATGAAGCAGATGCCCAACTTGTTAAAACAAGAGACGCTAAGTGTAACTGCGTATATTCGGTGCATGACCAAGATTTTGTTGGATCAATCACCAGATAAATTGTTGTTGAGAGAACAATCTGAAAAAAAGCTTATTCCGTAAGAGCCAGCTGATACACCATGTAATCATTTGGTGATGGACGTGATTCATGTTACTGACATTTCATTTGTACATGAATAATTTTAGATTATGCATCCAAGTGCTATTACATTATAATTCATTTGATGGAGAGGCAAAACGGCGTAATTTGAATTCATGGAAACCAGTAATTGCCATGATCCTCAATACTGTGGTGGATTTAGACAATTCTCAATTCAGTCGACATATCAAACAATTCTACACTCATGTAACAAATTTATTATTGCATGATATGGGACCAGAGTTCCGATTGGTGCTGCATTCGATTTTCATAAGAACTGGCACCACGTTTGCAATTACATCAGATGAAACGTTTGTTGCTCCAACTACTGAAAACTCTATTTTGGCTACAGAGTCTGTATCAGAAAAAGAAGATTTACTACCTGAAGGAGGAAATGATATTGGAAGCTCTACTCTAGAATCATAAGTAAACTTATCGCTATAAATATGATTTATATAGCTCACAGTGCAAGGAGAGAATAAAATACAATACAGTTGATATTACAATGAGTTTATCTATTGTGGTTGATGAAATTTCAAAATTGTGTAATTCTGATGTATAAAATTAGGCTTGTTAACAAATACTTGAAAAATTATAAGATACATATTGATGTATTGCTTTAACATTACTGACAAGTATTACTACAAACTTGGTATATTGACACGCATTTATCAAGGTTGATGACCTCAAAGATTAGCGATTTCATAAACACCCAACAATATAGTGTCGTGAGTATTTCCAATGAAATATTAAAATATGTTTATTGGGTTTCAACCATTGCATTAGCGTACTGTTTTAGCCAATGTCTTGTAAATCACTCGGCAAATGCAATTGAAACTATTGATTTACTCGACCCAAAATACAATTATTGCTTTACCAATTATTGCCACTCATTTTACTAATATCACACCTCAAACCATGATAACCAACCACACATTGACAGATATATTCAATAACACAATAATATTAAAAATATTAAAAATCAAATCACTCATGAATGGTTTGTTCAGCCAATAGATTTGAAGAAATATTGGCAGGATCAGTCACCAAAACACATGCATCATCACAACTTGTTTGCATATCAGCGGAACTTGACTGCATAGATGAACTTGCTTGAAATGGTTTGTCATGGGTTGGGGTTGTAGTCATTGTAGCAGACTCGATCACACTATCTGTTTTCTTGATGGTCATTAAATGTGGTATATCAGTATATGTGGAACTAGCTGCTGATGTTGCATTTGCGCCAAATACAATACCACCTCGCACAAGAATCGTTCTGATGGTTTGACGAGCCTCAAATGGCATATCAAATTGAATCAGTCCAACAACTGGGTGATAAAATTGCCAAATATGTTCCGAAAATTGAGAATCTGTAAACCGAGATAACCCATTCAAGATAATTTGAACTACTGGTCGCCATGCACTAATGTTACGCTTTCGGCTTTCCGGATCCAATGTATTATAATAACAGAGAACGTCATATGCAAGCCTGTGATTTTAAAATTACAAATATCAGCAATAAGTAAAGTTTAACAAACATGCATTGAGCTAGAATGATGCACTTACGGGATTAAACGCTGCTTAATCTGATCGTGACTAGAAATACGTTCTTTTGACATATCGCCAAACATGCAAAATAGCGCCATAAAATACCCAGAGATGCTCAAAGTTTCTTGTTTAAGCAAATTAGGTGGTTGTTTCATAAATCCCATTCTAAATAACATGGTTCGTAACTCCCCGTCAGCATTAAACAGTTTTGCAAACTTGTAGCTTTGAAATAGACAGTCAACAAGTTTAAGCACTTGGTATGACTGTAAAGAATTATATACGGTTGGGTTGTGATCAGTAGAGAGAAGTTCTTGCAAAGTTTGAATGACTTGCAGATGCAATACACATTTAAAAATAATGCGTTGAAATTCTGATTTGACCGGCTTGTGAGAATAAGGTCTACCAGTCGCACATAAAGGTCGTTGTGGTTCTTTTTCGATCGGTAATGGCGATTGTTGGAGTAGCTGTGGCGGATGTATTGGTATTGTATCAGAATCACTGTGTGGAGCCTTGTCTGTCGTGACAGATAAAGGCTGCTTGACTACTTCGTTGATGTCAAAAAACAATTCATCCGGCATCGTAAATTCGCACAAATAAACAAGCCGATCACATATTTTATCCCAAGAATCTGCATCAAACTTTGTCGCATTTTCTTCAATAAACTCTTGCAGACACGTTGATCCAATTTTAGACAGTGTTTCGCTCTCCTGTGTCATGCAGATCAATAGCAGATCAACAATCTCATTGAACATGAAAAACAGCGCCAAATAATGATTCGAAAAAAGCTTGACGAATTTACGCAGTGCAAGAATCAGAGTTGTGGATAACCATACAGACATGTCCTCTCTGTTGGAAAACTTGCTTTGATCACTGCGAGTAATGCGAAGATCGTCAAAAATGGGAAGCAAAACACCTTTGTAAATCAGTGACCAAAAATCTTGTGAAAAAGAGTTTCCATGTTCATCCAAAGCATCGAATAAAAAGTTGAGCGCACGAGTACGAACTTCTAAATCACAGGTCATGACAACCTCGTATAATCCAAACAAAACAGGAAACCAGAACCGAATGGATGGATTATCAGCAAGTGTTGTTTGTTCTATATGAACTTGCATTTCCGGTTTGGGTAAAATCGGAGTGGAAAGCAGCTGCATAGCATGCTCAACAACATCACTTAGATTTTCGCCAGTTGAAAAGGCTAATTGATTTGGGCTCATGGCTTCCAGTCGTTTCTCAACATGTACAATTGCTTGATGAAGAAGCTCTACAGATTGAAGGCATATTTTTGGAAAATCCTGATTTTTACAAAACTCGACAAGACAGTTTACGTAGTCACCAAAAGTATAATTTCGAATGACTAAATCCAAATGATTTATGGAAATGGACTTGACCACCTCAAATGCAAGCATTACAATGGATTCTACACATTTTAAAATAAAAGCATATGGTGATTTAGTCAAATGCTATAATTAAATCGGTCAAATACAAGTCAGTTGTGAGTATCAAAAGAAATCATACACACCATGCTTTTCCTGAGCTGCTCTGCAAAACGTGCTAAACATTGCCTTCCAACCACTCATCAGATTCTTTGATTTGGCATTCACCATCTGTTGCAAACAAACTAAGCACATATCCTTGATTTTTACGTCGGGATTATTTCTAAAAATCTCTTCAAATGGTCGCAAAAAATCCTTTTGGAACTTGAAATTGGGCAGCTCTTCTAATTCCAAAAACTTCATGGCCAGCTGTCGAAACTTGTCTAAAGCAAAATAGGCTACCGTTGCATTAGAATGGCAACCGACTTGGTTGATGTGCTTACCAAGAATGGCCCAAATGTTGGACCACTCAACACGAATACGACGCATATTGTAGTATGAAATCTCCACAAGTCTTTGTAAGCAGTACATGCGTGGATGTTCACGATCAGAACTGGACTTGATTTCATCCCACGAACTTTCACAAAGTGCTCGAACAAAGTCGAGAATGGCAGAACCCGACAATTTTGCACTTGCGGTGAATATGCGATCTACCGATAATGCCATTGTTTGAGATGCAATTTCAGCTGCAGTGATTGCATCTCCAATTCTCTGCATTGCTGTAGGTTTGGATGTATCTTTACGTACATCATACGGAGTTCTAGCAATCCAAAAGCATGCCACGACAAATTAGGATCAAAATCAAAATCAAAATTATTATCTAAAACCATTACTTACCTGAATGTCATGTCATCACTATCCTGAGTACCAAGCAACTGCAGATTTTCAAGTTGACTCACACACCGCACAATATTTCCCCAGTATTCACCCATAGAATTCCCATCAGCCAATGCAATTCGAAAAAGCAATTTGGCAGCCTCGAGATGTTTTGATTTGATCTCGCTTATATTTCCAAGAACAGTAAACTTGGTTAAACTGGACAAAAACGCGCGTTTTTCAAACTCGAGATCAAACAGACACGATAAATGCGTAGCACTCTTGAAGCCCTCCAGAGATACTTCAATGATATCTATGTTATCGCTCTGTTGTAAAGGTGTTGATATGGCCATGAGAATTGACATCCACAGCAATTGAAACATGGGTTTGACGTTTTCAAACTGAGTGGCAGAGATAAAAATAGAATCAGTGGGAGATGAAGAATCGTTGGTAATTGATAGGTTGGTGTGTGCTGGTGAAACTGGACTCCCATCAAGTTTATCACTTCCTCGTGTGATTATACCAAACATGGCTTCGGTCTTTAGCGATAGATTGATTCCTGCTTGATCTATCTTTAGTTTTCTCATGGGCTGATTAAGAGTATCTTGGTTATCGTCACCACCACCTGATCCAGCCACTTTTTCCACCTCGTCTTTCATGACAATCTCATTGGCATTGATTTCATCAAAAATTTGCTCAAGTACATTGATCGAAAGGTCTTTTCCTTCATCAATGCCTCGATTGTTTTTCAAAAAATCGGCTTTTGTCATCTTTCGCTTGACCTGTGCATTGTGCTGGTCAGTGTTAAGCATGATCACTGAATACGCAAGCACATATGCGGTGTCTGCACTCGAAAATGCTTTGGGATTGCCTTTAAGATACCGCTCTGCAAATTTCAGCATGAACCGATCGATTTTTTGAGATTCACCAGGAAGACGGAAACTTTGTAAAAACGTGCGGAGTGCTTCAACAAACCCAAGATTTGTAAACTCCATTTCGTCAACAAATGCATGCATAATGGCAATGTTTTCATCGTCACCCTCGCCAAGAAATTCACCAATCATTCCTTTGCTCAACCCTTCAGCGGTGAGTAAAAATCGAGCAATATCTCGTGGTGTGCGAGTTGAAATACAGTTGGAGTCGAGTAAAAATTGCATACCCTAATGACAAAATGTGAGTATGTTGAACATAACAAAACAGCATTATTAAACATGTCTACCTTTTTGGGTTTGTAGTTGAACAACTTTATGCCTTCAATCAGTGCACGTTTCTTGTTTTTAAGCGTTTCAAATGCAGTAGGATCATCAATGCCATGATAATAACCAGTGGTAGGATCCAATCCTCCCCAAACAGGTACAACTGCTTTAGGTTTGTCACTAAACTCGTCTGGAGTACCACTTGCCAATTTGGTTAAAGAAGCTTCTTCAGCAGCAACACTACTCATCCGTTCATGACACCAACCAATAAGTGGTTTCAGTACACCACTGACCAAAAGCTGTAATGCACATAATTTTAGCTCGTTGGGATCACCACTAGCAAGATAAAATTCACGGATTTCATCACGAGTCAAATGAGGTAAATTTGCAATGGCAAAGGAAGGCATTGAACCTCCCGACCATATTCCGCTTGATTTGACCACGATATTTTGTGGAGATTTTTCTGAAATAATTACATCGGCTGTTGAAGTAATGAGTTTTGCTACTGCCGACACGAGTCGTTCTAGGATGTTTTCGGATGGACCAGAATGTGCATCACAATCGTAATTCAAATATAGTTCAACCAGCATCCGACCACTTTGTGAATGTGTTGACAATGATCGATGGAGTGAATTGCACAAAATCACTCTTTGTCGGTATGTGGACGATGGAATTCCAGATTTAATTTCAATAAATGGAAGAATCACTTCAGTCATCATGACCAAAATTTCCTTCTACAAATTGTATTTTAAAAATGTTAAATATAGGAATGTTCAAGCATGACATTTTAAAAAAACACAACTTCCTACTTTTAAAATAGACCGTAGATCTTGTAGAATGCAACCAAAAATCGCCATGGTGATTTCAGATACATGAGGAAGCACATTTACAATATTTCTTGTGAATACCAAGCACAAGTATTGCTTGACAGCAAGAATAAATGCAACGGATGGTAATGTAGGCGTAGCTTGATGATTTTTCCAAGAGAAAAGAATAGGTGCGGGTGCGAAAAAGACGTGCTTGTGCAGTGTAAGAACCTGATACACTAGATGCAGGGATAGAAGCTTGGATCTCATGGCAATGGATTTTATATCAGTTGGCTGATCTGCAGTTCCAAAAGGTTTCATGCTGAGTTTACAAATAGCTCGAAAAACAAGAAATGCGTCCTTTACATGCTGGTCGTATACTGTTTCCAACCCAAGTCGGCGTGCTTCAGATTGAGCGGATATAATTTCCTGTGATGTTCTCACCAAAGTTTTTCGTTTGCTTTGTTTTCGAGGCATGCTTCCACTAGCAGATCTATCGGAAAGTTGACTCCTATGTCGTGTGTTGAGTAATAAAACAAAAACACAGTTCAAGCAAACAATACAAACAACAACTATACTTACAAGCTGTCTAAACTAGCTGTTTTAGAGTGACGGATTGAATTATTTGACTGATCTTCATCAGTTTCCATCGAGTTATTGGGCTGAGATTCGACTGTAAGATAATCCACTGCTTTCATTTCATTGCCTGTATCACCATCACGCAACTTGGAACCATCTTCTGTCAATTCTACATCACCGCAATCAAAACCTAGTCGTTGCAAATGACGTACAAGAAAGCGACTTGAACCAAGAGATTCAGGAATGTGTGAATAAACGGTTTGTACAATCTGGGTCAATGAGGCTTGAGCAATAGTTTGCACGTTGGTAGTTTTAGAGTGTAAAAATATATTATAAACTGCTCGCATAGCTTTTAGTAATAATTTTCCATGAATAGCCGATCTGGGATTAGACGTGGTGATTGCAGATGTGATTGCCTAATCAAGAGTCGTGTAAACATGATGAATAGAAATGATAATGCCAAGATTTAAACATGTTATACAGTCGATCACCTTGACAATCTGTAGTTGTGTTGACTCGTCAGTTTGGCCAGTATGATTAAATGAAGCACAAATTACATCCACGACAGTATTTACAAATAAATGGCGATATAAAGCCTGATTGAACAGATCTGGACTTTCTGATGCAAAATGACCTTCGCCATCATCATCGTCGTCATCATCATGCAGATTGATACGATCTTGAGATGGATTTGTAGATTGTAAATGAGCCTGAGGTTCCAAAGTGGGTTTTGAATCCAGTTCGGATGCAGGGATGCTATCACCCCAAAAATCATAGGAGAACAACTTTCCTATGCAGTCGATAGCAATGGGAACAGCAGGATGAGTGCGCAACTCACAAGCCAAACGAAGTGGAAGAAACACTGCATCTCGTACTTGCTTCAAGTCTGTTTCACCAGCATTAACGAGTACTGTATATTCAATGACCACAAGTTTAAACAGTCAGGTTAGTATATCAATTGACTGTTGTTTAGAGTCAAGCAGTCAGTTTACAAGTGCATTCACCAATCCAGAACACTAATATTATTACAAGATCCACTCTAGTCACACTAGAGTAACAACGCAGCAACTCACTCAACGCCTTGGTGCATGCGTCCTTCAACTCTACACGCTTCGCGCTGTTGGAGTTGTTACCCTTGGCTGAACTAATCTGAAGTTCCAACAATGAAGCTCTGATTATCACAGCATAAAGCATAGTAGATATTTCTGTATTGGAAGCTGCTGCACTATGCGTAGATTGTTGTGTAGTCAAAGGAGTATCTGCAGTAATAGTTTCAGTAGTCATGACACTACTGGCAGATTCACTAGTCTCGTGCTGACCATTGGGTGATGATGACATGCTGCTAATAAAATATATATCCAGTAGTGACCACTGTTGGTGGTTTTAACAGTAGATCCGCTCTTGCCAGTTGTGATGTTGAAATTTGTGGATTGAAATCGCTTCAGATTGTCAGTTTAAATCATGTGACGAACTGTTGCATTGAAGCTTGATCAAATATTAGACTTTCCATCGAGTGTTCTTGCAGTGATTGTCATGTTCTGTTTGAATGTTTTTAGTTTTATCAATATTTTATAAAGCACAATTCATGCTAAACACTCGAGGTTTTACTGCTGAAAGTGATCAATCTATTAATATGTCAGAAATACATGACAGATGTTCTTTATTCAGCCGTGCTTGATAACGACACCCAAAACATCATGTCGTTTCAGTTTATGCTTCAACTCTACAGTGGGTTGATAGTTCATAACTTGAATCATACATATCGAATGTATGGCTGATTATTGCAAAATTCTTATTACAAGTCAACCATCCATCGTCACAACACATCAAACACTAACAGTATATTCAATAACCAATCGTTATTTTATGCAGAATGAGAGCTGCTGCTAATCCTACTACTGCAAAAATAACTGCATCCAATCGTTGCATTAGTGTCGTTCGTTTGTTGGCTCGAATGGTTCGCAGCATGTGTTGTTCTTGCTCAAGCTGTCGCGTTGCTGTCATGTCCTTGAGCAACACTTCCTTTTGTAAAGTACTGCTAGCACAAGGATCTTCCTGTGTTAAGACAGTATCTGAATGTGATGGATCAACATGGGTCGATACTTTTGGCTGTGAATCTGTTTGCGTATCCGTTGTAGGTGTTGTACTTGTTTTCAGCAATGGTTCAGATACTGCACAAACAGTTGTGGGATCAGCGACCGTTGTTATAGATACAGATTTGTTATCAGTGTTATTGCCAACACTGAGTGTGATGTCTGGATCCAACTCTAGTTTTTGAGTGGGCGCTTCGGTTTCATCTGGCAGCACATTCGACATTGCCACTCCGCAAAAACTACATTTCCATTGTCTGCTGCTGACAGCACACTTGCGTCGTTCTTCTTCTGACCAGTCTAATGCTCCAATCGCCCCCTCGCCTTTTGTAGGAAAGAATGAAATGAGCGCTACAAGTGCTGTTCTTACACCCCAAGCAGGACGCCATGATTCTGGATGATATCCAGTGATGGACAAGCATATCTTTTTCCCCACTTCAAACCTTCCATTGGGCGTAAGAAAAGAGATGTTGGGAGGCTGTTGTAATCATAGTGTCAGTACATGAGTTGATAAGGAATCAGGATTGGCTTTGAGCAGGTGGATGGAAAGCGCAGGGATGCAATATGATTCCAAGCCAAACACACATGCATGGATATTCAAACGATGCTTACTTGCCTTGAATGGATAATCAACAGGAAATATCAGTCTGCCATGGTATCGACCTCCTAGAAATCCACCATCTGGAGGTCCTCTCAATGTAAAATGCCTAAACCAAAGTGATGAGTAAACTAGGTTATTATAAAGATACTCCAAAATACTCTTGTAAAACCATGCATATTTCTATTAGCATACCATTCCAATAGGTTGTCTTCAAGAGGCTCTGCAGTGAATTCTGGTGAAGGAGCGGCACGCAGCTCAGCAAGCTCCTTCATAAGTCGCTTCACAGCAGGACTACGACTAGATGCAGTTGCCATGAATAAAAAGTAACGAATATCAATGGTATAGAATACACTAAATTAAACTGTCAAGTTTGAATGCTTCAAGACAGAATCGATTCATGCAGTTGTCAGCATAAACTTTGGAAAGAACAGTTTGGCGTTTTACTCAATTCACGTAAAACTAGAATGTTCAAAGCAGTATTCGCATGGTTTCAGTTTATCAGATTCTTAAAATCAAACATTGTAATGTTGCCATCAAAGCAACAATTGCATTTCTAAAACGTAAAATCTGTTTGAATTAAATCGCAAGTAGTTTGAGATTGACAGTACAATAAATGAGTTTGTATTTCAAATCATTAAAACTAGACTATAATAATACATTCGAGTATTGTTCAATATCAAAAATTCGCTTTATTCATAAAATACCAACCCAAAATACTCGATAAACACTCCAATCAACGTATTGATTATAGATTGAATGGATACCAAATATCATTTGGTAATTGAGTAAATAATCTAGGAGCAGGTGGGGAAAATAAAGCTGTACCAACGCTATCTACCTTGACAAATGATACTGAAGAACGAATACGAAAGGTTTGAGTGGATGTACCCACCCCACTAGAGGCTGCACCATATGTAGCTGGATCGACGCAATCGGTTGGGGTAATGCATCGCCATTGGAATTTTCCTGATGTGTAGCTGTATCGTACACCCACAATCGCACGTTGCGGATTGGTCAATACTCCCAGATGTGTATACAAGACTTGTATATCAAATCCAGTCAGAATTGATGAGCAAGTTCCAACTGTATCCGTGATAGACTAAACAATACAACACTTTTAACTCTGGATCGCAATTTCAAAAAAATAGTCAAAACATACCTGTGTGCCTGTGAGTGCAGTGGGAACGGTGTTGATAATCGGAACCCAGTCAAAAATATTTTCAACACTAGCATTACCAAACATTCCAACATGACTCAATGCACCAGCAGTCAGTGTTTGCAAAGTAAACACCTGCGATCGAATGGCAGCGCAATTGGAATTGATTGCAGTGCGATTGAATTGAAGCGTACATCCATATACAGACGTTTCGCCAAATGTGATTGGAACTCGACGAGCGTAATCTGTTATTGTTGGACATTGAGATCGACCACCTGGCACCTGTGAAGGAACATCTGTTGGAAGAGTGATTCCAAATTGTATATCTGGAGTGTAAGATATAGCTGATGCAGTGCCAGATTGAGTCAAAAGTCCTGCAAGTATAGGCGAACCAATTCGATATCCTGGTGTTCCCGATTTGATTACATTTGATGTTCTTGCATATTGAATCTAAGTATATCACCGTGAATTAGACAGTCCATACATTTCAAGCAACACAAGTGTTTGTTGAAAAATACATACAGATGGTGCAAAGTTGGTAATGAAAGTTTGTTTGATTGCTGTTCCCGAATTGATAGTATACGATCCCAGTACAACATCAATGAGTAAATCTGTGAAATGTGCATTTGGTAGTGTAGAATAAATAAAGGTATAAGTGACCTAGTTTACAGTAGAATTCGTGTTAGTAAATACAAAAATGTTGCAATAAGTTTAAATTTTTATTAATTACCTGAACAACCATTTGAGAACAAATTGATCCACTGATAGTAGGCACAGTTGCAGCAGTGGGACATGGCATACGAAGCCCAGTGATTGCATCAATACACGTTACGCTATTGATTGTAGGCGCAACAGTTGCTGCATTAGCAGATGGATCCTAAAAAATCAAGACCACGTATTCAAAAAATCAAAATAAGCTGTATATTTAATCAAACGTCAACTGCACTTACAGTAACAAGCTGGAATCCATTTGTATAGTATGCAAGATGAAATATACTTCCGGCTGTGCATGCCATAGTCACGTTTGAAATTATACGCTGACAGGAACCACTTCGAGATACCATGAATTCTAAATCATGTACGAGGATCAAATACGTGTAAGCTAGATATTTCCAAATCAAAATAAACTGGAAATCAATATAGCGATGGATATTTACGAGCTGGAGAAGCGTCATTGCATATCGAATCAGGTGAAGATGTAGGAAGTGGCATGGCACCCTTGAGTCCAACAGCAGGGAAAAATAGCTGTACTGGATCACCAAACTATAATATTTAAAGCATTCAATTAGATTAGCAAATCCCAGCACAGTACGTGTGAGGCTCTACAAAATGAGCACTGCAGTCAAAAAGTTAAACTTGCACGATAAGATTGCACGCTCAAATAGCTCAAGTCAATGTCATAAGAGGGCAGACTTGCAGGGTAACTAGCCAAAGCAAATTGAGAACTAAACGCTGCATCTTGGGTGTACTGTCCCGTATATTTGAAAAATCTTCCTGTTGCCGCACCTACACAACATAGGATTCAAGAGTGGTTAAATCTAATCGAGAATGCAGAGATTTAATTGATTTGAGCTTACTATTTGCAAACACGACGCAGAGTGCACCGCCAGATGATCTGTATACTGATGCACCCAGTTGACTCTGCCAATTGACTGCTGAGAGGTATTGGGAACAAAATGGTAGCGATGAATGAGATTGACTCAACGGAGGTGCAACACAACCAGTAAAATACATTTGTTGATCAGCCAAACTGCAATCTAAATCACAACAGCAGTTTGCATCGCATTTTCCAACAGACAGGTCGCACGAACAACCTCCAATATCTAAATACACGCATTTTCATCAAAAACCGCATACATGTTGAGGAAATTCAAGCTTTAATCTGGACAAGAGTTAAACCGAGATGACATTGACTTGCCTCTATTCCAATTTGTCAAGGGCTGAGAAGTAACCACCTAAACCAAATATAAACGATTAGTATCACCACAATCTATACATTCAGTTTCACCACGATGATAAGTTTGTTGTAACTGATTTAAACATGCATTTGTAAAGTCGATGGCAACGGGTGACTGACGAATATCTGCTGAAAGCTGTGCAGATATCAAAGTATAAACGAATGATAAAACCAGTAGTATTTGAATAAAATATTCAGCACATGTAGGGTTTCTGTCATTATGACAGTATTTTTTGAGCATAAATGATGGATTATGCATAGTTGGCACGACAGAAACAGATGCGAATAGTATGCACAAATGTCGGATTGTATTGAGCGGAGTTTATCAAGCTGTAGCACGTCCACAGGAAATTCGTTTGGCTACAACAAAAATCATGTAAACTGATTATACCAGTTCAAATGGTATTTTGTATCAGTGCCAAAAACCTCCAAAGCGTCTGAAATAAATGGATTTCACTGTAAAAAGAGATATAGTACATAAACTATCAAGTTGTGTCGCATTTATTTTTATGATTTGTAAAAAACAAATCAGACATGATGAGTTCTGTGTTGATATTCACATCAATTTTACATGGAGGTGTTGCTTGTTTCGAAAGTGATATGGATGACTGAGGTAGAGATGCTCGAATCAGTGCATTTGGTGGCAAACTTGAGGGATTCAGTCTTGAATCGTCAGGAGTCGCCATTTCTATAGTTGACGTAGTAGATGTGGGTGCTATATCTCTACTCGTCCAATCTGGTGGAGTTTTGTCAGTAGTAGGCGTTAGTCCGCGAGTCGAGTTTTCGCTTCTCGGCTCTATTTTACGACATAAAACATATATAAAGTTTTTGATGATGGAGCCTTGATCGTATGGATTTCCTTGATCGGTAGGTTCATTCCAAGTACCATTTCCTCTGCGAATTTGTTCGTGGGTAGTGATTCCCTGTGCAATAAGCCAGGTATGATATCCAACCATCATACAAAGAAACCAGATGGCCAAGCAGCCAAGAACAAGAACACCAAAAGATACTGGGTTATCACGAATTGTGTTGCTAGAAGTTGAGTGTACTAAAAATAGCACATGGGATGCAATGATGATCCCAATAAAAACAAGTGTAGTGCATAGAAACATATAAAAAAACCGGTAATTTCTGTATCCAACACAAGTGCCCATCCATGGACAATGATGGTCATGTCCTTGCACACAACGATCACATGTGGCGCAATGAAATGTGCGTGGTGGTCGCCATGATAGACAGGTGTTGCAGTATTTGACAGATATTATATGGCCATTGACCAGCACAGTCTTTACATGCGCAAGCAATGTTTCCGGTGGATACTGTGACTGAGATGGACCAAGTTGCTGTTGAGAAATAAATGGATAAGAGTTGCTAGTAAGACCGTCAGGTACAGTAGATGAATTTCCAGTAGATAATAGGGATGGATGCATATCCATATTTTTTGGAACGTACTATATAGATTTATGTTAGTCTAGCATTTGTTTGAACATCGAATACAACTTTAGCCAATACGTACACCTGGATCCGTGAAGCTTGTGGCAAAAAGCAGTATGATGGACAGAGAAGCAAACAGAATAGCAAATACAGTGAGGAGAGGGAATCCGTGGTACCACAAGAATGGGAATCTGAATTTATAACACATATGCAACAGGTGAGTTGGATAACAATGATGAAATGGATTAATTTTAGGGATGCTTTAAAGGACAAACTTACACATAGACACTGGTCAGAATACTGGGCACAGTGACTAGCACAAGGGCACACACAAACACATACTGGTCCGGTCTTGTCCAACTGCGTAGACAGACTCTGGATATGAGGTTTTTGAAGGACTCTTTTTGAACTGTATTGTCATTGACGACATCATCAATCGAGGTCTCGTTATGACAGTTTTGACTAGATGGTTGCTGCTGACAAGACAGGGTTTCATCCAGAGTTTGTTGCTGATGGTCTGAGGACTGCAGTAGAGTAGCACCTGAATGGTAGTTGGCATTGGTAGCATTTGGATGATGAATGTTTCCAAAAATCCCACTAGCCTCTCCAGCAGTATCAGTTGATTGTTTCAAGTGTTCAGTAGGTGTTTGTCGTTCAATCATATTAGCAGCCATAATTTGAAGTTGATTGATAGTATTAACAGTAGTCTGACCAGCCAGTTGGGATTATCAAACTGTCAATCCTGTTCTAATTCAAATCCTGTTTTTGTATTGAATAAATGGAAACTTGAGCATTTATATAAATGCTTGAACTGCAGCGAAGCCACTATCAACTATTGATGACATCTTCATTTTCTAGTCAATACACACATGAGTGTTGATCAAGGCAATGTCATGTCCACTGGTGAGATAATCACTGTTGCTGTGGACGCTTGTCCCCCCAACAGTCGTTGAGACGTTTGTGCCGTTGCTAGATCTGATGCTATCACTACTGTTGAACTAGTACTGTTGACTGTGGTTGGATGACTGGACTCGACCATGCCAGTAGTTCCATGTGTTGCTAATCTTGCTTCGTCTAGCCCTTGTCTCAAGACATCCATCAATGCTGCATCTGTTGGTAAAGGAGACGGCATCAGCAACTGTGACTTGATGGCTTCCATTTGTATTCTACTAATGGACTAATATTGATAATCAGCAACGATCAAGGTTTGATATTTGAATATTAAAGATGAATGCAACAGCTGATACAAAGTCATGTTCAACTCACTCCTGATTGTGCAATGGCTTGAATAAGAGAAGATGGATTATTATGTAATATGTCATATACAGCCTGTTTTTTCTGTCTGGTTTCGTAGTCGTCCATATCACTTGATGTCATGTCAAGTTTTGAATCTTCAATTTCACTGTTGTGTTCACTTGAAAACATCAAGAATGTTGTTAATAAATCATTAAAATGTCCTGTTGATGATTTATTAATAATATTAAATTATTAAAATTAGTTTCTTGAACTTGATTACAAACTCAAGTTTTTAAATACATTTTTATTGGAAACCTAAATATTTATTCATTCTAAAAAAGTAATCAATGAAAGATAAATGGTTTATTTTACGTGAATAGAGTTGTAATCCAATTAACTTTGGTAATGCCATTAAAACACTTTTCATCACAGGCTCATGCATCCACTCTTTCTCCTCCGCCAGCTATTCGTATCATACCTACCGCACCAAATAGCTTGACATTATCACATCAGAAAAATACTCTACAACAAACAGCATCTCGACCTCATCTCATCACTACTGCTGATTTTGAACTCAGTAATATTGAACTTGCCGAGTTCACTGACGCGTTCTCCTTGTTTGACTATCATGGATCTGGCCATATCAGTAAAAAAGAAGCTCGTATTGCCATGCGCTCGCTTGGATTTGATACAACCAAACAAGAGTTTGATTTAGTGATGGGAAATGTTGGTGTAAAGTCAGACGAAAGTAGTATTAGTTTGGCTCAATTTATCCAAGTGATGCGATATCACAAGGTAGGATGCTGAACCAATTCGTCACGCTCAAAGTTTCTAATTGAATGATGCTACAATTCAATATTTTAGGCAGAACAGCAGGCCAAACTGCAAATGGCAAGTTTGTTTCAAACCGTTTTGGCATTGGGTGGATCATCTAGATCATCATCTAGTGAAAGTCTGCAGCACACTCAGTCTACGTCCATACGGTTCAGTAACAGTCGAATGGGCATTTCAGCTATAAAAAATGAACGAGATATTCAACATATTTTGAAACAAAAGCTACATGCTTCAAACACAGACCCATCAAAAATGGAAATCAATACAGGTATTACTGGAGACCATTTGAAAAGAATTGCTGCGTTGGTCGGTGAGCCATTATCAAATGAGGATGTTCGAGATATGATGGAAGAGGCTGACAAATCCAACTGCGGGTTAGTTACCGAGCAAGATTTTATAAAACTGATGCGTAAAACTGTAAGTTTGATTAATGTTTATAAACCCTGACTGATACTGACAGTCTGTTTCTATTGCAATATTAGTCTCTTTGGTAAAATGTTGTCTATTTTTAAAGTTGATGATCAATAAAAACCAGTCAGATACATCCACGCTGACAAAAACTCGAATACTTTCCAAAACTCTAAACAAGCTATACAAAACAGACATGTCTAATAAAGATAAGAATGCCAAAGATGCATCCAGTGGATCTCGAGGTAGCATGTCCATCATTGGAGATGCAATTTTAGCAGAAACCATCAAGAAAGAGCTACGCCATTTTAAACTCAATGAAAAGTATACACAAAGTCCGAGTTCTGTCAAGAGTAAGTACGATCCAGTTTGTACGAGTACTAGAATAATCGACATTAATGATTATTTTTGGATAGATTTGGTGTTTACAAACAAGCCTACGGATAAGATGCTATATAGAGATATGACAGACCAGCAAGAAAAAGGTGAGCGATGAAATGCGTGTACATCATTATGCAGTCATAATATTGATGCGATATAAATGATGACTAGAAACATACAATCGCCTACACGACGCATTCCCACTACATGATGTCAGTGATATTCCCAAAACAACTTCGAGTATTTATGGATGGGATACTCGACCCTTGGTACGCATTACAGACAGACGATTCCATCATCCAAAAACAGTGACTGAGATTACAAAAATGTACGAGACTTGTGTTGTTGCAGGAGGAAAATCAAAACCATTTGGAAAGACGGGAGCAACAAACGGAGTGAATGCATAAACTGAATAAACTAGTTTTGGTGAATGGTTTAGATTGTATGAAATAGCACGATCTGAGTGAAGTGGAATAGATGAGAATCTTTACATTGTATTTAAATAGGAATGAATGATAATCAAGTCAAGCAAGATGAGCATCAGAAACTATTGATGATGCAAGCAGATGAGGCTCGAAAGACTGGCAATATTCATGTAACTAACAGTATTATAAATGTCCAAGAGAATACAGAACATGCGCTAACTAGGAATACATAGATATCCTTTCGACATCATATTCAACTAGCTGGTCAAGTCTTGGCTCGATTGGAAGAAAGAACGGATCGTTTATATGAAACTGGAACCAGTCAACAGCAGACATTAACATTGATGAATAATCTGGATTCACAAATAGCAGAAATCTACAAAGACTTGCAACTGGCTGTTAGCACTCCAGAATCAACAGCATCAAAAGACTGCAGGTCTGGATTTACAACTGACATGTTGGTTCCTATGTTGCCATTATCTCCACTTACAAAACGATTGGCATTGTCTGCACAACTGTACCATCATGCAGACTCTCAATACAAACAGTCTGTCGCTCCATCTTCTGCAACTATTCTACCTCCAGCACCATTGGCGTCTGTTCGTCGCATGCTCGAGGATGTCAATATTGGACGTGATAAACTCCAGCAATTGCAGTCACTGATGGATTCTGTAGCTACTGTTCCAATCACTGCCTTCTCTCCTGCTACTCTCTCTCTTCATATGGCATTTATAAGTGTTGAATTGTTTTCGAAAATTCCAATCTTTCTAGAATTACAGTCTGTTGCTGGTCCTGAATCTGTCAAGGAGTTTACGCGACGATCCATGGATTGGCATCAGTACATCTGCCATTTGGCTATATCTGCCATTGTCCTGTCTACTCCAGAATCTATTTTTGGAAATCAGACAAGATCAAATTCTGGTCATACTTTGCCTCCCACTGCCGATCATGCTCGTGCAGCTGCCATTGAAACTATTGTTACCACCATGTGTTATTCCACCTATGTTTACCGGGATTTAGAAACTGCTACGGCTTTATTAGAAGCTTTGCAATCTAAACCTATTCTTTGTTTAAAATCATCTTGGGCATTGTTAAAAAAACAGGTGATGGATCAGTACATGCACATGTCTGATCTGCTGCACCATGATGGGCTCATGGAACTCACTACAGAGATTGTCATATCACATCAGCAGCGTAGTGGTATACATGCTATTGATGGAAATAGTTCTGCAAACAATGTGTCTGTGATTGTCGTGCCATGCATGCATTATCTTGTTGAAAATTTGATTGAAATACGAAATGAGTTTGGCACAGATTCGTCAGCTATGCCCAAATTGTCACACATTGGATCACAGAGACTTGAAAACATGATCAATTTAGCAAATGCATGTCAATCCAATTCGTTGTATTTGAATCTTCAACAACCAAGTCTTTTAGTAAAAGACACGCTTACAGCTACTGGCGTGACTGGATCTGCAAGTAGTGCAGTTTATAAAATGGATCTTTCTATGCCATCCGCACCTGTATTTCTTTCTGGTATTTGCGCATCCAATGAAACACTTTTGCATTGGTTGCTGACAAGGGTATATCATGATATGTCAGCATTGGATGCACAGAGTCGACGATGCTGTTCGGATCCTACCGACTTTGATCATCGTGGTGGCGGCCAATCACCTACATTATGGACTCAAATTGCCTATGCTCATCAACAACTAGCTAAAATGAAACAGCAGCATTGTATTGCAGAAAACGAGCAGCGCAATGCACGACTACAATCTCAGAATCAAAAAAAAAATGATTCAGCTTCATCTATAAATGCTGATTGGACCAAACCAAATCATGAATTAAATGTCGATGCTAAAGAAAATCAAGTGGTTGATGAAGTAGATCATGCGGCACGAATCGCTTCGATGTTGGACAATCTTCCACACTCCATGACAACTACAGAGCAGACCAGCAATGCATTTGATTCGTCGCTTCTAGATCGGTTCTCCAAACTTGGTAAAAAATAGCTATAAAATACTTTGGATTCATGCCATTCCATCACATTTCAAACTGGGTTTATATGTTGCAGCTTACTTGAAAAACCTACACGTACATTGTGGTTGGATGATCGATGTTTTGTAACATCAAAGACGAATGAAACCAATTTATTTATGATTGCTATTATTTTCATGATCTGATGTATCGGGTTCAGACACATCACCATTCTTGTCTTGTACATCATCCTCGTCATCAGATTCTGTATCATCATTATCGTCACCCATGGCAGCCATTTTCATCTTCCATTGATGAGCCAAGGCCAGCAGTTTAAAGTTGGGCTTTTCATCCTCATCATCTGGGAAAATGTAATCGTAATACTCGTCCCAACCAGCAGGCGCACCATGCTCATCTTCAACTCGTCTACGTTTCTTGACAGGTCTTGGAAGCTTGGCCACCACGCTTTTGAGTGTTTCTGGTGTACCATGCAGACGCTCAAAATCACGCCATGCTTCGAGAAGAAGCACTCGTTCTTCTTTTGTTGAAGTCTTGCGCAAATGGGTATTGGACAAGGCAAACCGTGATCGACTTTGAGCAATAGCGGCTTGAGTGTCGCCATTATCCAGTGCACTCATTTCAAAGTTGGCAAAGCTGATGTGCACCTGAATGATGTATTTCCAATTTAAAACGTACCGATGCAGCATATTTAATATAAAAGCCCGTTAGTAAACACTCGTCACAATCTATTCCATTGTTCAGATTATGGATTACCTTGACATGATCAGTTAGTTGAAGCAAACGATGGTACAACTCGCGAGCATTCTTCCATTCGGTTTCCTTGATTTCAAAATCGATATATGATTTCCACAAAATCTCTGGCATATCTAAAGCGGGTTGTGCAATCGCAGCCTCAAAGATGGCTCGAGCACGGTCCTCGTCACCAAGCATACTTTCCAACTCTGCAAACTTGATCCAGCCATAACAGTTGACAGGATTCCACTCGAGATATTTTTGATATAGAATGCGGACACGATCAAAATCACGCAAAGAAAGTTCAAGTTCAATGTAGCTTTTGAATAGCCTTTCTTTGGGACACATGCCAATAGCTTGGCCAAGAACTTTGCGAGCTTGAGTAAGATCCAACAAGCGTATCAAAAAATGAGAGTACATGACCCATACCTTGGAAAAAGTAAATTGTTTGTGTGGAATCAATTTGATGCAGTTGATGTACACTTGACGGGCACGTTCCACATCATTTGCAACAGTTTCTTCCCATACTGCATAAAACAACCATAAATAAATATATCGTCTCCAGTATCGCTTTTCAGCAGCAGGCGGGACCTGAGCAATAGCACGCTCATACACTTCGCGTATTTTTTCATGTCGATCAGTGGATTCTTCCAAACGAATGTAGTCAAACCATACATCGTAGTTGTGAGGTGTCTCGGCCAGTTCCTCCTCATATTTGATACGGCGTTTAGACATGACAACGTGCTCAATGCCATCTTTCCCGCCATACTGTTTTTCAAACTGTGTGTAAGCATTGTAAAGGTTTTCTTTTTGGCCCTCGGGTAGTTTATCTAAAGCAAACTTGAAGATCATTCGAGCACGTTCAATCTCTTTAAGACGGGTTTCAAATTTTGCAAATGAAATGTACATGTTTTGATCAATAAAAGCATCACCAAGAGTCGACATGCATTGTTCGTAAATTTCCCGTGCCATATCTAAAACAAATGATGGTGAGATAAACATCAGCTTGCTATGTTGGTAAAGCATTAATAAAAAATAAATACTTGCCAACATTTCCACCAATTTCTTCAAACTTTGCCCATTTGATCCAGTTTTTAGGTTGAGGCATGAGCTGAACAAACCGCTGAAAGATGCGACGTGCGCGATCCACTTCGTGATAGCTAAACATGAACCAATTTGTAAAGATGAGCAATACGATTCAAGCACTTTGAAACCCAGATCAATAGATTGTTACCGTTTTTCAAACTTGACAAAAGCCATCCAGGCTTCTTCCGAGGGTTCCCATTCCATCCAACGCTCGAATATCTGTCTAGCACCAGCAACATTGTCCAGCAATTCTTCCATGTAGGTGTACTTGTACCAAAATAGATCTACACGAGGAAGAATAGCAACGACTCGATCCAATACATTACGAGCACGATTGATGTTGCGATGTTTCATTTCCATCTCTGCGTACTTTAGCCAAAGTGTTTGATTACGAGGTTCAAAATCAAGAGATCTTTCATAAACAGATCTTGCTCTAAGTTGAAAAATGAAATTAGTATTCATGCCAACACACCAACAGAATGAAATGAATTTACCGTTCAAGTTCGTCCTGAGATTCCTCCCATGCAGCGTATTTTAGCCAAGCTCCGACAGCAGTTCTATTTCGTCGAACAGCATCTTCAAAGCCTTTACGCTTTCCCATACGATAATCATCAAGCTCTTCCTTGTCAGCTATCTTTTGGACAGGCTGAACAGCAGGTTTCTCTCTAAAGCTTTCAGCTTCTTTAAGCAGCTGTTCAGCAGTGATCTGAACTGCTGCTGCATTCTTGTTCTTGACCTAATCAAACTGTGATTTTAACAGCAGGTTCAGGATGATAGGTCGTATTATGCATGCATTGATATCTGACCTTTGATGTTCTTTGTCTGTCCATTGCTCGAATAATTCTGGTCAAATTTCAGCAATTTGAAACAATGTCACGTGTTTAATCATCACAATTGACTCGAGTCATCAATGACCCAATACAGTGTCCAAGTTTTATATGAATACATTCAATTACAAAATGATAAAAAGTAGAAACAATTTTACTGCTGAAAAGAGTTGAATTCACGAATCAAATGGTTTCAACTATTCTACAGTTCAGACAATTAAAATCCATCTTATTATATTTGACCAATTATAAACTAGATAATCACCCTTTTCAGTGAACGCGGTAACTGAGGCTTTACCTCCCTTGAACAACTTGGGCTCAAGGTTGTGAAAAAATCGCCCTTTCATCCTGCAAGTGTGTTCAGATATATTTATTTGAATTGGGTTCTGTTTTAGTCTTGACCGTATTTAAAATGAAGTTTTCTTGTGCATCCTTGGTGTTGTTCACTGTTAGTTTTACCAGTCCCGTTGTCTTTTCATGGGGGTCTAAAGGTAGCTGCACAAAGTGATTGCATTGTACATCAAACTGCTATATACGATTGACTTGAATACAAAATACTAAACTAGAATTATACTTTATAATCCTGACTAGGTCACGAAATAATTGGAGCGATTGCATCCGAGTTTTTGACTTCAAATGGTACAGAATTTGTTCGTCAAATACTTCCTGGAGAGACTTTAAAATCTGTTGCGGTATGTAGTTGATGGTTTCTTGTAATTTTAAATGGTTACTGATTGGCTTGGATGTACATGTGGTACTGTGTTAATCTAGACATGGGCTGATATTGTCAAAGCCCAAAAGCGATACAAATTCACCAGAAACTTTCGTAGGTTTATTGAATGCATTGTTTAGTTTGTCATAGTACACTAACATACCATGTATTCAGATTACATCAACACTAATGATAATCCACCCAAAAATTGCAGCTTTGATGATATGCGTGATTGCAAAGACGGTGAATAATACGCTATCCATGTTGTCCAACTCAATTTCATGTATTCCATCTAATTGATATGTTGTTTAGGTCGTTGTCTTGTTGGTGCAATCGCAAAATACACAAACGAATTTTTATGTTCTAAAAAAACATCCCTTTTGGATAAGGGCATCGCTCTCAAGTTTCTTGTGCACTTTATAGGTGACCTTTCACAGCCACTTCATGTTAGTGGTCGAGGTATGATTTGTGTTTTGGGTTGAATTTCCAAATTCAAGTCTCGTGTCTTGTTTTCATCATTCTAACCCATACCTATAGAATACGGTGGTCATAAAACCCAGGTGAAATATAGAGGTAGATCAGTTACGCTGCACTCTATATTTGATCACCACATTCCAAAGGGACGAATCAGGAATTTTAATGGAAGCGAATATCACTATACTGATTATCTGGTACGCGTAATCCATCAAGAGCAAAACAAAGGATTACATACTAGCTGGCTTACATCGTACAATGTTTTTGATCAAAGCAAACTCGGAAACTCGATGGCAGCTATAGACTTTGCGCGCGATTCCAACCGTTTATCTTGTACAGGTATTTGGTCAGCATATGATGCTAATCCACGACAGGATTTTAGTTATCAATACTATCGTTATGGATCGACATTGGTGGATCGACAATTGGCAAAGGCTGGATATCGGCTAGCGTTCTGGATCAATCAGTTGTCATTGATGACACAGGACGACCAATACTGCCTTAGTGCATCTCTGAGATTGCCCATTTTATACAGTGTATGGCTTGGTTTGGCGATTCAGGTTATGTTCATGCTAGTATTTTGATTGATTGTCTTGACGTAAAATCAATCACCCAAAAGCACGACATAATAAACAGCTAATTTCATGGAATGATGAGTGACAATTACTGGACAATATTAATTGATCCTACATGGTGTATTTGTGTTTTCTGTGATGATCCATTTGAGAATTGCTAATTGTCACTTTTGAAACTGCCGTCATTATAAAACGGCAATCATGTATCAGATTCAAGTGTAACAATCATGGTATTGGTGTTGTATGTGTCAATACGACATGTCGAGCAATATCATATCGACACAATACACACATGCATGTCAGCATCATCAATGTGTACAACTATGCAATATCAAATGGCAATTGTATTGTATTTTATTCAAACAAAAATACAACGAATTCGGTTGAAATCAGTCCAGATTGGCATTCAAACTAATGGTTCGCGATCATCATCTGTGTGTTGATTCCAGAGTGATCCGATACTACTTTTAATTCTGGAACAAAGTTTCCGTGAACGAGAACAGGATCTGGAAGCTCTTTCTGTACTTGATGATGCTTGAGTGGGTTGGACTATAGGCGCTTCACTTGATGGGTGCATAGTATCAGAACCTTTCAAGATATGATCAGAATTTCTTGAAACTTTCATTCCATTGTCATATAATAAGGACGGATTATCATAGCGTTGAGATGCTTGTTGTGATGAACTCTGGGTCCCACTAGTAAAGGCTTGCTCGGATCCTAGCTGTTGGCTTGGTGCAGAATTACGAAACGTGTCGACGAGTTGCACAAAGGGATATCAGCTTCAGATCGGGTTTGGATTGTATTTATGTTGTTGAAAGAGTATCAAAAGCATGCTTTTAGGTAGCCGTCCTAAAAAACTGGGTTTGTTGTCAGGGTTGATAATGATTTATTGATATCTACGCCAAACCGGCTTGAAAGGGATATCCCTTTATATGATGACCCGCAGCCTTGGTCAAACTGCTGTTTGATTATGCATTCGGATATGGTTGATGGATTGTGTAGCTTCTCACCCCTTTCCACTCTAATCCTAACCCTAACTAGCAAGCCGAAATATAATCAAATAAATAAGGTCAAGTAGGACTATATGAGATGGCTGATACTCGGTCGATATGAGGTCATCAATACGTGTTGATATTCCGCACTTTTTAAATCACAATTGATTGGCACGATTCAAACATTGACGATTTAGTGATATGCTTTCCACTCAACTCGACACGGTCAATCATCACTGCATATTGTCCAGTAATTCAATCAATCAACTGAATCAATACAATACAGTTCATGTTGCAACCACACATTATGATTATATGTCATGGTTGACTTGTATTGTGGATTGATGCACTCATTACATCACTTGAACAACTCGTTGTATGACTCGTATATACATTGTAATTGGATCCAGTCACTCGACATCACAGCATTGTTCACATACAACCTGATTGTCGTGTCAATGTATTTGGATTGATATGTCGGTATATATGTCGAGTATGCACATCCGAGTGATCAAGCCATACATGTATATGCACACAATACATACAATACACACCAGTTGAGTTGATCAGCATGTGTTAACTGGTCAATATTGTCAACATGGTTATACACGCACTTGACATGTGCATTTGGACAGTGATCATCATACAATCCATACTGTTGCGCAAACGGTTAAACTTGTAACTACTGGTTTTCAATTGGTGTCTTGTCAAAACCATGTTGCATTGTAGTGATCTGTTGTAAAAGCATAACCCAATTAAACTAGTATAAACTCATCAGCGTTGTATTCCATTAATGAATACCCAGTCATACCCAGTTATATCCATCTACTGCTCACTTTTTATGATTTGTATCATTCATATCATTATTTTTGCTGATTTCCTATAATGAATACTTTTACATTTCAACATATCTCGTATCTGAATGGTGCACAGTTGTATCGGGTTGCTTGTTTCCAACTCGACATGCTCAGGTTTGCGTTATTTTATTGCAATCCATCAATGACCCTACAAGATCGGCAGTTCATTGTTATAATGACACCCGTCCATTTGAAACTGTCAAGCGTTGTAGCACACTATTACATAGTGTTTAGTCATCTGGTATCAATAAAACTGGTACTCTGTTGACTGGGTAATATGGCAATCACCAAATAAACAAAAAGACGGAGTGGTTGATGTGGAATCAATATGGTGTCGATTGAGTAAATGAGCAAATATGCCAGGTACATAGTGGTTGAATGAATACAGCCGTGTATTAGGGCGGCTGTATAGCAAAAAAACTGTGGGGGTATGCATGAATAGATCCAGTTCAAGTGAAATTGCTTGACAAGGCTGGTTGACCGCAGAATACTGACATTTACTTGGATAATAGCTCAGTTGCTTGATGAAATTGAATATGCTTGTTTAAAGCTAAACGAAAACCTTGATGCTGAATATTAGTCACCCTATTTAGTACCCTATCCAGTAGCTTTAGTCCAACTTTGATATGCCATTTGTTCAGCCCAACTTCCATATATTGGTTGCTAGTTGATCACGTTTCAGGACGACATCCCTTGAACGGCCCTGACTATTCAACCAGCACTTGGCTTTGAAGCAGTTTACTTTATGCTTTCCATCAGAATTTGAATATGAGTTGCATAATAAAATAGTGGAGATGGCCATAAACTACCGAAATGAGAAGTGAGAAACGAGAAACGAGAAACGGTTAAATGGAAAAACAGATTCATTAGTCAACTCCGCTTGCAAGGAATAGGGAGTCAATAAGGCTGGTAACCAGTATGCATAATCACAGTATACACACCGCATTGTGATGCCGTGGTATAGCACACTACAAGTTCCGTATTTTTAATATATACTACCAACGTCAATGTCCTATCGACTATAAAAACACATGGACTTTCCCAACAATTATACTCATAACTAGCTCCATCTACTTGATCAAATGAAATCTATCAACTTTTCAGTTCTTGCTACGGCTTTTGCCTTGTCCAGCAGTGTCTATGCCGCTCCACCTATGCAGCAGAAAAATCTCCCACCTGGTCCAGATACAACTGCTACTATTTCCAATGAAAAAAACACTGAAAGTAGAGATCTGTTTGTCTCTGAATTGGTGGAACTAGCTGGAGTGGAACTGCAGAGTACTGGAAAGCTTGTCATTGATGACAAGAGATACGATCCCACTCTCATGCAAAAATATTTTGTTTCTGGTGCCGAGATCTATCATAAAGAGGACTACTGGGGACGAGATGCACTTGTTGCAGTGTTGCTTGAACATATTCCTGAAGCACCAGGCATGAAGGGACAGCCTGTAACCCCTACCACTCCCGATCAACCTGGACTGCTTGGTGGACTTTTTTCAGCAATGTGGTCTGGAGAGACTCCATCAGATGCTCCAAAATCTCTTGAGCAGAAAATTGCCGATTATTATGGATTAACCCAATCGTTTTCTGGCGAGTATCTTTTGTGGATTGGAGAGGTATTCGAGTATCTCAGCAAGTTGGAGATCCAAACCAACAATGAGTCAGTGATCAAGCTGGTCAAGGATTTCAAGTTATGTGCCCATCAGCTTGCTAGTGCCTTTGAGGATGAGCAGGAAGCTATGCAACATGCAACCAGTGCACCCCAAGATGGTTCACAATTCGAGCTGGTCAAATCAATCAAGGACATAATGGCCAAACATCAAGAGTCTGTCCAAGAGATATTGAAGAATTTCACAAAGCAGATGAATGATTATCTGCGTGCCTATTCGTATAGTACAATCAAATTCAAGCCTATACTTGGTGACTGGATCGATTTCCACAATGAAATGGACGTCATGGCAGATACATTGCTCGAATAAGTGCGTACAAAACAATATGATACTGATTGATTGAAAAAATTGTTGAAATTCATTTTTAAACTACATCCAATAAATCATTTATATTTACAAATTTATAGTTGTTGATTACGTATTATGATTATATGTCATGGTTGACTTGTATTGTGGTTTGATGCATCCATTACATTATATTGAATTATATTGAATTACATTACTTGAGCACAATTTGTTGTATATACATTTTAGTTGGATCTAGTCACTTGACATCATAGCATTGTTCACATACAACCTGGCTGTGATGGTGATTGTCGACCTGATTATCGTGTCAATGTATTTGGATTGATATGTCGGTATATATGTCGAGTATGCACATCCGAGTGATCAAGCCATACATTGTATATGCATACAATGTATACAATGTACACCAGTTGTATTGATCAGCATGTGTCAACTGGCCAATATTGCCAACATGGTTATACACGCACTTGACATGTACATCTGGACAGTGATCATCATACAATCCATACTGTTGCACAAACGGTTAAACTTGTAACTATTGGTTTTCAATCAAGCATCCAGTCATAAATACAAACTCGGGTAGTCCGAGTATCGATCAACAACTGCGATCAATATCAAACTACCATGCACAATCGATTGTAGTCCGCACCAGTTATAGTTGTCACACATGTCACACATGTCATGGTGTATGTTGATATGTTGCATTTGAATACATGCCATGATGGTCAATGTCAACCACACACAACTGGTAGTGCATGACCAATGACGGTATTCAACGACTGCAACAATCGATACCAACCATATCAAGTGTGTTGATATATTGAATCGACACCGGATGCAAGATATCAACAGTGCAATATGGTATGCTGCTGCAAGTATATCAATGTCTCGTCATTTTTGAACAAGTCAAACCAATCAGATTGGTCAGATCAGATATCAATACACATGACTATTGTTGGTATTGGTGTTGCGTGTCATGTGTCAATACGACATGTCGAGCAATATCATATCGTCACAATATACACATGCATGTCAGCATCATCAATGTGTACAACTATGCAATATCAAATGGCAATTGTATTGTATTTTATTCAAACAAAAATACAACGAATTCGGCTGAAATCAGTCCAGGTTGGCATTCAAACTAATGGTTCGCGATCATCATCTGTGTGTTGACTCCAGCGTGATCCGATACTACTTTTGATTCTGGAACAGACTTTCTGTAATTTAGATGGAGTACTAGAGGGTGTTTGAGTGTGATGAGCTATAGACGTTTCCTCATATGTAGGCTGATCATCAGGACTTTGTTGTGATGAATCGTGTATTTCACTAGTAAAAACATGGTCGGATTCTGATAATGAACTCTGCATGCCAGTGTAGAATTTATTGAAGCAGTCCATAGTAATGGGATCTTCTTCAATGTACATCGTGTATAAACTGATCAAGCAAGAAATTTCAGAATCCCAAATAAAGTATTTCTCGAGTCCTTTTTCGGCCAGACGCATATTCTTGCGCCAATCGGAAAATTCTTTATCGCATTTTCGCTCCTGTTGTTTGAGATCTAAAAGATTTTTACGTGTTTCTTGAAGCTTAGCGACAGTTTCAGCATAGTTTAAACCATTATCCCCTGCCAAATCTCCATCTTTTAGAGAATCGACACGTTTAACCAGCTGTTTTTTCAACTTTTTCTCGACAGAAATCGATTCTGATATCGATTTGCACATTTCCCTTGTTGTTTTGACACCACGTTTCGTTGTTGCGTAATTTTTGATCAACTTCTTGGATTTCTTTGAAAGTGTACCACAATCAACCAATTCTAAATCCAAGTTTACATCAGTAAATGTCAAAATGCTAGACTCGGTACTTGCAGTTGCACTGGGAGGAACTGTCAAAGTGCTAGCTTTAGCACTCATGGTCGAACTGGGATCAACTGGACTAGCTGTAGTAACTGAACAGACAGCAAGGATTGACGACAGTAAGGTGATTGATGGTTTCATTATATTGGTTTGGTTGAACAAGTTGTAGATGATTATTATTCAACAGGTCGGTTTGGTGTCGTATTTATATCCATTATTAGATTGATAGTATTAAAAGCATGCTAAATAGCTGCTATAGGATATTGGGTTTATTGTCAGGGTTAGGATAACTTGAAAGGGATATCCCTTTATACAATGACCCGCAATCTCGGTCAAACTGTTTGGTGATACATTTAGATATCGTATAGCCGAATGATCGGATGTTTTTCCACGTTTTTCCACTCCAAAGCGGCCAGTAAGCCAAGGTATAGGAAACAAGCACAGGGCCAAATAATACCACATAGCCTATATGTAACTGAGTCAATATTCAATCATTACGTCATCATCAATATTTGATGTAATATTCCGCATTTTTTAAATCACAATTGATTGGCACGATTCAAACATTGACGATTTAGTGATGCTTTACATTCAACTCGACACGATCAATCATCACTGCATATTGACCGAGTGATTCAATCAATCAACTGAATCAATACAATGCAATTCATGTTGCAACCACAATGTCACATTGATGATCAATGACTTGCAACTGTTGTGTTGGCATTGCATGTTGTGATATTATATCAACATTGATTGTCACTATATAGTTGTATCAACCACAAATCATGATCATATGTCATGGTTGACTCGTATTCTGGATTGATGCACTCATTCCATTTCATTCTATTCCATCACTCGAACACAAACATCGTATGACTTGCTGATTGCTAATACCCATATTGATCAAATACACATTACATGACACATGTCAGGTTAGCGTATACACTCCACTATATAGCACATCATGTTGCTGATACCACGCATTGTGATTCAACAGTCAATCTGTATTCGAGTTCAACTACAATTGATCCTGTTAATCATAATATACACGACCAATTGTAGTCGAGTTGATCCGACTGAATAGAGTCCGAGTCATCATGTTCATATCAAACCATTTCAAACCATGACAAGTCTATTGCACAGCTCCACTCGTGTTGATTCCAACATGCTATTCAGAAATGTATCATATTGTCCTGTAATGACTGTACATGGTTTTACATGATTGTTTGCAGCCAGTAGCTACGTTGATTGATATCCACAATATGATCCAGTAGTCGTCCAGATTATGTGTTGTATTTGGTGTGTTGGGTGATGATATCAACCTGTAGTCAAGGTTTGACTATCTGAACATGTCGATGACTTTTTACCAACTGTGTGCAACTCGATGTCCAATATCGAGTCATGTCATTGGTCAATTGATTGGTTCAATTCATCAGTGGGTTTGCTGGATCCATGTGGTGTGCAGCACTTTCAAGAGTATGTTGAATCTGTTGCAGTATTGGAACTTTGTAAACGGATCAACATACTAACCTGACCATGATTGTGGTGGTTATTGCAGTCGAGTCGTAAAGCTTATTCTGGCAATCATTGATGATTTGAACAATCATTTGAATAATCGTTTGGATGTCAGGTTATGGTATCCTGATTGATAACTCGACTCGAATACAACTTATTTGAACAATTACTGGTCAATGGATTGGACAATGAACTAGGAATCAATCAACACATTGACAGATTTGTCATTCCAAATGGAAACAACGACAATCCAGTTGTAATCCATATTGAGCCTTGAATTCAAACAGTCGTGAATCAAATCATTAATAAACTACAAAAACAGTCCAATATGCCAACTCGCATTTATCCACAGCTCGATATGTGATGTTCAAATGTCTAATATTCAGACTGTGCTGATTGCAATTGTGGTTGCAATTGTGGTTACAATTGTGGTTGTGTGTAAATATCAATCCAATACTCGATTCAATACTTGATTCAACTTGAGCATGTACAATTTTGTAGTAATCCATTTGATCACATTGACAGAATCAAGCAATGATCTGATTCAACAACACCGAATGATGCATCGATATCACTTGTGTCAATCAATTGTACACAATCAGTCAATATAATCAACAATCACTGTCATGATTGATTCAATTCATTCAATTCATTCGATCCATTTAATTGCATAGATCCGACTGGCATTGCAACTCATTGTTGTAAAATCACAACCTCACAATCCATCACCAAAAACCAAGATAATACGCCCGCTCATATCTGTCCTTGTTGTATGCCGTTATGATTTGAGTTCGGTCACTTGTCAATTCATCTCGATAGTGTTTGGCTTCATCTGGTGATTGAACACCTTGAATATACTGCGTGGCATCATTCCACAGTTCAGGCGGTATGGGTGTCTTGTCAAGACTCGAGTTGTACCATTGTGGTTGTTGTGGAGCCACATGCGCAGTCGAAACAATCCGACATGCTGGATTCACTACAAAAAATGTCAGAATCTTGCAGTGTCCTGGTTGAGTTGGATCTGCAAGTTCAAATGATTGTTCTTTGTGTTGGTATAGATTGGGGTAAACTACACATCGACCATTTGGTAACTCAAGCGATCCTATATACTGATTGCGTCGTGATTCTCGATTAATGCCATACACATCTCTCCAATACATATCAGATGCTTCTTGATCAAACCGATCAACAGCCACGCGGTAATCGAGTTTGGGTGTGGTGATATTTTCCACGTCGTAGTAATACAGTCCAGTTGCAACAATCGATTCGTTACGTGGACCTTCAATGTATCAGTTTCCCTCGTTGTATTTAGATTTGGATGGTGTCAGTTGAATGTTGGTGAGTTTGACAATGACTTGCAGATTACGACCACGCAGTGACACTGGCTTTGCTGATTCATATTTGGATTGGAAATGTTCCGGAAGTGTTGGTACATACACGGGACAAATGACTCGAGTGTCTGATTCCATATCATCATGATCTGATTGGTTTGGTGGTTTATATCCCTTTGTGCCATTGTGAATAGCAATATACTTGAACATTGGATCCATCGTTCTGAACAGACTTTCAAACATTGGGACAAAACATTTGAATATTTTGGCAATGCATTTGTACATGTCTCGATGCCATATCGGATTCAGATTGTTGATGTATGAGTTGATGGTCACACTGCCATCCCATTCGACACGGAATTCACTCGGAAGACATTGGAACTTGCATGATATAAACTCGGAATCACCTTCAATGATGGGCATATCTGAAACAAGTCGAGTCGATAACAATATATCGCATGGTACCATTGTGGTGTATTTGAGTCGTATACTCAGTGGTGTAATCATCGTTTGTCCATATACAACACTGTACATTGATGCATCAATCAGATTGTGCACCATTTGACCAGTGTTGTGATTTGATCCATGTTCAATATCCGATACATTTGTCATCAATCGCGTGTATACATTGTCAGGTATGCCATTGTCCAGTATATACGTCAGTTCAACAGGTCCTGGGACAATTGTGCCAAATCCATCACTGCCACTACAAACAAGCTGTTTGACAAAAACCCCGAGTTGTTCCAATGCAAGATTAAATGTTGATGGTAATATATTCCGATCGAGTGAGTCAGCCCTCCATTGCTCCACAATATGCTGGTTTGTGATATCGATCCACCACATGGGTTTGCAAAGTATATGTTGCAGATACTGGATATACCGCATTTCGACAAGTGTGCGTGCATTTCCATGTGTATATCCGGCCATTCCAGATTTCATATCAATTTTGGCATTGTCGTTGTATGGCTGAATGCTCGAATTAGCAACATGAACCCGATGCTGGAAACACGTTTCAATGATCTGGCCAGCAATTCTTCTGTTTCTGTATTCAGCAGTATCCGATTTTACAATAGCCGCCAGATTTTCAAATATCCTGCCTTGATCCAACTCGGTACGTATTGAACTGTCGGAATGATTGTCGGCAAAATCAGCAAGTATTTTGAGTAGGTTTACAATACTAGTTTCATCACCAGAATCATGCAAACATAGATATCTACGTGAAAAAATAGTGTTGAGCTGCTTCACAATTCCATAATCTTGAAACACCTTGATCATCTCGGCCTTGTTTGTAGATTTCTGAATCATGCTGTTGACATAATCAAACAGACGCAAAGAGTCACCCATGCGGAGATCACATATCAATATCGTCAATTGCTCAAAAACCAACGATCGTACAAGTGATACAGGAAAGTCGCGCATACCAGATGCAATTGTTCCTGCTATCTTGATCATGCGTTTTTTTAGTGCAGAGTTGTCGCTGTGTTTGATACACAAGTCGTTAAGCATTTGAATCAATCCCGATCTTATCAACTCGGCTGAAATCACTTCACAATTTCTAATATCGCATAAACTCTCGATAGTATCAATACTTTGATCAACCACTGCTTGATCGACACTCCTGTATTCATGTCATGTCAATCCAACCATGTCAAATTTACTAATTGTGATGACTGGGCACATATTCATGCATAACACCACATACCTGAGCGTATTGACCATTGCTGGAATGATACCACATTTCACTGCTTTTACTGGGTCATGACGATGAATCTTCCAATACATGGTTTCAAGATTTTCGATAAAACCAACAGCAACTGAACCATTGGATGATTCCAGTCGTGAAACAAATCCTAATACCACGATGCCAAACTAATGATATTGTTCAATGTCAAGTATACAATCAACATGACATGCCACAGTCCAAACTGATCCAATATTGTATCATTGTAAACATACATTTTCATCGTCAATACCATGACAAACTTGCAAGAACAGGTCAATTGCCAATCTGAGCACTTCTTGATTGGACTCGTGAACAATAATCTCAACCATTGGCTTGATGTCAAATCCATCCTCTTGACTCCAGCGGTTATATTTGTACAGCTTTTTACATGTTTTTATCGCCTATATGCATATTGACACTAAGTGAGTTGAATGTCATCCATTTGATCAATATCAATCATGACTTGCCATCATTTTGACCTGACGGTTTGATGATTGCTTGAGCTGTGCAATTTGGTAGCTTAGTCGATGTGATACTTTGAACTCATTATTGCTGTACATCATTCTCAAAAACGCTGGAGCAAACTCCATTATTTCGATCTACACAGCACATGAAGATAATTTTAGTCATGAACAACAATCCATTACTGTTACAATATAGGAATGCCATGGAAACTAGGGCAAGATTATACTCCAAATACTTGGTTATGATATCT